AGATGGTGAAAAATCTCCCGAAGATTAAATATCATTCAACAAGTCAAAAGATAGTAATGCTCTTATTTTTATCTCGGAGCTCATACATTTCAAATCGAATAGCATTGTCAACCAATTGATTGCTATTTTTACAATTCTTTCCATAACTATTCTAAGCAAGTATAGTCTTGAAAATCCATCTGAAATAAATAAAAATGCACTTACCGAAAAAGCATTAATTAAAGCAAAAGCATAGTAAATTGAATTAATACTAATAAATGAGTGTTTTTGATGCAACAAATTACTTAAATGCGAAAGAAGTGATTATTATATACAACCATTCAAAGGAATATGCAAGATGCAGATGCCTGAAATACATATTGAATAAAATAAATAATTCTACTTTGATGTGACGTGATGTCTTATTACAGAGCATACTTCCTATTATGGACATTAATATTTCCTAAAAAAGTATATTAATGGTAAAGGAGGTAACCCCAAATGAAGTGTGGATCTATGATTGCAAAAGTATTGGCTACATGCGTTTGTGCCTCTAAGGTATATGCTGATATTAGAAGAGAATGCGGTTCTTCTGAGAACGAAATGCTGATTGATCAATTCCAACAAAATCCGGTAGTCCAAACAACAAATCAAGAGTCTGTTATTGACGGAAATCAAGGATTATGTGATATTTCCGAGCCAAATAATATTATTGTTGAGGTAGATCCCAAAGATAATAGCGTTATTTTTAAGGAGAGAAAAGTTGAAAAAGGTGAAGGACCTGAAGAGTATTATTATATTGAACTCTGGGAGAAATTCTATCTTACTAAGGAGGAATACGAATCAATTGTTAAGAAGCAAAATAAGGGTGCCATTGAACAAGCTGAGCAAGAAAATGTGTCAATTGCTGAGGAACAAGATGAGCAAGAAAATGTGTCAATTGCTGAGGAACAAGATGAGGGATATGCCACTGAAGAAGAAAGTGAGCAAGAAACTGAATAAGCTATAAGAATTCTGAATAAGGTGAGTGATTAACCCATCTATCAAAGAGAATAAATAATTTTATTCAATTTTTGTAAATTTCAAATGTTTTATCAATGCAGTACTTAAATTATACAAAATACTGAAGCTTGTGCACTACTTAAGAGGATTTGCTATTTTCAGCCAGGAATCTATTCTGGGTTTCTACAACTTCAGTACTTGATGTGCATTTAGAGTATTCATCAAGAATGTCCTGGTTAAGCTTGTAAAACTCATCTCCATAGCTAAATCCATCAAGAATCTCATATGCTTCATCAACAAATCCACAGATATATAGCGAGGCGCTGAGCGCTTCTGCACAATTGAGTTTGAATGGTTTTCCGTAATTCACTGGATTTGCTGCAACCATGAATGGAAGAAGCCTGTTGTGCTTCTTAGGCAGTTTTTTGAAATCAACAGCATCCAACTGTGCCCATGAACAGTCAATAAGTCCTATTCCGAACCTTTCTATGATTTCCCGATCAGAGGGAGATATTGATTTGTCTGCATCAGGCGAAAGCACAACTCCCGAAAAGTTTCTGTTCTTCTGGATAGATTGTACCTTTTTCTGCCTAATCAGCTTTTTTCCAGAGCATCTCTTTGGATCGCATTGCTCAAACTCATAAATAACTTTTCTCATTCAGAGTCGTCTAGGGTATTCAAATGACTCAAACATTTTAATTTCTATGCATCAACCTCGCCATGTTCATGATCTGTTCCCTTTTCACTCCACACATCAAGCATATCATCAACCATTTTTCTGAAGTTTTCATACTCAATGCGATATACATCTACTCTGTCCGAAGAGAGATACGTTCCACCTCCAGCACAAACTATTCTTGCATTATCTTTCTTTTGAATATCTTCATACATTGCAGACACATTCCCACTGACTGATATGACCGTCTTTATGTCTACGCATGAATACTCAAAAAACAAGAGTTCTGCAAGAACCTGCGAAAGACTACAAGTCGACACAAGATACACCGATTGTTTCATTCGATACAACTTCACAATTGAATCATATAGCCTTGTTATCCGATTTTTCATAAGCCTGTCAATCATATAGAAAAGAGGCGTGCATATAAAATTCAACTTTTCAGGCCCATTAAACACTCTCTCAAGCTTATAATACTTCTCACCCTTTATGTCTTTCATCGATCTTCCATTATAAGATCGCTCAGCATGACGTTCTCCTACATCGCCAAGTGTACTAATCACCTCTCCTCCTCGATCAATACAGAATAAAATATCTCGGATGTCCGATATCCTTTTGACTGCTTCTTCCTTCGCCTGGCACCTTAACCATTTAATGTCAAAAATTGAATCAAGATCAATCACAAATACATTCTTGGCTCCACGCACAACACCCTCAATTCTCATTACCTCCTCACAAGAAATCTCAGGTAATTCAATCTTCAAAGACTTTATCTCATCCCGTACATCAACCACTCTGCTCAACTCCCTTTTCATAATCTTGTCCTTTCTCCTGTCAGACTCAATCTTCGAAATAATAAACGAACTCCTTGTGTCTTCAAACATCTTCTCATAGTTCTTCATGCACTTGAAATCCTCCCTTGCCTTCTCAAATACAGCCTTCTCAATCAAGCCAATCCTATAAAGATGATAATATGTTGAATAGACATATTGATTGATATTTCTCTTGTCTGCAAGGCACGGAATCACTTCAAGTGATGGAATGTCTGTTGCTTCTATCAACTTTATCACAAACACATTCTTTTTGGTTCCTAATAGAGACCTTGCCTGCTCCTTCAGTGGAGGCCTCATCACCACCTCCCTTATTTTTTCTCTGTTATTGCTCAGAAACGCCCTATCCTTGCATCTATCAAGCAGATCAGAGATGTCAGATATCCCCTCCATTTAAAGGGCTCCTAATTATCCATTTGTTGTTTCATTGCACATCAAAATATCACCTACACACTGATGTACTTACATCTTCTACTAGTCCATCTACTTCTCTAAAATAACAAACAAACTCTCCTCCTCCGCTCCATGATCAATTACCTTAAATCCTGTTGATTCGCAAAGCATTAACAACTCTTGGATACTATACAAATAATAATATCTCTTGATGTCACTCCGAAGTTTCCACGATGCAAAGTAATCTCCATCAGACATATCATGCGCACGAGAAAACTTTCTCTTGCTACTTACTGCATCACCCCACACATACAACAGCATCTTTCCTCCATCCTTAAGAACCCTTCTCATCTCATTCATTGCCTCTTTTCTTCGGCAACTCGTACTAAAGTGATGTATCACTGCAACACTCATTACTAAGTCAAAACTATTGTCTCCAAAAGCCATGTTTAGGACATCTCCTCTTACCAATCCCATACATTCGACTCTTGCTGCATCTTCCAACAAACTGCCGCAATAATCAAGCCCAATAATACCCGGAACAATAAACGATCGTCCATTGCCACATCCAGCATCCAAAACTAGTGAATCAGGTGTGTAATACATATCAAAAAACTTTCTTGTCATTCCCCAATGCTTCCTTCTTGTGTCTGAAAATTCTGATGCATTTTCTTCATAGAATTTATGCACAAATTCATGCTCAAAGGCATTCGGATCATTCATTGATGAAGGTCAGCTGCAAACACAATTTATATATTACACTCTACTAAACACACATATTTTATTTATCAAATCACCTCATGCAACTCTACATTGGCTACACGTCTTGCCATGGCCTGTAAATCCCTGTCATTGCTTTCACACATGTCCATAACCATGCTTCTAATCTCTTGATCCATTACAGATAAATCAATAACCTTCAGTACACTTAGCTTTACATTGACTACTTTGTCATTCAGCAGCCTTTTTATAAAGTTTGTTCCATGGACTTCGTCAAATGAAAGAGCTGCACAAACCGATGTTATTCTGTGCAAATAGCTTTTAGATACAACTGCAGTCTCTATCTCTGTATGCCATTCATATGTCCAGCTATATATCTTAACAAGCTCTCCTATACTTATTGATGCCTCTTTTCTTATATCATGCACGCGGTCATGAAGATATCCAAGAAGATACTTCGATAGAAACTCATACAGAAGTCGCTCATCCTGCTTCGAAGTCTGCACAATCGACTCCAGAACCTCCTTGCGCATCCTCCAATTTGGAGACTGTTGGAGCGAGTTAATGAGTGGAACAACCACATTCCTGTACATCTCCGCCTTCTGCACACACAGCAATGCTTTCCTAACCTCCCAGTTTCCATCAGAAATAACATCTTTCAGTACTTCCTGAAACTCTTCTCGGCATCCCACTGCTTGAATTGCCAAGGCCCTTACTGTTGGACTGCTGTCTCTTAAAAACAATGACACAAACCCACTCCAGTCCTTTACATGCTCCATGCTCTTTGCAAGGCATATTCTGATCTCTTCCTCCGGATCCTCAGAAAGATACAAATAAACAGTTGCTATATCATCGTCACAGAGCTTCTCAATTTTCTTTACAATAGCATATCTTCGTCTCCATGAATTTGAAACACATGTTTCTGCAACAAACCGTGTCTTTTTCTTTATCAACACAATTACATCAGGTGCCATACATTGCACACACTCAGACCAGCTCCTATGCAGCTCTTCTACAATATCAGCAAGTTCATCGTCATTAAATGGCTGTCCATCGCACTCCTCAAGCGCAGATACTGTGCTCCTTACCACTGGCACAGACGTATCATTTATACACGCCTTCACTATACTCTTTACCTCTTCACATCCAAACCTTAGTGCCACCCATGCAACTGCCTGACGCTGTGTGTAAAAAGATGACCTCAGAAGCCTGCCTACAAACTCCTCTACACTTGATGGAAACACATTTAAAATCCTTTCAATCAGCGGCTTGGTCTTTTCAGGCTCCTCAAGAAGCATCATCTCACACACATCCAAGTGTGCCACTTCAGGAAGTATGGTTCCTAGATGGTTTATCAATGCATCATTGAGCATTTTGTCTATCCCAACAAGCAGCTCAAGCTTATCAATGGATGCCAAACCATGTGCACTGAACTTCTCTACAAGGTCTGAAATTTCATTACCAGCCATTTGAAAGGGCTCTGCAATGCAAACCTTGAACCATTTTATGCATGTGTAATTGTACAAAAAAGATCCATGGCATGAAATACACAATCACATCAAAGGCTCTGAATGAGAAAATATTGACTGTGCATGTCAGAGACAGTGTGTACACCGGAGGAACGTCAGGAACACTTGTGAATCAGGACACAGATACAGTGCTATGTAAATGCAAAAAGTCTGTAAGAACAATAGCAAGTCATGGCGATTATATATGTTGTGGAAGCTATGATTGCACGGCAGTGCTTCTGCACAATGACAAGGTTATGGATGTCATTGAAGGGCCAGACACAGAAATCAAGTGTGTGGCATTTTCTGAGGATGGAAAGCACCTTGCAATGGCTACTAGAGGAAAATCTGTCTGGATAATAAAGCTTTATGGAGAAATTGAGGTCGACAAAATAATAGAAGATCACTTACATGACGTCAAGGGATGCAAATTCCACAATGGAATGTTATTTACATATGGATACGACAACACAGTGAAAGTGTATGACAGGTTTGATTATGATGATAGTTGGGAACTAATGCAGTCGATAGACGAGAGCAACACTGTATGGTGCATAGCATTTCATAAGCAAAAGATGTTCTGTGCGACTGAATATGGGATCATAAGTGTATATAGCCTAGGGAATGGATGGGAACTCGAGATCACCAAGAAGATGTCGATGTTTCCAATCTACTCCATATGCGAGATAGGATGTGGGGTTGCATATATTCTGAATAGGCAAAGTATTGGAATAGTTAATGAAAACCTGAACCTGATAGAGTCGATGGAGAACATCCATTCAGATTGCATAAATAGCATAGCATACGATGCAAAGAAGAATAGGATAATCAGTGGAGGGGATGACGGGATTTTGAATATGATTGAAATGCAATAGAGAAGGAAAAAATTGCTATTTAATTATAACAAAAATGAACCCCAGAAGATGCAGATGAAAAAGACGAATCAGCTTGCAATACCTGATTTACAGCCATCCACAAAGATAAGAGTGGTTCTGGATGCGTTTTCTAAGTATGAGACAGATATGTAAGTGATGAGAGAAATATCCTTGGTTCGTGAAACTGAACTGTGATGACAACGATTGTTTCTGATACTAACTTTAGAATTGGCGTTAAGCTTTTGAAGCAGAAGAAAGGAAAGGAGGAAGGCATGAAGGTGGCCTATATTGAGTTCGACTCAGTAGATATCACTGAGAATGCGTTCGGAGATGGAACGATAAAGATTGCAGGAGCAGTGAAGAACTTGAGATATGCAAAGAAGAGGGCACAGAAGTTTGGAGAGAAAGGAGTTATTTCAGAGAAGAAAGTTTATGTTTCAGGGATTCCACTGGATGCGGACAAGGATGATCTTTCAAAACTCCTGGGGAAATGTACAATTTCTGGCCTGGAGAAGCGCAGTGGATATGTTTTTGCAGAGTATAGCACGCACAAGGAGAGAGACGACGCAATCACCAGGATCAACAACAGTAAGCTTAACAATGTAGCCTTGTCTGCAAGCCCGGCGTATGAAAGGCCAGCTTCAAGGACATCAAGCTTCAGCAGCAAGAGAAGCAGCAGTAGCACTGATTAAATAGTGGATTTACGGATGTCTATTTTGTTAATTTTATGTTTTTATATTGTATAAATGGTTGTTAGTGTAGCCCGTGAAACAGTAGATGACCGAATACGAGTCTAGTTTGGTTGTGGAAACAGATGCAGTGAAGGAGGTTAAGCTGCCTCACACAGCAAAAATAATCCTTGTGAATTCAGTAGCTGCTGTTCAGGAGTCTCCATTTGCAAAGTACCTGTATGTGTCTGACAATGGCATTAAAGTGTATCGGCTCTTGCCTTTTAAGATCCATCATGAGATTGAATACAGCGGAAGTATCTCTGATCTTTTAATTATTGGCGATCAGATGATTGTTCTTTCGAATGAGTCAATTGTAGTGTGGGATGGAAAGAAGACGCAAGTTATTGCAGATCACTTTGATGGGCGCCTTGGAGCCATCGGTCAAGATATTGGAGTGCAGGAAAATGAAAGACTATCTGTATATTCAATAGAAACACTCGAATTGAAGGATAGATATGCTGCAAACACGCATTACTACATACGAGATGTGCTTTTGACATCCATAGAACATGAGGTTTCTTTGTACTCTAAAGGAAAGAAAAGTCTTCGGATATACATGCCTGAAAGAATAACCAAGATATGCACAGACCCACTCCTTACAAATATATACTGTGGAGGATGTGATGGGAGGATATTCTGTTCAAACACAAGCAGTAGAGAGCCAATAACCATGGCATATCACAAAAGCGCAATAATTGGCCTGGAAATAAGCTTCTGTGGGAAGTACTTATATTCTGCAAGTGAAGAAGGCACCATTTGCATATGGGACCTGAATACAAATACTGTAGTTGGTAAGGTAGAAGTTGGAACTAAAATACGTAAAATCAAAGCAACATACATTTCTGGGTGGGACAATTCACTTGAAAAGCATCAAGACAAGATTCTAGTTGCCAAGCACATTCAGTAACAGACTGGATAATGGCTCCAATGAAATCGATATTAAAGATTATATTAACATGTTTATAATAAATCGGAGAACATAGTGGAATGGTAAAATGCTCAAAAACAACACTTGTGCTTGATTCTATCTCTTTTTGTACCCTTTGGAAGCACAAACAGATTCTGAGGATCCCATCTCCTTCCAAGTGCTTGTTTTTCCAATAGATCTGTAGCCATGTCTTCAAATATGCAGCTTACGTTCTCACCGGTCTTTGCGCTTGTAGTGTAATATCGAGCGCCTATCTGTTCAGCCTTCTGCTTGAATTTATTTTCCATTGCATTATAGGTTGAGCTTGCCACCTTGTCCTTTTTATTCCCTACAAGAAAAAGCGGGACATTCGATGTTTCCTCTCTGATTCTGCTAACCCATCTGTCAACACACGAAAACGTCCTTTCATCACTCACATCGAATACCAGCAGGATTCCGTCTGCATTTCTATAATAGCTCTTTGTTATTGAAAAAAATCTTTCTTGTCCTGCTGTATCCCAGATATTCAGCATTATATTCTTCCCATCCAGAACAATACTCTTAGAGACAGTATCCACACCTATAGTTGTCATTAGTGACTGCTTGAAGTCGTCCTCCTTGTATTTGTGAAGCAAGCACGTCTTCCCAACATCACTTTCGCCAAGGACAATTATCTTGTATCGGTAGTCTATCTTAGATATGGACATTTCGTAGTAGGGGCTTAGTGTGTTTGCAATTCCATCTTTTCAACTGCGTCCGGTGTATTTCGGTACTTTGAATACAGCTTATATATACTATAAGCATTCATATTGAGTATCTGTATACTGAATATGAAACAAAATACACCAATGATTGATGTTTATGCAAATCAAGCCAATCATCTGCAATGTTTTTAAAAGAACAAATAAAGAAACACAAATATAACACAGTTAAGAGTAAGGGTTAGTGATGGATTCAATGCAAAGGTTTAGGCATATATCAAAGGAATGCACAAAGAGATACTCCCCGAACATAATAAGAAACCAAAAGTACAAATGGTACACATTTTTCTTTGCTGTGATGAGACTACAGTTTGAGCACTTCTTCAATACGTTTATTTTCTTCATATGTATGACACAGATGAGAAAGGAATATCTTGTGTCATCACCTATGTCATCAGTGGCGCCATGGATGATGGTTTTGTTGTTTTCGTTGTTCAAGGAAGGTGTTGAAGACTACAAACGATATGAGCGAGACAAGGTCACCAACAACCAGTTGTATACCAAGCTTACAAACGATGGATTTGTGAGCGTTTCCAGTTGTAAAATACAGGTTGGAGACCTGATAGTGCTCGACAAGAATGAAAGAGTGCCTGCAGATATGATATTATTGAAGACATCGGATCCCACCGGACAGGTATTTATTAGAACAGATCAGTTGGATGGGGAAACTGATTGGAAGCAGAAGCTAGTGGTTCCACAGATACAGTCAGCGTCCTTTGAAGAGATAGGCTGTCTGAGTGTCCTTGCAGAGGAGCCTAACAAGAGTATATATACATTCAATGGGAAGATTAAGATCGGAAAATTTTCTGAGGAGGATCTTGAGGGAGTTGCAGAGGAGGAGCATATGGAGGAAGGAATTGGGAACAGGATTGAGAAATTCTTGGACTTTGGATTCAAGGCAAGAGATGAAAGTGATCAGACAATCCATGAAAATTTTATCAAGGATGTTTCGTGGATAGCGTCTGATGAGCATAGTCGAACAAAGAACCAAGATGAGATATCACAGCACATGCAAAATGAAGATGAACTAGTCATGAATGAATGTAGCAATGTGGAAATGCAGGATTATGCAAAAGATAACAAATGTACAGTGAATTATGCTCATCCCTTAGGCTATGAAAATGTGATTTGGATGAGCACCGTAGTTGCAACATGCTCGGTTCTTGGATGTGTCATATACACTGGGAAGGATGCAAGAGCGATTCTAAATACTTCTCGACCTAGGAACAAAATTGGAATTATTGAGCTTGAGCTAAATGGATACATGAAGGTTCTAGGTGTTGGCTGTGTAATACTTGCAGCAATATACACCTATATATGTGGAATTGGATCACGACCAGATATTGTCTTTATCCGGTTTCTTGTTTTGTTCTCGTCTGTGATTCCAATATCATTGAGAATCAATATTGATTGGGCAAGGTACTGTTATGCAAGGTACATTTCTGCGGATGATAAAATTGAAGGTGCGATTATGCGATCGACAAGTCTACCTGAGGAGCTCGGGCGTGTATCGTATGTACTAACGGACAAGACAGGCACGCTAACTAAGAACGAGATGGAGATGAAGAAGATACATCTTGGGACGATCTGCTATACAAAGGAACTGAATAGGGAAATAAACAAGAATCTTGCAAAGGTGCTGACAAGCAGAAGCAATGGGAAGGGAATGTTTTCGAGAGGAAAAAGAGACATTAATGTAAGAGTGTATGATCTAGTACAGGCATTGAGTGTGTGTCATAATGTCACGCCGGTAGTGTCTGGTGATGAGGTTATTTATCAGGCATCAAGTCCTGATGAGATTGCGATTGTTGAATGGACTGAGTGCGTTGGTATGAAGCTGTTTAGAAGAGACAGGAACACAATTGTGATCCGTGATCCTCTCAATGATGACCAGGAGTATCAGATACTGTATGTTTTTCCATTCACTAGCGAAACAAAGCGGATGGGGATTATTGTGAAGCATGATGAGGAGATTCTATTTTTTGTGAAAGGCGCAGATGTTGTAATGAACAAGATAATTAAAAGCAATGATTGGGTTGATGAAGAGGCAGATAACATGGCTAGAGATGGATTAAGAACGCTTGTGATAGCAAAAAAGATGCTTTCTTTGGAAGAGTTTTCTCAGTTTGAAGATGCATACAACAAGGCTAGAGTTAGCCTGGTTGACAGGGCGGAGTCATTGAATGAGGCAATGGGAATGATAGAAAAAGAGATGGATGTGCTTGGATTGACAGGGGTCGAAGACAAGCTGCAAGACGATGTCAAGGTTACTCTTGAAAACCTAAGGAATGCAGGAATGAAGATATGGATGCTCACAGGAGACAAGATAGAGACAGCAATTTCGATTGCAAAGTCATCGAGGATATTCCACAGGGGCAGCAACTACCTGGTGATCAGCAATGCAAAATCGATTGGAGAAGTGAAGCAGAAGCTGGATCTTCTGAGAGGATCGTACTACAACTCACTAGTGATAGATGGGCAGAGCCTTTCATATATAACAGATAGCTACATGAGTGAGTTTGTACAGCTTGTGTCCGAGATGGAGGCGGTTATTGGATGCAGATACACGCCTACTCAGAAAGCAGTGATGGCAAGGGAACTGAAGAAAGCAACAAAGAAGTGTATTTGCTGTGTAGGAGACGGAGGCAATGATGTTTCAATGATCATGGAGGCCAATGTGGGAATAGGAATTGTTGGGAAGGAGGGCAATCAGGCATCGCTAGCTTCTGACTTCAGCATCAATAAATTTTGCCACATCTCAGATCTGCTGTTCTGGCATGGAAGAAATTCTTATCAAAGGACTGCAAAGATATCACACTTGATAATACACCGAGGACTTACTCTTGCTGTTATTCAGGCAATCTTCTGTTCGCTCAATGGATTTGTTGCTTCAGGATTATTCAGAGGAGAGCTGCTGATGATGTTTGTAACTGTTTACTCGTTCCTTCCGATTTTCTCGATTATTTGCTCGAGCGACATCAGTAGGAATGTAGTGATGAAGTTTCCTGAACTACACAAAGAGCTTATTGAAAACAAGCTGCTTTCGTACACACACTTTTCTGTATGGACACTGATATCTTTCTATCAAGGAACAATCATGATGATAGCATTTTATTTGCTGAAGCAGGAGTTCTTCATTATATCGACTTTGACATTTACATGTTTGGTGATCAATGAGATTCTCATGGTGATGCTTACGGCTACAAAGAGGACACCTATGATGTATTTTTCATCTGCGCTATCTCTGATAGTTTATATTGTGTATTTCATGATTAGAAAAGGGCTGTTAAGGTATCAAAAGCCATTCTATCTCTTCCTTGTGAAGATTATAGTTGTTAATGCTCTTGCGATAATGGTGAGTGTAATTCAGAAGCTTTGGCGCAAGTACATGAGTCCGCCAACTTATTTGAAACTTGAAGTGTTGGTCTGAAGTATAACGTAATATATATATTCCAGTATAATTATAGGCAATTGTGGTTATATTAGAATAGGCAGTAAAATGCTTTGACAAATAAAATGATTTTAATATGAAACGACTTGGTGATTTACAGCAATGAATGGCTTTATGTGTGATACGGCACTTATGAGCTATATTTGCATCATTCATTATATGTAAATGATTTGATTAGTATCTATGGCTACGTTGATTGTGTTGCATTTCTTTATTTCTATTGTAGCCTCTGTTTATGTTATATTTGATTCTTTTGGTTGATTCATCTTGTGTATTTCTACTATAGTTATCTTGATTGTATTCATTTGGATATCTGCTATTGTGCATTTTATTATCTTCAATGTATGTGGTATGCTTGTTGTGTTCTTGCGATGCCATGTTTTGATATTCTTTTTGTGTGTACAGAAGATTTTGGGCATCGAAAAGCTCTCTTTCAAGATCTGAACTTGGATTTTTTGCATGAATGAATCCACACAGATCTTCCTTACTGCAGCATCCTCTGTTGTATTCGGCACATATCCCATCGCTTATTCTATCGGAGCATCCGAGTTCCGAGGCGATTCGCTTTCCACAGTAGTATCTCTTTGAGATCGCTCTTGTGCATTTAAACGCGCTTTGTTCCTCGAAGAACTCAATGTATATGTTTCCCTGCAGATGTGTGCATCTGTTTGATGCAATCACAAGCTTTTTCACTGGTCCGTATTCTATTGACACTTCAGAAAACCAATCCTCATAAAACAGGTCAAAGTGTATCTGTAGTGCATTTACACTCAGGGTAGATGTGGAATCGTTTTTCGGATACAGATACATGTTCTTTACAACAACGATTCTACTGTTTGATGGAATAATGTGTGTTTTTGTACACTCTGAGCCATATCTGCATCCATTTGTTTTTAAGTAGAACATGCATTTTTCTTCCTTACTTGAAGGCATTATCCAGGGATATTATGGTAACAAATGCATGAAAAGTGTTTATGTAAAGGTATTTATGCAAACATGTTTATGTAAAACATTGAACGTGTTCAGAATGACTTACTTTGAATTACCGTGATATGGTATTCGCAAAGAATGTAATATAATTGGACGAGCCAAATATCTTCTTTTGGTTGTAAAGACATGATTGATCGAATGAATGATAAAATACATGAATGAGCTTTGTGTATGATAACGTCTAATGGGAGAGATGGCTCAAAGATGATTCTGTACGACTCTTTGCACACAACTGAAGCAGAAAATCTCAAGGAAGCATGCATGAATGTAATAGAGAAAAAAGAGTCTGAAAGCGGAATGAGCTTGTCGTGTATTTTTGAGCAATTCAGGCAGATATGCTGCTGCATGGACAGTTTTGAAATGGACATGGCTGTAAATGAATCTCTGCTTTCGTTAATGCAGCATTTGGAAAGGAATGCATCAGGCGTAGAAGGACTGTTCATCAACACTCGGTCCTCAGAAAGCATGAACAGCTGTGTGAGTCTGCTTGAGTTTAACGAGAAGATAGATTATGAAAAGATTGATGTGCTTGACTTAGCGATGGCATTCAGGGTATATGTTGAAAAGAACCTAAAAGCAATTATTCCAGTAAAAGTACGGCAAAGTGTAATAGAGGCATACAAAAGCAACGATGAAGAAAGGAAAAAGGTGATTATATCGAGGATTCCATTTGTATTAAATGATTCGCACAGGATATTCCTGAAGTCGCTGAAGAGAGTGTTCCAGTCGATGCAGGATGGCGTTGAAGATGTGCAGCGCAAGATGGATGAAGTGTATGAAGTATTTGGTCCACTGGTTGTTAGAAAGTCTGAAGACATGTTCGATACAAGTACTTCTGTACTGAAGCAGATTTTGGTTGATTTGATGAATGCAAATTTTGACGAACTTCCGAAGTCATTTTTTAGCGCAGCAAACGGAATCCAGAATGGAAGTTAGAATTGAGAGTGCCGTAGAGTATGATGTTCTGAATAAAAGCTGGTTTTCATTGATTTTGTACTGTTGTAGGCTTGTAAAGTGTTGGAAAGAGCGGATAGGAATGTAGAGTGACATGTGTAGAATGTATGTTGTGAATGGCTGAGAGTGTTAAAAAATAGGAGTAAAATGCAACCGTCCATGATGGGAATCGAACCCACAGCCTCGGCTTTAGGAGAGCCGCGCTCTACCGATTGAGCTACATGGACACGAATTATAAATCCATGCACAGCGACCTGCCACAAGTAGTGTCATGTATGTTGTAAATGTAAGTGAATGATAAGTATTTCATATCACATGCTTGTGTACTTATTTCTATATCACATTTATTCATATTTCTATATCACATTTATTCATATTTCTATATCATATATTTATACTTATTCACATTATGTATATATAATGCAATCACAACTTGATTCTACCACATTGTACAATTCAATTCAAGTTGTACTTTGAAATTCAATCCCTTATAAATGGTCAAAAGCAGTAATGTGGCTGTTCATAGCCATATCAAGTCACTTGGACTAGACGAGCATGGGATTCCTATCAAGGTTGCGAATGCGGTTGTTGGTAACGACAACGCAAGAGAGGCTGCTGGCTTAATTGTTGATATGGTGAAGTCAAGGAAAATGGCTGGAAAAGCAGTTCTGATATCTGGTCCGATTGGCTGTGGAAAAACTGCACTTGCTGTTGGAATCAGCTGCGAGCTTGGGCCAGAAACACCATTTACCACCATGAGCGGAAGCGAGATGTATTCGAGTGAGATAAAAAAAACTGAGGTTTTGCAGGAAGCACTGAGAAGATCGATTCTGGTGAAAATCAGGGAACTGAAGGATATATACGAAGGCGAGATTGTTGAACTAAAGATTGTTGACGAAGACAATCCTCTGTGCTCGTATTCCAAGAAGGTCAAGGAAATGTTCATCACCTTGAAAACAACAAAAGAATCTAAAAGACTAAAGCTTTCTCCAATGCTTCATGAGCAGATAGACAAACAGAAAATAATCAGTGGAGATGTTGTGTACATCGAGATGTCATCTGGAATCATCAAAAAGCTTGGAAGAAGCGAAGCACATATGAACGACTTTGATCTGGAGGCTGATGCTTATGTGCCGATTCCAAAAGGCGAGGTTCAGAAGAGAAAAGAGGTTATTCAGTCTGTAACACTTCACGACCTTGATATGGCAAATGCTAAGCCTTCTGGACAAGACATGCTCTCTCTTGTATTTCGAATCCTCAATCCAAAGAAAAGTGAAATAACAGACAGACTCCGTGGAGATGTCAACAGAATGGTAAATGAATACATGGAGAGGGGGAATGCAGATGTAATCCCCGGTGTTTTGTTTATTGACGAGGTTCATATGCTTGATATTGAATGCTTTACATTTCTACACAAGGTGCTTGAATCGCCCCTCAGCCCAACAATTATTTTTGCATCCAATAAGGGAGACGAGTTGATCAGAGGAAGTGACGGGGTTGCTGGATGCTTTGGAATAACAAAGGATTTGCTTGACAGAGTGGTTGTCATAAATATCAGCGGAAATGATGCAGAGTCAAATAAGGAAATACTGCGAATGAGAATGAATGAAGAAGGACTTGAAATGGATGAAAATGCATTTGATGTATTTGCAAAGCTCAGTGTTTCAAGAAGTTTGAGATATTGCACAAGCCTTGTTCCACTTCTGAAGACTTATGGGAAAGTTATTGCAGTTGAAGATGTGGAAGAGATAAGCACGCTTTTCCAAGATGATTGATGAGCTGCTGTTGTGATTAAACGGTTTAATTTTGAACCCTGTAATGATTCTATGTTGTAAATGTGGGATTCCCATTGAGCCAAGGCTAATGAATATGTGTGATAGATGCCTAGTTGCTGAGGTTGGTATATCCTCTAAAGTGAAGCGAAGCGTTGCGGTTGAACGGTGCAGAGGATGTGAACGATATCTCCAGCCACCAAACAACTGGGTGGAGTTTTCATGGGGTTCAAGGGAGTTTCTTTTGTTTCTGGTCAAAAAGAACAAGACATTGAGTAAGCTTTGCATTGTTGATTCAAACTTTGTGTATACGGAGCCTAATTCTAAAAAGATAGTTGTTGGCCTCGTTATTAAAGATTCTGATGTTGAGCAATCTCTTGAGATCAGATATAGTATAAAGAATCAGCAATGTGCAGATTGCGCAAAGGTTGAAGCCAAGCAGTACTGGAACAGCCTTGTGCAGGTAAGACACAGACAAGAACATCGAAGGATGTTTATATATCTGGAGCATCTTATTCTAAAGAACGATGCATATGAAGACACAACGAATATCAAACAACGCAAGGGAGGAATTGATTTTTACTATACAGATAGGCATGGGGCGATTAAGATGGTTAATTTTTTGCAGAGTGTGCTTCCGATCAAGGTGAAGGTGTCTGAAAGGCTGATAAGCAAAGATGTGCACACAAGCAAGTGCAATTATAAGTTCAGCTACTCTGTAGAGATTGTTCCGCTGTGCAAGGACGATCTGGTTGTTATTAGCAAAGATGTTGCAAAGTGCCTTGGAGTAGGTGAGCTTGTAGTGGTACATAAGATAGCTACAAATATTATTTTATTTGATGTGAAGCAGATGAAGAGTGTTAAGATGACTGGGATGTTTTATTGGGCCAACCATGATGCATTCAAAGTGCTAATGAGTTCTAAAGACTTTAAGAAGTATACAGTTGTAATGAAGAACAAACGGAGAAATTTAATGGAAGAGTGTTATGATATGACGGTTACTGAAAATGGAAGTGATTTTGTTGAAGCTAGATTTCATGTGGGAGATTCTCAGGAAGACGATGTGTTGTTAGGATACGATTTGCAGCATTCTAATCTTGCATTTGAGTATGAGAAAGACTCTGATGTGGTTCTTATTAGGAAGGAGCCGAAGAATAATGTAAAATGGAAGATAGATGTGAATGAAAGCAACATAGGAGAGTATAGACTGTTTGTGGATGATATTCAGAATGATAAGGAGATGCTTGAGAGGATATGCGATATAGAAACAAAGGATTTGGTTGTTGAAGAGCTTGAAAGGTTTGGGATGCATTGATGATTGGAGGTTATGGCGTGCCTGATGAGTATAATTTATGGATTAATCAAGAACTCCTTAATTTACATTAAGTCGATGAAAGGAGAATGGGGCATATATATAGTTGTGTGTTTTTTGAGGCTTGTGATGCCGGATTGCGATGAGCTTGCGAATGTACTGAAAAAAGACAGTAACATTATTGTGACGAAAGTAGGATGTCCCTTCTGCATAAAAGCAGTAGATCTTTTGAGCGAATGGAAGATTGAGTTTCGTGACTTTGATGGAGCCAAGAATAGAAGTCTTGACGAAGCGATCAGTACGAAATACAGCCACAGTACCTTTCCAAAGATCTTCTTGAAAGGCAAGTTTATTGGTGGATTTGATAGGTTGAGTGAGTATGTGAAAACAAAGGAGTTTATAGATCTGTTTGGACCTAAGAAATAAATTTTTGAAGCATTTTGTATAAATATAACAACGTCGATTGAACTAAGCTAAGCTATGGGAATGTCAGTGAAGGTTTATCAAAAAGAAAAATATATGAGCCCCTGATGGATAGTCTGTGTTTGATATTTGATGAGACACCAAGTGATCCAAAGGATGTTCGAGTAGGCGATTACATCAAGGCTGAGGTGAATGGGTCTGCTTTTACGGCAAAAGTGACAGATATGACAACAGTAAAGAACGGAAAGCATGGTGCGGCAAAGACTTCGTTAGAATCAAAACTGCTTAAGACAGGAGCAACCCATAAGTTGACTTATACATCCAATGACATGGTTGTGTTGTGTCGACCTACAAAGCTAACATTACCGCCTATAATTGATATTTACACTGACAAAAAAAGTGGCGTCACAATGATCAATTTTATTAACGCAGATGGCAGTGATGTTGAGCTCAAACTTGATGAAATCATGAGTGCAGAAAATATTAAGAAGATATGTGAAGAATTTAAAAAGAACGAATCTGAGAAAAAGGAGCTTATCTTAAAATTTAAGGCCTTTTCTGATATCTGGCTGTTTGATGGCATTAATAATGCTTCCACCAGCTCCTAAGATAAACAACTGTTGAAGGATGGCGTTTGATTGTTTTTCAATAAAGTTTTCGTTTTTATTGTGTAGAATATAATATGTATTTGATGAATTAGCTGTGAGTAGAGCTCAATATAGCGTTTGGATTTGTATCCCCAGGAATGAATCTAATAAGTGAACTCCGTGAGTTTGACGCACATATCGACTACAAGAACGATATGGACAGTATAAGCAAGTTTTTGCTATTTTTTGAGGAAGGAGGAGAGCTGCCATATGTGAACTGCTTAAGAAGGCTTAAAGAAAGCATTGAAGTTGATATGGAAGATATAGCGATTTATGACGAAACTGGACTTGCAAGTAGAATTGAACGGAATGCGATGTCATACATAAATATGTTCTACAGGGCAATAGATGATATTCTTTACAACGAAGAAGAGCTTGCAATGGAAGAGAATGAAGGAGATGTTTTTTTCTTCCACCGGATCTCGAGATTCAAGGAGAAGTTTCCTGACAAGAAGGTTTCTGAGGTATTTCCTTCTTTTTTATTACGCAGGTACTCACTGATACTGAAGCCACGGAAAGGATTGAAAGTATGTGGAGTCAGAGAATTGAAGTCAAAGGACATAGGTGCCTTAATGAAAGTAAGCGGGGTGGTTACAAAGGTTAGTCAGGTGAAGCCAAGTATCAAGGTTGCAACATACATATGTGAGAGCTGTGGAACAGAGACGTATCAACAGGTTGAGGGAGATGTGTTTGATTTACTTGAGGAGTGTGGAAGTGAAAAGTGCAGAATTAAGAACATACGAGGAACCTTGATTCTTGTTACAAGAGGATCAAAATTTATCAAACACCAAACGGTTTATATACAAGAGTTGACCAGTGATGTTCCCCATGGATGTATTCCAAGGATGCTGGTTGTTGAGTGCTACTCTTCAACTGCAGAGAAGTGCAGACCTGGAGATGTAGTGGTTGTTGGAGGTGTTTTTATGCCTAAGCCATATTATGGGATAAAAAGGCTGAAGGCAGGATTAATTACAGACACTTATCTTCATGCAATGCATATAAAGACGGCTGGAGATCATATATTTGAGCATAAAATGGAATTGAAAAGATACTCAGTAGAACAGCTGGTGAGTTCGATTGCACCGGAAATATTTGGGATGGATGATGTAAAGAAAGTGTTGCTACTGATGCTGATAGGTGCGCCGTTAAGAGTTCAATCTGATGGAATGAGGATACGAGGAGACATCAATGTACTACTACTAGGAGATCCTGGAATTGCAAAAAGCCAACTGCTCAAAACATGTGCAAAGATAAGTAAAAGAGGAATATATACGACAGGAAAGGGATCTAGCGGAGTAGGGCTTACAGCAAGTGTTTCGAAAGAACAGGTGACTGGAGAGATGGTGCTCGAAGGAGGAGCATTGGTTCTTGCAGACGGAGGAATATGTTGCATTGATGAGCTGGACAAGATGAACGAGATTGATAGGGTTAGCATTCATGAGGTGATGGAGCAGCAGAGTGTTTCTGTAAGCAAGGCAGGAATAAATACGACGCTGAATGCACGGTGTTGTGTGCTTGCAGCAGCCAATCCTGTAAGAGGAAGATATGATATAAAGCAAAGTGTAGAACACAATGTAGGTCTTCCATGCTCACTTTTGTCTAGATTTGATGTGGTTGTTATTCTCAGGGATGAGCCTGACACTGAAAAGGATGAGCATCTTGCTAAGCATATAACATCCATACATCTGAATGAAGAGCTTGACTCGGTGTCTTATGATGAGGTTCGTGTGGTTATTGAAGAGGCCAAGAAGTTGAATCCGATGCTTCCCTCAAATCTGTCGAAGAAATTAACAAATGTATATGTAAAGGTTAGGAAGGAATCTTCAAATATCACGCCGAGATATCTCCTGTCTTTAATAAGGCTAACTCTTGCACATGCCAGACTGAGATTCAGTGAAGAAGCATGTGAGGACGATGTCAATGAGGCATTAAGATTGATGGAGGTCATGAGAATACCAACACCAAAACGAAAGAAGGAAGAGATCTCGAATAAGCGAGCCATCTACAACCTTATTCTCTCATTAGCGGTTGATGATGGAATCAAAAGATATGTTAAACTTGGCAACCTGTGGGACGCAGCGAGAGGGAAGTATAACGCTGATGAGATACAGAATGTAATATCTGAATTTGCATCCTGCGGTATTTGGATTAAGAACAATGATGAATTGACAATTTTCAACTAAAGACTAATTGATAAGAATAAAGCGGATTTTAGTAGAAGTACCCAAGGATTTCTCCTCCAACGTTTTCTTCTTGACATTCCTTGTGATCAAGAACGCCCTTTGATGTGCTGAAAAGCACATGGCCAAACTGCCTGGCAGGAAGAAGCCTTGATCGGAAGTCTTCGATCTTATCGATGCCAACTCTGTAATTCGGACAGATTGCACCGCACCTATTTAGTCTTCCGTTAAGGTCGATGATGCTTTTGCCTTTCATCTTATCTTTGATATACGAAAACCCAGAAATATACCCATGTTTCAGCATCTGTGTGAGAAACGTGCGCATCTCCTTCGAATCAAACTTCAGAATAAGCTGTCGTTTGCCTGCTCTACTGGCATTATTGATTGCCTTACACATGTTCGCCAGACCTGCACTCATCTTTAGGGGCAAATTTTTTATGCATAATTGTTGTGTATGTCATGCTAATGCATAGATAGCATGAATATTGTGCTTGTTCTCACCCCATGATCTTTGTTTTTTTCCTGATTGTATTGACACTTGCATACATGCTCTTTATGAGTGTGAAAGGTAGAAAGGGCTCAAGTATCGTGAAGTTTGTTGGTCCAAGAGGAACTGGAAAGACAACAACATTGAATGCACTTCTTAGAGTCAATGGAAAAACTGTACCAACACTGGAAAGCTACAAGGTCATGTATGAATCTATTACAATTCATGATGTGATTGAGAAGGAGGGAAGCTTTCTTGAGAAGTATGGAATTGATGATGCATCTGCAACATATTTTTTCTTTCTCAAGGATTTTAATGATGCTTGTAAGCATCCAGAAACAAAAGGATTCGATATCAGGCTTGTTTATTTCGGATCATGCGATGCCAGCAAAGCTAAAGAACAGAAAGTCATTGTACTGAATGGCAATCCATCGGAAATCAAGATCCATCTTCCGAATTGAATACAAATATAAATAAACTGATCTTTCTAAGCATTAGGAGTATTTGTATTTATACACACAATGTCATTAAATAATCCATAAAACTGCACCTTAGAATTGACTCCCTCAGATATTCTCATGGTTGCCAGCCCAACTATTTTCAGTATCTCATAATTCTCAATTCTCTTGCATGCTTTGAAAAACGAGCTTATTAGATCTGATGCATCAAATCCTTCATCCCATACTTGATTAAACTCTGCAATTGCACTTTCGATGTCGCTTTGCATAAGCTTCTTCAGTATGTTCTCAATTCTTCTTGGAGAAGGAAGTCCTATTATCTTGATAATAAATTCCTCATCTACAGTAAAAGACGTGTTTATGCATGCCTGAAGGATGTTTAATGCCTGGCGCATGTCACCATCACTGAGATCCGTAAGCAAATTCAAAGCCTCTTCTGTTATGTTGATTACTTCATACTTCGATATCTCACTAAGTCTACTGAAAATAATTGAATGATCTATCTTGTCGAACCTTAATACTGCACATCTGCTTTGGATAGGCTCAAATATCTTTGCAAAAGCATTGCATATCAATATAAACCTGCAATCGTTGCTGTGAATCTCCATGATTCTACGCATTGCTTGCTGCGCTGCAGTGGTCATTGAGTCTGCCTCGTCAAGTATGATTATTTTAAAAGCACAGTTTACCTTGCGCTGTGCAAAGCTTTTTATTGTTGTCCTGACAGTGTCAATTCCTCTTTCATCAGATGCATTCAGATCCAAAACTCCTTCTGGATTATTGTCAAGAAGTGTCTTTGCCAGCATCTTTGCACATGTTGTCTTTCCGGTTCCTGGAGGACCTGTAAATAGAAGATGTGGCATATCGTTGCTTTGAACTATCAGTGAGATCATCTCAACCGTTTGAGGATTTCCAACGACCTCCTGTACATTCTTTGGTCGATATTTGTTCACAAGCAGATCCATTAGGGCTGCTGTAGTACTCATTATTGTATCTATCATGATTATTCTACAACAGAATAGCAGTTGTGTATACTTTGATTGTTTATTATCATAATAAACACACATTTAGTATTTAGCTACTACTCCTTAATACTGGCTGTTTGAAGTTGATTATTGAGACTATACATAATGAAACAAAGGTTTCGGATTTCATATTATTATTAATGCATTGACATTACCGCAAATATAGATGCTACTGCTGCTTCTCACTGGCCTGGCACTTGTGAATGCAAAGAATTCATGTGTTCCCGGCTCTGCGGAGTGTGCAGGAAATACTCTTCGTGTCTGTGGAATGAACAAACAGTGGGCTGTGATTGACTGTCCCGAAGATACTAAATGCAAGGTACTTGGTGAAAACGTAACATGCGCCAGTAATAGCAAAGATGCGGATGGTCTCCATAAGAAACACGATATTGATTCACGTCTTAGTGATCAAGATCCTGATTCTGATATTGCCAATCAGGACAATGAACATGTTGATGCGAATCCAGAGCATGAAAAGAATAAAAGCAATAATGGTAATATCGATAATGATGATAATCAAACTACCACTAAAGAAAATGAACATCATGATGAATCACATGAAAGTACCAAGCCTGAGGATGATACAAATAACAGAGACAACGATACTCAACAACCAGTCAGGAGTGGACGGTTAAGAACAAAGCGTAATGCTTCTCCAAGATTACGAAACAACGCAAAGACAATCACACGGACAATAAACAATGGAGGAGAGTCTTCTACTGTAACCATCACAAGAATGATTGTCCAAAAGCAGGCACCTTCAGAGATCAAGCTTGAGTATGTTTCAAACCAAATAGAGCCGAGTGTTAAGCCTATTGATGCATCTGCGTCCAGTCAGCCATCTTTACCCAGCAGCCAGAGCAAAGAGAATGTAGCTGAACCATTAGCAACTAATGTTAGTGCCCCTAAGAGCACAGGATTGATGAATCAACAGCCAGCAACATCCACTCCGAGTACATCTAGTCAACAACCATCAACATCTACGTCTGGTCAACAACCATCAACTGCTACACCAGCTCAATCTACATCAAATACCAATGCATCTCAACCTATACCAAGTTCACCGAATTCTAGTACAGTTAATAATACAACTAATACATCTCAGCCTGCACAAAACACATCTAATGCTGGTTCAACTAACACAAATGGTTCATCTCAGCCTGCACAAAACACATCTAATGCTGGTTCAACTAACACATCTCAGCCTGCATCTGACAAATCTAATGGCACATCTGGCAGCAAACCCAGCGTTCCATCATCCGGCGGAAACGTGAACATAACTTCTGAAAAACTTATAGAGGCTCTGACAAAGCTGAGTTTTGCTCCAAATCCACAATTCGTTGATGCAGTGATCAGCAGAGTAAACTCAAAGTTTACAGATATGAACAGTGCAGTCATGTTTTTGGCACAATGCGCACATGAGTCTGGAGGATATCAATACATAGAGGAAATAGCATGTGCTGGCGGTACAGGCTGTGCTGGCCAATATGGAACAGGTGCACCGGGGAAATCCTACCATGGACGCGGGTTTATACAATTATCATGGCCAGATAACTACAAAGCAGCAAGCCAGGCTCTTGGATTGGGAGAAGATCTTTACAATGATCCTGATAAGGTTGCACAGGATCCAAACCTTGGTGCCGATGTCTCCATATACTTCTGGGAGGCAAATGTAGCAAATGCACCAGGCGTGAAGGAAAACCACTTTGGTGCATCCACAAAGGCAATCAATGGGAGTTTAGAATGCACAGGCTCAAATCTCGACAAGAGCAAGCGAAGGTTCGAGATATATACTGCTCTTGTTGAGGCATTCGGCGTTAGCGATCCTGCTGATGAAAGCGGATGCTACAATTGAATAAGAAAACATACCAAAACAAAAATCTTTACATCTACGTAGTACGATCAATAAGATATCGATATCTGGGATTAAAAACTCTTTCTTACACGTTCTCAAGTAATCAAATTTTTCTTGCACAATTCCATATGTCAATAGCCTTGGATCAACATTCAAAACCTCCAATACACAGATCACATCATCTACAAAAAGTCTGGATATCAAAGATAGTTCTTGTATGGATACTTCACATCCATTAAATTCCTTCAGTATTTGGAATACTTTGTTCTTCCAGTACTTTCTGTAAACTGTCAACCCTTCATTACTAAAAGGCTTTTCTGGTGTTCCAGGTGCAAGAGTATAGCTTATATCAATCATCAAATTAGCATAGCCTTTAGATCTGTAAGTTGGCAGCACTAGCAAGCACGACAGGTTATGTTCGGAGCTTTCCTTTTCTTTACTGAAAAATCCTGCAAAGCATCCATCCACTAGAAGGATGTAAAACAGATATCCCTTGATGCCCAAATACAATGTTTTTCTCTCGATGAATGCCTTTCCTATCATGCATATCCTCCTGCACATTAAAGACTGTTTTTCTCCATCCACTTCAATTACGGCTGTATTTTCTGCATAATCATTATGTATGCATTTGCCAGGCATTTTCCCAGTGCATGAATGTTTATGGTTTTCCATTGCTACAGAGTCATATAATTGAAACAGACATTTGTTGCATATGAAAATTACAGAGCTGTCTGAAAACAGCCATACCCTATGCGTAAAGTCTACTAGTGTATTTACAAGCATCATTTGTGTTACTTCGGTTGTTCTTTTGTTGAAACCTATGCTGGATATTTTCGTGCTGTGTTTGTGTGTTTTATGCAGTTTCTGAAGATATGAGTTGAATTCAGGATCTGCCTGAAGGATATGTTGTTCATTAGGATGTAGATTTATATGGGCTGTTTTGTGATTTATCAATGGTATATTACGGTGTTGATAAGTGTGTGCTTTAAAGTCCTGTAGATGGATGAGTACATTGAGAAAAGAAGGGATTTGATTAATGAAGTGTGTAGTATAGTTATTAGGTCAAAAGAGAAGGATCATGAGTTGTTTGAGATAGCAGCCATACATCGAGAGCTGCTTTTGAATCCGGAAGTTGCATTAACAAAGGATCTCCGTTGTGAGCTAGAAAAAAGAGCATGTTTAAGACTAGATTTTGCAGAAATGAAGAGCATAAAAGGCCAGATTGAGTGTGTAAAGGTTGAAAAGAAACTGGTGTGCCCAATAGGACAGAAAGAGATAGTTGTTCCATATTATGGAGATTGCGGACATGCTATGGAGAAGAAGGAGGCGTTGAAGTATTTGAAAGGAAACTCTAAATTTGTATGTCCGCATGCAGGATGTAACAAGATATTTACAAAGAATAAACGATCATAAGAATTCATAAATATTATACTTCTAAGTGTGTAATACAAATGAGTATTTGATTTAAAGATGTACCGCATGTTTAATGCAATGATTTAGAAGCCCGGAAGATGCGAAGAGAAAAAACGTACCAGGAAAGAAAGCAGCCAAAATCACGTCTGAAGTATGGCAAACTTGAGAAGAAGAAGGATTTGAAGAAGAGACTTGTGAAGATAAACAAGTACAAAGAAGAGGTGCACAAGGCCAAGGAGCAGATACAAGGTATGAGTGGGCAAGAATACTTCTTTGGATATCACTCTGTACATATGGATGGGAATAAAGCATACAAGACTTTGGATCCAACTATTGACGAACTGAGAAGAATGAAAGCTTATATTGATAATGAAATTCAGCGATGCGAGAAGAAAATTGAGATGTATATTCCAAAGCATGTAGGAACACGCATAAGCCTTGATGAAGATTCCGAAAGCAGTTCATCAGATCCTCAGTGTGTGTTTGGACGAAATGAAGAGATAAGAGATGAGCTCAAAAAGTATGTGGATGAACTGGCATCGAAGAGAGAAGAAGTGATGGGCAAGATCAATGCGCTGAGCAATCTAAAAAATAGATGATAATAAATGGATGTAATTTTCTATGGCATTCATGACACTCCAACTGAATGAATTGTTCAATAAAGATTTTTATTCAATGACGTCCATGGCTGATTCTAGTATTTCTCTGCAGATAGGATGATCTGTGGTATGGCAGAAGTCAAGAATCTTGGGAGTGATTGAGTTTGGGTAGTTCTTGAGCAGTGCAAAAATTACCTTGAGCATTCTAAACTTTGCATCTCCCTGGGTTATTTGCTCCTCAAGATAATTTTGAATTGGTCTAATGTCTATCTTCTTCTTCTTTTCAATTATATATTTAAGCAGTATTGATGAGCTTTTATGATTTGTCTTTATTAGTATGTCTATCATATCATCTACTTTATTGAGAGACATTTTTTTCAATGCATTTCCAAGTATTTCTGCCTCTCTTGAAGATAAGTTCATGCGCAGGATGTTGTACACCTTATTGGTTTTCACAAGCTTGCATAAACTAGCCCACTCGTATGCCGGTAGCTTTGTATTGGATTTCAAGATATCTCTGTACAGCTGGAAGTCAGAGGGCTGATCCAACTGCCTTAACATTGGGATGATCCTATTTGCAAGATGCATTCTGGGGTTGGGTTTTTGCACGAGGAAAAAATTATCCCTGATTTAGGATGGACACTGGTGCGGAGGTTACATATTTTGGAAAAGTTATTCAGGTGCTTGGAAGGACAGGAGGTTCTGGAATGCTGACACAGGTGAAAATTGAGCTGCTTCACAACAAGCGCACCATACAAAGGGCGGTTAAAGGATCAGTGTTTGATGGAGACATTGTTGAGATTCTTGAATGTGAGCGTGAGCACAGAAGAACAAGATGAGTGGGGATTTTTAATAAAGATATGTTCTTTCTAGAGAGATGTTTAAGTGTGTGTTTGTTCAAAGGAGAGCGAGAAATGCAAGGCCCCAATATGGACGGCCGTGAGCACGATGAAGGAGGCAGAAACAATGAGGAAGGAAGGGGATGCCTGAGCTATAGAGATATTGAAAAAAAGCGCAAGGAAATGGTGAGCCAGCATGCATACAGGCTACTTCAACAGAGAGAAATGACCAACAAGAGTATTGAGCAGGAGTTGAGCAAATATACACAGAAGGAAGCGATTTTGAATAATCTTGGCAAGTCAGTGGAAAATTCAGCCAATGAAGTAGAAAGTTGTGGACCAGCTATCCACATAGATGATGATTCACAAAATTCACAGCTAATGAATGAAAAAGCGTCTGATGAGCACAAAAGTGTTGAAAGCATAACAGCTTTAGATGGACGACAAGATTGCTGTACAAATATTGTTTTTTCAAATGAGTTTATATCCAGGTTTATACTGAATAGAAAGTATGTAGAGATAGAAGAGAGTATCTGCAGAGAAAAGCTTATGATGCCAAGATCAATGCAAATCCAAATAAAGATGCAAATCAACAAGAGACTATCTCAGGTGAGTGGTAACGCCGGACAGGTGGATAAGATATTTAATGTGCTACGTGAATATTCAAACTCATATTTGTTTATTGAAACATTTGTTCTGAAGCTTATTGAGCAGGGAAGGATACAAGTAAGTTCATGCCCAGGCTCGTATAGAGAGTTTTCTGCGCTTTTCTGCAAATTTTTCACAGTTGAGCTGATGGAGTATTTCCGAGTGGTTTTGTTTACAATGAAGGCAACAATAGGCACTATTCGTGGGATGTATGGAATATACTTTGGAGTGTTAGAAATGCTAGGAGAAGCCGATGAGGCATGGTTTTTTATTGCTTCTGTACTGAACTCTGAACAGAACGAAATGTCCTGTTATGTTATTGAGTGTTTCTTTTCGATTCTTGGTGGAATGCTTTTTGTAAGATGCAGAGGACCATTCATTAAGCTAGTCGATTACACCAAGAAATATTATATGCGTGATATGAACAATGAACCTTGTAAAATACGCATGCTATCTATTCTTGAAAAGTATGATTTGTAAGATTTTCAAATAGGCAGAAGAGCAATATGCTTGGATTTAGATGCCCCGAATGAAGCTGGTAACGGACGGAGTGTGGACAATATCTAAAACACACTTGCGGATTCTCAAAACCGCAGAGGAGTGTATGAAGAGCCACAGCGCAGCGATTAGTTTTGAGATGTTGAAGAATCGATCGAGAATACAGGGAAGCTTTATGGAGCATGCTGTTGATCTGTGCAAACTTAAGTTTTTGACATACATTGACCAGGGATATAAACTCTCTTGCTCTGGGATGGATTGTCTTGCAATTAACGCATTAAGATCTAGGGGATTGGAGATTATGGGAGAAAAGATAGGGATTGGAAAGGAGTCTGATATATACATTGGAGTGTATGCTGGAAGGAGTGTTGCATTAAAGTTCCACAGACTCGGAAGAACAAGCTTCCGGAGTGTAAGAAATGCAAGGGGATATGTGAAAGACAAGGTGAACTGGCTTATGATGTCGAAGGTATCGTGTGATAGAGAAGTTGCATATCTGGAGATGTTTAAAGATATGTGTGTTCCATTGGTGTTAGACCATGATAGACATGTTATTGTGCAGGAGCTCTTGGATTATCAGCCTTTGTACAAAACAAGAGTTGACAATCCTGAGCATATATGCAAACTAATGCTTGAGTTTATCAGGGATCTTTGGAACAGAGGATATGTTCATGGAGACTTTAATGAGTTCAACATTATGGTCAGTGATGATATCAAGGTGATAGATTTTCCACAATGTATTAAGAATACAGATAGTAGAGCGCTTCCGTATCTTAAAAGGGACTTTGAGTGTGTTTTACAGTACTTTAAGAAAAAGTCTAATTATGTTCCTGAGGATTCAAACTATGAAGAATTTTTGAAAGAGCTTTCAATTGATGCACATATAGATAACAACAACAGTGATAATGTTGACTCTACAGATGAGCTGCATGAATCAGTTGAATTAATTGGACTAATAGATAAGATGGTTGTTTGAGAGCTTATGCATCCATTACTGTTTATTTGAAAAAAGGTTTTTAAGCATGCCTAAGAGAAATGCTGTTCTTGTGACTTCATTCCTGTATTCCTGAAATTATTAAAATATTAACTTACGTCTAATGCATTGTTGTATCCGGCGATTATGTCTTCAAGCATGTCTTCGATGTCCTTGAGATCCTCTGAATGGCCTATGTGATGTACAGGATGAGGCATTTAAGGCCATGATTTGAGCAAATAAAAATTTTGCCCTCAAATGAGTGATGACCAGATTATAAAGAGGTTTATAAAGAACGGGCTTGCAAATGCAGAACTGAATGAGTTTTTTGAGAAGGCTCTTGTCAACGAGGGATTTAGCTCGATGGAGCTGAGGATGCACGAGACACCGATCAAGATTATTTTGAAGGTGATGAAGCCGCACGAGGCAATTGGAGAAAGGAAGATCAGGTTGAGACAGTTCCAGCACCTGGTGGCACAGAGACTTGAAATTCCTGACGAGAATGTCGAGATCATTTTTGAAAAGGTGCATGAGAAGGGACTTTGTGCACTTATACAGGCAAACAGCATTAAGGAGAAGATTATGTCTGGGATACAGTACAAGAGAGCAGTGAACATGATTCTGAGAACTGTAAAATATGCAGGAGCACAAGGATGCCAGGTAATAATCAGCGGAAAGGTCAAGGGACAAAGAGCAAAGTCAGTGAAGTTCCAAGATGGAGTGGTGATGCATAGTGGAGACTTCATCAAAGAATACATTAAGACGGGGTATGCAAGTGTGCAAACAAAACAAGGAATTATTGGAATTCAGGTACGCATTATGCTTCCATATGATCCTGAAGGAATTCTTGGGCCGGATTACAATCTGCCAGACAGAGTAATCATTCTTGAGCCTAGTGAGGTTAAGAATTGAATTAAAAGCTAAACTTTTGAATGTTTTGAAAGATTTACTTATATGAGTGTTTTTTATCTAAAAACGAATATTGTGAAGTGTTGATTAAATGAATGATTTCTCGTGTATCAGTTGGTCTTTCGCAATCGATCCATAACATTCCATTTAATCCGAGAGCTATTCTAAACTTGAACTTCTTGCCAATTCTCGATAGTGTATCATCCATGTATAACTGGCGAATCCTCCAAGGTTCAAGCGGAACAACAATGTCACTTAGCTTTCCAAATCCATCTCCTACACATGTTAGAAGCGGCTCAACACCTGTCTTAACTATCTTACATAGAACATAATCTCCTTTTGAGATTTCAGGTTTGTTCCTTTTTGTTGCATTACAGAAGCTGAGTGCTGGAAGCACCGCAGATATTCCATTCAAGTCCACTTTGTATGTGTCCTGGTTTACAAACGTAACTTTTCCTATCACAATGTCATCTATGCAAGGCTGGTAACGATTTGTTTTTGAAAGAACAAAGACATGTCCTGAAACATTACAGACACTCCCTGCCACAATAGCCTTACCTTGACTGCATCCCAACGCCTTAGACTTTGCAGAGCAAACTTCATCGCCTGGAAAGACGTTCTTCACCATTTCTAGCATGCTCAATCGAAGGATACAAATATCCATTCAAATTATCCAATACAGCTGCCCACATAGTCTAACTGAGCATGAATATAAATCCAAGAAGACCTACAAAGAAGTATGTATTTGAGCCAAAAGTTCCTCAGTCGCAAGCAGAAGTGGAAGTACAAATTGAAATGCCTTCGAAAGAAGCAACAACTAACGAAGAGTTTTCCTTCAAGAAGCAGGGATGGTGTGTTCCTAGCACCATAGATGCAAGCATAAGTGATGATAAATTTGTGTTTAAAACCCATCAAGCTGTCCTACTTTCTATTCCTGAAGATTTACAAGTGTCAAAAATAGTTTTATATGAAGATGGAAGTTGTGGGCTCAAGGTTGGAGACAGTGTTTATCCATTCCTGGCCAGGTTTGTTGGAGAATCTGTGCTTATTGAGCATGATGATGCGGCATATAATGTAGGAAATGCTAAAATTCATTTAATACCATTAATAGAAGATGGCATAGACACTAAATAATATAACATAATGCATATTTAATATCCAAAGATGCTCTTGATTATGAGTTCATAGCAAATCTTTCCATCTCCGTCTGGATTTAGAATATTCAACAACTCCACAATTTCTTCCTGGTTAAGCTTATTTTCTCCAGATGAGAGAATTTGCACAAGCTTTCCAGTGTCGATGTAGGATGTGCATTCTGGATCAAGCTTTCTGAATGATTTCTGCAACTCATCTCTGGTGACTTCACGCTCTCGTATTCTTTCACAGATATCAGTCAATTGTCTGAAGTCTAGCATATCGCCTGCGATTGAGGATGCGAGCTCATCTGCATAGCTTTCTGAAACGATATATCCTGCAAACCTCAGGATGTCTACAAGCCTATTTGCGGGCACTTTCTCTGCTGGAGACTCTGTAAACAGCTGATAAACTTTCTGAAGACGCTTTGTTTCCTCCATGGTTCAATGGGTTGTATTTTTTTAGACGATTCACAGTGGCATATGAATACTCAATAAATGTGTTTGGATGCAAATGTAAATTTACCTGAATAAAATGTTTGTCAACAATAGAGAAGATAGGATAGAGTCTGCAAACACCCTAACAATTCGAACATTGACAATGAAAAGAAAGCTAAGCATTGCCATGGTCTCTGACTTTTTCTATCCATCGAATGGAGGAGTGGAGACACACATAAGGTACCTCGGGGAAGAGCTTATAATGATGGGGCACAAAGTAATTGTGATTACGCACAAGACAGGAGACCATGTTGGATGCAGAATGGTTGGGAATATCAAGACGTATTTCCTGGATATTCCTATTATATGCAGGAATGTTGCATTTCCCAGTCTTTTCTCTAGTTTTTCACTGCTCAAAGAGATATTTGATGATGAACAGGTTGAAATAGTCCATGGGCACCAAACCATGTCAAGCATGTGCATTGAGGCGCTGTTCCATGCAATCACGCTTAACCTGAAAACAGTGATAACTGATCACTCGATATTCGAGGTGGGCCCGTTTGAAAACATTGTTGTGAATGCATTATGCAGATTTGTGTTGAAAAGTGTTGGCAGGTGTATTTGTGTCACATATACGTCAAAGGAAAACACACACTTGAGGACGCACATTCCTCTTGAAAAGATCCACGTGATCCCAAATGCAATGCTTTCGGAGCTTTTCTATCCAGATCAAAGTAAGACTCGCAATGGCAAAGTTGTAGTTGTTGTATGCAGGCTTGTGTACAGAAAAGGCGTGGATTTGCTTGCAGATGCCATTCCAATCGTATGCAAGGCAGATCCTGATGTAAGGTTTATAATAGTTGGTGATGGGTCAATGAGAGAATGTATTGAGCAGACTTTGGATGAGTATAGTTTATATGATAGAGTTGATATGATGAGCGATGTATGTCATGATCAAGTTGGCAGTATAATGAGAAAAGGTGATGTTTTCCTAAATGCATCCCTGACAGAAGCATTCTGCATAGCAATAGTAGAGGCTGCTTCATGCGGCCTGCACGTTGTCAGCACGAATGTTGGAGGTGTGCATGAGGTTCTTCCTCCAGATATGATTACATTCAGTAAACTTACAGCGCATGATCTTGCCAAAAATGTACTGAATGCATTGAAGAGACACAACTATAATGGGCGTGGCTATAATCAACGGCTCGAAAGCATATACAACTGGAGAAGAGTTGCAGAAATGACTGAGGATGTGTACACTGGAATGAAGAGCACCGCAATAAGCTATATACAGAGACGAAGGTTATATAAAGGAATCTCTGGATTTATATTCAGGTTGTTTATTACCATTGAATACATCCTTCTTTATGCAATCAACGTATCTAAGTAATATTTAGAATCAATTTCAGCAATGCTAAGATACATTACAGATATCATTGTAATTTCATATATCACTTACCAAATAATAAACTTATACCATAAAAATATACCACTTATCTAATAACCTATGCCTTTATCTAATAATAAATTTATATCATAAAAACTTAAAACGCAAATAATAAATTTATATGATAACCCTAATAACCTATGCCTAACCAAATAATAAACTTATTCATAAACTTATATGATAAAAACGCAAATAACCATGCCAAATACTTTATTGGAAACTGAAATCTGCAGGAAGTTCTTTGATGGTGGTGCTGTAGAACCTCTCAATCTCTCTGAGATTCTTCAGCTCATGTTCATAAACAATATTTATTGCTATTCCCCTTCTTCCATACCTTCCAGACCTTCCTATCCTATGTATGTATGTGCTTCTTCTTTCAAAACTGGGCACATCTAGGCAAAACACAACTGAAAGATTCTGTATATCAATCCCACGAGAAAGTAATCCAGATGATATCAAACACCTCCCTGTTCCCTCACGGAACCTATTCAGCGTCGCTTCCCTCTCTGTTTGTGTCAGTTCTGCTGATATAAGCTCACATTCCCAATCATTCCTCTTTAGCCAATCATACACAATCCTGGCATCCTCCTTGCTGTTAACAAACACAATGCATTGACCAAGGCGTTGCTTCTTGAATATGTCATACAGCGTCACCAACTTCGGCAACAGATACTCTTCTCTTCCATTTCTGAATGTCGGCTCCTTCTTAAGATCAATATAATACTGTCTGATTCCTTTCAAAGTCTGGTCATTGTGCCTCAAATCAATAATCACTGGATTAATCAGTATTTCCTCACTTACTTTCAACTCTTCCTCATCATAGGTTGCCGAAAACATTGCAATCTGCACCTCGTCCTTCTTTGTAATGCTTCTGAATATCTTCTTCACATCCTCTTGGAACCCAGCTTTCAACATCTCATCTGCCTCATCAATAATAAACAGTTTTATGTGGTCCATATTCAATGCCCCGTCCTTGATCATGTGATCAACCCTTCCTGGTGTGCCTACAACAATATGTGGCTTCGTTCCAAGCATTGTCTTATCTTCAGAAACTGGACTTCCTCCAGATAACAGTCCAACCCTTACGCCCATGTAGCATCCAAGCGATTCAAACCTACTTGCATTCTGAGATGCAATCTCTCTGGTAGATGCCAGAACAAGCACTTGTGTTGTATCGCTGCTCTCATCGCATATCTGCAACGCTGCAACTGCAAACGCACCTGTCTTTCCTGTTCCACTCTGTGCCTGTGCTCTGATGTCTCTGCCATCTATCATCGGCAGTATTGCTGCCTTCTGTATAAACGACGGGCTTTCAAATCCCATCCCATATATTCCCTTCATCATTTTGTCTTTCAATGCAAGATCCTCCCACGTGTTAGCCACCTTGAGCTGTATCCCTTGATCTACATCCTCAAAATCTTTGATACTTGTATCTTTGCTTTCTTCTTGATATTTCTGTGCCATGGGGATAAAATTTTCTTCCAATAATTAATTTTATCCCTTGCTTTCTCATATGTACGAAAAGCTTGGCTGCCCTACTGCATGAGTACATCTATTCAGGAAAGAAAGACAAAGCTGCTTAAAAGGCTCGAATTCACTCTTGGAATCACTTCCTCAACACTTCTGGACATAAACTCTGTTCTCAAAAGAATCACAGAAGCCAATTCCCACCTTGAAAAGGTAGCAGATACTTACAGTATCTGGTCTGCCAAAATCTCTTCGTTTCAATAAACTTTTTGACATTTCATTCATCAGCATTAATACACAATGATTTTAAGCAATTCACTTGAAACACCAAATCACATCAGCGATCTGACCATTAATGCATACACATTCCAAACAACCTATTGAATAAACATGGCAACAACATTGGCGTCAGGATACATCACATTACTAAAAACAACGCTTGGCAGTGGAATTCTATCATTTCCATACCTATTCAAGACCTATGGAATATTCACAGGAATTCTTCTAACCATGGCATCAGGTATCTTTTCAGTAATAGGACTTGTATTGTATACAATATGCAGCCAGAGCTTAGGAAGACAAGCAACACTTTCAAAGTTGGCCACAGAAAACATGCCATATGTGACAATCCTTGTAGATTTCTGTGTGTTTCTCAAATGCTTCGGTGTTGCACTCTCGTATCTTGTCATCACAATTCATCTCCTTCCCTCACTCATTCTCAGTGCATTCGGATCTTCTGTGCTCGCAGACCCAAATATATCTTTGCTCGTATTCCTGATGTGTGTGGGCCCATTTTCATACTTCAACAAGCTTGATAAGCTCAAATACACTTCATTCTGTGGCGTAATTGCTATCCTAATTGTCACAATGGCCACTGCATATAGATACAGGTACTCTTCATTCATTGTTCAGAAGAAAATCGACTACTTCGTTCCAGTATCATATACATGGCTAGATAGCCTTGGAAAATTCGTCTTTGCATTCACTTGCCACCAGAACATTTTTGCTGTTCAGTCAGAAATAGAAGACAACTCTCCATCAACAATGAGGAAGCTTATATACATGGTTGCATCTACTGCTGCACTGTTGTACATTTCCTTTGGCATCCTTAACTACCTTCTTTATAGAGAAGCCATAAAAGATAACATCCTGCAAAACTATCCAGATGATCTTCTGGCATTCTTTGTTCGATGCCTTTATGTACTTGCAATGGGCGTGTCGTATCCTCTCCAAGTCAATCCATGCAGATCGCATCTCATGAATATTGTGTCTCTCAACTCAAAAATAGATCAAAACGATTCATTCATAGAGTTCATTGCAACCACGGCAATAATAATGTCCACATACCTTCTTGCAATCTCAGGAATGGGCCTTGGTACAATATACTCTATAATAGGTGCAACTGCATCAACATTCATATGCCTGATCTTTCCAACAATGCTCTACTTCAGCATGGACATCAACAGGTCAAGGTGGTTGACACTTCTGTCATATGTTGGATTTGTTTTCGGAATGTTCATATTCTTCACTTCCATGTTCAGTATCATTTTCAACAATTCTCCTCCATCCTCATAAACATGTGCATTACAGCATAAACCACTAACCTGAATAAAAATTCTATAAATACACTGATCAACCAAAAAACAATAAAACAAACATTAAATAAAAATATCGCTCCGCAACTATGGTGTTACAATCAAACACACCAACTCTCAGGGAGCATCATGTCCCATGTCTGTAACGAACCTTCCAGAACCAACTGGTGTTCTGACTAAACATGGTGCCAGGGGTATTTGATAAACATTAAATACTTTACTTTACTGCACATTCATCAACTTATCAAATTTATCGCTTACATCCATCAATCATCAGATAGCATCTGCAAACACTCATGCTTCGAATGCAATTAGAATTTGTTGATCGACTAAGACACTACAAAACAAATCAGAATTCATTCCAATAGCAATCCCTTGTATGAAATCATGCTTCAGTAGGTGCATAGAAGAATCAAAAACCCTTATAAAGATACAAAGCATAGATAGGATATTCAGACGCACATCTGATCACAAACTAGGAAGCATCTGCCATCTCACGTGTTTGAAAGCAACAGGCAGTGGGAACATAAAGAGAAATGGTAGATGGGGCTTTCAGCCTGTTCTTGGAATGACAGAGTTCTTTTCAGTGCTCTTCTCATTTGCAAACCTCGTAACAAACATAGTCTGCTTTAATAAGGTCTTGAAAAAGCATCTCAGAATGTCTCGATTTGGAAGGTTATACTACATACAGTATTACATATGCAACCTTGCATTCATATCAAGCACACTTTTCCATATTCACGAGAATACATTGACAAGGAACTGCGATTACTTCTTTGCATTCCTCACAATCCTTTTTGGATTTTACATGGCGCTTGTCAGGGCAATATCAATAGCAAGTCCAGCATTCGAGATCTCAACAAGAAGGCCTCTTCAAATCGCTTTTACATCGTTCTATTCATATCATGTTTATAGAATGTCAAATATAGAATTCGATTATGTATACAACAAAATTTCATGCATCATCATTATTGGCTTGACTTTGGCCTCTCACATGGCAATATTCACCAAGTACAGGAAGCATGCACATGCAAAACATATTCTTTTGTTCACATTCTTTTTCTTCCTTGCTGGCGCAATAGAGATACAGGACATCCCTCCTTATGCATACCTGATCGATTCGCACGCCATTTGGCATCTTGTATCATGTGTATCTACTCCTTTCTATGTTCTCTTCTGGAGTGGAGACGTTTACATGCACTGAAAAATCCAAATAAAATGTTTGATTACTCACAGACTTCATATTAATTCTTTATTAATGGAGTTATTTTATGCATTTCGCTTCACTCATCAGCAATACATCGATCATAAATTCTTCACTCATTAGTATAGCAGATGCTTTACTCATCAGTATCATAGATTATTCACTCATCTGCAATACATCCATCACATATGCTTTTACTCACAAGCATCCATGCCTCATTTGTGTTTACCATCTTTCTTATGCTTCTTACTCCATCAGTAATCTTACCAAGCATCTCTTCAAACTTTGGATGACTGATGCAAACCTCCTTATGCAGCCTCACAAGAGATATAAATGTCCTTGCAACAAGCACTCCATTCCACTCAATACACTTGTATAATGCATCCATCACCTGCATAACATCAAGTGAGCTCATCAAACACAAGAACTTGTCCAGCTCACAAAAATCAATATCCATGAGAGCCTCAAAAAACACCTCAATCTCATTACCAGTGCTATCCCTAAGCTGTTCAACACACTCCATAAACCTTTCGTGCCCTTTATAATCCACCACATTCGCCATCCTAACTATTTCCTCTTCTCCTTCGCTCTCCTCATCAATTTGCAACTCATATTTGCTCATCTTATACAAATGCACACCAAATGCTCCACAACAGATCATAGTGTCTCCCACCACCTTTATAATATTCAAATCATGACGCTTATACTCCTTCAGCTTATCATATCTATTGAAATACTGCACATTTCCAGATGCAAACATAAACAGCGAGCTGTTCAAGTACTCTGCATTCTTTGCATCTCCAACAAAGCTCTTCCTACACTCTCCAAACTGCATTCCCCACATCTTAACCATCCTATCTGCTCCACACGTAAGAAGTTCAGATCCATCAGGTGAGACCTTCATCGATCGTACAGGAAGTGAATGCCCATACAACGTAAGCCTTAAACTCATATCATTCAGGCTATATATATATACTTTGCTATTCAATAGCCCTAAGCAAAGAATCCCACCTTCAACAGATGCCTCCATCGAACAGATTACCTCATCTACATCCATCCTTTCTTCCTCCTTATAATTCTTGCCATACATCACCAACACATTCTCTATCCCTATAAAAAGCCTCATCCCATCCGTACAAACCGCAGATACTCGTCCTATTGCTTCTTCTTTGATGATATCATGGCTTCTCAACGAATAAACACAAATACCTATGTCTGTTCCAATCACAGCTTCGCCATTCCACAGGCGCATGCACTTTCCATTCACTATGCTTATACTGCCAGTCATCTCAAGACTTTCCTCATCAATCTTCCACAGTATCACCTTCTCCTTAGAAAAAGTAATCAACTTCCCTTCATAAACCTCACAGCTCAGTATATCACTTCTATGATAACCAAATCCATCTATTCTTGCTTGTTCAACACACTCCCATCTATTGTCAATACATGCAAACACCAGCCTATCATTATCAACTATATCAAAATCCACATATCTATCACTGATTGTAATGCTTTTGATATGGTTCAACTTAATACTTCGATTTCCTGCTTCGTCCTTCTCTGTCCCACTCAGCTCATAGACATACATATTTGACTTGCACTGTATATACAACACATTTCCTTTGATCTTCGTATTTCGTATCTTCTTGAATCGTCCAAGATCGACACTACACTTCTCCTCAATCATATACAGCACACAATCGCCATCCTTGAAAAATACAATAACATCGGCATCTTTTACATGCACATACTTTATAGGTTTATCAAACACATGTACACTCCTTATTGCTTTCTCTCCATAATCCCACACACGAAGAGTACAGTCAGCACTTCCTACCACAACAAACCTTTCATTTGCTGACATTCCTTCTACACTTACATCATTACCTTCGTAAAACATTCGCAACTCCTCTCCCACAAGATCATAATGTGCAATACTGCCATCTGTAGATGCTGAAATAATACTTCCTTCCACAATTTTCATCTTGACTACTCTCTTTGAATGTGGTCGAAACGTATTCACCTTGTTAGAGTGCACCTGTATAGATCCATTATCATATCCAACCGCCATAATCCCTTCTAAATAATCAAATGTGGTTATCTTTCTTCTCAGCCCACTCACAACTCTATCCAAGCTAAAAAATCTCGTGCTCCATTCATTCACCTTCTCATTCACAGATATATATGTCTTCTCACCTGCCTGCTTGATCACGCTTGCTCTATTGCAAATCTCGCCTCCTTCAGCTACATGCTCAAAATCCGGCACAAATCCTTCTTCTAACTGCTCCATCTCAAGGATCCAAATAGTCTGTTAAAAATTATAAAAATAAAAACTTTATTGACACCCAGCTATTCATCCAAGATCTTTATTACTATACCATCTCCTCTGCTACCTCCTCAAGCGCCCTAATTGTAAACTTCTTCGATGCAAATTTCAGTTCGTTCTGGAACCCTAGATATGCCTCACACTCGTCTCCCTTTACAAAGTCAACAACAAATCCCATTCTTCCAAATCTTCCAGATCGTCCTATCCGGTGGATGTATGTCTGTGTGGATGCAACTCCCTTGTATATCGGAAGATCATAGTTCACAATCAGGTTCACTTGCGGAATGTCCATGCCTCTTGAAAAGACATCCGTGGTCAGCAGAATCTTGGTGTTCGATTTATTAAACTCATCAACTGCCTTATCTCGCTCTTCTTTTTCCAAGTCTCCATGTAGGCATGAAACAGAATGCAGATCATCTTCCAACTTCTTTCTCAGATAATTCACAGTTGCCTTCGTGTTCACAAAAATAATCATTTGACTGACTGAGAGATATTCATACAGCGACTTCAATGCCTTTCTCTTGTTATCCCCTTCAGCTTCTATATAAAACAGTTTGATTCCTTCAGGCTTTCCATTCCGCTCCTCATACATCTTAATTGCATCAGATGCAAAGAAGTCAATCGTGTGCTTTCTTTCCTCAGAGTACGTTGCTGAAAAAAATATCATCTGCGCTCCTGCTATCAGCTTCAGTATCTGATATGTTTGTGCTCCCATCGAACACGTTATATCAAGAAGCGCATCAGCTTCATCAAGAACAACCATCTTTATTCCCTTGTATCCAAGTTTTCTATTCTGAATCAGGCTCAATATCATTCCAGGGCATCCAACAATAATCTCCTCATTAATTGCCCTAGTTGTTATCTCGCCCTTCAGTGCTAAAAAAACTGTCACTCCGAGATACTGTGCAACCTGTGATATTACCTTTGCTGTCTGTGTGCTCAACTCTCTCGTGGGCGTTATCACAATAGCCTGTGCTTCTTTTCCCGCCATTATGTTTCCAAGAATCCCACATGTGTATGCAAGTGTCTTCCCCGTCCCACTCTTACTCTGTACAACAATGTTGTGTTTGCTAAGAATATGTGGAATCGCAGACTTCTGTATCGGATTTGGCTTTTCAAATCCTTGTCTGTATAGCGCTCTCAGCAGGTCCACAGAAAGTCCAGTCTCAGAAAAATGCTCTGCAACCAACAGCTTCTGTTCGCTCTTCACACCAACTGTTGTATCAATTCTAGATGCAATTGTACTCGTGTCCTGCTTTATCTGAGCCATCAACTCTCTTGCGACCTCCTTATCATCCTGAATCAATGATGTATCGTTCATATAGGGGCTGTGTATATAAAAAATAAATTCCTATGTATTGTCAACAATTTGAAACAAGCCATGCTGTACCGGCAATTGTCTAATCCATAATCAGTGCATATACAAACACATCTTCTATTATAAATCATTTATGCCAGCTTTTCCATGTTCAATCTAAAGTTTTTACATCATGTTGATCTATCCACTCTTATACAGCAGGCTAATCAATCTACTCAGATGTGTCTTACTCACCAAACAATTAGCAGCATATTCAAGTCTCCTGGCATTTTGTTTAAGACTCTCTACATCAATGCACGGCAACTCATTCATAAAATTTGGTGATACGAGTAGAAGCATTGCTGCATAACACTTTGTAGTACTGTCTGTTGTATTGTGCATCTCTTCAATCAGTTTTAATGGTATGTCCAGGCAAATATTCACACATGCCAAATTTATCATTACCGCAAGTAGGTCTCTCTTTGCATTTTCGCATCTAGATGTATTGCTCGCTTTCTCATGCGCATCAATTCGATCAATAATCACCACAGCATTTGTTGATGTGCATAATTCACTATCATTCATACTAATCACTTTTCTACTTCTATTGCCAAATTCGCTACGCACTGCATTAGCAAGCCTATGCATCACAAAATCTCTCGATGCAAGTCTGACAACATTCTCTTCAGATTGTGTGTATATCCCAAGTGTTCTGTAATCTCGTCTTGTAAGCATCCTACCGATGAATTTATCCTCAAGCGTAAACTTACAACACGTAGATAATACCAAACACACAAACCTACTCCATTTCACAACTCGCTTTCCAATCAGTATCTGCAATTCATGAATGAGCTTCTCAAGATCTATACATTCAGTGTATCTGCAGTACCACCTAATTGGAATCCTGCGCATTATTCCAATTATTTTATTTACTTGTGAAGCAATGCATGAATGCATGCACTCATTGCATAACGAGCTATTCAATATTTGCAGTAGTATGCCAAATAATGCATCCATGTCTTCAAAGGAGTAAGGATTGAATGCCTCCGTGATTACATGTAATGCTTCACTGCACAACCTTGTTGGTGTCTTTGCATTAGCCATTGCATACACAACCTGTACAAGATATTTTGATTCTTTCATGAATGCCTTAAAATGCTCATCCTGCATCATCTTGATAATCATCTGCAACGAGCATTCCTCATCTCCACTTGAAAATCCCTCAATTGCATAGTTGATTTCATCGATGTATTTTATATCGTGTATTTTGGTCATTGATGTGGGCCAATAGGGAGAACACGCATGGAATCTTTTGAATCCCTGTAAATGGATGCCGAGAATCACTTTCTGAGCCCGAAGAAGCTACAGAGGTTTCTGAAGTTATGCAACAAGGATGCAGGTACAAAAATGGATCATGAGGTTGTCAAGAATCTACAGCAACTGATTGAGAAGTTCCTTTCGGACATTATCCACAGATCTGCATTGTTGAGTAAGCATAAAGGAAAAAACATAATAGAAAGAAGTGAGATTCAGCTGATAATCGAGAAGGACTTTGACTACAGTTTTGGAGCAAGAGAAATATTGGGATCGAATAGTATGCCAAGTAATGAGCATATAGAGAAGATGGCAGAGATAAGCAGACAGAGTAAGTAACATAATATTATTCTACAGCACATGGCCTTATGTATGATTATATGTATTTTATGCTTGCTCATTTGCTATTTGAATCATTCTTATTTTGCATAATGCAAGTAAAATTTTATTTGAAATCTAATTGAGAGCCACTGGAAAGATGGAGCTGATGGATGACAAGCATAAGGCAATGAATGAACTTTGCAGAATGTTAGGAGTAGGGCTGGATGAAGAGAGTATTGGATGGATGTACAAGCTGGTTGAGTGTGGGATTGATCCTGATGATCTTGTGCGGGTATTAGAGGATGCAATGAACGAGGTATCTGGAAGGGTGTAGTAGTAATGGAGAGCACTGATGAATAAAGTGGTTATAATTTGAAATGTTTTGGCCCCCGATGGAGTGGAGCACTGAGAAGCTTCGTGAGTGTTTTTTGAGGTATTTTTCAAGTAGATCACATAAGGTTGTTGAATCGAGCTCTGTGGTTCCGCAAGATGACGGCACGCTGCTGTTTACAAACAGTGGGATGGTGCAGTTCAAGAAGAACCTGCTTGGGGTACGAGATGATCTTAGCAGAGCATGTAGTGTGCAAAGATGCATTCGAGCAGGAGGGAAACACAATGACCTGGATGATGTTGGAAAAGACAATTATCATCACACTTATTTTGAGATGCTTGGGAATTGGTCTTTTGGAGATTACTTCAAGGAGAAGGCGATTGAGTATGCATGGGGGTTTTTGGTTGATGAGTTAAAGCTTGACAAGGAGAGATTGTATGTGACGTACTATGACGAGCTTGATAAGGAAAGCAAGGAGATCTGGCATCGGTATCTCCCAAGCTCGAGGATTATAGCTGCGCCGTATGAAGATAACTTCTGGGAGATGGGAGAGACAGGACCGTGTGGACCATGCACTGAGATACATTATGACCGTGTTGGTGGAAGGGACGCATCGTCGTTGGTGAATACAGGGGATCCGACTGTGATTGAGATATGGAATGTTGTGTTTATTGAGTACAATAGGACAGGCAGTGGGCTTGTGCCTCTTGATAGGAAGTGCATTGATACAGGAATAGGATTAGAGCGGCTACTGAGCATACTTATAGGAGTGGAGTCGAATTACTTGATTGATAGTTTTGGGATGATAATCAAGGCAATAGAGGAGCGATGTGGGCACGTGTATTCTGACGGGATGGGCAATAAGGATGTTGCATTTAGGGTGGTTGCTGATCATTGTAGAACCATAGCGGTATGTGTGCATGACAAGGTTGACTTTGGAAGTGAAGGTATAGGATATGTGCTACGAAGGATTCTAAGAAGGACGGTGCGGTACTCTCACGAGGTGTTGGGGCTTAATACTGGGGAGATTGCGAAGCTTGTAGGGATAGCAGCTGATGCAATAGGAATAAAACTAGATGAAGTTGAATGTGTGGACAAAGAGGAGAGGCTGTTTATGAAGACTCTGCGCAAGGGGATAGAGAGGTTTAAGAAGTTGGTTGATTGTGAGGGGAAGATAAGCGGGGAGGATTTGTTTGTGCTGTATGACACATATGGATTTCCTGTGGACCTGACTGAGCTAATGGCGGCTGAACAAGGGGTTGAGATTGATTATGCAAATTTTGAGAGTTGTAAGCAGAAGGCAAAAGAAGCGAGTAGAAAGATAAAGGATATTGGAATAGATGAGAATGTGATCCCTGTTGGGATAGTTACAGATGATTCTCACAAGTATAATAGCAATGATGTGAGTGGAAAATGGATGTTTGGAGTGGTGAATGGAGATGTTGTTTATGAGTGTGATAGACTGCCTGAGGAAGTGGAAGTTGGAGTGGTGTTTGACAAGACATGTTTTTATGCAGAGTGTGGAGGACAAGTGGCAGATATCGGAGAGATTGTGTTTGAAGAGGAGGGTTTGGATGGAAAGAAGAATGAAATAGGTATTTTTAGAGTTGTTGATGTGCAAGTGATGAAGGGAAGTGTGGTGCATAAGGGAATATTGAATGGAAGAATGAGTTTGCATGCAAATTTAAGGTATGATTGTGAGTATAGGAAGAGAATAATGAGGAATCACACAGGGACGCATTTGTTGAATTTTTTTCTACGCAAGGTTATCAAGACTGAGCAGCGAGGAAGTCTTGTTGATGCAGAGAAGCTGAGGTTTGACTTTGAAGGAAGGAAGCTGACAGATAAGGAGCTTGAGGATATTGAAAACAGCATTAATGAATTTATTGCAAGTAAGGTGCCTGTTAATGTGATGAATGTCTGTAGGGAAGATGCATTACGGATGGCGGGAGTAGTGAGGATGAGGAATGAAGAGTATCCTGAGATTGTAAGGATAATATCGATGGAGAATGAAGATGATTTGGTTCAGGAGATGTGTGGAGGAACACATGTATGCAATGTGTCTGAAGTGAAGCGGTTTAGGATTCTGAAGGAGTCTGGTGTGTCTGCAAACACCCGAAGGATAGTTGCGGTGACAGGGGAGACAGCAGAAGAGCTTGATCAAGAAGTTGAAAAGTATGTTGCAAGACTACAGATTGGAGAGGTGGTGAGTATGGACAAAGCAGTGCCACTTCTATGCAAGCAGATGATTGAGAAACAGAATGTGGAGAACAAGAAGAAACAAGAAGAAGTATACAGAGCTAGGTATAATAAGAACAAAGAGGAAGTTGTTAAGTTGATGAAAATGGCAAAAGAGCAGGGGAGTGACAGGATATGTTATTGCTATGAAAGCTCAGGTCTCGGATCTGAGAAGGACATGTGTAGATGGGTTTCTATGTTATGTGAGGAAGTGATAATGAATGGGATAAAGTGTTTTGTGTATGGAATGAGTGGCAGTGAGTGTATTGTTGCAGTGAATGCAGCGGACATCACGGTAATGAAGAGCAGGCTTGAGAATGAGTATCCAGGGTCGCACCTGAGGATTAGTAAGGGGATGGTGCAGGGAAGCGTATGCAGTAGGCTGAAGATTGGAGACGCAGAGAGGATGCTGAGTGGCGAATAAAAAATATTTTAATTAGATTTGTTGCAAAATGGCTGGAGCGAGGTTCGAACTCGCGCCTCCGAAGAGACTGGCACCTTAAGCCAGCGCCTTAGACCACTCGGCCATCCAACCTCACTATATGATTTACAAAGCATTTGGCGGTTTAGTGTGAATTCTAAATGGTGTATGTTGTGTGTTGTTGATTATGTTATGTGTTTTACTGTGTATTTTGTACTAATGTTTTATTACCTTATTGTGTATGTTATACTATGTACTGTTGTTGTTATTCTGTATATTCATATTACTATATATTATATACAGTTGTTATTTTTGCATTTATTTTCATTGGCATTGTGCTTGCCTGTCAGGCTCTGCTCACATGCATACCTGAAATTTTTACCGTACCCAAACATGGATGAAGCAAAGACACTCTTGAACGAACTCATTGGTAAATTCAAGAATCCAGTCGAAAAGCAGGTTCTTGCGGCTCTAAGCTTACAAATGAAGGAAGGTAGACACAAGATAGAAAGTGTGACAAAGACATTGCAGGAAAACATGCAGCTGTTTAGGAAGAAAAACATGCAGCTGGAGTCTGAAGTCAGGAAGTACTCGTATGCGCTAACTAAGAAAAATGATACATTCGCAGAGCTCAATACCGAGAAGCTAAGACTTGCAAAGAAAATAGTTGAGCTGGAAGATGAAAATGAAAAACTCCGAGCAAGTATTATAGAGACCGATAAGAAAATACAAGAAGCAGAAGAAAAGATTAGAAACATGAATAGGCCATCATTCAATGAAATATACCTGGAGATAGTGAAAGGATTTGGAATGGAATTTGTTGAAAAGAGCGATGGCACGTGGCTAAGGATAAAAAGTCGCAAGATGAACGATGTTTTCATGATGCCAATAGATACATGCACAAATATGCTTGATGTTGCAGATATGGTCTGGGTAAAGATTTGATTGGCTACCAAGTGTTTGTAACATGCAATGAAGATTGGTTGTTTACACAATGTTTCTTTGATCGATCATTTCCGAAACAAGCAAGAACAAAAAGAGATTGTAACGCGTCGGACCCTAGAATAATGCAAGGAGGAATAGAGCAAGCAAAGACTGGATTCAGCAACGCCACAAATCGACAAGTATTGCGAGAGTTCATAGATGTAAGAAATGCAGCAGTCCCAAGTGACATCGAAGATACTAAAAAGAACATTCTGCATAACTTGGATAAGTACCAATACCAATATGGATTTATTGGACTTATAATGGTTGCGCTACATGTTCTGATACACCCAGAGCTGCTTACTGTCTTGGCATGTGTTGCAGCAATGATGTACTTCTGCAGAACAAAGCTTGTGATTCTTGAAGTGGAGATAGAGCGAAGATCAATATGCATTGCTGGAAGTGTTATCATACTGATCATACTGATCATATTCAAGGAGGCAAGCATAGGGCTTCTTGCGATCTCTGCATTCACAGGAATACTGGTCTTGTTGCATGCTGCATTCATGCGAGAGCCTGCTGAGTGTGAGGAAGAAGTATAATGGCCTATTTAAAATAAAGTATTCGCTTATAATGTTTGCTTTAATGTGTATTTCATGCATTCTTAACTTTGAAGTGGAGTTCACAGATATAATCTGGGTATGAAACAATGTTATTCATTTTGTCCTCAGTAAGATACCCAATAAACTCAATCTCTACACCTCCTTTCCCTTCCTCAATAAAAATCACTGGTAATTCACAATCGTAATGCGAATAAAACTCATCAATCATCTTATGCAGCACTCCACTCTCCTCAGTGCCTTCTGTAAATATTGCCTTTTTCAATGTGGTGTCCACCTCCTTTCCAATATAAACATACAACTTTTGCGAGTTGTCAAGGACATAGATCTCTTCAGAACTGAGAGATTCAGATGTAAGGCGCAGTCCTTTCACTTTCTCTAGACTGTTGTCCATATAGAAGTCGGTAAAAGTAAACATCCGAGGATAGAAGAAACGGAGATTCTGCTCAACAGTAAACCCTGTTATCATTGCCATATTCTCTGCATTCTTTTCATTCAAAAAATACCTGTTCTTCAGCATCGATTGATACATCAGTGGAATCAACTTTATAGATTCAGGCAATACAAACTGTGAGCTCGATGCCTCTTTGCAGCAGCTACTTCTGTAAAACTTTAACGACTTGCTCATAATCTCCTCGACTTTTTTGCTATTCGTCTTGAAACCATCAGCATCCATTGCCATGTACTTTGCATATATGCATGCCAGCGTGTCAAAACTCAGGTTTGCATACACATCAGATATCTTTGAAGACACTCCAAATGATGTATTAAGCACCAAAACCCTTCTTGACCCATCAAACCCATAGAAGCTCACCACCACTTGCGCATACACTCGGTGGATGCTTTGGAGCGACTCACTCAATGTAAATGTCTGTGCAAACGTCGTGCTGTCGTCCATCTGTGAAAACTCCTGGAATCCAAGATGTTCAAACTTCGTGTTTCCATAGAACATCAGTTTTCTTAATGAATCTGACGTCTTCGTCTCAACAGATACTTTATACGAGCTCTTCATGCTTCCAAGGCCAATCAAGTCATCCTCTAACTTAGCAAGAGTCTCAGGCACGTACAAATAAGTCCTTCCAGTACTAGAAATACAAACCTGTGCCAGCTGTGTCTTCTCAGTACAAAATACATTCAATGAACATCCTATCTCTATAAACTGCTTAACTATCATCTCACTATCAATCTTCTCCTGTGAATTCGTAAACAGCGCCATCTTCGATCCCCTGCAATATCCAGCCATCGAAATAGCTATACTCAGGCAATCAGAAATACCTCCTTTTTTGCTTGCTCCATTGTTTGGTATACTCTTAAGATATTCCATCACATTTATCATTAACTGTTCATCCTGAACGTCCATTAAAAACTCCGGTGAAATAAAAGGAAGGTGCTGCTTATCAGACAGTTTTACCTCGACCACCGTTCCTTTACTTGCCTTCAGAAGAGATATTCTATCACTCAACAAAATAATACCCACCTTTCTGAATAAAAACCTAAAATTCTCATCATCAATTAATCTTTTGATTCCATTCAGTGAATGTTCAACCAACATTGGCGATGTACTATCAATCCCAATCAAAAAAGCAGGTCCACATACTGTCTTCGTTCGAAACAGTCCTTCAGATACAATACCTCCACAGTCAATCACTCTGTTATCCTTTACTACTTCTTTCTCAACATACTCAATTGTCGAGTACCTAGTTATTTCCTCACAAATCCTTTCTTTCAGGCAATTCTTTGTGTTGCAGATATTGCAGTAGAAAAAATTCGCTTCTACCACTGAAAAAGCATTTGCATAGCTCTGGCATTCCATACATCTCACAGCCTTCGATTTGTTCAGCTCAGTAGGCATCGCCTTCCTGCAGAACGGATTCACAACTATCCCAAGTGGAATCTCCATCAGGTCAAAAGTATCAGAGTTTTTCGGAAGAACATACATAGTAGACCTTACAAGATTAGGATCTGTATTGTTCGTCTCGCTTATAAAACAATTTGTTGTGCTCAGTGGTGGAGGTTGTGTCATCGTGTCAAACGACACAAACGCTGCCTGGTCCTTCTCCAGTTCATGCGGAAGATCGGGAATCTTCATCTTCTGCTTCTTTCGTTCCTCAAACGCTCTTGGAAATGGACTGCTTGTTTGTTGTGTTGCTTCAGACATGGAATCTCTCAAGTTCATTTGTATTTACGAAGGGTTTTGTGTTTTTCATATCAATGATGTGCAAGGCATTGCTTTTCTCCGTATCATTTCATAGTAAACACTCTTGTAGTGAACTTGGCATAATCAAGAAAATGTTTTGCATTAACATTAAGCGTCAATACAATAAAGCAAATACTCTTGCACTAACATTAAGAAACATCGATATGATCCAGAAATGTTCTTGTAATAACATTAAACATTAAGAATTGATATAAACAAAATATTTTGTAATAACATTAAGTATTCATATGATCAAACAGGCAATCTTCCAATAGGTGTAGGTGCAGGCATCTCTCTGAAGTATTTGTGCTTAATCGCCTTATCGCTGCTAATCCTCTTAGATGGATCAAGCGTAAGAAGACTCTCTAGCAAATCTAAGGCATCAGAAGACACTGCAGAAAATAACGAGCCAAGCGGTGTTCTATTATATTTTGGAAATTCAAGAAATCCAGGTAGCATTGACACTCCCTTCCAACTCATCTCTGAAGGCGTTCCTAACGCTCTGAATATCATATCAAGCTGTCCAATGTCTGTTTCTCCCGCAAACATCGGAATCCTCAGAAACAGCTCCGCAAACACACATCCAACAGACCACATGTCTACACAGTACCCATACTCCTTCGCCCCCATAAGAAGCTCAGGCGCTCGATACCACCTTGTAACCGCCTGAGGCGTCATGCCATTTCCTATTGACCTGCTCAATCCAAAATCCGCAAGCTTTGCCGTCCCATCAGATGCAATAAGTATGTTGTTTGGCTTGATATCTCGATGAATAATAAACAGTCTATGACATTCATACACTCCCCTCAGCACCATCAGCATCCATGCTTTGATATCCCCAGGCATTATGATCTTACTCGGATTCTTTATCACATTCTCAAGATTCGTCTCAACATACTCAAGAACCATATGAACAGACTTATCCTGCACAAACACATCCAAAAGCTGTACAACATATCTACACTCCACTCTTCTAAGCGATTTGATCTCTCGGATCGCACTTATTTCATGGCCCTGCGAATACTTATTGATCTTTATCTTCTTTATTGCAACAGGAACATTGCTCTTCCTGTCTCCAGTACTAATAAACCGCTTTTCTTGCATATTCCCTTCATACGCAAGATATATCACTGCATACGTCCCTTCTCCAAGTCGCTTCTCCTTGATATATGTCTTCATCCAGGGAATCTAAATCTTGCATTTACAATCGCATAAACCATCATTTTATTCATTCTCTAAAAACGCCCTTTTGTACAAGGACATCGTTACCTTGCATCCTGGTCGCAGAGGCTGCGTAAAATACCCTTTAAACAGCCCTTTTGTTCCTATGGGCTTCTTTATAAACCCAGTCGTCTTCTGTCCTTCTACCCTCAGCTGAATGTTCCTGAAGTACATCACCTCATCCTTGCTGCTAAACATCCTCTTTATCACGCTATACCTCTTATTTATTTTAATAGGTATTCCTCTAATCGTCTCCTCATCAAACACAATCCTATCGGCTGTAAATCCATTGGTTCCTATCGCCACAAGTGTTCGTCCAGATAATTCTCCCAGCACACTCTTCCTGTATATTAGAATCCGTGCCAGGTTAAACACAATCGGCCCCACAAAGCTGATAACACCGCACCCAAGCTCTTCCTGCCTCTTAAACACTCTCTGATTTAAATTCTTCGTCAGCATAGGCTTAACATCAACCACCATGTGTCCAAGATCAACCGTCATCTTTTCCTCCATTAATGCCTCCTTTCCATCAAAATAAAAATTATGTATCGTCTTTCTGTTTTCATACTCATAGCGTCCAAACACAACACTGACATCTCCAAATGGTATTCCGTCGCCCTTGAGCTTCATCTTGACCATTTGGATATCTGGCATCACACTTCTCTTCCCAACAACCAGTTTTTCTGCCTTCTTAAAGTCATCAAAAAACATAAGCTCCTTATAATGCTCTGGAAACACACAAGACTTAAAGTCACACGTCGCAATATTTCTTATTCCACGGTATCCTGCATATTTCTCAATTAACGATGGAAATTCATCTACTTCCTCAGGATCTTCATCCATTGTACATTCAGATCCAGTACTGTCTATCTCAGACACTTCAGATAACTCCTCATTATCGCTGCATTCTCCATCACTTATCACATCCATTCTTTCGTATTCATACTCACCATCACATTCTAAAGCACCTGCTGAACATCCAATATCTTCAGCTCCAATGCTCACACTTAGCTCACTTCCAGTATACTTCCTATCAGCCATTAACTCTATAATCTCCATTTCGTGCATCCCATTAACAATCACTTTATTACTTACAAACCCCTGCTTCAGCAACCCTTCAACATGCAGAATCCCTTGCTCCCAATACACATTACTCGGAACTAAATATGGTCGCCTACACACTGATGCATTCCTAATCTTCATCTTTCCTAATGCCTCAAATATCCCCTCAACCCCAACTATCTTCTCATCAGGAAAGTGCTTCTTCGCAAGCTTTCTTGCTGTTGCCCGTAGACATGTATTCGATACACATATCAAGCCGCTTGGCATGTGCTTCTTGACCACTTTCAGTCTTTCCTCATCGACTTGCTCAGAATCAATAAAAAAAATAACTACGTCACTCGATCTGCACATGTATCCCAGTCCAAAGTCATCCACTCCCTCAGTCATTTGTAGCAAGAAATTCATTTTGTATTGCTCAGAATAGTACAGTCCTCTTGGCTTTCCTCCTGTATATCCATCAAACCATCTTGTGCAATCACCTCCAAGGCAAACAACAGAAACAACAACATACGGCCCATGAACATTCATGTACCCAATCTTTTCATTCTGCTTCCTCTGTTTATTCTCAGATATCTTCATCTTCATCATGTTTCTTCTATCTTTCACTTTCATTCCCTTGGGGATCTCACTCGCAATAATTTGGCTTCTTCTAATCTCATATTCAGTTAAATATATCATTTAAGATCTTACTGGCGTATCACTTAACATTATCTTGATATATCATTCACATTCCATTGAATATATCACTTAACATACAAATCACCTCAAATATTTATTACTCATTCTCTTACTAATCAAATAGTTGTGTTTATGCCTACAGCATCAAAAAAATCGCTTCTTCCATCGCCAGTATATGAAGACACAGAAACTGTCTTAACTGTATTGTAGAACTCTTCAAAATGCAATGCCATCGACCCAAGTATCGGCGAAAACATGTCCTCGTCGTCCAAGCACTGCTGGAACTTCTCATAGTCTCGGATCCATTCATTCAATCTTTCACTTCCTTCCAGGTCCTTCTTATTGAATACACACAGCACATCGCTTTCATATCTGCACATCAGCGACGCTGCATACATCATATTCGACATAAAAACCGCAGGCCTGTGGGACGCCACAGAATCAACCACATACACAATCACAACCTCTCCAACACTCTTTAGCGCTTCAACCAGCACATATCCCGGTGAAGACCATGTAAACGCTTCAATCTGTCCAGGAGTATCCACAATCACATAATCCGCATTCATCTCGCTCAAATACTTTCCAATATCAAGCATAAACAAATTCAGGCACGTCGTAATTCCTCCATTAGGCCCTAAATTATATTTCTCCATCACCTCATGGTAATCAACCACATCCCGTATATCAAGGCTCAGAGGCATCTTCGAGTTGACCACCGCTGGATCAAGATTTACCGAATATATCCTAGAGTTCAGTCCAGTGCATTTGTCAATGCTACATCCCTCTTGTGAAATCCATGAATATAACCGCTGACAAAATGTTGTCTTTCCACTGCCTGCCATTCCAACAACCACAAATATCTTCTTTCCATTGCATTCATTAGTTATTTGGCTCGGATCTTCCATTCCAAGGGTCTCATCTACTCTTAGATTTCAATCAAGACCAATCTTTCTTCACATGCAATTCACACTTACGATCCTACACTACCCTCTACAATCTGTTCTATCTTCGCTTTTAGATCCTCGCCTTTCTTATCACACTCAGAAACAAGTTTCTCTGCTGCATTACCAAACCTCTCTACATCTACCATGCCTTCAAAATACACCTGCATGATCCTTTTCTTGTGGATCATATACACAACATGAATCCAAGTGCCATTATCTCCCTCAACTTCAGTTCCATTCACGCGCAGCATGCTCGAACACACAGTATCAACCACCCCAAGTCCTGAAAATGCCACACATACAGAAAAAGAGTTAATAAGACTGCAGAATACATCATCTCCACTTCGTATCACATGCAAAACAACTCTTATTCGCGTAGATCTGCTCTTCACACAAAATAGACTCTCAATAGTAGATCTGATCGGTAAACGTGTATGCTCAGGTACTCCTTCAGAAAATTTCACCTCCACCTGCGCATCAACTTCATTCTTCTGCTCAAGAAAAATCATGCACAGCACCGATGACTTTACATCCTTCAGGTGACATGACGATACAGCCCCCCTCACCACTCCTACTCGTATCTCCATAAGGGCTTCACTAATCATTTTAATTCATTTCATCACTTCCCATCATCTTGCACTGCTGATATTCAGCTTCCTGCATATCTCCTCAATTTCATCATACACATCTTCAAAATGTGGCGATTCATTCACTCCCTTTGTAAATATCACATTTTCAGTGTCCTCCGTCTTATATACCGGCTTCACCTCCACAAATGTCTTAACAACATCACCTAACTTACCAACAACCATCTTAATCTCCCTCGCAGGATCATTCGTCTCCTTCACTGTGCTGATTATCGCAACCTTGTATCCATCGGGCGTGGCCTTTTCATCACTCCCAAGAATCACCACAAAAATATCGTTCATCCTCCTCATCTCTCCCTTCAGAAAAATTATCTGGGATGAAGACGTTCCTCTCGTCACTTCACAAGGCTCCCCTCGGATTATGCATATCGCCCGAATAATCTCATACTCAACCGTACTTCTTGCGAAGTATGACTGATCAGAAATAATCTTCTTTGCCCTAATCCTCAGCATCTCCTTATTAACAGGCTCACGCACAACTATTTCTCCACTGCCTTCATCCACACTCAGCACCTCCGCATTAATCATAATTTCCCCTCCCTTCATGCAGCAGCTTCTTGCAAACCCTTGTGCAATCTCAGAAAGCCCATATCTTGGATACAGATAAGGAGATTCCATTGCATTTTCATAACACACTATAGACTTGATATATGTTAGTATCTTATCAAACGTCTCCTTTGGGCTTCTATCAAGATACGAGTCATCCAAATTAAGTGCTATCCCATGTCCAATCAGCTCCATGGATTCCTCATTCAATCCATACTCCTTGAACTCTTCCCTCATTGTCGCCTTGAATTTGTATCCTGCTCCCTTCATTGCTGCCTTTGCATACTCCCTGACATTCCAGAAAAACCTCATTACCTTTGGCTTCTGCCATATCCCTATCATTCCAGTAGTCATCGACTGTGTCTCACTCGTGGGGACTGAATACAGCTTCCCCTTCCACAAAAATGATCCTGTAATCCTGCAGAACTCCAGATATTCATCAATCCCATGATCAACAAGCATCCTCAGCATTTTACTGCCTGCCAGAAACAGCTTTGGCGTAAGATCTACACAAAACTCATTGTCATACACCTTCAGCTCTGGAATAACCTCATCGCCTCCAAAGTGCGACACAAGCTCCCTGTATCTCAACGTCGCATAGTCAGCTCCATAAATTGCATTCCTATCGATAAGAATCACCTTCTTGTTGTTCTCTGCAAGAATGCATCCCATTGCACATTCAACAAGCCCAGTCCCGAGAATAGCAAAGTCATACTGCACATCATCAGCCATCAGGATTGTTTTTGTTTCCAAATTGTAACCACATATAAGCATAGTCAATAAACAAAATCTTATCTCTTTAATCATACTCATCAATCGCATAAAGACTCTCATCACAGCCATCTTTCATCACAGTCCAGGTATTGTTTCCTCATTGTAGGCCATTCTTTCTGTATCTGCCATTCCTCCGTTAGTAGGCTCTACATTCTCATCAGGCCTTGGACGAACCCAGAACCTGACGCTTTGGTCCACCGATCCAGAAGCCAGCATATGTCCCACAGGATGATACTCCAAAGACCAGACAGTCCCTTCGTGCCCCTCATCAATTATTTCCAGCGGCTCTTGATTATATGCCTGCCAGAAGTATATCCCTCCTTCTGTCCCCCCACTCACAAACACATCTGGAATCCTCGGATGTATGCCTATCGATGTAACCTCCTTCTTGTGGTTCTTATATGTAAACACATCAGTCATCGTCCTGATATCAATCATCTTGATTACCTGATCTTTTCCTCCCGTGAGGAGATAGTTCTCATCTCCCATCCACTTCAGTGCAAGTATGGTGTTCTTGTGATGATGTAGCGTGCACAGCTCCTCAGCAATCCGTGGATCCCACATCTTGACAAGATTGTCCTTTCCTGCACTTGCTATTAGTGACTTATACCTATGCCATTGTGCTGCTCTCACGTCCCAGTTGTGTCCTTTGAGAACAGACTCCTCCTTCGCCTCAATTGAATCCCAGATCTTTATTGTAGAGTCGTCAGATGCAGAGCAGAACTTGCTGTCGTTGTGAGAAAATGAAAGATCTCGAACCGCCTCTGTGTGTCCCTGGATAATCTGAATGTTGTTCATCGACGGGTGCCAGTACTTTATTATTCCAAAGTTGTCAGAAGATATCAAAAAAGACCCTGATGGAGACCAGCACATCCCCCGTACCGGAGACTCGTGAGCCTGCAGAATCGTTTCAAAGTTACATCCATATCCATTCCATAGTGTAAACTCACCTGTGGCTGTTCCACTCATCAGTCTTCTCCCGTCAGGCGTCCACTTCACAACATTCACCGGACATTTCACTTTGTTCACACTCACATGCTCAATCTTCGTGGTAATCAAGCTTGAAACATCATTGTAGCACAGTTCAGGCGACTTCAAGTTCAGAATCTGTGCTGACAAGTCAAATCCTGTGCTGACAAGCAGTGGCTCAATCCATCGCTTGTTCCTCTGTGTGCATATCCCAGATGTATAATCCACGACTTTTCTTTCCTGTAACACTCGCATCCTCTTGCCATCATACACAAACTTCGGATTCTGAAACCTTGCGTTAATCAGTTCCTTGATGTTCACTCCTTCCTCATTCATCAAAGGGCTTTGCACTTCTCAATAAACACATATTCTTCCATTCTCTCCTCTTTGCATCAATGATTCTTTGGTTTCTTCTGTCCATCACCATCACTCATCTTCTGCTTGCTTCCATTATAGCTCAAGACTCCTCCCTTGCAAAAGTGCGTTGAAAACGAAATCTCACGCTCCTCATCCTTTTTTTTATGCGCTTTTTGCATAAACTTCAATCCCTTCAGCTTCTCACTGATCTCACTCATTCAGGACCAAAAATATCTACAATAATTACTATTCTCTTACAAAATACTCAATCACATTCTCAACATTTCTGCTCGTCATCTTCTTTCCATCAATCTCAATCATGCGGAGCTCTTCAACACCACTTGCATCACTCAAGCGTCTTGCAATTTCTTCAATAGACATATAGTGATTTGCAATTGCACTTGCTTTCTGGTGACTTATGCCTCTTATTGACAGCAATGCCATATACAGAAAGTGTACAGGTCCTTTTCGGCCTGCCTTTGTATTGTTTTCAATAAAACTTCCATAACTAATCTCAAGCTCATCTTCTTCACTTTCATCTGATATATCGTCTAACTTGCTTTTCCAACATTCGATCTTCTGTGCATTTCTTCGTATCTGCGCATCAATCTCACAGATAACCAAACACGTATCCATGATATCCTGTGTCTCAATCACAGTAAACTCTTCAAGCTTTGTTGACATCAGTTGTGACATCACCGTTCTCTTTCCCACACTCTTCATGTGACTATCTCTAAGACCTTCAACAAGATAGAAAACCCGTCTTATTCCGCTATTCATCAGTCTGTTTTTCTGTTCTTTCAGCCTTCCATCTGCAATGCTGCTTACAAAGTCACTTCCTCGCTTCCTTTCAATAATGCATCCACACAACTTTTCGTTACAAATCCAAATAAAGTCTCCAACCTCAAGCACTCTTGTCTCATAACGCACACTCTTGGACTCAAAGTATTCCTGGAAAAAAGACCTGCTCTTCTTGCTCTTGATCTCACGAGTGTCCACAACAAGAATAACACTATCCTCCACATCCTCCACAATCGATGTATTTGCAAACATTGTTGTACATAATATTTTGCCTTCATTCGTCAGATAAAATCTCGACTTACCTTCCTTATACACCAGTCTTCTATTAATCAACATCTTCATCGATGTCCATGCTGAATATCTACTTGCAAAATCAAACTCAATGTCGCAGTAATGCTTGCCAATATGTGCAATTCCATGCTTAGTGCTTCCCTCCTTCATCCACAATGCCTTTAGAATCGCATATCCGCCCGTTCTGTATCCAGGAATATACACTCGGCTCTTCTTTGCACTCATGTCTCGTTTTTTAATGTTCTTACTCATGTAATTACTCTCACATATGCTCTTATCGGCCTCTGTATATTTTAATACTTCATGCGCATTCAAAGAATTTAAATCAGAGCCATCTTGATGCATATCAATGCATTTTACATCATTTATTGCCTTGGAATCAATAAATCTCCGTATTGCATCGATTGTCTTGCTTCCCACATTCTTTATCGATCTTAAATCATCAATGTTGCTCAGTGGCCTTCCAAGCACCGCAAGCTCTGATGAGATTCTCTTATATGTGTACCGAGACTTCATATTTTTTAGAGAAGCTGCTTTGTAAAGTGATTCAACTGCAAGTTTTATAGAATGCATCAGATCCTCTTCTCCCTCCATATACAAACACGGTAGTAAACTTGGACTCATATAAAATAACATGCAATCAGAGCATTAGTATTCATATAATACAATCATGAATATTAATTCATCATTTACATGCAATCATACAATCAGAGCATTAATATTTATAATACAATCATGCAACTACAATATTAGTTCGCCATTAATATACATTACATACAACCATACAATCACTTGGATTTATTCATCTCACCATCAATCAGCCTGATTCTCTCAATCACTGTAGGATGCCTGTAAACCACTGCTGCATACAAGTGGTCAGGATCCATGTTTCCATTGTTCTTCTCATACAGCTTCAGAAGTCCAGAACGCAGCTCCTTGCCATATCCAAGCGCTACTGCAAACCTGTCTGCCTGCCGCTCAAAGTACCTTGACACACAGTTTCCCAGTATGTCAATCGGAACACTCATTGCAGAAATACACGTCAAAAAATACAGGCACCGTATTATCAGTGGCATCTCAACACCAACCATTCCATGCTTATCCTGGTACCTTAAGAGAACATTCAGCAAATATAAATACAGCAGCTGCACCAGAAGCCCAAACGAAATCATCTTCAATGTGTGTCCATGCTTCCAATGCCCAAACTCATGGCACAGAATCGCAAGAATCTCTTCCTCATCGACCTGGGTCAACAGAGTGTCATATATAACAACCCGCTTCTCCTTCATTATCCCAACAAAATATGCATTCGAATGTCCCGATCGGAGTGACGCATCCATAACCAGTATCTTGTTTGCACGGAATCCCACTCTGTCTGCAAGCTTCGTTATCTTTGTCTTCAACTCAGAATCCTTCATCTCCTCAAACTTGTTGAACAATGGCTGTATCACAATCGGATACACAACAACCAGCACAATCTGGAAAACTGCCACCGCCACCCACAGGTAAATGTAAAACGATCTCTCATAGTATCTTCTGATAATAGTCAGAACCACATACGAAAAAGGCCCAATGATAACGCTCATCACCATCATCGTCTTGACAATATCCTTGAAAAACTCAACCACCGTAGTCTTGTTGAATCCATGTTTTGCTTCTATATAGAATGTCGAAACCAGTTCAAACGGAACCTCAAACATCTTCTGCACATACATGTATCCTATCACAAACGATATGTCCCAATACCACTTGTCAATCATATACATGTTGTACATTTCAGGTATAACCTTATTCCATATAAAGTATATGTCCTTCACAAGCATAACAGAAAGCTCAAATATAGACATAATTTGTTTATCTCTGTTATACTCCTTTGTCTTTTCTATCTGCTCAATGCTTGCAAGCTTAAGATAGGTTTCAGATGGCTTTTTCGATAGTTTCCTCAACTCCCTGAGCTTCAGGTACACAACAAATGCATAGCTGAGAATGCAGGTCACAATCAACAGCGTTTCAATCATTTCGGGGCTACGCATGAACTCCGAATAAATACAAACCTGTAGATGTTCATACGATTGTGTAGCCACCCTGATATTTATCAGAACCTTAAATAAGTTTGGATTTTACAGGATGCATTGTTTACATATGAATGGGGCTCTTGTTGACACTTACAGTACTTTCCTTTGCTCGTATTGGTACGTGTATTCTGCACTACATGTCTAAATCTAAATGCAACATGGAATTGTCCAGCATGGCCACTGACACATATCCAGTTGGCTTGAGTAATGCAAATCACGAGAAATATATGCATAATACATATTCAAATGAGTTTATGCGTGCAAATACAAATATCAATGATGATGCAGAAAACGAATACAATCACAGCATCGTAGATACAAAACAATTTGCAACAGAGAATAACACGAACTCATATGGCGTGTCTGTGAGTAACAAACTGCTTGATGCGTCATTTGATTTTAACATTACCAAAGACAGCAAAACACTTGTTGACAGGCTGTTTTTGTTTCCTGCAGAGCGCATTGATGAAATGATTATAAATGAAAAGTTTGAAACAGAGCAGGATTTCTGGCAGTTTGTCGATAAAGTATCTTCAAAATCACATGAGGATTTCAGATTCGTCATAGACAACGGAATCAACGATGAGCCGTTTTGTAATGCGCCTTCATACATTAAAAAGCTCGAGGATGCACGTTCAAATAGCACAGATAACAATGAACTACTTGAAAACTTGTTGAGTCTTTCTAAAAAGCTAAACGAAGCATGGAAAGACATATATGTTGTCCAGAATAAAATAAAGCAAGGCTACTACTCAACAATGCTCAAAGTTGACAATCCATTCATCATCCCTGGAGACAGGTTCCGAGAATGCTATTATTGGGACACATACTGGATACTTGAAGGACTACTCAATAATGGAATGAATAAGACTGCAATTGGAATGGTTGAGAACTTTATCGGGCTGATCAGAAAACACGGATACATTCCGAATGGACTCCGCTCATACTACCTGAACAGAACACAGCCTCCATACTTTCCAATGATGCTTTTTGCTCTGTATAGGAATATAGCATGGGATGACATCAAGCATATTATGATTGCAGGCCTTGAAGCAGCCATTGAGGAACATTCTTTCTTCATGGCAAATAGATCGACTGAAATCGATGTTGATGGAAAGCACTTGCTCAACATATACAAAGTAAGCTCCAGTACACCACGCCCTGAATCATATAGAGAAGATAAGCAGCTTACACAAGAAAACAATCGCGAGGATCGAGGAACAAGAAGAACTGAAAGCGAAACATACACCGACATCAAGTCTGCATCAGAGTCCGGATGGGATTTTTCATCAAGATGGCTTAAGGATAAATCAGACCCTGCATCAATCCGAACATCCAAGCGAATCCCCGTTGATCTCAATGCCATCATGTATGCAAACGAGCTAATTATTTCAAAGCTATTTGAAATCACACAAGGAACTGACTCATCGGAGGCTGCACGATTCAAAGAAATGAGCACAAGGCGGTTAAAGGCAATCAACAGCGTGCTTTGGAACAGTGAGGAAGGCGTCTGGAATGATTACGACATAGAAGACAAGATGCACACATCAACAGGATTCTATGCTTCGAACCTTATTCCAATGTGTTATGGCATAAACCCACCAGCAGATGCAGACACAACTGTTTATGACATCCTGGATAAGTTTGCACATGAGATATTTGGAAACGAGGGAGGAATGCCTGTGAGTGGGCCTGCATACAAGAACAGTCCCTTGCAGTGGGACTATCCGAATGTTTGGCCTCCACTTGTTCACATCATGACATTTTTCCTCGAACGCATAGATGAGCGAGAAATGGCATTGCACATGGCTAGAGCATTGCTTAGAAACATTTCTATCTCAACTTCATTCCAAGACGAGAGGAAGCGTGGAATATTCGAAAAATATGATTGCACAAGAGTTGGAGAGCCAGGTGGAAAAGGCGAGTACACATTACAGAGAGGATTTGGATGGACAAATGGTGCAGCAATTCACTTCATAGAGCACTTCTCATCTGAAATTGTCTCTACCAAGCCTCACGCAGAGTCTTATAAAAGCATCTTAAGCATTATAAAAGAAAAGAAAAGCACCAGACAAACTCCTTTAGGGCACACTCCAGAGAACTGCCTTCTTCTAAATGAGCAGCCTATCGATATAAACACAAATTCAAAATGCAGCGCCCAACAATCTCTACCCACACTCATCCAAGCCTCAGACTGATAATATTAAAAGAATGGGAATTTAATGATTTGTTCAGATGCATTTCATGCTCTGCTTTAATTGTAATATCTCCCTTGATGACAATAATTTGCCTGAATCAATAGCTTCTTCCAAACAAGGTACGCTTCATGGCTTGCTTATTGCAATATACACATTTCATCCCATCACATGCTTCTGCTTCATATGGAATACACAGTGTCTTTGCTCCAGTTGCTACCACATTCCCATTACTATCGACTTTAGTGCTCTTCGATTTGATCTCCATTTCACAATCTCCATCACAGCACCAGGGCGCCACTACAATATTCTTGCTGTCAAGAGCACTCAAGAACTCATCAAAATTGTACACCTGTGAAATCCTACTGTCTCGCTCTGCAGTGGCTTTTGCAAGCATTTCTGAATGCATGATCTCAATTTCATCAGCCACTACTTCAGATATTCTGTGTGCACTCACTTGCTTCTTATTACGAGTATCTCTTCTTACAACACATACCTCATTCTTCTGCATGTCTTTTGGGCCAACTTCCAGCCTCAATGGCACTCCTCGTATTTCCCAGTGGTTAAACTTGAATCCAACAGTTATATTGCTTCTGCTATCAACATGTACTCGAATACCTGCATCCTTCAGTTGACTGTGCAACTTTTCAACATACTCATCAAGCATCTTTCCATCTGATTCAGGTGTAGATGCTGTTATTCCACATGGCACAATCACAACTTGTATCATTGCAACCCTTGGTGGAAGAACAAGACCTATATCATCCGAATGTATCATCACTGATATTCCAATCGATCGTGTTGTTATTCCCCATGAGTTTTGGTACACATATACATGCCCATCGCCTTGACCATCATCTGCATCAACCTTGATGTTAAACATCTTCGAAAAGTTCTGGCCTAGAGAGTGCGATGTTGCAGCCTGAACGCCACGTCCAGATCCTGGTATAAATGCTTCAATTGACGTTGTGTATGCTGCACCACCAAACTTCTCATTCTCAGACTTCCTTCCTTTTATCACAGGTACTGCAAGGAGCTCTGAGTATATTCTGGAGTACAGGTCCAAGATCGTTCCAACCTCCTCATCAGACTCCTCTTTACTCAGAAATACAGTATGTCCCTCTTGCCACAGAAATTCCTTTCCCCTTATGAATGGGAGTGTTCCATGTAACTCCCATCGCAATACACTGCACCATTGGTTCACCTTGAGCGGCAGGTCTCTGTGGCTCTTGATCCACTTCGAAAATGATGGATACATGATAGTCTCAGACGTAGGACGAATTGCAACAGGGTCCTCCAGTACTTCGTCTCCACACTTTGTTATCCATGCAACCTCAGGTGAAAAGTTTTTTATATGATCCTTTTCCTTCTCAAGCATTGACTTTGGAATAAGCATTGGAAAATAGCATTCCTGAACACCAAGGCACTCAATCTTTTCAGTAAACCATCTTTGGATGCATTTCCAGATAAATTGGCTTGTTGGGCGCATCACATAACATCCTTTTATTTCGTAGTAGTCAAGCATCTCTCCCTTTGTTATTACCTGGACATACCACTCTGAAAAGTCCTGCTCCTTCCTGACTGTCAAACCAAACTTTTGCTTAGTCATTATGGGGTTTGCAGAATCATGCTATTGCATGGCTATGCATGATACATGGCCTCGTTAATGCAAATATGCCGTAAAACCCACACTTCACTCCCCATGACAAGGAAGCAGATATCGGATATTCTGTCTTCAGCAAGATCAGAAAACTCTCTGTACAACCTTACAAAGAGATTCCTGAAGCTTGTTGATGCATCACCAGATCGTAATGTAAACATCCACCAGGCATCTATAGATCTGAATGTAGGTAAGAGGCGCATATATGACATTACAAATGTGCTGGAAGGACTTGGACTGCTGAGCAAGTGGTCGGTGAGCAGTGCGAAGTGGATCGGCGGAAACATCAACAAGTATATCAGTGAGGATGAAGAAGAAAACAGTGGAAGAAACAATAAGAGCAATAAGAATGCATCTAATGAAAAGGATCTGGATGATATCCTGAATGATCTGAATGAAGAAATCTCTTTGCTTTCTGAATCTGAAAAAAATCTTGCAAATGCATATGTTACATACGCAGACCTTCAAGGACTTTCTTCATTGAGTGACAGTCTTGTATTTGCAGTAAAGGCGCCTTCTGAAACAACAATGGAGTATCCAAGGCTTGAAAAAGGCGTTTACAAGCTTAGACTAAGTTCTGAACAAGGTGCGATCAGCATATTCTATGTTTCTGACGATAAGCGTGATTGATGTATCAGCATTCATTTGCATAGCTGAGTAAGATCTACTGCAGTGCCTGCATAAAAGACAATAAATTTATTAATGTAAGTGTTTCTAGAGCAATCTGAACGATGCAAATGCTTTTTAAACGGTCCCAAGATTAGAATGATGAATAAGGATAAGGTTTTGGTTGTTGGATGTGGAGGAATAGGATGCGAATTGTTAAAGCTACTTTCAAGAGAAAATATTAGAAGTGTGACAATGATTGACTGTGACATAATTGAGCTATCGAATTTGAATAGACAGTTCTTCTTCACACACAATGATGTTGGCAAGAGCAAGGCGGTGGTTGCAGCAAGCATATTTGCACGGATGTGCACAAGTGAATGCACTGTGCAGCCAATATGTGCAAGAATTGAGGAGTTTGATGCATGTTTTTTTGCAGAGTTTGACATGGTCTACTGCTGTTTGGATAATGTTGCAGCACGTGTTTATGTGAACCAGAGATGTGTTTTTTCAAGTGCATGCATGATTGATGCAGGAAGTGGGGGATTCAAGGGTCAGGCATACTACTTTGGGAATGATATAGTCAATGGTAGTAGATATGAATGTTTTGATTGCATTCCAAGAGGAGTAACCAAGGAGCATGCAGTGTGCACTATTCGCTCTAGACCAAGTTGCTTTGAGCATTGTATAGTGTGGGCAAAACACGTCTTTCTTGCAATGAAGATTGAAGTGCACGGGGATCCTGAACAATATTACTATACAAACCTGAAGAGTATGGTGGAAAATTGTGAATGCACGCATGATGCTCTGGATCTTGATCTTTTTAGAAGTAGTGAGGAGTATGCGTACAAAGTAAGAGATATTATGAAGACAATTAATGCAATTGGTATTCCAGAATTCAATAAGGATGATAAATCTGTTCTTGAGCTGGTGTATAATGTTGCATTTATTCGTGCAAAAATTGCAGGAATTGAACCGATGTCCTTTGATAATGCAGTTACTGTGGCAGGAAGTATCATCCCATCAATAAGCACGGCTAATTCAATAATTGCGTCTTTGATGATTTTATGTGCAAATAGTAAATGTAATTATTACTTAGTCAATAACAGTAACATTATTAGAAGGATGGAAAGGTGTGTAAGTAGAGAAGGATGTCCAACATGCTCTTTGAAGTGGTATGTTCTTTCTTACTCGCGCGATGTGACATTCAAGAGTCTTATAAGGTGCTTCCGAGCAAAACACATGGAGCTCCAGGCATTTTCAGATGCTGATGTATTTCTTACGCCAGCCATGAAAGATGCGCATGATAAAAAGCTCAAGCTTAGAAGCAATAGCACTGTAGAAGTTGTTTGCTCAAGGAACTCGGTCACTAGAAAGATCGGTTTGTATATTATGAAGCATGATCGATGCATGTCATTAAGAAAGATGGATTCCAAGATATTCACTGCGAGTAATCGATCGGGTGATGCATGCAATTGATGTGAGCAGATATCTTAGGTATTATAAAATAAACATTATATGAAAATGTGTATGCGTGCATTAAGGCAAACATACTGTTTATGTGTGTTGAGTTTGAACACCAGGGTTTATAAAAAGCTGGCAACGCGCTCAACACATATAAGGGTATGTCTGTTGAAAGTATTAAAAGGCTTGTTCAATGCGAAAATGATGCAAAGGAGAGATTGGAGACTGCACGCAAAGAGCTAGAGGATACGAAGGCACAGGCAAGAGCGGATGCAAAGATCATGCTTGAGGGACTTAAGAAAGAAAACGAGCAGAAACTGCATGTGTTGGAGAATGAAGTACGCGAGTACATGAAGCTGGTTGAGGAGAAGCTTGGTACAGAGCTAGAAGACCGAATCAGGGCATTGAATAATATAAGGGACCGAGAAAGGATTGTGTCTGTGCTAGTTGAGCATGTGTGTGGAGTGGAAAAGAAATAAAATTCTTTTTTGATTGTATATGATTTGGATGTATCCTTGGAGGGATGAATTTTGAGATTGAGAGCACATTTATGTGTAGGCCAGATGTGTATGTGTGCACAACAGGAGTATCTGCATGTGAGAAGGAGTTGATACGCAGTCAGCTTCCAAAGCACGTTATTCTCGAAGATGTGCTATCTGAAAAGGTGAACTATTTGGCTACATACAAGGCAACAATGACTGATAAGTATGTCCAGGCATTGGGTTGGAGTATGAAGATAGTTGATGTGAGATGGTTATATGATGTTGATGGAGCAATCAGAAGGTATGAGATGCAGCCTTTTGAGGGTGCCACCTTCTCAACATCTGGTTTACTCAGCGACTCAGTTGTGAACTATCATCTGCTGCTTGGTGGCATATTCACACAGAATTTGATGATATCAACTGACTTTCTAATTGCTTCAGCTGATGATGATAGTAAGGTTGAGTTTAGCAAGAGATACGAGATTCCAATAGTCAATCCTAGCGATGCATTCAAAGGGGAGTATGGGATATACAAGAGAGATCCTTACTTTGAAGCAGTTGCAATGGCTGAAGGGCTGGTTTTTGACGAAAAGGTGTTTTTCCTGGATGCTAGATTGCCCAGGGTGCTTTTCAATCAGCTGCGGAAGATGATTGTATCTAATGGTGGAACCAGGGTATCTGAGATTGACAAAGACGTTGATTATATCTTGGCATTTGCATATGAAGGTTTTGAGAAGCATGGACACAAGGTTTATCATTATCAATATGTGTTTGATTGCATTGAATCAAGAGCGGAGCTTTTTGCAGGAGCATACAAGATGTATCCCATAAACAAGAAGCCAGTGCTGAGCAATGCGGTGTGTTGTATAAATGCAGGATGCAAGGATGGAGGCAATGTAGCAGAAATTATCAACAAGCTGAAGGCATTGGGTGCCATAGTAAGAGACAAGCCCGATGCAAGCTGCACACATATGATAGTTGATAATAAAGATGAAGCTCAAGATGGTAGAAGACGTCCATACAAGGTTGTTTTATCTGAATGGGTCAATCAGTGTCTTGGATTGATGAGGCACGTCAGAGAAGAGAAGTATTGTGTTGGGATGTCATCAGGCTCTATGTATGCTTTGAGCAGGGATAGAATGAAAGTTACAACGCATGAATGCAAGATGCTATTCCAATTCACAGGGTTATCTCTGTTTCTGAAGAACAAGGCTATTGAGAAGCTTGATGAGCTAGGAGTTGGCTTCAAGGATACTGATAGATATGATGGATGTACGCACTTGATTATGGGAGTGGTGAGTACATCTGAAAAGCTACTTTCATGCATAAGCAATGGAAAGTGGATTCTGAAGCCGAGTGTTATAGATTGCTTTGATGGCTCGCATGATTTTGATTTTTCAGAGCATGAATGGAAGGATGATGGATGTATTGCAGAGAAAGACAGAAAGATTGTGCTATCGATATGCAAATGGAGGGAAAGGGTAAAGATAACAGGAAAACCTGCATTCCATCGCTGGGTTGTGAAGCTTCTGTGTGAAGAACAAAAGAGAGAAGGATATGCCAGAGTGATTGAGAACGGGGGAGGAAGAATCACAGATGCAGAGGATTACACGCACTGCTTTGTGTCAAGGACATATGATGGATATAATCCTGCAGAGAAGAGTTACAGCACCGATTATATATTTTCGTATCTATTTCGATAGGCAAGATAAGTGTGACTGGAAGCCCCTGGAATGATTGTTGATTATGGATTTTTTTTCTATAGGAAGGTTTCAGTGTGTCTATTCAATGGAGACATGGTCGTGGGATGCATGCAAAGAATGAGTGTGGTGGCGATTGAAGTGACGGATGAGGATCATATATGCTTACATCCTGATGATGATAGAAGGCACAGGTCGTATGTGGAGCGAGTGATGGAGGATCCAAAGATACTTTTGAGAAGCAAAGGTAGTACAAAGACGAATTTGAAGTTATATGTGTCTTTTATGACAAGAGGAGAGTACAGGCCGAAGGTCTGTGGAAACAAAAAGCAAGAGATAATTGGTAAAATTATGAATAGAAGCAAGGAAGTGCTAAGAGAAACGGCCGTTAGTGATGTGCATGGATATATTAAACTGTGTAAGGTGATTGGAGAAGCAGTTGAGATGCCACCAAGTGCAAGGTTGAAGCAAAGAATTACAAAATTATTTGGAAAGGTAGATGGTGTGGAAAGAAAGATACAAATAAAGGATACTTTATGTGATATGATTCGCAACGAAAGCGATAAACTTAATGGAATGTGCTTTATTCTTAAGGTGCATCATGACTTTTGCATCAAGGGAGGCACTAGAGACTGTATAAGTATGTTTGAAGAAGAATACAATAAGATGTTGATAAAGGCAGCATCAGGTATGATGAACAAGGTGAATAAGTACGGATGCGATATGAAGTGTATGATATACCATGCACTGTATCCAGAGGTGGATCTGTACAATGCATTTGTGGCATGTACAAATGTAGCGGATTTCGACAGAAGTATGTTGGAAAATAGATCACTGAGCACTATGAACGAAAGAGGAGTAAGAGATGCCATTTCCAATAGTATTGATTGGTTTTATGCATCCTTAGATGTGCATGATTGAAAATATATGCACATTATCAGGTAGTGTTTATATAAATAAACTGTTTCAGATGTGCATAAAGTATCGTGAATAGCAAAACAAGATGAAAAAATCGAAGTATCTTGAGACGGTAACGTGCCTCCTGATGTTTTCTCTGAGTATGATTATCAAAACATACAAGGTGGAGAGTGGAAACTTTGTGGTATGGGATGAAGCGCACTTTGGAAAGTTTTCTGCAAAATACCTTTCTAGGAAGTTCTATTTTGATGTGCATCCTCCACTCGGCAAGATGCTGATATCTCTTGGAGGATACATTTTCAGTCAGCCACTGGACTTTGAATTCAAGTCTGGAGAGGCATATCCGAAGACATTTGACTATTCAGGAATGAGGAGATTCCATGCATTTATAGCATCATTTACACCTTTGTTTGGATATTTGATCCTTAAGGAGATTGGGTTTTCATATAGACGTAGGCTAGCTCTGTCTCTAATGTTTGTGTTTGAGAATGGATTCACATCAATTGGAAGATTGATTCTTCTGGACTCATATCTGCTTACATTCACAACAGCAGTATCGTACTTCATGACAAGACTGTACTTCAGGTCAAGGTTTGGCACAGACACATACTCTTTGTTCATGCTAGGGCTGATGCTTGGATGTGCATTAAGTGTGAAGTGGATAGGCTTTCTGACTATGAGTTTAGTGGGTGTGTTTACTATATACCAGCTGTGGAGCAACATCACATCGAAGGCTCGTATGCTACAGTTCTTCAAGATGTTTGCCTCAAGAGCGCTTTTTTTAATAGCGCTTCCATTGAGTGTGTATGTATTATTGTTCTACATACACTTCCAGATAGTGAATCATAGTAGCAGTGATGAAGTTCAAATGAGTTCGATGTTTCAGGCATCTCTTAAAGGAAATGAGATCAGCAATAACAGGAAGTATCCTTTGTATGGAACACAGGTGACAATTAAGTCAGCAAGAGCAGGCGGTGGATATCTTCATTCGCACGACCATACATATCCTGGAAGTATTAACAACCAAGTAACAACATATCATCATAAAGATGAAAATAATCACTGGGCATTTCAGAAGGTAACTGACGACCTGACAGATGCAAACTACATTTTAGATGGAGATATTGTGATTCTGCTGCATCTGGAAACCAAGATGTATTTGGATGTTCCTGGAAGTATGTCTTTGGTTTCTAATGGAAAGCGAGTAGAAACTCTTTCAGGCACAAAGATATTAGAATCATGTTTATTCAAAGTTGAAGTTGTTGAGGACGCCTTGGAGAATGAGAATAGACTAAAGACACTTACAACAAAGTTCAGACTGCTTAATACTAGCACAGGATGCTACCTTAAGGCATCGCTCAAAAAGTATCCATCTTGGGGATTTGGCCAGGGTGAGGTAACATGCACACCAAATCCTGAAGAGTCTTCATTATGGAATGTAGCAGAATGTAGGTCTGATAAGCTGGATGAAGACAAAAATCCGATCTACAGTGAAGCAGCTGCATATCCATTCATGAAAAAGTTTATAGAGCATAATAAGGCAATGTTTGTTACAAATGCATCATTCATACAGGACGACAGCCTTGAGCCAGAAAGAAGCGTGTCAAGGCCATATGAATGGTTTATTCTCAAGAGGGGGCTAAGAATGACTTCATGGAGTGGATCAAAAGAAAAGTTCTATATGTTTGGGAATCCATTTACATGGTATTCTTCTAGTATTTGCATCATTGCCTCTCCGATCATTCTCCTTTGCAGAGTGATTGGAAAAAAGAGAAGTGGAATGCCTGTGAAGTTCCTTAAGACTGAAGGATTTTTTGTGTTCCTTTCATGTTGCGGGTGGTTTCTACACTACATCCCGTTCTTCTTTGTAAAGAGAGTGCTTTATTTCCATCACTATTATCCAGCGCTATTTTTTGGATTACTCTCAATTTGCTATGTATCAAAGTTCTTGGAGTTCAGGTTCACTGCCTTCTTCATCTCTATAGCAATAGCATCATTCTTGATTTACTCTCAATCTACATACGGATTTGTACAAGAACCAAAGATACTTCGCATGCTTAAACTTGTTCCAACATGGGACTTCACAGATACTAAATAGCAAGGAAATATTCATTGCATGATCTGTTCAGTAGTTATCAAGTAAATAAAACATTCAATGACCATTTCACTGCATATTAATTTTATTAAACAATCAGACAGGTATACACGCCTCTACATCATCATTCACACTCTTGAGACAAACATTCCTTTCATTTGCAAGGTGAAGAAGAGATAGAAAACACAAGTGCACTGAAATGTCCTTGCACTCACTATCATTATACATGCTGTACACTCCTTTGAATATTGATGCAAGGCCAATGCATCCTTTGCTTTTCATGCATCCAAATACGTTGTCCTTGAGTTTCTTAATATCAACTCTTTTTGCTGCTTTTCTAAATGGATACCTACTTTGTTCTATTCCTCCTTCTTTTTCAATCAGTCGTTTAATATCTACCTCACTTTGCATATTAACATCAATTGCTTCATCCATCGGCTCTTCTAGTACGTTCTGTGCAAATGAGCAATCAAACGATCTATTCACTGCTCTTAGTTCTTCATCTGCACTCATGCAAAACATTCCATCCATCACAATGTATTTGTATAAATCTCGTGTTTTCAGGCTGTAATCCTGAGGTAGTAGGTGCTGCTTTTCTCTACGTTCAACTATACATGCAGGCTCAAACAACGTGTTTCCTGGTTCCATAACCCAATCACTGTCCACTGGTTCTGTAAAATCCACACAAACTGTTTCCTTCTGCTTATTGCATCCTTCTTTCTTGCCTTTTCTTCCATTCATCCTGGCATTTACCTTCCAGCATCCTGGTCCTGCCCATCCTTTGAAATATGAAAACGATGTCTCGTTAAATACAGGTTTCTGGCTGCTAATAATCACAGGAATATTCTCAAATTCAAGCAGATCATCAAATCCTACAGAATCTTCACAGTCAGGCATCGCAATTACAGTAGATTCAAAAGTAGCTGCTTTGACATCATTATCAGTGGTGATACTTGGTGATATCAACATCCCATCAGGTGGTAAATTCACATATACTCCAATATCCTCTATTAACATCATATATTTGCTTTCATCTACATGTGATCCCATCCTCAAAACTCCATCCATAGAAACACCCAAATTGCTCAGCATCATCGAATTTTCTGGTAGAGATGAAAGATACACAGATTTAGGATCAATGCCGTACTTTGTCCTTGAAATCTTCACATTCAGATTCCCTATGTTTTTTTCAATCGTCACTTTAGATTGCTTCTTTGAATGACGCTTCTTTAATGCATCATCTCCTCCAAATCCCTCGAGAAGCCTCATTGCACTCTCAGATACATCATCCACTCGTGTTGAATAGACCTTAGCACATCCATCAAGAGCACAACCTGCCTTCTGGAAGTTAATTCCATGCCGCTCTTTGAACTCATCTATATTCGTGAAGTGATCTATCAGCGTTGCCTTCCATGTATTCTTTGTAGTAATCTTATTTTCAGCTGCTGCCTTAAGCCACGCTCTAAGATCACCCGTAGACATCAAGGGCTGCCTTCATAGCCTTTAATCACAGGCTCTTACAAGAACATTTCACAATCCATCCTTGCATGATAAACCAAAAACTTGATGAGATTTCACAGCTAGTCAGGAGCATAAAAAGCAAGATGGACATCGTTGTTTCATCAACTGTATCTCTAAGAGAGCTTAACTACAGAATAGAAGCTCTTCTGATATCATTCAAAGCATATGCATGTAAAAGAAAGCACACAATACTAGACAACACTTTATCAATAAGCAATACTCAGAGTATAAAGGAAACATACGACTCAGGTGAACACACAGCACATCAGAATGCAGAAAACGAATGTTTTGAAAAATCTACTTTGTCAACTCCATCTACCTATACAAGTAAAACAGAATGTCTGAACGAGTACATCGTTCGTATGACACCAAAGTTTTCAAACAGTAAGCTTGTGATTAATAGTGCCATAAAAATAGCAAGTCTACTATATTCAAACACAGAAGGAATGATGGTGGAAGAAATCATAAAAGGCGCTGGAGTGCCAAGATACAGATGTATCGATATTCTAAACACAATGCTGAGAACAGAACCTCCATTGGCTTCAAAAAAATTTTGCAAGGGATTTGTGTATTCTATAGTGCTTCTATAGAGTTATCTATGAACTTTTATTATACTCTGCCTTTATTCAATAAGTTAATATCAAAATTATTACTAAACATGTTATTCAAAATGTTTTTCAGTATTCTTGCAAATAATATCATATAGCATATGAAATACATCATCAATACTTTATCATAATCTATTAAAATCCACTTTTTAACTCTTCAAGGCTGAAAGGTGATATAACAAATCTTTTATTCCTAACACCAGCTTTGTATGCAAGAGTAAACAACTCAACAAATACCTTCTCGTCTCCAACAGCAAAATCTATCTTGTCATTGTCTCCACTTGAACAATCTATCTTTACGTGTCTTTTGTTGAAAAAACACATGATACCAAGTGCAGAGCTAAGCCCCATCACTCCAACAAGCTCTTTAACATCGCTTCGCTCACAAGTGTACACATCTGCATAATTCCTGATAGAAAAGTACGCCTTTGAAAGAAGTTCATCAGTGTAAAGACATAACGGATCATCTCTATCACCAAACCTTATTACAACAAGCTTACACATTGTACTTCCAATCGCTATATTTACATCATCTACTGAATGCAACTGACGCATTGCCATAGCTCCACTGCTTTCTAGCATTCGCTTTCTATACAGGGATCACAAATCCTTGAAATACCTCTTCAAAGATCCTATTGGATGTCTATCCACAAACTCCTCCTCCTTGAAGCTCAAATACTTTCCTCCATCTCTTCTGAATGGTTTTGCATTATACGCATAAAACTTCTCGATTCTTTCAGTCACTTTATCCCTGGAATCAAGAAATACAGGTGCATTCGACAAAATACTACAAATACATTTCATCTCAAGCTTCGTAAGATTGTCCTGAAGCTCTGCAAAGCATTCACTTAATCTTTTACTGGACTCTGCTGAATCAGGTTCTAAGTATGCATTCACAAAGAAATCAACTAATCTGAACGGAAACTTCCTCAAGTGCTTAAGAAACATTTCCATATTTACTAAAGACACTGTACTATGCACCATACTAACCACACTTATGCTTGATGGCGCCATAAATATCACTCCATCGCGCTGCATTAGTACAACACTTGTGCCAATCTCATCGCAGGTAAATCTCATGGCCCTCGAACGCAACAAGCAAGTCATAATTGGTCCCATACAGAAACAACGTATCAACCTCACCTGTTCAACTTCATTTACTTCAGTCTCCTCTTCTTTGACGTATGTAATGTAATCAGTAACAGAAACGCCTAATGTATATCTGAAAAATATCGGTATTATTGGCCTTGTTTTGATTCCATTTGAATCTTTGACTACAAATCCATGCATCATTGTGCATTGATATCCAAGCACATTACTCACCGCTTTCAGTATTACAAGCTCAAGATTAGTAATATCAGCATCGATCTTAAAGTCAAGAGACTTTATACACACTGTAATAAGCTCTGTGTCTGTTTTATGCATCACTTCTAGTACATACTCTGGATCATTACTTTGTGCTATTAAACATTCTAGTGGCTCTTCTATGCCCAACAGTAGGTCTTCGTCTGCCTTCAGATGCTCAAAAAGCTCCACTACGCTCTTGGACGTGTATTGCGCACCAAGCCTTAGTATCATGGGATTGCTTTTACCTAGTGATTTGGCCCTTGTATGAGTGAAAGCAACGATGATATGGAACGAGATCAAAGTGTACGAGAGGCGCAATCAGAATCAGAATCTGATGATCTTAACATGATGACCGACGATTCAACTTACAGAAGAGATGACTCAAGGAGAATCCAGTCGATCACAGGATCGATGACCGAAGAACAACTGCACAGGTATGAAAAATTCCGAGGAAGTGGATTTCCAAAGGCTGCAGTCAAGAAATACATAAGTAGTGTCATAGGACAGGCAGTAAATCCAAATTTTGTGATTGCCGTGTGTGGCCTTGCAAAGGTGTTTGTTGGGGAAATGATAGAGGCAGCAAAGGAAGTTCAATCCGAGCGTTTGGAGAAAGGACCGTTGTTACCATCGCATATACATGAAGCATACAGACGACTGTATAAAAAGACGCCTTGTATAAAGGTATTCAAGAAAGCGCCCTGGCATTGAATGAAGTACTCATTGCATTGATAAAATAGTTCATTAATGTGTCAAGATAAATAAATATGTTAAACTAAGCATATTATCTTAGATAATTACACAAATGCTTCAACAGATATTTTATTGATATACTTATTGGTTTAAAGGTAAATCTTCTGTAAGTTTTGAATTAAGACAGAAAGCATCATGGATGCGCTTCAAAAGATCAGGATGAACCTTGGATCTTGATATCTTTGCAAACAAATTTTCTTTTACCTTTTCTCCAATCAACTCCGTAAGAAACTCAATATGCTGCATCAGCATGGCATCTTGTGCAGTAACAGCTTCGTAAAACAATGCTGCAATAGTCGTCTCGTTTTTAGATATTTGTATAAGTAGATTCTCCGCCATTCGTCTCATACTCAGATCATCATCACCTAGTAAGGCAACAAGCCTGCTTCCATATCCTTTAATCTTAATAAAATTTTTTGTCAGAAGAGTGTGAATCACCAGAAAAGCATTCTTTCGCACATCGATGTCTGTATCTCCAAGCGCATCAATCAGCAAACCACAATCACCTTCAACAGCTGTGTTGTAGTTCTGCAGGAAATCACTCATCGCAACAATTGCATTAGCTCTAATTCTTGCATCTAAATGCTTCATCGATGCAATAAATGCTTGATAATGACTTGAGAAATATTCAAAGCTAACACACATTAGTTTATAGAGAGCAGTGTATGCGACAACTTTTGCATCATCACATTCAGATACACACATCTCTTCAATCATCTTCTTGAACATGCAAATAACACTATTGTTACCATATAGCATTTCTTTCTCCTTAACATAGAAAAAAAAGTCAGAGATCTCCTCTTCGCTTCTATCCATAAGCTTTGGAGAAATATTGCTGTTTATCTCAATTTCAATATCTCGTGGTATTCCATCCACCTTTCCTTCGTCATTAGCCATCATGCTAATGCTCAGTCTAGATGCATTAATGCTTTTTCTCCTTTCTGTAATCTCAGGTGTGAGCACAGACCTGTCGACATTAACACTTATTCGTTTTGCTTTCACAAGCTTCTCCAACTCTTCCAGGTATTGCATATGTCGTATTGCTACACATCCGACTGCACAAACAATCTTCATTCCGCCCTTGCTTGCACTACAAATACCCTTAATTAATGCTACACTGCTTATCTCTGGCTGTGCACTCAACCCATATATTGCATCCACAGTCATTTCAACAACCTGATGATCAAAAAAAACCATCTTTGTCAGGTTCTTAATCATCAAAGTAATAATCTCGTCTGCAGGATCTACCTTCTGCCTTGTCCTAATTCTAATCACATTCTTATAAACACTCAGCATGGTTGCTAGTTCATCTTCTCCTTTGCTAGAAAAAAGCATATTTGTAGTGCATATCAGCATTTCACGCAAACTATCTACTGATATAGGCTTGCTCGTGTGTAACAGTAAATACGATGACTCAAATAAATAAGATCCTTGCATAAACACACTTCTCAATTCATTTGTAAAACTTTTCTCCAGATATCCTCTTCTATACAGCTCCTTAAGGATCCTTTCAAACGAGTAGTCTCCACATTGCCTTACAAATCTCTTCAGAAATACAAATGCATGCATTCCGTTCTGTTTCTTCTGTATAAGCAGATCTCTAAATGACTGTGCTAATAAATCCACTTCACGTGTCCATACAAGCCTGAATATCTGGCTGAATGCTTTGTCAGAGCCTTCTATTCCGTAGTGCAGTGCAAGCTTCATAAACTCGATGCAATCTCCTGCTTCTGTCCTAACATCTCCACTCAGCAGTTCCATAATGCTTTTTTGCGCTTTCTTCATCGAATCATGGAAGTCATTCAGATCTTCGTAATATCTTCTTTCACATTCGTCCTTAATGTCTTTTACTGCTCTCTTCTCAAGTGTTTGCTCAGACACAAACGGATGGTTTGCCAGTACACTGCAGCACAATCCAATTGCTCGCTTTCTTACTGCAACCGTCTTATCCAGTATTCGACTACATACACCATCAATCACATGCGCTCGCTTTCCAATCGATATCGAATTCCTTTCAAACAGCGCTCCAAGTATATGAAGCGCCTTCTGTCTCACAAGAAAGTACGTATCTGACATCCTCTCTACAATCAGATCAATAATATCATTCATCTTCTCAACATCTCTATTCGTCTTGAAATACCCAACAAGATTCATGTAAACCTCAAGAAAACAACTTCGCATAAAAAAGTATTCAGAGTCACAGAACTCATCAAACTTCTCATAATCACAGAACAGTTCTGCGTGCCTTTCAGACAGCTGTGGCAATAAAACAGACAGATTCTTCTGCACAGTTTGACTAGTTTGGTTCATGCAAGCTCTAACAAACTCTCCACATATCGACGGAGTAGACTCAAGTATCGGCCATATTGTATCTCCTCCGCTCTTGCTGCTCATCAAATCAATAAGATGGCTTACTATCCCAGTCTTTTCTCCATATATCTTGATGCACTCTGTAAGCTTCAGTCGTATTCCAGAACCCTTCCTCTTCTCTTTACTCATCTCAACAATAAGAAACAAAATCTTAATTATCCACTCACACTCCTCACGCGAATTGATATCCTTACATCCTCGCATAAAGTCAATTATCTTTCCAAGCAAGTGCTCGTCATCAATACTAAGCTTCGAACAGAACGTAAACAGCAAAGGCATCACCTCAGAGAGTGCATTACACTTCCTTCCGAGAAGCTCAAATATCTCAATCTTGTTGTCATATCTATCTGCATTCGTCACCAGCATCTGATATTCATCACGCCCTTCAGATATTGCAAGTTTTCTTAATCTACTTGCTACAACCTCAAGCTCCCTTTGCATCGGGGCATCATACAAACCTCCTAAACACTCATAAATCAACAACAACTCCATCACAAACTTTATTGACTCTTCAACATCTCCAAAAACTTAGCATACGACGGAAGCCCATATAGCTCATCCTCTACAAAATACGTGAAGAATATATCCTTGTATATGCTGCTTTTTCCATCATCCCTCACAAGCACATAACTAGGCGTAAGGTACCTATTGCTCCTCAAACTGCGGACTATCTCACTAACTGCATCACTGAACTCATTCCGCTCAGGATCAAAGATAAATCTTTCAGATCCCATCGATGGATCAAAAAGCAGCTCTGGAAGCGACGGATCGCAATCTCTGGCAACAAAGAAGAATATTGTGACTCCTGTGTCCAGAAGATACAGCCCGTTAGTTTCTAGGCAGTTGAGTGTAAGATTCAATGGCTGCAGCACATCAAGCCTGTGCAATGCAATAAGCGTAGGATATATTATCACATCCACAAGCTTTGGATACGAGTTGCTGATCAGATATGTGTAATAGGACTTATAATCTACAGGCGTGTATGATGCAGGTCTTAATGGAATCGACTTACACAAGGACAGAACAAGCATGGGTAGCATCTCAAGAGACTGTGGTAACATCGCTGTTGTGTTCGAATGCTGTTTATATGCCTTCACTATCTCCCTTATACACTTGTTCAAATACTCAATTCCCCCTCCTCTTTCCTTAGACTCAAAGAAAAACGCCTTCATTCCAAATGCATGTGCTATTGCACAGCAGTCCACAATCGTATAGATAGAAGCCAGTGTCCTATCAATGTAGAAGTTAACCACCCTAATTCGTCTCTCTCCAGTTCTAAGTGTCCTAAGAATCGCAACCTGGAAACACACACCCTTTGATCCATCTTCCTTGACTAACTCAGCCTCAAAGCTAAAGGTATGCGGAGGGAAAAAAGTTGAAAATGAAAGCAAATCTGCCGATCTATGGTGCAAAGACCCAAAGTACTCCTTGATAAACACAGACGAGTTTGCCCGGATCCTGCACATTCCATACATCCCAATATCAAGATCAAGATGAGCTGCCAGATCGTTTGCAAGCTTTGTAACAAATATAGGATCTGCGCCATCAAAGTTTGGATAATAATAAAGCATCCCTCCTGTGTATTTGCTAAGCACACTCAGCGTCGGAAGATCGATCCCTAGACGAGGAAATAAAAACTGCGTCATTGAAATTGACTTCTTTGCCAGCAGAGCAGCCATCTCCTTGTAGAACACAGACCTGCACCTTAATCCACTTTGAGACGGTTCGACAACACCAGGCCCCATATTAGGATGCGTCGTCACAAACGAAACTATGCATCCGCCATTCGGCCCAATAATACTTTCTGCTATTCTAATCGCATCTCCGTAGTTATTTCTGGTCGACTTGTTACTTGAGAAAAATGCATTCAGCTTTGATGCATCTACCGAATGTCCTAGTGGAAACAGAAACTCATCATCAACAAAGAATGGAATAAAAGATGCATCTGAAATAATTGTGAAGTCCCCATCTTGCCTCAGAAGATACACCGAAGAGTCAAAAAACATAAACATCATCTTTGCTCTCGCATCAAATGACCCCGGATTCAATCCATCAATAATGCTCCTCACAATTGAGTCAATCGTCCTGTACTTCATACACTCAAACGTGGCCTCTATCAAAAAACATATCAATGGCGGTGACGGCGTCTTCAGTGAGTAATTTGGTGGCGCTTCCAACTCATACACCATGCTTCTCAATTCAATCCTGCCTGAATAGTCTCGATTGCATACTGCATTAGCACGTGGATCAAACATGCTTCCGCCCGCTGATGAGCTTCTGCTTGTTACCTGGAACGCCATAGCCAAATCGTTCGTTTTTAAACAAATATTGCACTTCCACTTCAGTCCTGGTGGAATAATTTCAGCAAATGGATTCAAGTACGACTTGCAATACTCACATCGCACGATCTCTCCATCACATAAAGGAACATTTTCATTCTCATAATTCTCTAGGTTGACGCTCACAACAAATGGAATTCCAGACACTTTCAGAGCGCCATCCTTATCTGGAATAGCTGTAATCGTGGATCTATAATACCCACTTGAATCAAAAATCAGCTCAGGGCGTATCCCTTCATCTACCTCATGGCCATTATTGTAATTGACTTCTGTTTGGTCCATGGGGTGAGTCTAAACATAACATAAATTTTTCAGGCCCTCTCATCTGTCATGCCTCATGCATTTCAATCATTGCAGGTATAGCAGTGCATTCTCAGAACATCTCCTCAGAGTCCTCAACATTTGCATCCAGATACATCTGCCTTATGTGTGCAGACGTACTCGCATCCTTAACTTCCTTATCTCTTCGCTCCCTCACAAACCTTGGAAATCGCAGAGACATTCCCTTTCCATCCATTGCGCCAGCACAGTATATTGGTGAGACTGAGATGCCTGCTGCCTTAACTTCCCATACATATTTGGCTTCTACCCATACATCAGGCTTGACACTGTCCTTATATACATAGTTCTTCGGTGCTGTACATAAACTATTATTCAATTGCTCATATATACTTTCCAAAGACGCATCTCCGAACCCAGTTCCTATCTTACACAGGCTCTCAATCTTATCTTCCTCGTCGTTGTATACACCAAGCAAAAACCCACCATACCATCCTGTTCGCTTCCCTTTTCCATAGTATGCTCCCATAACAACTAAATCCAATGAGTCAGATATGTTTTCTAGATAATCCTTCTTGATCTTGATCCACTTATTACTTCTCTGCGACGGATGGTACACGGCATCTGTACCCAGAGTCTTCATCATTATACCTTCAAAACTTCCTTCAACAGACTTTTCAAAAAACTGCTCCACATCCTCAGCTTTTTTACAATCCATAGACTCTGCAAAGCAAAACTTGCCTTCAATTTGCTTGAATTCATTGTGGAGGATGCTTCTTCGCTTCTCAAGCGGCTCGTCAACATAAGACTTTCCATCGAAGTATATCAAATCAAACACAAAAACACATACATGCACATCAATCTTCTTCTCATCAACTCTCTTCCTCTTTCTTGTTGTCAATGTCTGGAATGGCAGGATCTTCTTCTCATTTATGTCATACGCAACCACCTCGCCATCAACAATAAAGTCCTTTGAACACACATCGTACACTTCCATCAGATCCGGGTACTTTTCAGTGCTGTTTTCCGAATTCCTACTAAATGTTTCCACTTTGCTTCTATGCTTATGTATTTGAATCCGTTCTCCGTCATACTTGTATTCACAGATAAATTCAAACCCCTCAACCTTTTTGAATGCTGCTGTTATTCCATTCGATGAATTCGCCAGCATCGGCTTCAGTGGAATTCCCGGTGTTACCTGAAAATTTTCTCTAAGGCCTGTAATTCCATGCTCAATAATACACTCCGCTAGTCTTCCGATGTCAGGCTGTCGGTTAAATGCAGACTTGACTTCGTATGCCATGTCTTCTAAAAACACACCTGCAAGGCTTATCAACACAGTTTTCAATGCCAGCCCAATCTTGAGCTTTCCTTCTATAAGCCTAACGAGATACTTTGCTTCAAGAGGTGAACACTTCGACATTATCCCAAGAATTATCATCTTTTTCACTGAGACACACTTTGTGCCTTGTTCTTTAGCAACTCTTCTTAATCCATCAAACACTATTTGTACATCTAGCTGTACCTGCGAGATAAATAACTGTGACACTCTGTACTTCATTGCAACAACTCCCAGATCTCCTTCCTTCGAATACTCGTTCTTAATGCCAGCAATCGACTTACCAGTGTATTCAGCAACAATTCCCATCAACATGCCTTCTCCCACTCCCAGTTCAATATTGAAATGCTCTGGATACACAGTGGCTGTGGAAAGATACAAAACAGCAACCAATGCTTCTGAAGCATTACTGTGAATGTCCTTGAGGTAATCAGTCAAAATCTTTTGGATTTCTAGGCGTTTTGAAGTCAGACTGATTCTTTCCAACACTTTGCAAAAGTCGATGAACAGAACTCTTCCTGTCATGGGTTTGTAAGTTTATGCGCACCTGAACAAAATACTTGTATATTATAGATGTATCAATGCAAAGTGCATAATCATGCGAATGATAGAAATATACATGCTATATGGCATAGTAATGCATTTAAGATCATGAGACTCCATGTTTTAGCATAATGAGCATAAACTTTGTGTATTCTATGAAAGATTCAAGTGCATATTTATACATGCATCAGGCATCTCAGATGTGGCAGACAAATATTTTTAGCCCATTAAGCATGGAGAAGAGAGAACTCAAAGAAGAGCTTATAAACTTTATCTTGAACAAAAAGTACGGAATTGATGCGTTTGATCCACCAGTATATGCGAATGCACTGAACAGTATTCCTAAGGAGCATGTACCTAGTGGGTTGATAAGTGTGCTAGATACATATGCTTTATCGATTTCTATTGAGGAGGGAATAAAGTTCCTAGAGTGTTTAGATCCATTTGTGAAGAGAATTGAATCAGATAAGCTTAAAGATATCATTTTTGGAATGATCAACATTAATCAGGTGATGAATAAGGCAATTAAAGATAAGAACAAGATGCAAAACTTCATAAATGTGTGTGAGCTATATGCAGAGCAATTTAAAACAAACAAGAATTTACTGAAGGACTTCAATATGGCATTTAAGGGTGACCAAGGGAATCTTGAAATAGACGCGTCTTCTGTGAAGGCAGTAACAAGGTTTCCACCTGAACCGAATGGAAGACTGCACATAGGGCATGCTAGAGCAGTGCTGCTGAACTGGTATTTTGCAAATAAGGATGGAGGAAGGCTGATTGTGAGGTTTGACGATACAAATCCTGAAAAAGAGCGTGAGGAGTTTGAGGAGGGGATTTTAAAAGATATTGGAATGCTTGGGATAACAGAATATACAGTGTCGCATACAAGTGATTATTTTGATAGGATTATTGAGTATGGATTTTTCATGATTGAAGAAGGCAAGGCATATGCAGATAACACACCACAGGAGCAGATGAGGAAAGAAAGAGGAGAAGGAATTGAGTCTCAGTGCAGAAATACAAGCATTGAAGTTAACAGAAAGGTGTTTGAGGAGATGATTGCAGGAAATGCAGGAGGATATTGCATTAGAGCAAAAGTGGATATGTCGAATGTGAACAAGGCGATGAGGGATCCTGTGATATTCCGAGTGTGCCATAGTGAGCATTACAGAACTGGGTTACGGTATAAAGTGTATCCAACATATGACTTTTCATGCCCAATTGTTGACAGTCTGGAGGGGGTGACGCTGTCGCTGAGAGCAAATGAGTATCGTGACAGGAATGCACAGTATTACTGGTTTATTGAGAATCTTAAACTTGAGAACAAGCCAAAGATCCACGACTTTTCGCGACTGAGCTTTGAGAACACTGTTTTGAGCAAGAGAAGCCTCAAGTACTATGTTGAGAATAAATTTGTTAGTGGATGGGATGATCCGAGGCTTGCAACAATATCAGGAATAAGAAGACTTGGGATGAGCATGGAGGCGCTGAGGGAGTATATTCTGATGCAGGGGATGTCTCAGAAAAGCTCAATAATATCATGGGACAAGATATGGGCGATTAACAAGAAGAAGGCAGATCCTGTTGCACCAAGGTATTTGTGTGTAAGGCACAAGGATGTGATTGAAGTGGAAGTAGAAGGTACGGATGATTATTCAATGCATATACCATTGCACAAGAAGAATACAGAACTTGGAATGAAGGAAGTTTTCTATTCGAAAAGCATTTTGCTTTTACAGGAGGATGGACAGGTTTTAGAAAAAGAAGAAGAATTTACGTTGATGAACTGGGGAAATGCAATAGTTAAAAGCAAAACGATTCAAGATGGAGTGATAAAGAAGATGGTGATTCAACTGCATCTTGAGGGAGATTTCAAAACGACAAAGAACAAGATATCATGGATATCAAAGAAGGGAAGCATGATTGCAGAGTTTGTGGAGTATGGAAGCCTGATGAATGAAGTGGAAAGCGAGGATCTTGCAGAGCGATTCAATAAAGATTCAATGAAAAGAGATTACTGGTATGTGGAGTCTGCAGCGATGCATGTGAAGCATGGTGAGGTTGTCCAGTTTGAAAGGATTGGATTTTATTACTGTGATGCATTATTTGTGTTCAATATGATGCCGTTCACCAAGCAGAAGAGATCTGAATGCTGATGGAAGATGGAATGGCGTTTATCCAGGCTGTTTGATGACTGATACTGCAAGCCGTGCTAAGAGCATGAAAAAGCGCTGTCGTTCGTGATGCCTATGAAGGTGGGATTGACAGTGACATGGGAAGTATCTAATGGTTATTAAATGAATTATTAATATTTGGGGATATACAGTTGATGATTAATAGGTTATGAGGTTATTGATTATGCTGGTTAATAATTAATATATCAACGCATAAATGGATCTGAGTCTTGGATACAGACCCATACATGGCTGACATGATTGATGGCGGGAGAAGATTGCAATGCAGAGAGTTGGAGGCGGCGCTGGGATTGATGAAGCTTAACTGGATGCATAAAATCCAGGTGTCTGAGCAGCAGCCCCGGAAGACAAGGTTACAGACATGCATTCTGAATAGTGTATTTAGGATGTCGAGGTTTCCATCGCCGAAGAGCGTATTTGATATTGCGCTTTTGATTAATGTGCATCCGAAGTCTGTTCAGAAGTGGTTCCAGAATGCCAGGCAGCTATCAAAGCGAAAGTCTCTGATTGCTAATGATGCTGGAGGACAGGATGTGAATATCAAGCATAGAGCCTTTGACATCACAATCGATGTTCTAGTTGAAATAGTGCAAACTGAGACTGAAAAAAGGCGTTGTATATGATTTGAATATGCTGCAGTGATGGCAAGCTGATTATGTATTTTGAATGCTGTTTTGTATCACCTCGTTCGTAATTAAGGTGTTTATTTAATCAACTGATGATGCGGTTTCAAGTTGTTCAACAGCAAATGTAAACAACGTGAAGTTTTGATGCACTCACATGCTTTCTGAAGTCCTGAGTGAGATTGAACTGCATCTGAATCAGATTGAGAATAGCGGTTCAGTTTGCAAAGAAAACATTGTAGCAATTGAGGATGCAGTTCAGCTCTGTGATAAGTTAATTGAGTCTTGCCAGCAGCCATCAAGGTTGCTAAGACAATATTCCTTTCTTATTAACAGATACAGAACCATAATGCCTTATAGAGAGTTGGACATAGAAATATCAGCATGTGAAGCACACATAGAATCAATAGCAAGGCAAAACTCGATGGTTAGACTTGAACAAGGCATCTACGAAATCATCTCGATTGCAGATTACATCGACCACACAGTCCAGGATGCCAGACTTACAATCGACAACATTGCACAGTATCTCGAAGATGCAGAAAGGTACACAGCCATGGCTGGTCAGGAAATGAATGCAGTAATGAGTAGAAAACGATGGAAAGTTAAGGCAATCAGATACATAATTTCATTTGTATTTACTTTCCTGGCCATTTTATTATTCATCAAGGTAGCTTTCTAATACCAAATCTCAATAAATTCTTTCAATAAATATTTAATCACACCGTACATATTTACTACTCATTAGCATAAATCCATCGCATGACACAACAAACTCTACATGCTTGATAGCTTGGCCCTCTTATTCCATGGAATATATCTTTTACAAATCGAGACATCTCCAAGAGATTCAATTTTCTTGGCTAGCATAGGATTTATGAATCCAAAAAACTCCTCCATGTTCTTATACTCAACCACATTCCCAATGCTGTTCACAAACTGCTCCCACATCCCAGGGCCATGCCACTCCCTTCCGTCATCCGCCGTTATCACAGGCCCTTTCTCCGCATCAACGCTGCAAATGTAAAGAATCCTGTCTCTTGATCTCTTGTTGTATGTGTCATGCCCTCGATACTTCTTCCTGCATGCATATCCTATTGGATATATGGCTGTCTCCGTATGGAACCTTTCAGGATCCTCAGTTGGCAATCTTCCTATCTCAATCAGTGACAATCTGTATGCTCCTGTTCCAAATATTGCTGCCTGTTCAGTTTGACTCTGCTGAAGATCACTTGTATTCATTCCTTTGCTCTTCTCAATTGCTCTTCGAAGCACTTGTTGATCAACCATCTTTTTGTTTATTCTCTCACAGGCCATCCTTCTCAGGTTATGGAGCTCTTTTCTTCTTCTGTATGCATCCACAAACCTTTTTGCAAATGCATCTTTCTCCATTCAAGCAGGGTTTCCTCAGTTAACTTATTTGCATTACCACAAAAGCTTCATTGTTATTCATTATCATTACTACTCACATCTCCATCATTGTTACTCATCACATCCTCACCATACTTTCCATCATTATTGCTCATTCCAATAATCATTTAATTAATCAATAAGTCTCCAAACATCCTTTAAACATACCATTTATTTTCATTATTCATCTTCCTTTCCCTCGCTCAATGCAAACTTCAATCCAAATCCCTTCTCAGTGAAGTCCAATGCATTCTTCTTGATAATACTCACGTCATCTTCACTTCCAAGGACTATGCTGAGCTTTCCATCATTTCCAATTCGCACAGATTCAATCCCTGCCATCCCATAAACCATTGCTATCCCCTCCACTACATTGTCCTTTTCACACTCAACAACTATATCTCTTCCCTCTCCAGTTTCATACACCACATCCTCATTCAAAAAGGTCAGAATCTCATTCTTGATATACACAGTTCCATCAATCTTCATAATAATAAATTGGTGACTTACTCTACTCTGCGTCTTATCGCCATACACAAACTGCCCCACTACATTCACAATCGACCGCTCCTCATCTATCTTCTGGTGTGACACGTGAGACACCAGTACCTTAGTCAGCACACCCTCAATCTTACTCTTGATATACTTCATAAATCCCTCAGTACACTCGTCAGGACTCTCTGTCTCCTTGCATATCGTTAGCTTAGAGCCATCCACATAGTAATTTTGTATCATCGAAGGCTTATTGCACAGTGCATTGTAGTAATTCTTCACAAACACAACTTCGTTGCATTTCGATATACTTGCCATCAGGGAGCAAAAATTTACAATGTTTTGTCAACGCTCCCATGGGATTCACTGCTCCTGGTATAAACACTCTGCCACCTGATGTGCCAGACATCGACACTCTCAAGAAGCTCATAGCAGATGCAAGAATAGATGAAATAGACAGAAGAATATCAGATCCCACATCAAGCAGTGATAAACACCTTGTTACATGGCTCAAGTCTAAAAGACAACAATTAATAAACACTCGGGTACTCGGTCACAGCACCTCAATTTCAGGGACTCTACTCTCAAGTAAGGTGTACATTCCTGTTCAAGAGTTTCCAGAATGTAACTTTATTGGATTGATCCTGGGTCCAAAAGGATCTACACAGAAACAACTTGAAAGAATCACAAAATCAAGAATATACATTCGAGGATCATACAAAGACAAACACATGGAGCCATTACACTGCTATATCACTTCAGAAACTCAAGAATGTCTTGAAAAGGCAATCACTGTCATAGAAAACCTCATAGAAGAATCTGTGTTATTTGGAGACAACAATAAACTAAAAGCTTTGCAACTGCAAACAATAAACAGTCACAAAGGAATCGATAATAAATCAATAAATCCTTGGAAAAGATTCTATTGCTGGTGGATATATCACAATAGAACTCATCAGTAACATAACCACAATATACTTTTATTCAAGCATCGTTCCAAGTAATGAATCAAATCCAACTGTATTACAAATACATAAACGCATAATAAAATCAATTTGTATTTATTTTCTCATAGCAATCTCCATTTACTGACAGAACAATCTTATCCTCCAATACAAGCTCATCCAATGCTTCCCTAACCATCTTCTCATCTGCTCTAGTATGTTTAACCACTTCTGCAATAGTAGCCTTGTCTCCAGCCATCAGTAAAATCGCATCTTTGAGGCTTTCCATCATCTTGCCCCTGGACACACTTCTGCCAGTCATCACCATGTCCATGTCAATCTTCCCAGTGGACGGATCAATTGCATACATCAAAAGACTCTCTCTGATAATCCTCTCAGCCTCCTTCACATCCACACAATCAATAGTTTCAGAAAACCTCATTCTTGCATGTGCTTCACTGAGCCTTACCAGGCTCTCCAATTGTCTTGTTGTTGCTGTTATTGTCTTTCCATTATCTAACTGTCGCAAATCAACATAGCATTGTGTTAGCTCCTTCATACTCTCCGTGGTTAATCTTGGCATAACCCTTTGTGCTTCTTTCACATATGCTCTGAAAAAAACAACGTCAATAGCTTCCTTCTTCTTCAAAGGCTCGCAATACATCGATACAATATGCTCGCCTATTTCACGGTCATGCTTCTCATCAGATTTATCTATTAGCAAACAAACAACATCAAACCTGCTGATCAGCGTCGGAGGGAGGTTGATATTCTCAACAATGCTTTTCTTCGGATTGTATCTGCTTTCTATAGGATTACAACTCGCGAGGATTGAGCATCTTGCATTCAGCGTCGTTATTATCCCCGCCTTCGCAACAGATACTGTCTGCTGCTCCATCACCTCGTGTAAAACACTCCTTGCATTTTCACTCATTTTATCAAACTCATCAATGCAGCATATGCCCCCATCAGACAGCACAAGCGCTCCAGATTCCAGGATATACTGTCCAGAATCCACATCCTTCGATACACTTGCCGTAAGTCCCACTGCACTCGATCCACGTCCACTAGTGTATATTCCCCTTTCACATATCCTGTGTATAAACCCCAATAGCTGAGACTTCGATATCCCAGGATCTCCTGCCAGCAGCACATTGATGTCTCCTCTCAACCTTGAGCTTCCAAGCTCCTTTCTTATGCCTCCAAACAGTTGCAAAAGAAGTGCTTTCTTCACATCGTCCATTCCACATACCGATGGTGCTATAGAATTCGCTAAAACCTCATACACATCAGGTCTCCTACGAAGATCATCAATCTGCGCAATAAATCCATCCTCATTCTTCTTCCGCTTCTCAACTTTGTAGTTTGTTAACTCAACATACACCCTGAACGAACTCTTGATTTTCTTCATCACAGGATTCAATCTCACAGGCGTCGCCTTCAAAATCCCAGATATCTTCACCCTGTCGCCAGGAACAAGCTCATCAACAAACTCGTTTCTACACACTACAGTAAGCGTCATTGGAGTTGCTCCATCTGGCGTTCCCTCAGGAAGCTCTTGGATCTTTACAATCTGTTTGTCTTCAAACTCGCTTCTGTTGTGCACCATCTGCTGTGTGTATCTGCCTCCACATTCACACTTACTTGGCTCCTCAATCAGATTCTTCACACTCTCTACAAAACATTCTCTCATGCATCTCAGGCACTTGAAAAAAGCCCTTGAAATCTCAGGAATCACACAGGACGTTCTAACAACCATTCCTGTTGCTTGTATAAGGCGATCAATTCCATCTGGATTAATATTACGAATTGAAAGCACATCACCAATCCCATACGGACGAATCCTTATCTGACGGCTAAAACTAGGAAAGCTCTCCATAAATACCTCTTGTAGCGAGTTCTGCATGATCGGCAGCACCTCCTGCGGATACATCTCAACCTGTCGCCTTAGCTCATCCTCAAGGTCTGCACAATCAAGATCAAACACAAACTCTTCAGTAAGATCCATTTGTTCAATCGCATCAAAATATCTTCTATTCCTTCTCACAAACTCCTTGAACCGTTCTGCTGTCTCGTGTACATCTATTGTTGTTCCCCACACTACCTTGACCCTCTCAGTTTCCACCATTGGCGTGAATGTGGAGCTGAGATCGTCCTGTGATGGTGTAAGGTTGATCTGTGTGTCCTGACTTGCATCATAAAACGAAAATGCAGATGACTGCGGATCTGAATCCATTTGGGGTACTCCACATGCTGTTAACATCCACAAAATATTTACCCTGAATGGACATCCTGAAAACTAAGTACAACAAGAATCCACTAGTCGGTGATGTTTACTGCCTCAACAGTCTGAAAATCATTCTTGACGATGTGATCAAGGAATTCATGGACACTGTCAAAAACTCAAAGCAATCAACAGTGTCTTCAGACATCAAGATCTCTACAGGGCTGGTTTCTGCTGCGATCACTGGCGCAACTGTTTATATCTCATTGACATCCGAGTTCAAGCAGCACAAGAGCATAATGACTGTGCTTGTTGTGGCATATTTTGTCATAAACATATTGGTGGAAATTTACGAAAGATGGAATGGAAAGTCTATGGTATTTGGTAGTAAGACAGTATCCACAACAATCAATGCATCTGATGCAATATACACAGTTGTTGTACATGACAGCACTCAGCCTACCCCAAACAAATACACAAGATCAGTTTTCGAATTGTTTGATTCAGATGGAAAGCTGATCCACGAACGATTCATCGAAGATATCCAGGATCTTTTTGAAAAGTAAACAGTATATTACCATCCACACATCTAAATCAACTTATTCATTCATATACTTTAATTGTTCCCATGGTGCCTAATTCACAATCTATAATGGCCTTAGCTTTATTAATACAAAATGCTTGCATGCATGCAATCTATGATATATACAAACATATCAGATAAAAGGGAGCCATCCAATATACATCATACACAGGTTCTCATCACTCATCGCTTCTTCATTAAGCATTTCGCATTTGCTACTTGTATCTAAATCATCCAGCTTGGCATTCAGCTCATCAATGATCCTCTTCGGCATCTCAATCGATTTCCTTCGCCACTCAAACAAAGGATCATATACAAACGACAATAGATTCGATACAAGTACATTCTTGTTGTGGAGAAATAGTTCCAGTGTGTTACCAAGTGCATCATTGTACAACCCTTCAAGTCTCATCACGCCAAATGCATCAACAATATTCTGTGTAAGCCTATAAGGCACCCGCTCAGGTACAGAAATTTCATACCCCTTGCCAAAGATACAGTTCAGATCAACATGGATTGTGTCTCCTGTCTTCGAGTCAAACATAATGTTCTCTGCATGCCTGTCTCCAAGACCCATGAACCATCCAACAATATTCATCATTGCATACGTCCTAGTAAAGTTATTTCTGGCCAAAAGCCAGTTGAAAGGGCTGGAAAAGTTATTGTAGAACCACATGTAGAATCTCGGCGGAAACCTCAACACCGTCTCCATCCAATCCTTCTGTCCAACTCTCTTGTTCTTTGCAAACTTTCGTGCCACATCAGCAATCGACACACCTTCTTTTGCATAGTACTCCTCACAGATTGCCTTCAATGAATTCAGTCCCTCTATCCATTCAATTATTCCACTTTCGTGATTGAACGGAATGACTACATATGTCCTGATGTACATTTCACCTTCTCTCTTCTTCGCCATGTTATTGATTATAATATTCAGGTCCATAAACCTGCTGTCTTTCCTCAGATCATCCTGGTTCTTACATAGCCAATAATACATCCTGCCATCCTCACCGACAAAACAAATCCTCTTGGGCTTCTGCAGCGAGTTCAACACCTCAATCTCATTTTTTACCCCGTTTATAAGCACATTTGTATTTGGCACAACTATGCCTGCTGGAAACATATTTGAAAACACAGGAAAGTCCGTAGCCATCGATATTTTGTTCTTCTTGCACTTTGAAATCTCAATCAGCATCTCAGATACTTTCTTAATATTTGCAAATACAACCTTATTATCTAAGCACAATCTGGACATTATACCGTCCATCCTTCTTCTAGTGTTTAGAACCTGCGAGTTCACCATTATCAGTGACTTCCAGAATGTTTCATTCGGGTAGCTCTCCATGAGCACATACACAACGTTACAAATCTCATCAACAACCTCGGTGTTTGGGTGACTGAGTCTTGAAAGAATCTGATTATAATATGGCGGAAGAAGCTTGATGCTCGTTTCCACAAATCCTTTCAGGAGACGTGCACCCGTACTCGTATCACTTGGCGAGCTCATCTCAGAAAACAAGTGGAAAATCCTCGGAATCGCTTCGTCACACAATGATTTGTCGCATTCAACACATCTTATATACAGACTCATTGCTTTCACTGCTTCAGTGCTCTCAAAACGCTTTGCACCGAGTAAAAGCAATCGTCCACAATCTCCTAACACTGACAGTGCATGCTCATATGCAGCCTTCGTGTCAACCAGTTCAGTATATCTCACAAACGCCCTTTTGTAATGCATCGAAGACATCGGAAACAGCTCCAAAAGCTTTTTAAGTGCAGACTTTGCATTGCCAATTCTTCCTTGTGCTGCTTTCAACTCTGCAAGCTCATAAAGAACCGCCCAATCCTTTTTCAGAAGCATGTCCCCAATCTCTTGTGCACATCTTGTTGCATCCCCTTCAATCCTATACTTCCTAATCATCTCAAGCCTGACATCCCTTTCAAAATCATTCAAAGATTCATAACATCCTGTATCTCCAGCACTCCCATTCCTATTACTTATGCATTTGCGTGTTTTTATGCAATCATTAATGCTCCTGCTGCCAATTGATGCAAGATCTTCAAAGCATTCTCTATCATTGCTACTCAATCGCTGGCTACGCTCATCATACTCAAATCTTCTATCAATGCTCATCGTATCCGCAAGCTCATCATAAGGTCCACTGTTTGCCTTTTCAACCATGCTACGCACACCAGCAGACAAGCTCAGGTGACATCGTAGAAGCATCATGTTGTTGTCTGCAAGATCCCGTCTTCCTGCTATCACACCCAGCGTTGATAAAACATTCGTGCTCTTAGATACAAGTTCACAATCCTTTAGAAAATGTCTGGAAAGCTCACATCGTCCATTCAATTCTTTCCATCTACAAAATTCACTTTCAATCTGTTTACAATCAGCCACAAACACCGCAATCTCATCATCACATTTACCAACAATCTCTTCAAGTAATCTACCAACATCAACTCTTTCTTCCTGTTTCACATCTTCATATTCACCCTCATTCTTGTCAATCAGCTCTAGGCATCTTCTTGCTGCTTTAAAGTTCCTATCAATACAAAATCCAAAAAACAGATTTGTTGCATTCGGTCTTGTAAACATCGAGCTAACTCCCATAACCTTTCCATAGTCTCCAATCATATAATAAGCATACTGTAACACATCAAACATGCTTCTGTGCTTATCATTTCTGATCATTCTCTCAACCACCTGGATCACCGTGTAGTATTCCTTCAGAAATAAAGCAATCCTTAGCAGATGCTTGTCATCAATGTACTTTCTTCCTGAAAACCTGTCCAGTTTAAGTATAAACCTTGGAATCATCGTATCAATCCCCACTTCCAGGTCTTCAGTAATCTCAGCTGTGATCTCTAAAATTCTATTATCTCCACATTCTAAAAACATCCTACACAAGCACAAGCAGTTAAACTCAAGAAAACTCTCATCAAGCAAACAACCATACTTAAGAAGGTCAAAATATTCTTGTTTGTTCAGCTCTTCAAGATTATACAACAGACATCTATACACATTCTCAAGAAATCTTCTGAATGCATATGTCTTCTCGTACATCTTCTCGGCACAGCGTGCAGGTAAATGCTCATAAAAGTATTGCGTGCTTCTAAATTGCTCAACTATGCTCTCAACATTCTTGTCAAACTTCTTGTTCACATACTTCAGTGTTTCTTGTATCACAAAAAAATAAATATCCTGCTTCCTGGGATTGATATCAAGTAAAAACATCTGCACCATCACACTTGCTATCGACTCCAGGCTACACTCAATATAAGGCACGTCAGAATCAATACACAGAGGATCCGTAGGTAAATACTTCCTTGATATACTTCCAATCATAGATGAACTCTTTTCATCAATCACTCGGAGCTTCTTGTAAACATCACCGATCTTCGCTCGAAAGCATTCGTCTGTAAAAAAACACCTCAGCATATTCTTCACAAACATTTCTTCATGTTCCGCCTCTGTTATATTTACTCTTGCTACATTTTCATGCACTATATTAGATTTCACTACACAATTATCCAAAACCTGCTGTTGCATAAACATCCGCTCAAGAAGCTCAACAGCTTTTGTTGTTACAATCTCTCGCACAAAATATCCCTTAGCATCAAGTAGACGTGATATCAGGTCTAAATACTCTTCTCGCCTTCGGATGTTGCTCCATTCAACTATCTTCTCCACATCCATGTATAGAAATATCCTTGGCATGCTCTTCATAAACTGCTTTGCATCAAAAAAAGATGAGTAATACTCAATAAACACACTCTTGCAATTAGCTCCACATTCATCCTCATGCTTCCTTATGAAAAACTCAATGAATGGAAAAAGGCAGTTAGATACCATGCTCATGCTTTCATTCACTGCATCTATCACATGCTTCATTACCTTAAATACACATACTCTGAGTTCAAACGGTCTTTCAACATAGATCCTCTTCAATTCAAAAAGAAACTTTGACAGGTTGTTACTGATGTACTCATTCACATCTCCAAAAAATTTTTCCAGCACGTTGTATTTGAAATACCCGTTGAAAAAAAGGGGCGCTATCACATCTACACCCATCTCCATCAATTCATGGCTTTCATATCCCATGCATTGAATCTTGTTAGGATTATCCTGTAGAAGCAGCGATACCACAAGCAAGTGGCCATGCATCCGTGAAAACTCAGGATCAGAAACATATCTATATAAAAAAGGTATCGAATAAACCACCGGGTATATGTAAAACATATTGTTCCTCACGAATACTTCACAGTCTTCAGAGAAGAACTGCACAAGCGGTCTGAAAAAATCCTCAAATCTTCTGTTATTCCTGATTTCTATGCATTCATTGTATCTTAAATCATGCGCATTCGCATAATCAATGCATGATTCATTTTTATTCCAATCACTACTAGTGTTGTGCTTTGTATTCAGATTCTCACATTGCATTGCTTCATTTCCCATCATCGCTGTAGTACTCAGATAGTATTCAAAAATCATTGGTCTGATCTTCATAAACTCTGTCTTGCTTCTCATTACAACATTCAGTATCACGTCTCTCAGAAACACATTTGCACTATGTCTTGAAAGTCCATTAAACAAAACAACAAAATAAGAAAATGTCACCTTAGGCGTGAGATCGGTGTATGAAAATATCTTTAGAACATTCGATAGATCCTCAATACCTAGCGTTTCTGAAACATGCTTCAAAAGCGTAATCATTGTATTCTCCTCACTGCTGCTTTCCTCAATTCTAAACCATCGTAAATGAAAGCAATGCTCAAGGTTATTCTGTATTTTGAATATATGCTTCAGCAATGCAGTAAATGTTCTATGTGACCTGAACGTTTTACAATGGCTCACTGCATTACACAGCTCATCAATATCCAGAATAGCCTCCCCAAGATACTTCTCTGCACACATTGCATCATCAAGATACTTCTGTGCATTAGCATCACTCCTCAAAACATGATTTCCACACACCTTGCATTTGTTCTGTTCAGCATTAACACTGCATAAAGCCACTCTTACAAGCATCCTCTCATCAGGTTCTATCACCTGTGCAGGATTCAATAAATACATCTCTTCAGCTCCAATCATTGTAGAGTGTATTATGCACTTCGGATCAACTATGGCCAACAGAATATCTACATTCACAGATTTTGCAATACGCTTTAGATACTCAATCAGACTCAAATTCTCTCTATTATCGATACATATTGCTCTAAGAACATCAAGAAACACACCTAGCTCTGCTGTATCTAAACTCGTAACATCCAGTTCCAGATCAAATTGGAAATCGCCGTACATCTTCTTGTAAAGGCAATAATTGTAAACATTTCGTCCAAGAAATTCAATGTCTTCAATTACTGTAGATGCTCTTCGTGCCTCAATCTTACTGTAGATCCATCGTAGTTTTGTGTAATTCACATGGCTGAGCATCCTCCTGAACAGAATCATGTGGAAGTCGGACTTCTCAAACTCTTCGTAAAACGCAACACTGGCATCTAGCATGCGTATAAATACATCTAGTAGATTCCCAAGAGCACCTTCGTCATCATCACAAATAGCAAGATAAATAACTGCATTCAGGATCTCCAGAGATACAATCTTGTCCAGACTGTCCTTGAATATCTGCAAATAGCCCTCTCCACTCTCTAACTGCTGTAAGCACAGATTCTTCAAGTACATATAATTCATTTCAAGGGCCTGTCTATCGGAACGTAAGAATGCTTCTAATCATGAACTTTAAATATTTATCAATATGAACGTCTTTTGATCATGAACTTTAAATATTTATCAATATGAATGTTGGCATCTAAATTCTCAGTTCTAATATTTACTTTATTCTAATTTATTCTATTCTATTATAATACCTGCCAATTTTCAGATCATCACCAACATCTATTACAATTCTTATCAACTTTCATATCATCATCTTTAAACACATCTCACTACATTACTTTAACTTACTTCCTTTAAGCGAATACATAAACATTACACTCATATATCAAATCATATTTATTTCTTGATACGACATGCTCGTGATCGTCCTTTCACATGCTTTGGTTTAGCACTCACGCCCCTTTTGCGTTCTACATGTTTTCCTCTTTTACTCTCCATAAACACTACATCGTTTTTCTTTGTTATCTGAAGCCTGGGAACCACATCCATTGGCTTTCTTTCATTCAGGATCTTGATTAACCTCTTAGACAGCTCCACTCCCTTGGAAATCAACTTCCTAACGACCTGCTTAATTTCCTCTAAATATCTCCTCTTAAAATTATCTGCATAAAGCTCAAGAATCTCAATGCAGAGTGAATATTCTATCTTGCGCATCTCAATAAGCACATCTAAAAACCTAAGCACATGTAAAACTCCCTCTTTACCAAGCCTACTTGTGCTCACACACTCCTCATACATCCTTCCAACATACTCATCACTCAGTCTTTCACTGTGCTCCTCAATCAGACAGGCCGTGGCTTCAAGTATTCCACTTCTTAGCTCCACGTTCTCAGACTTCATCCCTGCATAAAGCATCTTACAATAATACTCAAATAGCTCCTCATCAAGCATACTCACAAGCTCTCCAAGGCATTCATCACTTGCCTTTCTTGCCTTTACATTCTTCACAGTCATCCCAATAACCAGTGCCGGAATCATCTTATTGAAATATTCCTTCCTCCTTCCATCAAAGCATCCACATCCATTCTTGTATATCTCATACAACAGTTGAATCCTCCATCTCAGTGATGAGTCTTTCAGGTTTTCTACAACCTCATGCGAAAACATGCTGTCACATATGCACAGATCAATCTTCTGCTCTCTCTTCATGCAGCACAATAATTGGTACGCTCGCTTCTGAATCCCACTCTCGCTGCTCTGCACAAACTCAATCAACTTCCCATAGAACTCAAAGTCGCTGTGCATCCTGCCAACAAAGTACCTTGCCACCCTTAACGTATCACTCACTCCACTTAAGTTCCATCTTCCAACCCCAATAGACTCAATCTTTGGATGATAAACAATATACTCACGAACTTTCTCACAAATCCCATAATCTTCAACCTCAAAAAGCCTCTGCAGAAGCACATCCAGTTCCTCAGATCCCTCTCCACTCTCTATGCACAGAATCTCAAGCCCAATCCCACTTGAAAAAATCACCTCAAGTATTCTCTTCGAATCCTCTGCAGCAATGCTGTTCCTAAGTGCCAGTCCTCCTTTGATATTGCTTTGGTGTGAGTGTATCATTCGATTCAATCCGTTGTAAACAGAACTCACAACATTTCTATTACTCAAGCCCATCTTCATCACCTCTATAAATTCTCCAATCATTCCACTGTGATCAGAGCAATAATTACAGAATGCTGGTAAACAGTTCAGCAAAACACACATCTTCATGCTATTCTTGCCTTCATTCTCAATCACTCTCTTATACAACTTCATAAAAAACCAAATATCGCTGTTACATGATGCCCTGAGCACAGGAGCCCATCTCTCTACATCAATCAAGTCATCATCATACATCCCAAGCAGCTCCTCAATACCCATCATCACTCCCACTGCTCCAAGAACAAACTGATACTTATTATCTCCCTCAATATACTTCTCTCCCATAAATCTTACAAGCCCAAGAAACTCAGATCCAAGAAGATGCCTTATCGACCTGATAAACTCATAAACTTGCTCGTTGTCCAGCTTACGCTCCTCAAACTCCCTTCTAATCGCACACTTGACTCTCATACTTACTTTCATCATGTGCCTTCCACTCCTCAAAAAAATCCCAAGATCCTTCTCTGAAATCATAGAAAACACCATCAAGAGCTTTCCTCCCCTCATATGCTCCATTTCAAACAGATCCTCAAGCTCACGAATAACATACTCAAAAACATCCTCGTTTACATCTTCAACACTCATCTCAACAGCAGTATAATTATACAACAAATCACAACATTCAGAATACAGCGCCTTTCTTTCAGAATCATCCAGCAAATTCTGCTTCCCATCCATACTTCCAGATCGTCCCCTCATCAACTTGTCTTTCATCTCTCCAAGATTTCTTCTCACATCAATCTTTCCATGTAAATACTTAAAAAAACAGTTCACATGTCTCATCCAGTTTATATCATCAAGTTCTTGTAAATACTCCACAAACCATTCACAAAACTTCTCCTCACTCAGGTAGCTTTCAATCAACTCTACTGCCTTCTTCCTCATCCCCTTCTTCAAAAAACACTCCTCCACTACAATCTTCATGTGCTCAATACTGTGTCTTCTTACATTCACAAAATGCTTCATCAGACGAAATCCTTGCCTCCAAATCGCATCATCATCAAATCTCGTTACTATCATTCGAATCAGCTCGTTCACACACACTCCATCTTCCACATGCTCTTTATATGCAAGAATAATTTGGAGAAGCTCATCTATTCTCGTATGTTCATTCTTCCTCCCCAGCTCTAAAACAGTGTCAATAACTGCACTAACAACATTACTTGGTGTGCCATCCGTTCCAGTAAACGCCAGATTCATCCGAATTATTTCAAAAACTCGCTTCACTTCATCTTTAAGCTCAACTTCCATCCCTGGGCTATTTTTACTTACAATATCTACAATCTCATCCAATACAGTTTATGCAATACTCAGTATATCAATAAAATTTATGCAATGCCAGTAAAGTTCATATAGTATCTACAGTGAATCAGTAAAGTTTATGTAGTATCTACAATACATCATTAAAACTCATGCAACATTAACCTGCATACCAGTAAATCTCATGAAATATCAACATTAAAGTGAACAGATATCACTAAAATAAACAGTATACCAGTAAAGTGCAACATCTCCATCATCCAAAAAATATCAACACCAACACTAGCATTAACATCAACTAATAAAGTAGAACACCAATCAGGCACTCTCTCAAAAACAATATTCAGAAATACCATTTAATCACTCTTATACCACCTCGGCATCATCTCGCTTCTCATGTCGGTTCATTGTTTCATTAATAAAGCTATAGACTTTCGCACTGTACTCATTCGGGTTCTGCAGCATGTATCCATTGTGGATAAGCGCAGTGTCAAACAGCACCTCTAGCAGCTTACTCATCGACTCAATATCGTTGCTCTCAAACTGCTCCTTCATCTTCTTAATCAGCCCGTTATTCGGATTCATCTCAAATATCTTCTTGCTTACCGCCGTCATGGCTGCAAGTGGATTCGCCTCTGTAACAGGCTGCGATCTCATTATGTTCTCCATCGCTCCAGATAGAGAGTATTTAGTCGTAGAAATAACTATTGGTATATCAGCTCCAATCCTTGTGTTCACTGACACCTTCTCAACCTTGTCAGACAGTATATCCTTCACTTTCTTGCAGAACTCCTCGTGAGACTTCACAACCTCCTCAGGCACATTGTCTTCCTCAGGCAGCTCAACTCCCTCACTTGTGATCCTCTGTACTGAATGTCCCTTATACTTCTTGAACCCACGCAGCATCACCTCGTCCATCACATCATACATGTAAACCACCTCGTACTTCTCAAAAGACCTCAACACTGGATTAGACTTCACCTGCTCCTTTCCTATCCCAGTCAGCACATATATCTGCTTCTGATTCGCATGCATCCTTTCAACATACTTATCAAGCGTCACCATCTCGTCCCCACTCTTTGTTGTGTAGTATATCAGGCACTTTGCATAATCATCTCTTTGCGAGTCGTTAGCCTCTCCAACCGCCATCTTCAAACTGTTTCCAAACTCTTTGTAGAACGTCTTGTACTTATCCATGTCGTTCGATAGCTTCCCAATCATTTCAAGGATCTTCTGCGGAAGCGTCTTCTTCACCATCTTCATCACGCTCGTGCCCTGTATAAGCTCCCTGCTAATGTTCATCGGAAGATCGTCAGATATTATTGCTCCGCTTACAAACCCCATCCACTCAGGAATCGCATCCCCAAGCTCATCAGTCACAAACACATTATTACAGTACATCTTGATATTGTTGTTCTTCTTGTTCCTATTGAACATGTCAAACCTTGCCCTCTTAGGAATAAACATCAACAGCTTCACAGTCACTATCCCCTCAATCTGCCAGAAGTCCATTGCAAGAAAATCATCCCAATCTCCAGAAATTGTCTTGTAGAAGCTCTTCATCTCTTCCTCAGGAACCTCTTTGATATTCCTCTCCCATAGAGGCTTCTCAACATTAATTCTCTCCATCACCGTCACAGTTCGCTTTTTCTTCTCACTCACCTCTTCTACTTTTGGTTCACTGCTTTCTTCAACTTTGCTTTCATCCTTCTCTTCCTCGACATCAACCTCCTTCTCAACAGGTGTGCATATAGGATACAGGTTGAACGAGCTGTATTTCTTTACCGTCTCAATAATCCTGTTGGACTCAAGGAATTCCACACTCTTATCCTTGATGTGCAGTATCAGTGACGTTCCATGTGCAAATTCCTCGCCTTTATACTCTTCTATTGTGTATCCATCCTTTCCAGTCGACGTCCATTTCAACGCCTCACCCTTTGGATTCTTCGTTATCACTTCAACCTTCGATGACACAAGGTATGCGGAATAGAATCCTATTCCAAACTGTCCAATCAGGTGCGCATTCGCTCCCTCTTGTCGTGCCTTCAACGCCTCCGTGAATTCCTTGGTTCCACTCTTTGCAATCACTCCCAAGTAATTATTCAAGTCCTCTCTAGTCATTCCTATTCCATTGTCCTTAATCGTCAGTGTCTTAGCTTCCTTGTCAGGAATAATCTGAATAGATAATGAAGCCACAGGGTCAAGAGCAAACTTCTCAGAACTCAGCTGCATATACAACGTTCGCAGCTTGTCACACGCATCGCTTGCATTCGACACCAGCTCCCTCAGGAACATCTCGTCAGACGAGTACACGCTCTTAATCATCATGTTCAATACTTGATCCATATCAACTCCAAATGCATGGCTTTCTGCATGGCTTTCACTGGACATACTCTTCTTATCTCAAACGTTTATATATTTTATCCTTCCCAGAAAAAACAGCAAAAATCTAGAAAATCCAATCATGCTCAAGTTATGCATCAGCACATGGAATCAAATAATTGCCAATCACTCATGAAATATTTGCCAGGTAACCACTTGAACATCCACTAGATAACTCATTAAGCATCAACTGAACATTTACTAGGCATCAACTGAAATAATAACTCATTAAACGTTCACTAGATAACTCACTAGATAACTTGTTAAACAACTCATTTTATTCATTCACTTTCCCATCTAACTCATTATTGCTATATCTACTGTTTTGTATTTCATCAATTACTCATCTATTCACCTCCACTAGCTCCTCCTCTACTACTTGTAATCACTTACTTCTATCCATTGATAGAAACTTCTCAATGTCCCTTACACACTCATTGTATGACTCATAGCTCTTGGCATTCTCTGCAACCCATCGAGATAGCTGCCCACGCACTCGGTTTTCACTGTACCTGCTGTCCACCAAAATAATCATTCCCCAGTCGTCCTTGTGTCGCAATACTCTCCCAAGCGCTTGGTTCACTGCCCTGAATGCCTGTGTTTCATACCAACTCCTTCCGCTCTGACTCTTGTACTTATCGTTGAACTCCTTCTTCAGCTCCACCTGTGGATCGTGTAGGCTAGGATACGGAATCCCAATCGCAATAACAGCCCTTGCAAATGAGTCCTTGAAGTCTATCCCCTCGCTTGCCTTCCCTCGGTAGACACAAATAAGCACCGCACTCTGCTTCATCGCAATCCTGCTCTTGTATCTCTTCATCACATTCTCAAACTCATTTCCAGATCCACTCTTCGGTTCAGTTAGCACTCCCGGCCCCATGCTTTTCTGCAGGTTCTCAAGAAAATTGTAGCTGGGCACAAATACAAGCGTTCCTCCATGCTCCCGGATCCTGCCAGAAACATCCGCAATAATCTTCACAAGCTGCTCAACATACTGCGCACCCATTGTCCCATACGTTCCAACAAGCTCCTTCATCAGGTGCCCCTTCCGAACACTCGAGACAAACACCTGCTCCGATCTCACAAGATGCGGCGCAACTATCGTGTGCAAAAATTCATGCCCAAGCTCAGAAGAAAATGACGAAAATGGTGTCAGTGTCCCAGACAAAAGCACAAGAGACCGGACCTTGCCAACAAACGGTCGAAACACTTGTCCTGCATCCATCAGCCAGAAGTTATAACAGAACTTACTCTTTAACACTCCCTTTACTCTTTCATCATCTGTCATGTGCAAAACAAACGAATATGCATCGCACTCACTGAAATGTATTGCAGATAAAACAGAATCAAGTCCTTCAAGAACATGGAGCGTATTCATGTTCAACAGCTCCTTTGCATCCTCGCTCTTCTGGATCGCATAAATTGAATTCTTGAATTTCAGTACTGCTTCCTTACTTATGCCCATCCTATCAAGCTCCTTCCTTATCTGCTCTCCCTTGCGTATTCGGAATCTCCCTGATGCACTGCTTTTATCAAACTCTCCTCCATCAACCCCATCCCTCAATCTCTTGAATAGCTCCATCACATTCATAAAGTCTACCTTAACATCTCCCAGCATTGAACTTCTCTTAGCTGCTCCACTAAGCTCACCCTGTATCATCTCCATCGCCCTAGATGTCAGCTCAACTGATCCAGATGACCTACACACATCCTCAATGTTGTGTGCTTCATCAATAATCACCACACAGTTCTCAAGATTTATCCCAGTGCTCTGTCGGATCTTGGGATCTATCAGGTAATTATATGGTGCAAATATCACTTCTGCATCCTCATTAAGGATCCTTGATGCGTAGTATGGACATCCAACACATCTCTTACCTTCTGCTTTCAGCTCCTCAATGTCAAACACTTTGTCACCAATTCTCTTTGCAAGTCTGTCCTTCCCTGTGAAGTACACACACCCGCCAACCTTCACAAGATCATTGCATCCTGTGTTCTTGTCTGTTGCATCAGCAAGCTTTGGGCTTACACAATACTGACTTCTGCTTGCAAGTATTGACATCCTTGGACTGTATCGTGTTTTCTTCAGCTGTGAAATCAGCTGATCAAGCTGCTTATGTGTTCTTGAACATATTATCACCTTCAGCTTCTCTTCACGTACATCCTCGCCTGTGGACATTCCACTCCCCCTTCTCTTTGCGTTTGTCTCCTGTGTTCCTCGTTGCAAATACTCGCTGTATCCAAGCACTGCACATATAATCGATAAACTCTTTCCTGTCCCAGTCGGGCTCTCAACAAGTCCGCTTGTTCCTGACATCAGACACATTATCACCTTCGTCATTGTCACAATCTGTGCAGGATACGGCTCAAATGGCATCTCAATAGGCACCCCGCTGATCTTGATTCTGGCCATCAAAGGGCAGCTTGTATTTTGTGAGATTTGCAGCTGCACTCGTCACAGATTCATTAGCAAAGACATTGTATCTGAATAAATCATACTATTGAGTTTGATTCATCCTTACATAATTGAATTACGTGATAAATTCTTTAACTTCTCTGAATAAATCATACTATTGAGTTGCATGATAAACTTTTTAACTTTTATATAAACCACATTCACAAATGCATATCACGTAAACCCATAAACACATCACGTAAATTCACAAGCATCTGCATAGATTAACTGTTTACACTTACACCACCTCTTCAAAATACATTTCAAAAACACAAAACTACTCAGATCAATTTAATCGCTGGCAACGCTCTTCTCATATCGAGCATAACACTTCCCACACTCATATCCGCCTTCAACCCGTCTGCAAAATACCTCAACCCCACACTGTGCACATTGCATTCCGCAAACCTTCACCTTGTCTCCAGAAACACTGAAGTTGCTCAGCCATGACAGTGCCGGTTTCTTCTTCCTCAGATTCTGCTTCTTCGGTGTCAAATACGTCTTCTTCTTCTTTGCTCCTCCTCTCAGTCTCAGCACAAGATGCAATGTCGACTCCTTCTGAATACTATAATCAGACAGCGTCCTTCCGTCCTCAAGCTGCTTTCCTGCAAAAATCAGGCGCTGCTGATCTGGCGGAATTCCCTCCTTATCTTGGATCTTCGTCTTCACATTCTCAACAGTGTCAGATGACTCCACGTCTAGCGTTATGGTCTTTCCAGTTAATGTCTTTACAAAAATCTGCATCCTAAACCTATGGGTAAAATTTTACTTATCATATCAATCGATCCACTGCATAAACTATCCCACGTCGTGGCAGAACCAACAGCTCATTCAACATCCCTGCCACACAGGCATCTATGAACACACAAATCACTCAAAGTAACAGATGTAATACATGCAAACCATCACTAAGTAAAAACATACAGCATTTTTCCACTGATTCCGTACAGCCATGGAAGCACAGGATGAAATGCTAAGTCCCTGTACTTTCCGCTAATCCTATGCAATGGAACAACAAGATCGTTCGAAATATCGTTGTAGAATACAATCATCTCAGTTGGATACGACACACACATCAGATTGTATTTTCTATGATGTGCTACCTCAATCCCAATCTGCTCTTGAACCATCGTCCTTAGGATCTCATTCCTCACGTGATCATACAACACCACCTTATTCAGGTTGTTTACTAATGCAACCACATTCTCATTCACAAGGCAGAAGTCAAATACAAATGACATCCCTACACCCTCGCACACAGTCTTTCGAGTCACAAGGTCATAGACAATAATCGAGTTGGTCGTAGATACAATTATCCTAGAAAGTGTTCTATGAAATCTCATCTTCAGTGGAGTTTTCCCCCTGTCCAGGCATATCTTCATTGCCTTCCACTTCGTTAGATCACATACCGTTATTTCCTTTCCACTCACTACTCCAAGATACTTTCCATTCTGATGCACTTCTATATTGTTCACTTTCTTGCTACTCTTCAACACAGCACAAGTGCATAGTTGCTCGTCCCATCCGTTAATGCTCCGTTTCCTCTGTTTCATCTCCACTAAACTGAATGCATCTGCAATCATCTCAGTGTTGGTTATTTCATATTCAAGGCTCACAATGTATGCAGAATCTCCCACAAGTACACAAATCAACCCATCAATTGCAAATCTTGCTGCTCTTACATCTGAGTCAAACACAATCTCAACAACCTTAACAAACCCATCAAACTCATAAACCTCTAATACACGACCCTTGCATGATGCAAACATCCGATGACTTTCATGAACATTGATCCTAACTGGATGATCAAAGCAATACGACAATCCAATTTCTTTCGGGAATGGGCCAAGTGTTTCTGGCTTTGGCATTTCCTTGACAAAATCTTTAAGTTTGAACTCCTTCTTCTCTCTTGGATCATATAACCTCAAGTATATCCTCCTGAGGCTTTTCTTGAGATCTTCAGTTCTATATGACAACTTTTCAACAGCACCAGTATACTGCTCCTCCGTATTCACAAAGATATCTTGCTCATATGCATTCAAATCATCCATTCCCTCATCTTCCCATACATCCAATATCGTATTAACTAGTTGTTCGCAATCCTTCTGTGGTATGTATTGTCTTATACTCTTTCTAAGTATTCTTGGTGTGTAATATGTGCTCTGACTCTTATCTTTACGTTCTTTCTTTTCTAGTATTGGCCCATTCATTGTCTTTCTGCTGAAGCTCAGATTCAACGGTCTATATAAATCAACATCCGGATCCATACAAACGTTCTTTCTAAACGCTCTGATCACTTTCAAGTCTTCCTTGGTTATCACATGCTCTCTCCCATTGCATTTGACTTTGCGTCTGTTTTTGATCGGTCGTCTTCCAAGAAACTTTTCAATGCGATCCATCTATCAAAGGGTGGCATGCATGTGATATGAATGTATAACACATTGCAATCTCATCAATGCATAGATATGAAAACAAGTATGCAATGCACAGAGGCACCCCAGCTATGATTGTGCACAATGTGAAGGAAGGCGAATACATTGAAGATCAGGAATGCACAGATCAACTGAAAAAGATACTAAAACAGGAGGACTCTGTTGAAAAGCACATGGAACTCGTGCAGATCAGCACTGACGACTACATGTCGTGGAACATTCTCAAGCAGCACCTTATTGCACATCGCACTCAATTCAACGCACAACTTTCAGTATGTGAAAATGCACTCAGAAGCAATCCGAAGTCATATCAGGCATGGCATCACAGGAAGTTCATGATGCAGAAATTTGATGAAGAGGCGCAGATGCATTTAAGGAAAGAAGATGTACTTACTGCGTATCTATTAAGCTTTGATCCAAGAAACTTCCATTGCTGGAATTACAGGATGCAGGTGATTGGGAAGAAGGCAGCAAGAGATTTGTTTAATTATTCATATCTGCATCACAATATGGATGAAGATCCTGTTGCGATTGTATATACGGATCCATTGAATCTTGTAGGATGGGAATATCTTTATGTGCATCGTGAAACAAGAAGGATGAAGAATGGGATGTATATAAGGATTGCTGAAGGACAGATGGAGGTTGTGTTTGAAAAGCCTTTTGCGGGTGAACTCGTGATTGAATCAATGGATGAGCGTTTTTTGTGTAGATTAGATACACCAAGTATGTGCCTGAAAAGAAAGATCAACAATGTACCTAGTACGCTTACTGTAACTATTAATGGAGTGATGATGAAATTTGTACAAGAGGAGGATGATCTTGAACTTCCAAAGACGATACTGAGACTTGAAAGTGAGTGTATTGGCGCATTACAATACATTCTAGAATGCTCGAAGGATGTAGAAGAGAGAAAGAAGGCCATGGAAGAGCTGGTACGTATTGATCCGATCAGAAGGGCATACTACAACTCATTGAATCTGAAGCACTTCAATGTATATGTTGCAGCTCAATGATTGTGCAACTAAACTGTGAGCGATGGAAGAGTGAGCAAAAGATTCAAGACTGAAATGTCTATGAAGAAGTGCAATAATCAAGGATAGTGTGAAATAAAGAAGATGGTTTATTTTTTTGTCAACTTCATCATTGTATCGACTACGTCGTAATCAGAATCCACAAGTGCCTTGATGATTTCATGCCGTGGGACGCTGACTTGCGAGCCTATGAGCTTGATGTCATCTTCGGAGAGTCTTGTGCTGTCTGCACCGAATATATCATCCTCGTTTTCATGCTTGGCTTCTTTGTTTTCTGGATGATTATCTATTCTGCTGTACATTCCAACGATGTCATCAGAAGGCGTGTTTGTGGAGTCCTCGGTATATTTCTTCATGAGCTGGTCGATATTGATTGGGTTTGTAAGGTTTCCGAAGACCAACACCGAATCTGTGCCCTTAATGGCGTATGCAAGTGGAGACTGCACGGTGAATGCAACGTTGTCCATGAACATGCTTATGTTTCTTACGTCTGTGATTTCCTCAAGCTTGATCTTGGAGCTCAGTGTTTTGTGAACAAATGACTCGTTTGCAGTGAGAGATCTGGACATATAGGGATGTGCATTTGGAATAAAAATACAATTGATTTATGTATGCAGATGCATTAATGATTGTATAGAAAGGAATTCATGGGTGGAATGCTCAGGTAGGTATTGGTGATGTTTAAGTAAGTATATGATAATGCTCAGGTAAGCATATGATAATGCCAACAGAAGACATGCATCATATAATATAGTAATGTAAGAAGAAAGGAATACGGCAATCATCATGAAATACATCAAATACAACGATCCAACAATAACGAGATATAATCATGTGGGATATACTAATGCAATGGAACAATAAGACACAACAATGCAATGGAACAATAAGACACAACAATGCACCATTTCAAACTAGAATCTAACACCAACGCATAGTTTTCTCGAGGGGTTGTAGTTTAGTGGTAGAGCGCCTGCTTTGCACGCAGGAGAACCGGGTTCGATTCCTGGCAACTCCATTTTTGCTCTTCACTACATATAATTCACACAACTTCTTGTAACAAACATATCATGTAGATTTCATTATAGCAAGTATATCTTACATCTCAATTGTAAGCAATACTCAATCATCAACTCATACTCTTTTACACTTTCCAGCCCAACACCTCCTCCATTCGCACTCCACACGTCAACACATCGTCAAAATAAGCTTGCATTGTTCACACACATCACATCATGTTGCAACCCACACATGTTACAAATCGAATCATTCTACGGCACTCTCGAAAACGAATCAGATTGCATCGTCCTCATCGACATGGCTCGCAACGGTCTCATCCCGAGAATCCAACGCAGGCTCACATCCGATGAACGCAGAGCCATTCGCCACGGCAGTGTCTTCGTCTACTGTGAGGAAGAAAGCGCCATCCGAAGATGGACCGATGACATGGCATGGTCCCCATCACGTATTCAAGGCGCATTCATGGCATACAAGCAAATGCTTGCTACAAGTCCAATGATAAAAAAGACATACTCTGCAACATGTGCCAGTAGAAACTTCCATATAGTTGCATACTCTACCGCATCAGATCGCCATCCAGCTCTTCCTTCGCCATCCTTGCTCTATACTGCTTCTCGCTTACCAACAGACATCCGAATCAAGAAAAAACTTTCATTCAGAACTATCGACCTTCCTCGCCCACACATCGAGCATCCTGAAACACACGATGACTTCGCACTAGGCACATACTGGTATTAAATCATTTAACCAGTATCAAATAAAATCAATATTTATTCAATTCAACATTCATTCACTCAACAAAATATTCTTCAACAATTTATCACAACCATTCAACATAAGCATAAACTCATTCAATTTATATATTCTTTAACAATGCACATAAGCATAAACTAATACATTCACTCATTCAATTTATACATCTTCTCTAACAATCCAAAGCATATATCAACAATCATACATTCAGTTTATACATATTCTTTATTCATTCAGCGTAAACTCATTGACTCATTTAATACAACGCATATATTCAACACAAATATACTATTATACTTTTATCACTACCATTTACATAAGCATATACATTCAACACATCCACTCAATACAGCTCAGTTGTTTTTATCTCTAGCATTTACATTCAATTCCCTCTTCATCCCAATCTTACACATCTTTCGTATTCCCATCCATCCCACATAGAGTCCCACTACATACTTATTCAACACACTTCCTACAATAAGCTTCATCCCAAGTCGTAGATACGTGTAGAACAACAACAAATACACCTCATCCGTCGACTGTATCCTCATTATGTGCCGTAATGCACTCACAACACTTTTCTCAACTCCATATCCATGCTCATACATATATCCAACATTATAATGTCCTTCGGCACTGTTCATCAGCGCTGCCGACATATAGTATGCCAGTGCATCCTTGTACGATTTTGCTACTCCTCGTCCATAGAAATACGCATTTCCTATCCTATTCACCACTTCATAGTCTCCTCTTTGAAGAAGCTGCATATAAAGCCATAAAAGAATCTCATGTTGGTTATCAAATAGCCAATGCCTTTCAAGTAAATACACTGCATTCTGCATGCAATGCATCGATCCAAGCTCTGCACACATAAGTAAGGCAATTACACTCTGTCTATACTTTCCTTCTACAAAGTTCTTTTGAGCCATACTCCTCAGTTCAACCATTACATCTGAATATTCCAACACTGCTTGATATCTAGCACATGCACCTGCATACTCTCCCCTCAGGTAGTATTTCATTCCATCCATGTGTATTGCTGGAAGGTACCCCTGTCTCAATGCATTCTCCATATGCATGTCTGCATTCAAAGACTGCCTGCTCAAATTCAATAGATACAACAAATACTCAATCTCTCCAGAACGTAAAAACCTTGATGCACGAGCAAGTGTATGTCTTGCATTCTTCTTGTCCATATACTCTGATGAAAGCAGTACCTTTCCAACTCCACACATCCCAATCGCATCATTCATCTCCTTCGCTTTGGAGTAGAAAAACATTGCCTTCTCAAGAGACATCTCCACGCCTATTCCGTAGTAGTGCATCTCACCAAGGTATCCAAGTGCTCGTGCATGTCCTTTCTGTGCAAGATGCATCACTACCCGAGTGTGGTCCTTTAAAAACAATTGCTTTCTATCAAGCAGTGACAGAAATAACTGTCCAGACCCTTCATCTCCAGAATAAACCATGGTGATAATGTTCTCAATAGCCCTAGATGGTAAAAGCGTCTTTTCTAAGCTTTCAAATCGGTCCATCACACTGAATTCGTGTGGATTGTGCAGGTATTTCATGGAAACCTTCGATGATTCACTCCAGAGCAAGTCAGCTGCAAGCTTTAGGTCCTTATTTACACTTCCTGAGTTCATTGCTACAGAGCCAAGAACAATATTTCTTAAATCATCCCCACTCGACAGCACATACGCAGTTAGTGCTTCATCTGCTTTACCCATAAACACCTTCTTCACAAAGTATGAATAGAAATGATCAAACGGATCTAATCTTGTTTCACAAACATCAATTGCACTCTGCAAATCTCCGTCTTCAAACAAAGCCTTCTTTAGAGACATACATGTAGCAAATGCAAGGTATAGCACAAACATTACAACCCCAAACACCAAAACATTTAATTACTCTCATTTCATGCAAGTCAAAATACACATAAACACAACACAGCAGAACCCTTGCTTCTCTTTACTGATGGCACAGCGATCTGTGCTTTTCGTTCCCGGGAAGTACAACAACAGGCTGCACTTGTGCATGCCTTACATTTTATCATAATGTTCTATCTCTGCACTGCATCTTCCTTAGCAACTATTGCACACACACAATCTCCTTTGATTAAGACACGCTTTCCGTTCTCATCAAGAACGATGTTCATGTACTCATCGAATCCAACGATTATCCCAGCATTCTTAGAGCCAGCACTAACTCCCCAGACCTCAACAGGTATTGATGCTGAAAGAAAGTTGTACATCTCCTCAAGAGGCAGCACGCTTCTGAAATCAGTACCCATGTGCAGAGCAAAGATTTGCTATATTACATGCACAGGTGCTCTATAAGTTCCAAATATGCATAATTCTTGTGGCGTAGAAAAACACGTGCATAAAGAAATATAATTATTTGATACGAATGCCCTTGCGTCGAAGGTACTATTCAGAATCATTTGTTTAGTAAATCTATCGATACCATTTGCAGCAATTGCGATCCTTAGGGCTGGGATGACGAGTCGAGGCAGTAGGCTGTATTGAAGATGGACACTTGTGTCTACTTGATGATATATAGACGTTTAGTCCTAGCCTGCTGTGTTCTGACCAGCCTTTTAATTGTTAATGTTTTTTTAATCCCTTTTTTGTGCAGTAATTTTCTCAGTGTAAACGTATTTATTGTATTGTAGATATTATGAGAAGTATAAAATATGTTCAATGGCAACATGGAAAGTATTTAATGGCAATATGAAATTTAAAATATTATTATTGATTTTTTATATCATCAACTACATATTTCTTCTAAATACTCACTTTACTAGACACTGTTATGAAGCTGTCATGCGGCGACAGAATATTGCAGCATGATTTACTTATATACATGAAAATACTATGTGAAGTATTGAGCAAAGGTCGGGAACTTGTGTGTTTCTTTCAGGGACTTTTCTGCAGAAACTATCACACTAAGCATTTTGATCAGCTTGTTCTCCTCACTTCCGTGACTTTCAAGGATCTGTTGATTTACATATGTAGCTAGATTCCTCCTTTTACTTACTATTGCACTCTCTTGATCATTGAAAATTACAAACTCAAGCAGATCTTCTAGATGTGTCATCAGAAGCGGATCGCCAAGAGCCATATCATAAAGCTCAGAACGGATGAATTCAATAACCTCCTCAAGGAGAGGCGCAGTGTCATTAATACCATTTTCTAGACATTTGCTCTTAATCTGCATCGAAAGTTCGCATGCCTTGTGCTCCATCAAAAAGTAATACATCTTGGTGTTCCTGTCTATTATTTCTGGATTTATATCATTTATTCTTGAAATCGCAGCATCAATATCTCCAGATTCAATTTTGTTCCTTATCTCTGTTCGTTGTGATAGATAGAGTGATTTGGTAAATGAAATACCTAGGTCGTTTGCAAACTCAACAGCAACATCCCCCATTCCTTCATTGTCCAGATACTCAAGAACCAGTTCATTCAGGTTATGTTCACAAACAGGAGTGTGTAGTCTATGTGTGCATATAGAGAGTGCGTGTTGATGTTCAAGAGCATAATCGACATCTTCACTCATCACAGGGCATTTGTTTACAACAATTATGCATTGATTCATAGCAACATTGCATCATCTGTTATTACATAGTGATGTGCAAGTATGATGGCTGTCTGAATGATGAAAAGACTTGAAGCTGATAAATCGCTTTGGGCTTGTCTTTTGTGAATCTACCGTTGTCCATACAAGATACTCAAAAAAGATGCTGCTTGCTGTGTCCCAGATGCTGAATCCTTCAGACAATCTTCCAATCTGGCTGATATCCATGAATAATGCATAGTTTTCTAACAAATACCCACAGAACCGATACTGTCCGTAAGTACTTATGCTCGTACAGATCTCATTTACATCTGTGGATTTTGAATGCAAAAGTCTCCCTAACTGATGGAATACAGAAATAGGTCTTACATCAGTTGGCAAGAGGAATTTATTAATGGCAGCGAGATGGAGATTGCCATCTACATGGACTGATTGTTCGTGTGTCAGGTGATATGTTTTTCTTATCTGTGAGTCTCTGACTTTGTTGAAGTTCACTGTGATTGATCCAGGAATAAATTTACCTGCAAATTGCAGTGTCCGTGTCTCGATTATCAGTCGAGTCATCTTACAGAGTCTTGGCATCCACATAATGAGTTGTTTATGGCAGTCAATGTCTATGAGATAAACCGTGTTGTTTGTGATAAAAGCATCTGAGTGCTCCTCTATACTTTCTATGTACTGAACAGCCAATCCTATATCACGAGCAATTGTATGTATTGAGTGTGTCTTTGAGCATCCTACTGGCCCATTTACAATAATAACTGTAGATCTCATTGTAGTTAATGCATGCTTCAGCTCTTTCTGCTTTGCAGCAGGCACAAAATCGATTGTCATATTGTGGGATGCATCACATAACTTACATTATGTATAAAGTCAACTAATTTGTCATGAGCTATGTTACATCACATGTTATACATTATTCATACAGAGCACTTTGCAAGGCAATAATAGGCATTCTTGATGTTCCATTTGTATTTGAATGGACGTATAATGATCTGTGCATGAAACAAGCTTGATATGAAATGCATTAGAGCATAAACAAATAATGCTTGTGGCAGTAATTGTATCATTGATACTTGCAGTGACATGCTTCAAATACGAGGAGGACTCATCAGAACATTCCACAGACAATGTCTTCACAAGATTCCTGGAGAATACAATAAACGACACAGACATAAACCAGAACCCAAAAGACAAAACCCATGGTGTAAAAGTGGAAGACATAAATCGAACAGATAACAATCACATAAAAGAACTGAATCAACCACAAAACACCACCAAACGCCTTTCTATGATGAAAAGTAAAGAAAATGCTATTAAAACACTCAATACAGCCAGCACAGGAAGAAACAAAAGGTACATGGGCAGCAAACAGAAAAAGACTGTTTCAAGCCAAACAGAAGTACAGCCGGATCTTACATTTGAGACCCCGATATCTGCATCGCTTCTACTCAAGCCATCAAATACACAAAAAGATATTGTGATCAGTCAGGGCGATATTAAGGAAATGTCGGATTCATTGAAGGAAGTAGAAAAGCTGATTACTGGTCTGAATACATTGAAAAATAAACTTAAATCTATTCTCAAGAAGACATCACAGCCTTCAAGAGAAGACAAACCGCCCACAGACTTACTGAACTATAATTTCATAGAAGTCACCGAAAATACACAGACAGAGAGCAAGTAATAAAGAATATTGGTATTACATAATTATACTTTAGTTATAATCACTCTTCGTTGGAAAATCTTATTTACCTGGCTCATATTGAGTATACTTTGTTTATGATGTGCCATTATTATCAATAGTGCTACAGCGATTGAAGATTGGTGGCACAGTCACACATCAAATATGCAGTACAGGTGAAAAACATTATCCTTTTCATACACTTTTAGCCCACATAGCGTAATTGCCTTGATCTCACATAGTGGTTCACATTCTGCTGAATCTATTGCTGTGTAATTGCATACAAGGTAATCATTGTATATGCATACTCGTGCTGACACAGCAGCAAGTTGTTCTGCATACAACAGGTCTATGAACTGTGATAAAAGATCCACCACCATGATCTCGTGTGTCTGTGCATTTAATGTGACTTTGCCGTGAGTTGTAGACATTGGAGTTGGTGATGCTCTGATTGCATATTGCATCATTCCACAGATCGCTGTTTCATAGAGCCTTTCAATATTGATGCTTGTGCAATGCATCATCACATCTGCAGGATGGTCAAGGAACTCTATGGTAGAGTGGTGTTGTACAGATCGATCTAAGTTATGTGTGTTCTGAGTCATACATTCACATTGTGTGTCTTTGACATAGAGTGATGTCGTGTTAGAATATTTACTTCTACTTTCAAGTGTGCATCTACATTTATTTCCAACTGTGCAGCAACATTTGTCAGTGCAAGAGCATTTGCAGGATTGAGTGCCTGACATGGGGAAGGAATAAACATGCGATATGTGTGATGAGATGTAGGCTTGCTATTTGTTTGAGACAAGCCCCAGTAGGATATCAATGATAAATAGGCGTGATGAGCATGGAATGGGAGCTGATGCATTTGCGCTGATGTTTGCGTCATTTATAAGCAAGGTGCATATGGATGATATAGGAAGTAGTAGGAAGAGATTATTTGAGGTAGGAAAGCGGATTGGAGAACGGATATCAGATGACTTCTTTATGTATGCAAAGCCTGTGGAGGAGATGGATGTGGAGAAGGTGATGGAGAGTGTGTCGAAATGTTTTTTTCCGCTGTACTTTTCGTATACACCGAGGGTTGATGCATGTTTTATTACCTTGGAAGACTTTTGTGTGTTGAAGTACAGCAGGAAGACTGATGAATGCATTGAGGTTCTGTGTGGGATTTTGCAAGGAGTCTACTGCTGTGTTGTTAAGCAAGATGTTGTGTTTGAAGTTGGTCTGAGGAAGAGTGAGTATTGCATTGCAGTGAGAACAGAGAATGAAAGGAAGGAGCCTGTTATTATTGGAATGAATGGTATTGAATAATAAAGTGAATGAGAGTGAGAGTGAATGAAGAACTAGATATGAGAGTGAACGATGTTGAAAGAGAATGAATAATACTGCACAATAAAGTAGGTATAAATGAATAAGGTTGCATAAACTCATAGATATTTCATTATGTAATTATGAAACAAAACCTGACTGAGCAGATGTTGATAAGCACAGGGATAAACAGTGAAGTCAAATAGGTTGTTGATTGGAAAGCCCATGATTTTTCTTCTTTATCTAGGGATTGTGTTTGGAGAGATATTCAGCATGAAGAAGCGAAGAAGCATGGAGGTGGAGCTTGATGTGATTGAGAACAAGATATGCAAAGGATACCTGAAGCCAATTGACTTTAAGAATGCGACATGCAAGGTGCTGCTGGAGTCTGAGGAAGGACACGAGTACCTGTCGAATGTGAAGCTGGCTACGGATAGCGAGACACACTTTTCGTTCAGCATCAACTCTCCAAAGACATTAAAGATGACCTTGGTGCCTGTGGTGCTTGATGAGGAGAAGCCCCATGTGTTTGGGGATGTGGAGTTTGAGTTTAGTGCGCAGTTTGATACATTTAAGAAGGATGTTGCAAAGAAGGTGAGTGTTGAGCCAGCAATGGCAGCGATGACAAAGTTAGACAACCTTCTGTATGACCTGATTAGGCAGTCTGATGAGCTGGTGCGCAGCATACATGACGTTGATTACAAACACAAGGGAATGTTTTCTTTTGTGTCAGTGTTTTCGGTTGTGATTCTGATGATATACTTTGGAGTGAATTTCTATGAGTTGTATTCACTGCGAAAGTTTTTCCAGAAGAAGAAGATGATATGAGTAAAGTTTTGTGTTGAGTATGGTGTGTTTTAATGTAATTGAAGTAAACAATCCAGAGGATGCCTGGTGATATTTATTCGTTGGAGAAGGCAGAGAAGAGCAAGAAGAATGGAGTGCCGCAGGATGTCATAGAGGAAGCGGAAAGGATAGAGGAAGAGAACTACGAGAGGGCGAGGAACATTCGGGTGCAGATTGATGAGTCAGCGCTGAAGCAGAGAGCAACAACTGAGGAGATGCTGAGGCAAGGAGAGACTCTGGAGAATGCAAAGAAATCAGCGCTGGAGATAAACAGAAATGCGGTGAGAGGTGCAGAGCTTACTGAGGACATTGAGAGAGAAGGGCATATGTTTAGTTGTGAGCTGCCGTGTGTACGTGCAATAAAGCGATGGTTGAATAGGAACCGGGGAGATGTGTCTGATGTAGCAAGAACAAGGGAAGTAAGAGAGGTGGATGAGGAGAGTAGAGGAACAGTGATGTTTGAGGAGGACGGAGAGGAGTATGTGAAGGGGCAGAACAAGACGGACAAGGAGATGGTTGGGATATTGAATGCGGTGAAGCAGGTGAATAAGGAAGCAAAGAGGCAGAACAGGGAGATTGAAAGACACAAAGGAATTGTTGATGACATATCGATAATTAATGAGCGGTCTGAGAAGGTTATTAAGGACACTGACAAGGAGCTGAACAAGATGGAGTGAGCTGAGGTTGATATGGAGAAGTATGTTGGACAATATGATTGAAAAATATGTTTGAGAATGTATGAAAAATATATTAGGGCTGATATGGAGGTTGAGCAGAGAGTATATTGAAGGTTGATATGGAGATTGTATGAAAAGTATATTGGAGAATATAGCTGTTATGGAAGTATAGTTGAAGATATGTGGAGGGTATTATTGGTAATTGTGTCTGTTGTTTGTGAGCTAAACAAAAGAATATACAAGAGAGTATGCTTGCTGTATAGCGTTTTTTGATTAAATTATATTCTTGCAATTATGCAATGATTTGAATATGTTTTAGAATGTGTAATGCGTTTGCTTGTATTAATGTGGTGTTTGAGGACGCAGTCAACGAGATTAGCAGGTGTAGAAATGAATGGAACAGTGGAAGTGAGTAGAAGGGTGCTAGAAGATGATTGGAATGTAAATGGAAGACTTGCAGAGAAATAGACCCCTGAATGGAAGACATAATAATAATTGGTAGTGGGCCAGCGGCGTATAGTGCAGCTTTGTATACAATGGATAGAAAACCTGTTTTGTATGAAGGAAGGCTTGTTGGTAATAATGGACCTGGTGGACAGCTGACTACGACTACAGCTGTGGATAATTATCCTGGGTTTCCTGATGGAACGAATGGACCTAGGATGATGGAGTTAATGAAGGAGCAGGCACTGTCTAGAGGATTGCGGATTGTTGAGGAGACAGTCAGCGAGATTAGGAGGATTGGAGATGAGTTTATTGTTGTTAGCGAGTTTGGAGAGGAGCGACTAACAAGAAGTGTGATAGTAGCGACTGGAGCATCTGCAAGAAGGCTTTTTGTGACGGGCACTGGAGATGATGAGTTCTGGCAGCGAGGGGTGAGCTCGTGTGCGGTGTGCGATGGATTTGCATATGTGAATAAGGTGGTGTGTGTTATTGGAGGAGGTGATGCAGCAATGGAGGAGGCACTGTACCTGGCGAGTATTGCAAAGAAGGTGTATGTCATACACAGAAGGAATGAGTTCCGTGCACGATGGGACATGGTTGAGAAGGCAAGGAAGGCAAAGAATGTGGAGTTTCTGATTCCATATGTGCTTGAGAGAGTGAGTGGAACGAGCGTGGTTGAGAGGATCCATATTCGAAACACACAGACAGGAGAGGAGAACAGTATGGAGATGGATGGCGTATTCTTTGGGATTGGACATGATCCTAACACTGGGTTTTTGAGTGGAAGTGGAGTTGAGCTTGAAGAGGACGGATATATTGCAACAAGGGATGGGGTTTTTACGAGTGTTAAGGGGATATTTGCAGCAGGAGATGTATGTGACAAGAAGTACCGACAGGCAGTGACAGCGGCATGCTCTGGAGCGGAGAGTGGAATACGAGTGAATGAGTACTTGGATATGGAATAAATAAGTGAAGTATGAGTGTTTATATAAGAGTGGGTCAATATTTGGGGAGAATTTTGGGCCCTTGATGGAAGAGAAGACATTAGAAGAGCCACGGAATCCTTCTGAGGTTTTAGAGCGTGCCCGGATGCTTTATGGAGGTAAGGACCACCGTGGACTGGAAGGGCTGTTTGGCAAGTACCTGCGTAAGTCTTATGACCTGGAGTTCTGGATACTGTATGTTGAGTATGTGAAGAAGGTGAGCCAGAAGAAGTTCAAGCTGTATGAGGTTTATGAGTTTACGCTTGGGCAGTTTGAGCATTACTGGGATCTTATTGGGTTATATAAGGAGTATATTGAGGAGCTGGGCAAGATTGAAGACGAGCAGCTGAGGATTGAGAAAATACGGAGTGCATACATGAAGGCATTGCAGACGCCGATGGGATCGCTAGGCGAGCTATGGAAAGCATTTGAGAGCTTTGAACTTGATCTGAATAAGATTACAGGGAAGAAGATAGTGAATGACATGCTTGCGGTGTTCCAGAATACTTTCCAGCGGTATCAGATGATACAACCGCTTGTGAGGAGCTGGAGTGTTGCGAGTGCTTCTGAGCTGATTGATGTAGAGGTTGAGATGGGACAGAAGCTTAGTGAGAAAGCTTATGAGTCACGGATGCATTTTATACACAACTATATTCTTGATTCTTTTCATTATGCACAAGAGGTTTATTTTTTCTACAGCGAGTATTTGATTGGGATAGGACAGAAGGAAAAGGCGAAGAAGATGGTGGAGAGGGGAATTGAGATGAGTGATGGGATGTTTCTGCCACTTTATTACGGGTTAGTGATGGATGAGGAGGAGGTTTATATGGACCTGCAGAAGCGATATGCAGGAGAAGAAGGCAGACATGAGAAGGAAGCAGATCTTGTTTCAATAAATCACCTGAGTTATGTGCTGAAGAAGAAGGGACTTGAAGCGTTTCGGAAGATGTTTATTGAACTGAGTAGTGGACGAATTGGGCCGCATGTTTATGTGTATTGTGCGTTTGTTGAATATTATGCTACTGGAAGTAAAACAACACCTTATAACATTTTTTCGTCTGGATTGCAGAAGCATCCTGAGAGTGTGCTTCTCAAAGAGGAGTTTTTTCTGTTTCTACTGAAGATTGGAGATGAGGAGAATGCAAGGGCGCTTTTTAAACGATTTGAAAGGACATGGAGGATGTGGGATGCGATGATTGGATATGAGTTTATGGTGGGCAGCATGGATCTGTTTAGAGAGCTTGTTGGACAGAAGATGGCGTCGATCAAGAGCGGGACGATTGTTGAGGATGCATATAGAAAGGAGGAGGGAAGACAAGCTGGAGGGATGCTTGGGAGGTATTGTAGCTTTGTTGATTCGTTCAGCTTCCTTGATCTGAGGATTGGGGACGAATCGAGGGTTGTTGATGAGTTTATTGAGAAGCTTCCTGAGGTTAGCCGAGCAAGCAATGTGCTTTCGAACCTGAGAATCGAAGGCGTGATTGAGCTCCTGAAGGGCATGAGCTGGTGAGTGTACACAAACGAAAGAGATGCCGATGTATGAGGTGGTTTATAGATTTACGGATTGTTTATGGTGAATTTCTTTGTATGCTTGCATAATCGTGAGATTATCAATAAATATGATTTGAATAGTGTTTATTTGAGTTGATGAAGGTGGACTGCATGGCAAGGCAAATCTTGACATGAATTAGGTTTATGCATTAGTTTATGAATTGCATAGTGAAGTTGCACATGAAATAGATTTCATTAGTTTATGAATTACAGCACTTTCTATCCAAATGTCTTTTTGTTGAATAAATCAAGGGTTACAGCAGCAAGAAATGCAGGAATGGACTTTCCTGCAATCAGATAATTTTGTATTTCTGCAGTCCATGTACTTGCGAATTCGTTGTTAACAAGTTCCATACTTCCTGACTTGTACCTGAAGATGAATACGTCTTCTGTATCGAATGCATATAGCGAATGAAATACAATTTCACCATCTCTAAACTCCATCTTGTAGCCAGTGAGTCCGGTTACATATTCTCGAATTGTCTTTAAGTATCTGCGGAGCTCTTCTGAACCTTCGTGCTTGTTTTTAATAGACTGGATCCTGCTGTCTGTATCTGAATTGACTTTTATGGTGCTCCTGCTTTCTTGAGCTATTGGATTTATATTTTCTACGTTCTGATTAGATTGAATATGCTTGCAGCAGTGCATATTCATCAGCCGAGCGTTTTCTTGCTCGAGTTCAGCTATTCTCTTAAGATGTGTCGATGTGTCGTGTGATTCTCTTGCGATTAACAACTCGTGTTGTTTTGAGTCGATTGTGTGTTGCATATCGATGATTTTGCGCTTGAGAGAGGTGTTTTCATCAAGCATTGCAGCAAGTCTGTTGTGTAGCTCCTCCATGAAGGGTTGGCTGATGACACAAATTGGAAGCTGAGAAGCCTTAGTGGTTGATGATGAGTGGCGAGTGCATTAGAAAGCTTGGAAAAAAGAGCATAGTTGCTGATTATGAGAAGATTGTTAATGAGTATGAAATGTACAGAAAGTTCCATATTGACAACCTTGCGTATGTGGATGAGAACATGCTGATGGTGTATGAGTGTGCTTTTTTCTTCCACTGTACAGGAATCAAGTATAGCAATGATTCTGAAATGAAGATCAATCAAAAGATTTACAAGGCAGCACTTAATGAGATTAAGCAGAAGTATGTTCGTAACAAGATAGATGTGTATCCCGAGATTAAGGAAGATGATGGCATTGTCTGCAACCTTTATTCTATTTGTAGATAGATTGTTGATTGAAATGTGCAAATGGAACAATGTGAATGATGATATAGAGATGCGCATAAGGTAAAATATAATAACCATGAATGGTGAATAGTCAAATAGAATAGCCATGAATAGTGAATGGTGATTTATATGAAGATCATGCATAACGAAAGATTAGATACAATGAATGATAATCTATGATAGTTATGAATAGTGAAAGATTATATGCATAATGAATTATTGTGGAATGCCGATGGGATGAATGGATTAGGTAGTTATGATATACAGGCATGACTAGAAGTGTGATTTTGATAGAATTTTTTTTGATCCCCAACTATGGTAGAGGAAATGATGAGCATGGATGTGCTGAGCCGTACGACGATTCCGGCAAATTTTTTTTCGTACAAGAGAGGACAGAGGAGGCTGTATCCGAGGTACGCACTGTTGAGTATCAGCAATGTGGGAAGCAGGGAAAGTGCAAGCCAGTATGTGGGAAACGGGGTGCTGTGCTACAAAGTTAACAAGCAAGGAGAAGCGCGAGCAGTGCATGGAGTGATAACGAAAGTGCATGGGATGTCTGGAGCGGTGCGTGCAAGATTTACAAGGAATCTTGATTCGCAAGCGCTTGGAACACAGGTATTTGTGAAGCTTTACAAGGTTGAAGCTGAGGAGATATAAACGAGTTTTATTTTAGCTATTTGAGTGTTTTTGTGTGTCTGGGTAGGCGGAGATTGAGAAGTGTTTTTTGATTGTGTTTTTTGCAGTATGTGTGGTGACAACCTGGTATTGAACGGTGCCTTTGGGTGTTTTAGTGGCGATGAGAAGGCCCTGATTGATCATTTTCTGGATTTGCTTGTATGCTCTTGAGGAATTTATCTGGAGCCTATTACAAAGCCATGACCTGCCCAGAAAGTTTTCATTGTATATGACTGAGATGACACGTCTAAACAATGCATTGCAACATTCGACTTTTGTGATGTGATTTGAGCAGATGAGACAGGTGTATTTCCCGTTTGGAATGCGCTTGTCTGTGTTGCTGAGGAATCCACAACAAACGGTATGTAGCCAGTTTGCACATGTGTCGCAGTAGAGCATTGCAAGGTCTTCTGTGTTGAGCATGCAGTAGCATCTAACGCCATTCTGTTCGGTGAATTGCACGGTGAATGCATGAATGATGTAAAATTAAATGATTGCATAAGTGATGTAGAATTCAAATGAAGGAATGATGTAGAATATAAATTATTGAATGGTACAGAGCTAAATAACTGCATGAACTTAGAACCTAAAACATGAAAAATAAAATGTTTGAGAGTATGAGGAAGTGTTGACAATACAAAGATGTGATTGGGTACCGTGTTTATATGAATTCAGATGACTGATGGTGATGATGACACTGAAGATGATTTTTATATCCATAATGTTCATCGGATCACTAAGCACGTTTGTAGTGTATGTGGGGATGGAGTTTATTCCAAGAATCAATACAGAGAAGATTATGGAGTCAATGTCTGATATGTTCTATGGGATATTTGGTTCGTCATTAGCGCATCTTAGTGCATCTGAGAAGAGTGAGTGAAGATGCAATAGATTTAGTAGATGAATGTGTAAGCTTTTTTAGTTTACATACAATAGAATGTGATAGTGGAGCCCAGGCAACTGCTGGCATGAATAAACGATTGAAAAAAATTGCCCTGAAATGGGTAAGTGAGCTTTGAATGAAGTGTAATTTTAGGAGTAAACCACAGAGGAGAGCACAAGCGCAGAAAGACTGGAGCACAGGCAGTGATTTCACGCAAGAAGAGGAACAACAGGGCAGGATCTCAGCCAAGTGCAACGAAGATTGGAGCGAGAAAGGTAGTGGCTGTTAGAGTGCGTGGAGGAAACAAGAAGCAGCGAGCATTGAAGCTTGAGGAGGGGCATTTCCGATTTATGTCAACAGGTAATATCAGAAAGGCAAACATGATTCAGGTTGTGTATCATCCCAGCTCTAATGAGTTGGTGCGTACAAACACTCTGACGAAGAGCTCTGTTGTGAAGATTTCAGCAGAGACATTCAAGGAGGATGTGGCGACGGTTGGAGCAGAACAGGATGCAGAGCTGCACGAGGGCTTTGAGAAGGGGCATCTGTATGCGATTATTACCTCGAGACCTGGACAGATAGGAATGGCTCAAGGACATGTCCTTCAAGGAGAGGAGCTGAAGTTCTATTCTGAGAGGTTTAACAAGAAGAAGGGAGGAGCCAGGAAATAAATAAGTGGAGGTAATGTGTCTTTATTGTGTTTTATGTGAGAGATATTAGTACATGTGGAGTGTTAGTCTTATGAGAATTGGAATTGTTGGTTGGATTGATGAAAGTTAGACAATAATTTGAATGTGATTATGTACGTGAATGTGGTAAAAGGGGCGGTATCGGGAATCGAACCCGAAATCTCCTGCACCCTAAGCAGACATCATACCACTAGACCATACCACCTCGATTATCGAGGTATCTCCAAACTCCCCATACTTGCGATTGAGTTATCAATTTACAACAGTATATCAGCATGATCAGTTCATGATGCTTCATGGTTTATGAATGGAATGTGAATCAATGAAAGTCGGTGTTTGAGGCATGGCATTGATTCTAGGGTGAAGTACACAGGTGTAGGAGAGCAGGGGAGGTAGAACAGTAATATTTTTGGATGGATGAGAATTTTTGAATTTGATATTAGTACAACACCTGGATATGATGTGAGAGATAATAATAAGTGTATATTATGCAATTTATAATAAGTAGTTGAAACCCTCACAATTATGGATAATGATCAAGAGTGAAATCGCATTATAACATAATGGATGCATCACAAATGGATGTTAAACAAAAGAACAATTGAATGGATAAATAAGTGTATATCAACATTGAATGATGGAGGTGAACTGAAGCAGATTGAATCTCTCGATCACACACCTGAATTTTTTATTCCTATTTTCAAGCATACGTTTCTAATAAAGAAGAATACTAATGCAGATCAAATATTTAATGAATTAGATGAAGAAATGGTTCTTAAGAACTTCCGAAAACGAATTTTTCATGGGCAAGTGTTTATTTCTGTGTTTGTATTTCTAATCCAAAATGACGTGATTATGTTTATAATAGGTGTATTGAATCAAACGATGGAAACATTTTTGTGGATGCTATTAATAAATTTAATTCGGATAACATTGAAGATATCAATATTTCGTGGAAATTTATATGCGATTATTCAAAAGGCTATGAAAGTAACCGGATTATTATAAATGAGTTGAATAGAATTCATGAAAAAAATTCAAACTCCCGTACCTTGAATATTATAGTAAATGGATTTAGGATTTAGACCAAATAATGGAAATAAAGATTTACCTTGGTTGATACATAAGATGTCTTTGAAAAGAATGATTGAAGATTTGAATAAAATATCATCAGATAAAATTGACAAAGAGGATAAGACACGAAAAATTATATAGGATGTTATAAAATTGCAGCCTTGTTTTAAATCATCTAGTGATCTTGAAGGGGTAGTGAGTTATGTAATGGATATAATGGGAGGCATTGATGGTCACTTGGGTTTGGCAGGAGTTATTGATGATATTGCAGCAATCAAAGATGAACATGTATTAAAAATAGCAGCAAGAAAATTAATAGAAAAGATTCTGAATGAAAAAGAAGACACTCAAAATATTTTACTAAATACAGTGTTGAAAGATATTAAAGATGAAACGGAGTACAAGCTGTAGTTAGAGAATCTAAAACGCATAAGAAACAAATCGGTCTACTAGGTATTATTTTTAAGTTTATAAGTGCAGGAATTTTGGCTGCGGTTGGAGAATATAAAAAAAGAGGTACGGAAGGATTTGATATTACAAAAAAAATTGAATGGAATTCAAAATGAAAATTTAGTGTGGACTATAGTAGAGGAATATATGAAAGACATGAAGGATTCTATAAGATTGGTGGAAATGGTGAATGAAGTTACAGAAGAGATAACTAAGTATTATATCTTGAAGTGTTTCATTGATAATAATGGGATGAATTTTGAGACGCTTTCTAGTTTTGACCATGGGCTGATTAATGTGATTCTTTATGGAATACCTGGTGAATCAGGCAAACCAAAACTGATAGTAAAGGATGCATTTGTAAGAATATTGACGAATGAAAAAGATGAGATTAAAAGAAATAGGAATGTTGAGTCTATAGCAAAGATATTTAAAGTGTTAAAATCTATAAATGAAGTTGATAATACACCAGATGTAATAACGATTGAAGAAGTGGTGAATGTTATGAAAGATAAACGTAAAGAATTTGCACTGTTAGTAGAAACGCTATTAAGTCACAAGGAATGCCATTCTGTAACTAAAATTCTGATTTGTCTTGATTCAAAAGATGCAAAAGAAATATGCAATGATATAAAAGATTATCATATGGCAGAAGTGTTGAATTTTATAGAAGATCAACTTATAAAAAGAATATTGATGCAATTTGATTCTGAACGTTCAGCAGATGTGTTAAAACATCTTAATAAACCTGAGAAAGCAGCAGGAATATTGAATCTTCTTGAGCCTGCTAAAGTAATAGATATATTGGATTGTATGGACAAAATCTTTTCTAGATAAAATAAAGAAAGACTTGAAAAAAGACCATCAAAGGTTAGTACCTAATTATACAAAAGAGGAAGGAATTGAAAATAGTCTAAAAGATGATGATAGGATTGATATAGAGAAATTGAACATGATATACAAAGACAATAGTACTAATTATATTATAACTATAAGACGATTTGAACGTCTTAATCATTTAGTAGCAATTAAGTTTATTAGCAAAGTGATAAATCCCAAACAATATCAGACGAAAGAATCGATTCAAACGGGTAAGTATCAAAATATTAACAAACTGGCAAATCCCGAACAAAATCAGAAAGATAGACCGACTCAAACTGATAATTATAAAAATACCAGCGTGGTGGCAAAGACCGAACAAAACCAGAAAAAATAATCGATCCGAATTAAGAACTATAAAATTATGAAGAATGTGTTAAGTAGTATTGTGATTCATATGAAGAGTAACCAGTTATCTGGGCAAGATGCTACTAAAATTCAGGAACAAAATAAGAATACAATGTTTAATTTTGTATTTGTACAATAAAGGTACTGGATAAAAATAAAATATTACAGAATAAATTGAATGGAGATGAAAAATTCATGAATAAGATATTACTTGATGTATTACGAGTGGAGATGCCTGACAGTAAAACATTTGGAAATAATTATTTGAAATATATAATCATGAAGTTTATTGATTCAAACAGAATAATATTGAAAAAAGAACAAGATGATCGAAAGCAGCAAAAGCCAAAAACCCACATGATACATCAAAACAGAATCAAGTTAATGATGGTGCCATGAAAATAGACATACTAAATGAACTACCATATAATAATAAGCTAGCTACAATTGCAAAGAAAGAGATACCAAGTGAATTCAAGACTAAAATTGCAAATTTTATGATATTTGGAGAAAAATATGTGACTATAGTTATTGTACTACTTCTGTTGGTATCGACTATTATAAATATAGAGTCTCCCACAACAAGCAATTCTGGTAGCAGATGACATTAGCGAACCTCAAGCAGCATAATACTTTGTGTGAATAACAAAGGAATGAATGATTATTATATTGTTCTAGATGTGATGATAAGGTATTTGTGTATATAGTAAAGGATAATCCAGTGAATAATGAAATTCTACAATAATAGGATGGTAAGAATGATACAATTGATGATGTTAGGAAGAATGATGGTAGAATTATAAGATGGTGAGAATAAGAATGATAGTGAGATATTAGGTAAGTCCATAAATGGTACGATTGCGAATGCATTTGGATTAGTTGTTGTAGTTGTAGTAACAATCACTGGTTATGATGCAGAGAATGCATTTGAATGAGATTATTGATGATTGAAGAGTAGAGTATTACAATGGTAGAGTAATAGATGAAAATATGTAAATTATTGGAACAATAAACAATGATGTAAGGTAATATTAAAGTATTAAATGATAGTAAATCATAGATGACAGAATAAACGAATAATTATTAATTGGATGTATTTGTGTAAGTATGTGAAATAAAGAAATAACGAAGTAAGGAGGTATATGCAAATGGTTACTTGAATATGTGATTATTGAGTGGAATAAAGGAACAATGAATACATGACTGGTCACATGTTGTTATGTATGTATATGCAGTGATTCTTGAAGATGAAAAGTGATGATAAGAAGAATAGAGCAGAAACTTGCCTCAATTGGATTAAAACAAAATTACGTGAATTGAGTAATGCATGTAATGATAATAACAATGATTTGTTAAAGAAATAAGGAAATTTATATAAAGGACTGAAAGAGTGTTCTAATGATAAGCATGCCTGTTGTAGATATCTAAGGATGGTACAACCTCTGGTGAATTTTATGAAAGATAGCGGTGAGAGAAATATGGTTATGAATGTGTTTAGAATTATGCAGGTTGGGAATGTATTGGATCAACATAAGAAGGATGATAAAGAAAAGCGTGAAAGAATATTAACTAATTATTTGATCTATATTTTTTAAAGTGATATATATGAAATAAAAGGAATAATAGATAGCATAGAAAAGAACGAGCTGAAGTGTAGTAAAAAACATAAATCAAATATTCTCAGAACGATTAAAGCAATGTTTGTGATTAAACAACTTGAGATCATGATTTATAGTGGATCTGAAGAGGATAAATATGATGTGGTCGATGAAGAGTTCATAAAGCCTACCATACGCTTATGATGGAAATTGATAGGAAGAAATTTAGCTATTTATATGATGAAATATGTAATATATATAATCAGAATAAAAAATTAAGTTGTATAAGCCAAGAACAATTGAATGATTAAAAAACCATATCTAATGATGGATATTGAGAAATTGTTAATGGAATAACACTTAATATGATATGTGATTTATTCTTTACTGAAATGCATGGTAATAAGGAACTTTCTGAGAATACTTACAATAGAATTATAAAAGAGTTTATTAACGTAATGAAAGAAAAGTTGTTACAAAAAGCAAGTGATGATAGTGGACATAATCAGGTAATGTAAGCGAATTAGGTAATTAATGATAAGAGTTTGAAATAAATGTTAAAGATAACGTGATGAGTAATATTGTGGAGTATATGAGGAATGATGGAAAGTAGTGGATCATGGCGATTATATTGTTTTTGTTGATATTTATGGATAAAGATGTTAATGAGAAGTTGCAATCAACAAGAAAATCGAAGTATGCAAGATATTTTGGATGTGACATAATATGAATAATATGGTGAGCAATATTATGTGTGTGATGAGTAATAAATGATTGTTAGATTGTATTTATATATGTGTTTGGCATGACTATATATGTGTAGTGTATGTAGTGTGTATATAATTCAAGCGTATTGAGTGAGAATGAAATTGTATGAATATGGCAAATGCATAGTGAATTAGAATATAATGTGGAAAACGGAACAACCCTTATCATATAGAAAATAATGAAGATTAAGTAATCGAGATAATTAATGTTTTTAAGGATAAAAACAGTAATGGCAATCAGGAAAATCTCATGAATAATACTATAACGGTTGAAATTTTCATGGACTTTTTGAAGCATGATGAATTTGAAGAGATAAAAAGGTGTTTCTTAACAAATACTTTGAGACTTATGATCGAAGAGAAATTTTTTTTAAGGCATTACAAAGCAAATTTGGCAATCGTTATATAATACACAACTATAAGGCACTAAATATTTTTTTAATTGTGTTGCCGATCTTGATGATTCTAATCTTAAGCCAAATATTTCTGGTGAAACCAAATCTACGTTAAAACTCTTTTTGAAAATGGAAATGGAAAGGTTGAAGAAAGATAAGAATGCCGAATCGGTTATAGATAAAGGCGTATTTTTAATTTTGATGATTTTGTAGAAATTACAAATACTTATAAAGGTACTGAATATCTTAATGTATGGGTAAAAGTATGGTTATTAAAACATCTAGGCCAATATATAACTGGCATAGATATGAATAATACCGAATCGTTCATGAATATGGTATCAATGCTTAAAATTGGTTTGAAAATAAAAAGCAAGGATTCCGACCATCTTGTCCGCAATACAATATATGAATTTATGAGCAAGCACAAAAATAATGATTTAGAGACAAAATTTAATAAATTGTTCGAAAATTTTCCCGATGAAAGTAACAAATCAGAATTAATAAATATAAAAAACAGAATAGAAAGACAAGAACAAATGAATAAGATAACACCAATAGCTTTAGTTATGTTAATAATATTTATTGAAGTAGCGGCTATAGTAATAAATATAAGGAGTTCATTGAAGAATGAATATGAAATGTTTGATAGAATGATCATTAACAAAATTATGATGGCTACATCAACAGTGTTAATGATATAAGTGTGATTCTATATGTGAATTCTGGAAACAGGTCTATGTGGTGTGAGGTAGTTTATCAATAGCGGTAATGAGAGTTTGTACAGTTTTTATAAGTAATTATATGAATATAATTAACATATTGATGACAGTGATAAGCTTGATAATGGTAATAGCGAATATAGTAGCTTTTTATAATAATGGTAATGATACTGAGAGTGGGAATACTGTAACGACTAAGAATGTGTTAGTGATAGCATTTGCATCTTGTATAGTGATAACAAGATGGCTAATACAGAGTATGGACATCAATAATAATACTGAAGTGAGCAATCAAATGTTTGCAATAGTAAAGTGAGAGTTAACAATTATTGAATTTATAATAAAAACATGCTAATGATTAATTATTAATGCCTATTTTGGGGGTAAAATAAAAAATATGTATGCAGTATGAGTGATGACTAAACAGTTAAGATATGTGATTATGAGTTTATACTTATATAGAGCTGATTGAAACAGTGAGAATTCTATAAATATAATAGTAAAATTTATTTGTGTGTAATTAATGATAAATCAAATATTACTGTGTTGGTATTAGTTAATGCCATATGACTTACATTTTATGACCATAAATTTTTGTAGGTTTTTCTGGAGTACTTTGTAAATTCTATATTTTTATCTCATTAAAGTGAATTTTGAATATTTTTCTAATAATGTTTCTAATCCTTTAATCCTATTTGTAGGAAATGAATTTATCAAATCCTTATATCATGCTGTATTTTCCCCATCACTTCTTGCAATAAGTTTACAGCCTGTAATCTCAATTAAGGGTATTCTCTCATTATTTGCCAGATTAATCATTGACCATGGTACAATGTAATTATTACGTGACTGATGTCAAAATCGTCTATTTTTCTCAGCTCACATAAACTTTCGATTCCTACTATATTCTTAAGTTTTTATTACTCCAGAGTGTAATTTTCTTTAATTCAACAATGCAATTGTATTGTTGTTATATTAGGGCTATTCCAGAGATTAATACATAATATGATTACTAATTTATTTAATCCTATTCTCTTTTGTAGTATTGTGCATTCTTGAATCTTAAATCTCTTTAGTTTTTAATCTAATTATATCAAGTTGTATTGATAGGTTAGGATTAGCTCCATGCAACTTAATTTTGTTAACTTATCTAATCCCATTATCTCTTGTGATGCAAAACATCTATACATATCCAGTTATTTCAGTGATAACATCTCACTTAAATCCATCTTTGTTACATTGGAGTATCTGCCAATTTAAAGTAATCAAATTACGCTACTTTGTTCAGGCCTATAATTTACTGCAATGTCTTAGATCCTCAAATGGATATATATTTCAGTTTTACTAATGAACCTACAATGAGTTGTATTGTGCTATGATTGTTTATGATATAACGGTGGGTTAAAAATTCTATTCCGTCTAATGATACTATCTCCTATCATGCAGAAAGCCCCCAAACACTAAAACGCTTAGCATTCACAAATTTACTCACATCGAACTTTGCTATACCATAATTTGTTCCAATATACAGTTAATCTAGTTTTTTCAATTTATCTAATCTCAATATATCTCTTTCAGCATATAACAATCGTAAATTCTAAGCCATTCCACTCACATCAAGTTGTGTTATGTTTTTATTATGATAAAAATTAATAGTTTGCAACTTCTTCATCCACTTAATCATAACACATCCTTGAGTTCAGCACCGAAAGAAATATTGAGATATGTTAAATTTTGCATAGTTGATGGAATTTCCATTACTATCAATCCTTCACATTCAGAAGACTTTAGTTCAGCCAGACATGTGTACTTTTATAGCCCATCAATTGATTTTATCTTACATTCCCATATCTCAAGATTTGTTTCTGTCACTAGAATACCCATTAAACATATATCCTCATATACACAGTTTGTAATTCTCATTTATATTAGGACTAGGCAACAATGGATTTTACATTATGTAACAATTACCAAACGTATCCTATTATACAATAATTATACCTTGATGTTACATGTAACGAAATTAACCACATAAATTCATTGTTTATAAAGCATCAAAGATCATTTATTATAAAAATATCTTCACATAAATCCACAAAAATATCTCTGCTTCTACCCTTATAACAAATACTACACAACAACACATAATGAATCCACAAAACTTTAAACGAAGTAGCACATTTAATAGAAAAATCAAAGCTCCTCCCTTCCTGCTTCCTTTTCTTCGGGCACGGGCTGTGATGGCACCTCTTCTGTAATGGGTTGAGACGGCACATATCCTTTCATTTCATCTACAAACTGTTGTAGCTTATGCTCGATTTCAACTCTTGATAAACTCTCTTTGTTCTTCTCAAGCCATAGCTTCATCTTTGCAATGTGCTCAAGCGCATCCTTCTTCACCTCCTCAGGAATCTTATTGAAGTCTTCACCCTTATCAGTCATGTCCAAAATGTGTTCAAATTGTCTAATGACATCTCTCTTCGCTTTCAACTCCCTGTTCTCTTCGCTATACACTCTTTCCTCCATCCTTTTGATGTCTTGTGGAGTCATCTTGGCAACATTCGAGTCAAAGTCTGCCTTTGCATTTTTTCCTGTCTGTTTGTCTTCAGCCCTCAATTGGATCTTTCCATCAGATCCCATATCAATCGAAACCTCAATTCTTGGCATTCCTTTCGGTTGATTCCCTGGAAGATCAACCTCAATATCTCCAATATATATATTCTGCTTAAAGCTCTCCATTCCTCCTTGTGCAAGGCGTATCCTAACTTTTGTTTGATTATCACTTGCCGTAGTAAACTCCTTTGATCCATGCGCAGGTATGAACTCACCCTTTGCAATAATCTGATCAAAACGATCTTCTTCTGTACATATCCCAAGCGAAAGAGGAATAGTATCAATCGTTTGTATCTTATCTGCAAGCATCCCAATCTCCTGCGCAGTATGTAGCGCTGCTCCTCTCGCAACTATCGTATCTGCATCCACTCCTTCATAATGTATCTTCTTGGCTCCAAATATCTCCTCGACAATATCAATCACCTTCGGAATCCTTGTAGACCCTCCAACAAGCAATACCCTACTCACTAAATTCTTATCATATCCGCCATTTCCTTTCCCATCCTGGTTAAGTAACCGATTCATCACATTTCTTATCTTCATATAGAATCCCTCATTTAGCTCATTAAACTTCTCATTCGACAAGCTTAACTCAACCGACTTCTCTCCTTCATAAATAAATGGCCTGCTCACCAATTCATTAGATTTCCTTCCAGGTGACTCACGAACTTTGTTACATAACTCAATCTTCATACTCTCTACAATATTCCTCAGTCTCAGCTTCACGTTCTGGTTAGCCATCACATCAAATCCTACCTGCTTCCTAATGTAGTCTGCAAAATATTTTGTCAGATTGTCATTCACATTCTCTCCTCCCAGGTAGTTGTCTCCTTCATAGACCATCACCATCATCAACTTATCAGATGGCTCAACAATCGAAACATCAAACGTACCTCCTCCAAGATCAAATACACATATGCTCATATCACTGTTCAGGTCTTCATTCTTAAAAACGCCTTTCTTGGTCAAGTCATGCGTATATGCAAACGCTGCTGCTGCTGGCTCTTTCCATATAATCGGCGTAGGAAGCCCTGCTAGTTTTGCTGCTTCTCTTGTTGCAGCCTCCTGGTTAAGGTTAAAATATGCAGGAACAGTAATTGTCAACCCTTCGATGTTATAATCCTTCAAAATATAACTCTTGAGCATGCTTAGCACATGGCTTGAAAGCTCCTCAGGTGTTACAGACTGATACTCATTACTTCCATCCTCCTGCAGCTTGTATGCAACCCTTCGCTTTCCACCAACATTCTCTACAAATATAGGAACAGATGCATTATTCTTTATCTCCTCAACCTTCTTGTCAATATTTGACAGGTCATCAATACCCATCGCCCTCTTAAATGCATAAAAATATGCGTTTGCATTGCCATCTGCATTATATCTCTGGCTTCCTGGCCATCCAGCAACCGCCTCATACTTCAGTGACTTTCCATCAGGTCCCAACTCCTTCGTAAAGTTGACTACAGACGGTGAAGTCTCCTCTCCACTCTCTGCATACACAAACTCTGTGTCCTTTGTAGAAGGCTTCCACACGCATATGCAACTATACGTGGTTCCTAGATCTATTCCTACTGCAACAGACTCTCGAAGGTCAACCCCACTCTCTTTCTCATTGTACCTCTCATTATATCCTTCCATTCTAGACGCATCACGGCAAAAAATCATCGCTAACCACAACAATCCGCCAATCATAACCCTCACCTCACAAACAAATTTATATACCAACTACTCAAATTCTAATTCATCTAGAAAGTTCTAGATTCATTCAGTCCATATTAGGAAGTACATAATCATAACAATATAATCTTTCATCAAAACACTCATTCACACTCATCAATTCACTAAACTACATTTTATTCCTGTATTAATCAATCTACATGATATAACACAATCTTGGATAGCTTGTATTCTCGTCACAACGATCCCTGTGACTCGTAAAGATAATCTCAGAATACCCAATATACCTAGATCCATATACACTTCCATCCTCAAATACATAGGGCTGATTCAAATCGTCCATCACCTCCTTGCTTCCTTTGCACAGCAATATACTTATCTCATGCTTGCTAAAAGGTACATCCTCTCTCACCTTCAACGCTGCACAGCAACTAGGACATCTCTCATCGCTGCTATCTTCAAAACATTTATGAGTCTTGTATGCCATCATTCCATATTCTATTCTCTGCATTAGTCTAGACTTCTCTCCTCGCTTAAACATTCTTAACATGCATCTACAGAATCTCACTGCAACCTTGTCTTCATCACTTCCTACATCGCCACTTACAAAATCTGTTCCAAAAACAAGAGCAGGCAAATACTTCTTAACATCTCTATGGATCTTTATGAGCTCTTTTCCAGCAAACTCTAATGCTTTGCAAATCTCCTTATTCTTGCACATTAACAGGAACTTTTGCACCTTCAGGTCATTCTCAAGATGCAGACTTTCAGAATCGCCAAGCCTCTTCAGTTCAGATCTGTTTTCTTTACAAAAATCTAATGCATCTTCAAATTCTCCCTCCTCAATCATATTTTTCATTTCATGCAACCTTAGATAAAAACATTCCTCAGAATACTCCTCAACTTCAAGCCTACGTGCCAGTAAAGATGCACTCAGAAAATATCCATTATGCTCTAAATGCTCCATAATAAATACATGTAAAATATCACTAGGCATTACCCTCGTCGATGTAACCTTCATGCACTCTTCTACTTCGTCAATCTTCTTATTCATCAATTCTTTTAGCTTCACTAGCTTATTCATATAATCTTCATCATTCATCTCTCCATTCCTATACATTCTAAATAATCGATCAATCACTCTATACCCAGATCTCAAAACACTTTGTGCCCTCACATCCTGAACCCTTCGGAAACTCATCCAGGCTCTCAACAATGACACAAAATATCCAAGCATGCAAATAAATCATTTATTTATGCAAAGAAATATCACTCAAATCCCACCTTGTGTAGCTTATTTGCCACAGAAAGATACACATTCTCATGCACAACCTTACTTATCTTATCTCCAATACTCATCTCTTTATCCTTAATCCACTCTTCTCCATGCTTCCTGTATCTCCTCAAAATAACCACATCCTCATCAACATGGGATGTCACCATCACAGAATCCTTTGAAAAAACATCTATCACATTCACATCCTCAACCAGCTTCTCCTCGCTTGCTCCATCCTGCATCTGAAATCCAATCACGCCATCCCCAAGAAACGATACAAATAGCATCTTCCCTGACATGCAAAAAGACGCAATCTCTTTGTCTTCAAGAATCCACTCTCCTGTACCAATCTTGCATATTCCACGTCCATCCAGTACAAAAACTCCTCCTTCAGTTTCCTCTATCTGCCTGATCATCCCAGTCTTCAGGCGTCTCAATATCCCTGCCTCTACAACCTCAACAAAACTCCCGTCAAAGTACATAAGCAACCTGTCCCCATCAAGCACAATATCCTCAGGCACATTTGCCACATTCACACACTCCCTACTTTGCATCAAGCGCATTCCTTCTCCGCCAATCCGGTAAGTCTTCATGGTCCTTCCTCCATGCATCCTTCCAGACATTGTAATCACACACCCGTTAGAATAAAAACAGTCTGCTCCCTCAAAATACGCAACTTTCTCAACCTCCTCTAAATCAAGATCATACAAAAACACATAACTCCCTTTTATCACCACAAGACTCCTCTCAGAAATCATATTCTCGTCCCTCAAAAACACATACGGAATCACAACCTTTGTCTTCTTCACATTCCGCTCAAAAATCTCCTTTCCTGGATCCTCCTCTTCTGTACTCTTGGCTCTGAAAAGCTTGCAGTACTCAAAATTAGGCAATGAGTAGACTCTTCCCTTCTCTGTTCCACTCTTCATGTCATACACAACCAAACTAAATGCTGTCAGCACATACACACATTCTCCCTCATACACAAAATCAACCACATCCCCATCAAAAGATGATAACGCCATCCTCTCATCTCTGCGTGTTTCCAGCCTTGTAAGCTTTTTATTCTTACTAACCACAAGCAGACTCTCAAGAGGTGTAACAACAATTCCTACAACCGCATGTGAGTGGTAATGATACGAGAGCCTTACATTCTTCTTGATAACCTGTATGATATTTGCATTATCCACATAAACTATCATTCCAAAATTCACAATAAAATACTTAATGCTCACATCTTTCAGAATCTCCTCAGTATGTCTTGTAGCAATATCAAATCTACTCAAATTCTTGTTTGTGCTAATGTAAAAGTATCCTTCATCCCAGAAATACGCACCAGACTGGAAATCAAACATTATTTCATGAAGATCATCAAACCCAATACATCTGCCTATTCTTCTGACAAGACTAAACACCTTTCCTTCATGCACATGAAAATCAACAACATTCTCCCCATACACTTCGACTTCCTCTAACGGCTCTCCAAACAGATCCTCATACACAAGCACGCTTCCTCGAGTCAAAAAATAATATCTTTCTCCATATCTCTTTGCAACCCTAAACTTATGGAAAGATCGTGCTCTGATCATCACAAGTCCACTCTTGTCATACTCCTCCACCATCTCCTCCCTTATCTTGTATATAGCTCTATCACAGATAAATATCTTTCTGTTATCTCCATTTAACATCTCAAGGGCCACAAAATTTTCAGTTTCTGCAAGATCATACAACCGTTTTAATTCACAACAGAATTCATGCATTATGCATTATGCGCTACTGATACTGATATAAATACATATACATATACAAATTAATCATTAGCACTTTCTATCAAGATACTTGCGAATCACTGGATCAGTCTTCAGTCTTATTATATCCTCAACATATTTCCTCGATATCATAAACTGCACACTCATCTTTGCCATCTCAAGCGAATCAAATCTATCTACTTCAGACACAGTCTCACAAACAAGCTTTCTAAATCTTATATCATTTTCCAAGTCGCCTTGGCTTAGAACAAGCAAAACCCTTGCAAGCGCATCATGTTCAGACATAGATTTGAGCATCAGTAACAAATGTTTAACTCTCAAATCTGCGTACTTCATCTTCAGAAGATTTGAATCATCAGCACCTTCATGCTTCTCAAGCACAATTCTAAATCCATTCATTGCCCTTAATCCGATTGTGTTAATCAGTGCCACTACCCTTTCCTTTGCTTTCTGTCTTTGCTTATCAACTGTATCATCATAAGCTTCACTCTGGCTACTTTCTCGAAGTACTTCACTTCTACATCTCAAATTAAGGCATCTGTGGTTAATCACCATAATGCTCTCACTCATACTCATCAAATGCTTCAATATACTCTTCTCTGCATTAATTCTTGCCTTCAATTCTCGCCTACATCGAGCTTCCTCCAGTGCCCCTTCTAAACTCTCCAATGCATTCTCAAGGCCACAGACAAGATCCATCATCTCGAACACACTCTATTAGTTTATCCATTGCGTTTCAAAATTAGCAAATCGAGTTAGTCGTTTCAAACATGCTTCAAAATCAAAAACACCATATCAATCTTTATTCTTTCGTTCTTCAAGCACCATATCGTTGTGGCGTCTTCCAGACTCATACTCCTCTCCAAACCTCACTGAGTCCTCTTCAGAATTAAACTTCACAACAAGCAGCTGCTTTTTGTCCCTCAATGCATCAGACTCAACAGTATCCTCTGTAGTCATCCACATCCATCCATTCGCCATCTTCTTGTGTGCCTGTGCCTTAAGCGCAGGATTGATGTAATGGTTGCATCCCAGTCTTCCAATCTGTTCCCTGAACACAACAATTCGCACAAGATTAGTCTTTGGGTGCTTTCCAATAATCATCGTCCCTTGAGCACGCTCTTCAAGACTATTCGTCTCCTTCGCAAAGTAATACAACTTGCACTTCGCTTTAAACAATACCTCGTCCTCTTGGTTCTCATCAAGAAATTTCTCCTGTTTTTCTATTATACTACTTTCATCAAGCTCCTCTTCCGTGCTGCATGCTTTAAATTCATCCTTCTTGGGAACAGATGTCGTAAGAAATGGATTTTCCTTTACCTGCTTCCCCTCCTCTGTACTACGTACTTCTTCACTCACACTCTTCTTCACCTCATCCTCATTATGCACACTCTTCTTCACCTCATCCTCATTATGCACACTCTTCTTCACCTCTTCTTTATTTAAATTATCTTCCTGCCTCTTATCTGCTTCCTCTTCTGTTAAGCTCATTCCTCGGAGGGACCAATTTTCACACAAAAATACTCTCCAATAATCATAAATTACTTTAATCTTTGTAGCACGATCCTCCAAACAAGGGCATGCGTTTGCCGATTAACCGGAAAGGTCTCAGGATCTGGTCTCCAGATACTATCTCGTCATACTCTAACACTCCATCCTCATACGATCCTATCGAAGTATAAAATGAATTGATCAGAATAGACTTGATCTTCATCAGCTCGGTCTCTGCAAACGATGCTACATCATTTAAACACTCTGGAATCTGTCTCACAATAGTAACCGGTAATGGAAGAAGTGCTGATGAAAAGTATGAAGAATACATAGTTGAGGAACAATTGTACAGAAGAACCACCGGATTTTTTGTCTTTCTCTGTTCATCTACCTTGTACAGTCCTCTCTTAAAGTTTCCAATATCTCCATCACACACGTCTAGGTCAACACCATTGGGCATTGCTGCTTGGACCTCTGCATTAATCTTAAACGGTTTTTTGTATTTGCTATCATGCGCATGTTTGCCTGAGCCCATACTTTCGTTGATTAGTTTCTCTAACTCATCCGCCATTTCTTTTACAATATTATCAATCGACAAGCCTATGCTGGTATACTTATCCCTTGACTTCTCTGAAACATATACCTCAATGTTAACAACTCTGTTTGCAGGTGAATTGTTATTTTCGTTGATCACTTGGACATTCCCATTAGTGTATGTACTGTAGTTAGGTTTACTTTCATTATAGTAATTACTGTCATCAATGTAGCTGTTGAGATCTTCTATCTCTATATCGGTTAGTGATCGGCATACGCCTAGTCCTGCCATCAAGAGTACCAACAAAATTCTTTCTCTGAACATATCATTGACGCAGTCAGTGTGTATTTATTCATAACCTGAAACCCGATGTAAAGCAATGTGTTTCACATGATGTAGCAGTTCCTAGACTAATCCACATTAATTAAGCATATGATTATAAATTATTACTGTATAATTGTTAATTGATCACCAATGCATCAAAGTACATTTATGATGTGGCACTGTTATTTGTCTTATCTATCTACATTTATTATTTATCATTAATAATATGCATGACTTATAGACAAGCATGTTATGTATCGGCATGTATATTGATGATGTGAAACATAACAGCAAATGTAAGCCTGTAGCAATACCATAAACAATGAAAATTATGTTTTTACTACCATTTGCATTCATGCAAGCAATCAACCTGGTTTTGCTGTATGAAAAGCCCGGATTAAAGGAAGCTAGGGAAATGTATCGGTATGTCATAGAACAAATGCTTGATAAATTCAACACACACTTTCATCAGTATGGGACAAAAATCAATCTTTTAGACTTCATGGCATATGATGATTACCTGATGAAGCCTGAGTATCAAAGTATATCGATCACTGGCGGAGACGAAAGTCTGGATACACGAATAGAAGCGTTGAAGGACATACCTGCAAACGTGATTCTTGTTGCATCTGCAAGTCCTGATGAAGAGCGTGAGAAGTATGTGTCAGAATCACCGTGCAACAGCAGGTTTGTTAGCAACATGGTCTCTAGCGATGTTCTTGAGGATGAGATGTTTACAAAGATTGTTTATGCAACGCTTTCCTGGATGCGTAACTTTTTCGGCATAGACGTACCTAATCCAGTCAAAGAGAAGAATCCAGATGTTTTTGATAAGTTTGCACGAGATGTGAATACGAATGAGTTTATGAAGATGCTTAAGCAATGCTCCAGAGATTCAAGTGCAAGGTTTGAAATATTTTCTAGAGCATTGAATTGGAATAGCCAGAAAGGGCTTGCAATAGATATAGAGACAGTTGATGCAGCAAAGGAAAAAGGAATTGAGATATCGAGTCCATTGAAGCTAGAGTCTAATTCAAATGACAAACAACAGATTCAAAGCGTTAAAGGAGCATCTATGATTGGTAATGGACTTGAAATGCAGAGCAATGCAGAATTGTTTGCAAATCAAAGTGAACAATCATATGGAGCAGACTTTGCGCAGGATTTGAAAAAAACGACTGATTGGGATTCTGATATGAATCACATGATGGATGAAAAACAGATGGTTTGGATAGCAAAAGGTGGAATAGAGCATGGTAGGGATAATGATATTAACATTAATCATTCTATACGAAATATACATACAAACAAGCCATCAGACAAATCTGAACGAATTTTGCAGAAAATAGACTCAAAAAGTTTACAAGCAATTGAAAATCAAGAATCACTGATAGAAGAGAAAATCCGAAATGAGTTACAAAGAATCATGCAACAGGAGTCGGATAAGATAAACAGACAAAAACCTGATGTAATGATTATTCCGAAAAAAACAACGCATGTCATTAAAACAGAGGAAGGCCCATCAGCAAGATTATTGTTTGGAAGAAGAGCTCCTTTCCTAAAAGATGGCTTGAATGCAGCAAGAAGAAGTTTAGATCAGGAAAGAACAACCACGTATAGAAAACCAAACCCTTGATCGGATGATCGTAAATTTGGAAACAGTAACTATTTTATTAAACCATAGCAATTATCTATAAGCTTGCTTTATTTTGAAACTCTGTTTTATATGTGACACCTGGCGATATGTGCAATCATAAAACATGATACAAAACGCCAGGAAATATGTTTCATGTACATGCAATAAATAAGAAATGAATTGAATCTAAACAATGAGATCTATGCTATTTGTAAAAATAGCAATGATACATGGTATTGCAATGACTAGTCCGATCTTAGAAATATTTCGTGGTAGTGAGCCTGAAGAGACTATAAGACATGATATTATGAAAACCCATCGTGATATACAGAATTACCTTGAAAGACAAGGTTCAGATGGCAGTAGAAATGATATTATGGAAGCTATTAAGAAAATTAATGACGAAATCGAGAAATTAGAAAGTCAAATAAATCAAAAAATAATAGCCAATAAGAATGAAAAAAGTGAATCACAGAAGAATATAAAAGATTTTATCGCTGAATTGGTCCAAGCCATTAATAAATTGGAACAATATCTAAAAGATTTCAATGGATCAGATACGGCAGAACAGAATGCTTTGAATCAAGAACTGAAGAAAAGCAAGGATAGGTTTGTTGCTGTTAGGAATTTACAAGAAGATGAAGAAGATGATCAAGGTTATGAATCTGAAAATGAAATTACAGAAGCCGATCATGATGATAAGACTGTTGAAACCCCAAATGCTAGAAGCTCTGCAGAAGAGGATCATGATGCTAATGATGTAGTAGACAGCAGAAATACAGTTACAGGTCCTAATAATGTAATGATCAAACAAAAATTGAGTGATCTTATTAATGCTGTGATGCGGAAAAGTAAACCTAGCTTAGATGATAAAGGCCAGAATAGTATTCAAACTTTAGAAAGTACAAATCCTGCAGAAGATGAAGAAGATGATCAAGGTTATGATGAACAAGAATATAAAATTACAAAAGCCAAACATAATAAGGCTGTTGAAACCCCAAATGCTAGAAGCTCTGCAGAAGATGATCAAGGTCATGAATCTGAAAATGAAATTACAGAAGCCAAACATAATAAGACTGTTGAAACCCCAAATGCTAGAAGCTCTGCAGAAGATGATCAAGATGAAGAAGATGATCAAGGTTATGGATCTGAAAATGAAATTACAAGAGCCAAACATAATAAGGGTGTTGAAAACCCAAATGCTAGAAGCTCTGCAGAAGATGATCAAGGACATGAATCTGAAAATGAAATTACAGAAGCCAAACATAATAAGACTGTTGAAACCCCAAATGCTAGAAGCTCTGCAGAAGATGATCAAGATGAAGAAGATGATCAAAAAGCCTCTCATCGTACTTCTGATAATATAACCAGGAAACCTAATTATGTAATGAGATTCAAAAATGGATCTCCAAATAACCATGAAAGTAGAAAAAGAAGAAAAAAGGAGAATGAATATCCATTACCTAATACAATGTCCCGTAAAAACAAAAGGCTAAGACGGAATCAAAGATAGCTTACAAGCTTTAAAATAAAATAATTTTGCGATAATAAGTATACTAAATAATAAACAATATTGAGATATTTGTATAAGGATACTGGTCAGATATGTTTACTATCATATGAAACACGAATGTAGATAAATACATGCAAGTGGAAACAAACAATGAGAGGTGTATTATGTATGGCATTGATATCCTTCTTTAGTATTGTTTGTGGTAAACAAATACTTAAACCAAAAGCAAATGAATATAATAAACAGGCTAACATGTATAACAATGGTACTACAGGATCCAAAAGAGTAATAACCCCTGATAGCAAACTTATTGAACATAGGAGTGCTGAAGATGAATCTACAGGTGATAGTAATGAAAGTGAAGATGAATCTACAGGTGATAGTAATGAAAGTGAAGATGAATCTGAATCTCAATACGATCTGCAAAAGGATTCTAAAGGCAACCTTGCTATAACTATAATAACCCCCGAAAAAACAATTATCCATGCCAATAATGAGGAATCAAAAGAAAAAAGACATAAATCTAAACCTTTATCTAAAAAATCTAAAAGAGTACTTGGTCGGAGTAGAAAGGCTAAAAAAAGAATGAGACAACAAGCAATGCAGTATATGAGATTAAAATAAATATTATGCCATCGTAAACAATTGTCTAATCATTTCTATAAAATTGCTCATAATTTTCTTAAGTTTATTATTCTAAGCCTTGTGTGATATTTACTGTGGCTTCCACCATGAAAAGTCGCTGAATGTATGGTCTATGAATGGAATGGTCTTGCTAGATAAATACGGGAACATGCTGTCCACAAAGTCATTCATCGTACGGTATGTCCCAGACAGCGTCTTCACAAGCTCAACATGCAGCTCTCCCTTATGATTGATTGTAAAAATCCTTGAAAGAGGAATCTCAAGCGCCTTGTACGTAATGACATCCGTAATTTTATTCCCAAACCCTGCAACAAAAGGATTCGTGCCCTTGAAAAGGTTTCTGATTGTTTTCAGGCATGCAATCTTGAAATCTTCAGGCCTTCTTATAATCAGCTCACGGTAAAGAGCGGCAAATACACCATCGGGCGATAGAATCACTGGCCCATCAGGTAGCCTGCATCCATCCTGGCATATGCTCTTGAGGTATGACTTTGTAGATGACGACTGCTCAAGGGGGCGTGCCGTCAGATAAACTATTTTATATCCATTCTTCACTATCTTTGTGTATAGCGATGCAACTCCGTTGTGTGTCCAATCCTTTCCCATCATTCCATACACATGCCCCCACACATCACTCTTCGTTATTGTTCCATCAATATCAGAAACTATTATCTTCGAATCACTCCTCCACAGGTATATATTTCCCTCCAACTGCTTGTCAAGTCCTCCTATCTTGAAAACCACCTGATTTCTCCCCTCATTGAGATTTAGCATTCGGAGCTCTGCAGAGTCAAGCTTCAATGAAAAGGATACGTCTCTCTTTATTATCTTCTTGGTTCCAAATATATTCCATCCAAGCACTCTGTTGTGTTCGTTCTCTAGTATCTTCATCATCCTTTTTGCTTTGTTGATCTTCAGCCCTCGGATCTCAAAAAACATCTTGCAGAAAATGTCATATGGCAGGTAAAACCTGAAGTTGCACTTCTTGCATCCTTGGATCCTTGCAACAAGATTTGCTGTATTAGACACCTCGTCAACAAGAAAAATACCGAATGTAAAGTCCAATGAATTCTGGATCTTCTTGTTGGAGCACAATGAAAAAGACACGCTCGCGCCCGTGCATCCTTTACACTTCTTGTCACAAATTTTGTTGTTAGATGGAGGATAAAGATACAAGCCAGTAAAAATATGCAGAACTGATCGGTACCGTCCTATCAAAAACTCAAAATGCTCTGCAGAGTTTATCAAGTATCCAAACTTCACATATTTGTTTTTAAAGCCAATGTATGAGTCATCTTCCTCGTTGCGCAGCATTCTTCCATGCATCCGAGTCTTCAAGTTTTTGATCCTTTCCCTCTTTAGATATTGCTTAAACTCTGCATCCTCAATCTTCAAACTGTTTTCTTTGCACTGCAGCATCACATCGAAGTTCATAGTGTATGCGTCTGATTGCTTTCCAAGTGAAAGATTCTCAAGCCTTTTGTTCAGAATTAGCTCGTCATCAGAGTCAAATAACATCATTAGCTTGTTGTTATAATCAAGTACAACATCGTAATCTGCCACTGCCTCCTCCTCAGTACCTTTTTCAAAGCACAGGTCTCCCTGATTTGTTATCGACATTGTTATATCGCACATCTTCCCATTGACAAAAAGATGCACAACCTGGCTGTTTGCCCCATAGAAGTAAAGCCTTCCAAACCTCAACTGAAATTCAGTGCATTTCAGGCATCCGTCCGCCCCTTCAACAACAATCACATCGTTAACACCACTTAATGTGATTGGGTTGATGTTGTTATACAACCCAGAGACAGATGTGATGAGCTTGTGAACTATACCCATGTTTCAGGGTTTATGCTGTATGCATTTATGTAATAGCATTTGATTATGATTAGCTCTTCATTTGATGCATATGGTTATCGATCAATGCGATGTGAAGTGACTGTATGAAGTGGCTTGAGAATGATTTATTTACGACTCAACATGTTTGAGCAATTCTTCAAACCCATTCAATGAGTGAAGATGGCCCAAGGTTGTCAAAGCTCAAGCTTGCATACAAGAAAGCAATACAGGAAGTGCTCAAGGAAGAGAAGAAGATAAGGGGCATTCTCCTTGATCCTGAAACTGTTGTTGAAGACTCATTCTTCGTCAGTAACTCCAAAATAGAAGATTCAATTCATGAACCACAGTGTACGGATGAAGATGCCATAAACAAGGCAGTAAAACAAATATTTCTTGGTCTCAAGTCAAAGCTTTCTGATGCATTCAAAAAGAAAGTATCTGAGTACAGCATTGGAAGTAAGTTAAATCATCTAGACAAGGAAATAACAAAAGAAAACAAACACAGTAAAGATATAACCTGCACTGAATACATAAGAGAAATATTTGAATCGTATCTCGTAGATCCAAAGTTAAACTACATAAGATACATCGAGGAAGCAAAGAACGAATCATCAGAACGCATCAAGACAATAAGCAAAGAAATCAAAGGTATTAAAGAGAGCATTAAACAACTAAGAGAAGAAAACTCTGTTTATCATAAAACCTATGATGATTTAACAAGACATTTATTGGAAATTATGGAAAATAAAACTATAATTGATGTTTGACTAAGTCCAAGCATCATCATTTAAATAAAACTGCAATATTCTTCCTAAAATAAGTGTTATCATGCTTTTATTCCTTACTTCGTTAAAATATCCAGAATGATTTTTTTGATATCATTAAATGCCTCATGTGTCCTCACGCTACAAAACACAACCAGCTTCTTATTTGGCCTAATCTTGCTCCTTGAAATTTCATTCTTAAGTGATTCGTCGTACAAATGCATTCTTTCCTCTCCTTGGTTTATATATATGAATGCATGTGTACTTGTCTCAAGAATTTTGATATCTGTATCAATATCCTGTACCTTTGTTGAAAAATCTATATATGCTGTTGCTCCTTCTCCATCATTCATTCCATATCGATCTCCAACAATCTTTATCCAAGTTCCACATTTATAACTTTGGTTTCATATCAAAACACAAGAAAATCAAATAAATCAGACACACTCAAATTCACTGCGACTTCCTTTCGTCCTCAACATCCACAAGATAGTAAGGGTACAGAAAAACCATCCATGCTAGTGTAAACACATCCAAAAACACCTCAGACAGAACCCTCATCTTACTATATATTCCATGAATCCCTCCATATATAAAAAACACGCCCTCTGCAAAAAAAGATGCTGCAATCATAATGTAGAACCTGGATTTTGTTATTCTCTTCAAAGACATCAGTCTTGCAAAGCTGAGCAGAAGCGCAATGTGCACATACGAGGGCTTCATACTCCTGATGCTATTCAGAAACCCGATACTGTTTCTATTGTTAACAATCAACAGATATGTGGCCTTAATTGCTGTGTGCGCCACCAGCCACTTAGGCAGTAGTCCTGGTTTGTTTGTCATGTATCAGGGTGTAAATGAACAGCGATTAATTCCTCATCAGCAATGCCTCAAATTAATATGTCTTTTGTTTTCATATGCATAGCCGCATAGATGCATAACCACATTCAAACAAAAACATAAAATCACAATCATACATTCAACTAAAGTACATCTCTTTGTATTTCACACGCCTCAACCAAATACATTGCATTCATATTTGTAATAAAATTTATCCCAAATGGCTCAGAAACCTCTAAAGAAGATCAAACTACAGAAGAATCCCACAAAGTATAAGAAAGCATCCAAGAAGATAAAAACAGAAAATGAGCTAATAACCAAAGAAATCAATAAGGCAATAGTTGAAAAATACACTTCGATGAACAAAGCAAACAAAAGGCAATCACGCAGATAGAAACTTGCATTAATGAAATATACGTCTTGCAATCATATTCAACTTGCATATAGCTGCATTATCACAGAAATTTGCATTCTTTCAGTAAACAATATTTATTTCATTGCACTAATTTTATTGGTTTTGACTCTCTCGCTTTGCCTTTCGTCTTTGTGCTGCTTCGTAAGATTCATGAATGTTCTTTAATGAAGTCTTCAATATATGAGGAAGGAATCTATGCCTGGATATCCTGTTGATCTCCTCTACATCTTTATACTTGTTGATTAGTGCCTTAGAGTACTCAAGATTGTCTTTCTCTTTTCTACTCAACGGGCCAGGGCGAATTGATGCATGGCTTCGCCACAGTCTTATCGATCCATCGTCACTTCCAGAAACAATAAACTGCGAATCATGCGAGTACTTCAGACCAAACACATTCTGCATCCGTTTTGCATGATAAACATCTCTGCTCTTTCTTTCATTTATCTCAAATATTCGTATTGTCTTATCGGAGCTTCCAGATGCTATTTCTACCCCAAGTGGATCAAATTCAACTGCAACCACTGCATTCGCATGTCCTCGGTAAACTCCACATGGATCCTGCAGATACCTTATATCATGATTGTACACACACCCGTCTTCATTTGCCGACACAAGAATATGTCCGTGCTTTGGATTGAATGCTACATCGTTTGTCTTTCCATTCCTTATCGTATCTATTTTTTCTCCAATCCTGCTGTCCAATAGTGTAAATCCCTTTTGCTGTCCAACACAAACAACATTAGGCATCACCAAGCTCGACTGGATACAGTACGAATGCTCTGTCTTTACACACTGCTTCCGATTTCCTTTTTCGATATCAAACACTTCAACGCCCATAAATGTCCCTGCATGCACATCTTTACCAATCTCCAGGCATACTATTTCAGACTTACATGCATAATTTATGTTATTATCAAGACATTTTACAAAAGCACCCTGGCCTGCATATAAATATCCATTCTGATCCATTCCAAGTCCCTTGATTGAATATTCACAATTGTATTCTCTGTTTGCTGTTCTATCATTCATGTTCCACACAAACAATTGGTTATCAAAACTGCCAGATGCAAACACAGGCTGGCTAGGATGTCTACACAGAACATGAATGCCTTCCTTGTGGTAAGATAACGCACAAATAAACGGTTTGCTCATCATTCTGTCTATCTTTGTTGCATTTAATGCCCGTATAAACTCTCTTTCTCTCATCAAAGGATGATGCTCCTCATTCTTCGAGAACTTAACGTACTGCACGTCCCTTTTCCTTTCTTTCGATATCTCATTTGGCTTGTGATATATCGTGTTCACTTTCATCGACGTTGGGGCCAATTTGTTTGGAATTCTTGTTCGCATTGCATCCCTGCATCAATGAACAAACTGTTTGTAAGCAACTTTCCAGAATGTTACTTGGAAAAGGACATAGAACTGATATTCACTCCATTTGGAGACATAAAATCAATAAAAGTCGTGAAAGAACCTAGAGTATTTGCAATCGTTGAGTTTAGAACGTCTCAAGAGTGTGTAGCTGCAATTGAATCTATAAGAGGAAGAAGACTTTATGGATGCACAGACACACTGCAAGTAGAGCCTGCTTTTGATAGAAAGCGAAGGGTCGTTGTATCTGGGATTCCATTAGGAACACATCAACATGAGATTTCAGATTTTTTCAAATACTATGGCACTATAGAAAATGCCACACAAAACAATGATGGCCTTGTGATAGTTGATTATTCATTACAAAAAGATGCAGAGTATCTTCTTACATTAGAAGGGAAGGTTTCATTTAACCATAACACTACTAAGTTGTCAATCAAACCATTTTTAAAGAAAGAAAAAACTGATAGAGTCATAAGTCATGAAAGATCCATTTTTGTGTATAACTTACCAGCCAAGATGACTAACACTGACCTTAGAGAGTCGTTTGAGAAGTTTGGATGCATTTTTTCCTGCGGAGTATTGAGTGGAGGAAAGGGATTTGTTAATTATGACAGAGAGCTTTCTGCTCTCAAAGCCATCAGGCATATGGATGGAAAGAAGATTTCTGGAAAAAAAGCCAGGGTAGTGTTGAAGTCTATGAAAAAAGAGTTTTCTAGTAATTGATTGTAAAGTACAATAGAATAGTTTTATTACATTACAGGCCATCCATGAATGCCTTTAATTAGAGGTTTGATCTTGTGTTTGTATCATTTAAATCATTTACATCATTGTCACACTCATATTTTTTAGGATAGGCTTGCTTCTTATGGTTATAGTCTCTGGCGCCATAGCCGCCTTGTTGTACAATGTTTGGATAATGATTCTTACATTCAAACTCTGCGTTGATAGGCTTGTATGCTATATTTGATGTATACATGCCATAAACCGGATTGCATGTCATCTGCTGATGATAATAATTGTAGGCGTTACCATATTCACTAAACATTATGCTTTCAGGAGGACTACTGTAAACCTTATGGTATTGGCTATGTGCATCATTGTAAAGATCTTTGTATCCTTGTATTTGGATGCTAGTATTAAATCCGTTTTGATAACATTCCCTGATTGTGTTCTCTGGATACTTGCCTCCTCTTGTGTATGCAAGGCATTCATTACATAGATTAATCAATCTGCCGTTGATTTCAAAGGTTGAAAATTCACAATTGCATGATATACATGTGTTTGTTTTTGGTCCTTCTTTGATGTTTTTGGCTCTTGCACTAGATGCCATGGAATAAGGCCGCGTTCTTCCGTGCAGTTTTTGATATAACCCGCATGCGTTGCATAATAGAGACTTTCCATTGTCACCTCTTCTCCACGAGGGTGTACTTGTGGTTTGGCAATTTGAGCATACTCTTTGTTTGGCTTTTCTCCCGAATTCCTTGGTTGCAGGTACATTACTGTTTTGATGTACTTGTGTCGAGGCTTGCTTGCTACTCTTTAAGCTATCATTGTCTTGCTGCAAACCTGCTTCTGTGCAGCCATAAATATGATCTTTGATGGATTGATTCATTTTATGTTCTGCAATGCTGATGTTGTTTTGTGTTGTTCGATCAATAGCTGTAATTGGTGTAGGACATTCGGCTTCAGAATAGCTATTGTCAAGTTCATCAAGCTCTTCATGGCAAGAATCTCTCATTTTGAAGACGGAGACATCCACAAATCGATGGTCTCCACCTTCTTTGCCCGGGCATGTCATTGTTTGTTTCAAAAGCAATTATTATATAGTAGAAATTCACTTGATATTATTTATAGATTAATATGACGAAAATTTAATTCTGATATATTGGGCACGCGATGTTTGATTATGCAGTGCTTTATGCACTGTGGAACGACAACATGAATCCTCAGTTCATGCATTATATCTCAAACAGAAACATAAAACCGGCATAAAACAGGAAGCAAATAATTCAAAACAATCGAATGGCAGCAAGACTGAACAGGGAACTTGCTAGATATGAGCTTGAAAGCTATGCGGCTACAGAAACATCGGAGGCACGGACTGGCACAAGACAGGTGAATGCAGTTGAAAAAATGTCACTGCTTCCAGAAAAGAGCTTTGATGATCTTGTAATTGATGTTGTGAATGAACTGCACAGGAGAAAAGACATGCCGCATCTACCGCTTCAAAGTGCGATGCAAAAGAAGTTGTATAAGATCAAGGATGAGGGTTTTAGGAGTCTTGTTATGGATGTGTTAGCTGTATTATCACAGAAATCAGTTGAAGAAGGCAGTCTGTCAGGTGATGTTAATGGACTAATCGATAATATTGATAAAATGATAATATCTATTAAAAAAGACATGGAAAGCGAAGAGAGATCGGTAGAGGAGATATGCTCTGAAGATGACATCATTAAGAAAACATACATGTTTATATCACATGTTAGATGCATTCTAAGCAAGAATGGAGAAGATACGTTTCTTGCAGAACACATGATGGATCAGTTTAAGATGTTTTCTGATGACAGATGTGCTGATGGATTGAAGATGCTGTTAGACATAGATGTTTTTTTGAAAAAGTGCAATGATCTTGGGTACGAAAGGAATGAAGAATATAAGTACCATAGAGACAATATAGAACGGTTACTGCATTCAAACTTAAATTCAGGCATGAAAAAAAAGATGATTGCAGATGAGGCAGCAAAAATATATTCAATTGTTGCGATGGAGAACACCCGATTAAAAGAAGTTACAGAACGACACATGAGATCGAAGATTAACGAAGTGGTTGAAGTTCTATGCAGCATTAGGAAAGATGTACAGGAGGAAAAGGATATTGATGTGAGTGCATATGCAGCATGCATGGTAAGAATATCAAAAGAGTTTATGGCATTGGCAGTAGAAAGCGATTTTATGGATCAGGCAAATGAGTTTGAGCAGCTAAACCAGAGTTTAGAAACGCTTGAAAACATGTCTAAGGGTGAGTGCTATGATGAAGAACCATTGCTTGTGATGCTTTCGATTGCCAAGCTTGTGAAGGTTATTTTGGCACAAAGATGCACAAACCAGATGTCTGTGTAATGGTTCATATTAATACTGTTTGATTATTGTATGATGTGTTATTTATGCCATGATTTCTTCTAATGCATAAATAGAAATGAGCCTGAATAGCATATTGCCGAGTTGCATAGAGAATAAAAGCTTTAACTTATTTTGGATTTATTTTAATCAGAATGCTTAGAGAGAAAAGCTAAGGATTTCTGAATGATTACCTTGTTTATAAAAGCCATCAAGTTTGGGATTTCTAATTGGACGATCGTCATCAGAGATTATGAATTTGTCACCTTCTTTATAGGGCGTGTATTGTAGCTCTATGGTATTGGGCTTTTCATCATTCTTGATGAGCTTAAGGTTGTTGGTGTTTGTAAAGAATTCAAAGTTTAGTCCACCTTTGTCGTCTTCCCTTACAACATATGACATATTTTTGTATTCTGGAGATGCTTCTAAGGATTCAGACTTGTCTACACGGAGTGTTGTGCCACCGTAATCGAAGATCTTCTCATTGACGCTTAGCCTGTGGATTAGTTCCTTCCCATAAATGGCACCGATCAGAAACAGATATATCATACATTTGCAGATTGCATGTTTATTATATATTTGCAATGTATTTGTTTCATGAATTGATGAATTATTTCGCAGATATTAAAACATCGTTTGAAATATTTATGTGCACAATTACAGCAGATATGGTTTGTACCCTGAACAATGCAGCAATTAACAGAAAAGTATCGTCCTAGATCGTTACAGGAAATTGTTGGCAATAGAGAGGTTGTTGAGGCACTCTCTGCCATTTCATCTGCGGGGATTATTCCGCACATGTTGTTTTATGGTCCACCTGGAACTGGAAAGACAACAGCAATCCGGTCGATTGCTAGCAAGTTGCCAAAGGCAAGCGTGCTTGAGCTGAATGCAAGTGACGAACGAGGAATATCTACAGTCAGGGAAACAATTAAGGAATTTGCGTCAGCCTATTCAAAATCAGTTAAACTTGTTATTTTGGACGAGGCGGACATGATGAGCAGGGATGCACAAAATGCACTCAGAAGAATAATCGAAGACTTCAGTGCAAGCACAAGATTTTGCCTAATAGCCAATTACTCAAAGAAGATTATTCTGCCGATTATATCGAGATGCACCAAGTTTAGGTTTGGCCCTGTGAATCAGATGCAGCAGAGGATAAAAGAAATATGCATGAACGAAGACATCAGGTACACTGAAGAAGGTGTTGATGAAATAGCAAGGCTTTCTGCAGGAGACATGCGCAAGGCTGTTAATGACATCCAGGGTGTCTATTCGTCATTCGGTGTGGTTGATGAAAAGAATGTTCAACAATTCAACGGAACAGCACCAAAGAGTGTATATCTGAAAATTCTTAACGATCTAGTAACCATGAGTGCTACAGGCGGAAGAGAAATGCTTAATAGTGTGGTATTTGAATACAGACTCGATTGTAATGATCTTGTATCTAATCTGTGTGATATTGTAAGTAGAAGCAACCTTAGAAACAAAATGAAAATCTTAAAGAACTTAAGTGATGTGGAATACAGAGCATCAATCGGTTGTTCTGAGGATTTACAGTTAAATGCGATCATTGGCACATTCATACTCAATAGGGACTGATCCAGCAATCCAACAACATAACCACAATAAAACATGATAAACTTTTATTATAACTTTGGTAACAATACAAAAACATTTCAAGCAATCAACTTGCTTTGACTTAAACCCTCAAACCTCATAATATGGAAGAGATCCAGATATATTGCTATTGTATTTGCTCTTTGGATTTATATTTACAATCGTAGCTATTATAAATCCATTTGTTCCAATAATCAATGTCATGAATATCCCCAGCGGTATATATATCACAGCGCTTTTAAAGCCTGCCAATATCAATGAAAATGTGCTTATATAAAATATGGATGGGAGAGTTACACATGCATTCACAAACACCGAATATTTTCTATTGATATGGTTCCAAATCCCTTCTAAAAACAAAAGAGGCTTGATAAATGATGGAACAACATGTGTAACAAGCGTAGCAAACATCACTAATTTCCAAATTCTATCTATAAGTATTTTCTTTTTGTTAAAGTCTTCTGTTTGTCCTGATAATTTCCAAGAAAGTATTGAATTCAGCACAACTAATCCTTGTAATCCAACAAAAATGCATATAGGTATAGCCAAGCTCTTCACAGCACCATCTGCATACAGCATGTAATTGAAATACACCGCAATAACAAGAACAAAAGTTATTGAACGACATACTACGTTTTTGAGTTCATTGCCAAATCCATATACTTTAGAAAGCGATGCAATCGATCTAATCGCAGAAACAATGATTGCTACAGTTGCAATTCCTAAAGGAATACTCATATAGACACTCACACTTATTTCATGCGCAACTAGAAACGGTAGTACAAATAGCGCTATTTCAATCATTATACTCGCAAAAAAATACATCAAAACATTGAATCTATCAAATATTCTTGTGATTATGTACGAGTCCTTGCTTTGGAGCAGAAGTTGGATAGACAAATCTCCAAACATGTTGTAGAAACTTCTCTTGTGTTCATCCTTCAATATGGTGTATGCTTTATTTATCTCTGCAAATCCGGTTTGGTCGATCGCTTCTTGATTCCGGAAGTACTGTCTTGCTAGGAGACGATACGCATGCTCCACATCGTCCTTGGTTCCATTCTTTGGAATCCTTAGAACATCATACAAACTCATCAGAAGGGCTTGGGTCTTTCAAATTAAGGACTCGCTTTTGCACAAAAAATCATACCCACATGCCAAAGAAGCATATACAACACACCAAAAGCGGACATAAAGGTAGAATAAGGAGAACCAGAGCAATATTTGGGCAAAAGGCAATAGACCAAATCCAACTACAAGTGGCATCTCAGAAATCCATTCCATATGATCCAGAACTTCCCGGATGTGGACAGTTCTATTGCTACGAGTGTGATAGACACTTCATTTCAGAAAATGTTCTTAACGAGCATAAAAGAGCAGGCCCACACAAGCGAAGAGTTAGGGAAGTAAAGCAAGCGTCGCATTCCCAAAAAGATGCCGAGTGGGCAATTGGATTAACATGAGCGCCAATTGAATATCACAAAAATACAATTAAAATTGTATCAGCATAAATCAAAATCATTCTCATCCTCGCGCTCAATAATCTGCTGAAAATACTCATTTTCCTTCAGATGCTTATCAGCAGCTGCTTCTTTTCTTTTACGTGCCTTTTTAAATGGAAAAAGAATTCGTGCAACATTATAGCAATTCCTTCCAATAAACTCAATCATATCATAAAAATAAATGTCCAGAAATCGCATATTCAAGCATTTGTGTCTGCAAAATATACGTTTCCATTCACGCATTAAAGCAAGATACGATGGCTTATAGAAATATCGTTTGTCAACATCAATATACAGCCTTGAAAGAAGACATATAATCATCCTAGCTTCGCAGTCTATAAAGCAAGATTCGCTCGCATCTTCATTCAAGTTATTTTCACTCATCATCCTATCTTGATTGATCTCGTTTTCATTCGTCATTCCATATTTATTGAAGCTATTTCCATTCATCATCCTCATATCTTGATTAAGTTCAGGTTTACACATTATTCCATGTTCATTCAAACCATTTACATACTTTTCATTTGCACTATCTAATTTACATTGATCTAAGCATCTGCAATTGCTTCTACAAAACTCCAGAAGACCAAATATCTTACGGATTCTGACTTCTCCAAAATATCTTTTGTCAATCTTCCATTCAAAAAGCTCGTAATAGTTGTAAATAATCAGCGCACACTCCATCACCAAACACTTGTCTTTGGTTTCCAGTAGTTTGCATATCTCAATCATTAGATCTGCATCCTCAATCTTATCCAGATGCAGTACTGCAGAGCTCAATCTATTAAGATGTTGTAGGATCCTCCTATACAATCTAATCCCAAGGTAATTCCCTGCCATGACTAACTCCCTAAGCTCTTTAGAATCATATATTGCTGAATAATCCCAATCACAGAAGTTCAGCAGATGCAAGTTCATTTCAATCCCTAGAGAAATTAAGTCAAAAAAAGATGTGTTGTACAGGCTATCAAACACATCCCGGTGCAGCTTAAGGCCTTTCTTATGCATACATGGCGGTTCCTTCAGCACCACTACATTGTCTTCCTGAAAAACAATCTCAGGATCAAAGTGCCTTCGTCTTAGCTCATACATCACATCTTCTCTTCTTTTACCATGGCAAACACCATGTGCTCTGCTAATCCGATACGCAAATAATACCGAATACAGCCTTGCCGTTTCTTCACTCACTATTGAATTCAACAGGATAAAAAATCCTGAGTCATAAAGCATCTGAGCAAACATTATATTTTTTCCAATCGCCTGCTCACAGATCTCAATAATGCCTTCGGGCTCATTCAACAAGTTGTTCAGCAGCTCAGACATAAAATACCCTCCTTTAATTGTCACGAATGAGCAAGGAAGCAGGACAGAAGGAACACTCAGCATCTGCTTCACGATCTCAAACAACTCATTCCTGCATTCCAGATCACCCATCAGATAGACAAACTCCCTCTCCATAAATCGCCATTCTCCAAGAGCATTCAAAAGACTCGGATCCTCTTCCACAATCGAGATGATTTTCCTCAATACTTTTCTGCATTCAGGCGATGACTTGCATTTATCCATAAGCGACTGTTTCAAAATAAAAAGAACTCCCTTCATCTCATCATTTGCCATCGCTGGGTCTCATTCATGTAAATTTTACACTTCCAATCAATCCATCTAAAGCACGCTGGAATTTAACATTGATATAACTCTATATTATGAATCCTTTGACCAATATAACATATTCAATTCTATATCATGCATATTCACTTATATAACATATTCAAATGCAAAAAAACCTTTATTGATTTCATGCTGCTTTCTTGTATACTTCACCGTCTACTAAGATCATGAATTTTCAAGCCGACATCAAAGCATAAACATGTAGAAACACACCTTTTCAAATGTATAGCAAAGAAAAATGTCCATCACAAGCACCATATACACAAACTGCTTCAAATCTCCTATCTCCACAATCTCCATCTTCTGTCTAAGTTCTTCATTACTTCCTGAAACCAACTGCTGTATCAAAAATAGCAATATCAACAAACATCCAAGAAGCTTCTTATTCTCAATCAGGCTTTCTCGATAAGGCCTGCCTATGTAATTCACAAGAAATGTCGATATCTGCTGAGTAGTCGACAGGAAAAACAACGCAGAGTTCATCAGCGATGGCGAAAACTTCTCTTGGTAAACTGGCACTTCAATCTGTTTTATCCTTCTTATCATCACAAAGAAAGACCCAATATGCACACTCACCTGAAGAATCACAGAAAGTACAATATACGGGTTGATGATATTTGTTAACGGCCTTTTCTTGCTTATCTCTTTCAACGGCTGACTCTGTGTCAAAAACATAAACGCAAATCCTATGAGCAGCCCTGATGCAACAAGCTGTGTCTCTCCATACCTTACACCCATGCAGTCAAGCACACTCAGAGAAAATGCACTCACCAACGAATTCAATGCAAGAATCTTGTACATTTGCACCGTAGTCACCAACGCACTCCTTCCATACCTTATCACATCCAGCACAGATTCTAAGGATCCAGTCTTTGCAGTAAACGGCGCTGCCACACTCGCATCTCCAAGTCCTACCTTTGGCTCTGAAAGCTCTTTAGACATATTATCGATCGCTTCTTGTCTACCAATTCTTCCTTTAGCTCCAACACCATTCTTCTTTGCTTCCTTCTCATTCGTTTTAGAAACAGATGCCGCTTCCATAAGAGCTATTCCAACATGTGCACTCTTCAATGCACCAACATCATTCGTCCCGTCTCCACACATTAACGTGTAGCTCCCTGCATTCTTATACCTTTCAATAATCTTCTCCTTGTGTGTAGGATCTGCTCTTGCAAAAATCGATATTGAAAAAAAATCATCACTTTTAAGAGCCGCATCTATCTCATCTCCTTCAGCAGCTCTTCCAGATATCCCTATCCTCTTTGATACATTCTTCGCCGTCAGTGCATTGTCTCCTGTTATCATCACAACTTTATGCCCAGATGCATAAAGCGTATCAATAGTTTCCTTCACATTCTTCTTAAGCCTACAATCAAACAATAAAAACCCTGCAAATTCAAGGCCTTCCTCAACATCATCCCTATCATACTTCTCCTTCCTATCAAAATATTTGTGGCCAAGCGCAAGCACTCGATATCCCTCAGAAGCACTTTCTTCATACTCATCATACCACTCTGGCACATTCTTCAAATACTTCTTCACTGTTTCAGGCGCTCCTTTCATTCCCACAAACACTCTTTCATCAACCTCCGCAACCACACTCATTCGTTTAGTCTCAGACGAAAAAGAATATGTCTTTATGCTGCTGTACTTTCGTCCATTGCTCATTTCTTCCTTCTTCATATACTCATAAACAGCAACCTCCATTGGATCTCCTAATACATTTCCATTAATATTTAGTAGCGAATGGCAACTTGCAAGAACATCAACAGACTTTATCGTCTGATGCTTAATCCCAGCAACATCCATAGAAGTCTCAGTTAGTGTGCCTGTCTTGTCAAAACAGCACACATTCACCTTGCCTGCATATGGAATCCTAAACGGCTCCAAACAATAAACTCCCTTTCCAATCAATGCCCTTACACATCCATTTACTGCCATGCTTAGCTCCATTGGCAGTTCAGTAGGCACCACATTCGTAAGAATCAAAATAACCTCAAGAAGCAGTTTGTAATTAGACTTCCCAAGCTTCTTACCTTCACAATACGTGTAGAACGACGCAACTATTGCAAACATCAAAAGCGCAAAAATAAACACAAAGGCCTCCTTGTCATTCACAGTAACCTCCTCTGCACACATCATCTTGCGCACAAGATCTCCCTTCTCAGTCTCAAATCCAGTGTGCAGTACAAAACAAGTCAGTGGAGACTTGTTCATCATAACTATTTCTGTCCCTGCATAAAGGATGTGTCGTTTATCCCTGATTCTATCAAAAACTTCGGTAGACCCCCTTTCTGAAATGTCCTCTTTCATCAGTGGCACAGACTCTCCAGATAGCATTGCTTCATTAACTGCACATGCTCCATTAATCAGTAAAAGATCACATGGAACATTCACCAGTGAGTCGATTTCAATCACATCGCCAGGAAAAAGCTCAGAAGACATAATCCTCGTTCCTGGTGTCTCGGCTCTTCCTTTCTTCGATTCATACAAAAGTTTAACTTCTACACTTGAATGACTCATCTTCTTGAAGTTTCTGGCCGTCATCATCCTTTGGAATACAAGCCCAGACTCAAGAACAAAAAGCATAACAAGACTGAAGATCGCCTGGTACACGTATTCATCAAGACACCACAACAACCCTGAAAATACCTGAAACACAAATAGCGGAGACACTGCATGCTCAAAAAAAAGCTCCGAAAAAGTGGGAGGAACAATATCAAACTGGTTCTTCTTGAAGTGTCTGAGACGATGTCCTTCAACAAACTCATTGGTTCTGTCAGTCCATTTTGAAAAATATCCAAATGTCTTTTTTGTGTTTGCCCTCAGTCTGATCATTTTACCCTCCTCCAACATGTATCCAGACTTTTCAAACTCAAATGAATTATCCACAAGCTTGCATAACTTTCCTTCATACATTATGTAATCTCCGCTCTTTGTATTGCTTCGACTCATTGAAAACAGTACCCTAATCCTGCTCGACCAGAGTGCTGCAAGGAACATTCCTCCACACACAATAACAATAAGCACTGCCACTGCCTGTGTGTATGAAAATATCAAAAACAGAATAGGCATGATATACAAAGGAATCATTTGCACTCGTTTATGCAATGGTCTTTCATTGTATATCTCATACATTCAAGGGCCGCATTTTTGTAAAATTAACTTGTTTCTACATTCTATTACTAAACAATGGTTTAATCTAAAGGCACTTATTCACCCCAGTATGTTTGATCCAGCCACACTCTACGGAGGATCTATTCTAGCAATGGCAGGAGGTGAAAGCGTGGCAATAATAAGTGACAGAAGACTCGGCTCGGGCGCAATAACCGTTTCAAAGGACTTCACAAGAATACACAAAATTGGGCCTAAGCTGTTTGTGGGTCTTCCTGAGTTTGTCCCAGACACGCAGGTTCTATTAAGAAAGATACGTAAGAACTACAACCTATTCAAGCTCGAAGAGCAAAGGGAAATGGAGCCTGAGGAACTCAATAACATGATTTCATTCATTCTATACTCAAAGAGAGCCACTCCATACTACACAAGTCCGCTTGTTGTTGGTCTTTCATGTGATAATACTCCATACATATCTGGACTCGATTGCATTGGCTCCACCACTACACCTGGTGACTTTGTGGCTGCTGGAACCGCATACAAGAATCTTCTAGGCATATGCGAGGCATTATACAGGCCAGGTATGGACGACGAAAATCTTTTTGTCACCTGTGTTCAGGCATTCCTTAACTCTGTCGATAGAGACGCACTCTCTGGTTGGGGTGCTGATTGCTACATCATCAGCAAAGACAGAGTTATCAAGAGATCAATTAAAGGAAGATGTGATTAGCCGTAATAATTCGAAATCTTATTATTGTCTCCCAGAGATCATTAGTCTCGAATGCATAATTTTATACTATAACTATGCATTGCAGCTCATCAAGGCTGGTTATCATACAAAAGCATCCTCATAATTCTCAGAGTTCATCAACCCTAGAGAATGATTAAGCTTAAGAGATTATTTCTATACATGGCAATACTTGTATTCAAGTCATATGATATTCCATCATTATGCTACAACTATTACAATCCTGAAAGCATCTACCAGAAAATGTATTTGAGGCCAACAATCACTCCTGCCGTGTATCACTTCATACCAAGAAAACACTTCGTGCTCGTCTCTTGCATTTGTGACTTTATAACGGCATTCGTGCTGAATTCAGAGAAATACCTGATATGCTCAATGCTTGTTCCTGCTGATTCCATATCTATAGAGAATTTATTGATTGTGCTACTCAAAAAGGGATATAATGAACTGCCTATAACCATACTTACAACTATGAGCACGTTCTATGCTCCTTTGCTTTCAGGTAACAATGCATTCATTCTTTCACATGCATTTCCGCGTCTTTTTGAAGCAGAATTCAGAAACTCGCACAATCCATCGCTAAGTGTCACTTGGTTCTTCCATCTTAACATATTTTCCCAATATGCAAGGTACTTCTATCATACATTCTATGCACTGATGACTTACATGACATTTGCTGTTCCTGAAAAATACAAGCTCGAAATCATACTGCTGTTCAAGCCATCAAACTACAAAAGCTATTTACCTTTCATAGTGCATTCGCCGGTTCTTCACTTCTATTTGCTTTTCTTTGTTCTTGAAAACTACATCCAGTATCTCTTCAGAATCAAAGGAGTGGGTAATCCAAACTTCATCAACTGGTGCTGTGTGGCATTCAATTTACTCTTCATAATCGAACGAAGATGGAAAACATTGAAAGCACGAGAACACCTCGTTCATCCAGAGTCTGGAATCAAGATCTACGCCAAGGCAAGCACCACATGAAAAAGCAATTCTTAATATAAAATTCAAAAATTAAAGAAAATCCTTTAATACCATATACCTTAGAATATTGCCATTAAAGGCTGTAGCAATTCAGTTCACCACTGCCCATTCAAATAATTAAGAATCTTCATCATCGTCAACATCAGATTCGTCTTCGGTCTCATAACTGTCACTATTTTCATATTCAGATTCAGATCCAGATCCACTATTTTCATAATCAACGTCGCTACCCGTGATAGTACTACTATCGGAATTTGATTCTTCAGAAAATTCCTCTTTCTCGCTCACATTCTTCTTTTGATTAGACATGTGGGGGGCTCCGTACTCAATGCTAAAATTTTGCATTTCTCCAGAAAAATCCAAAATGCATAAGCACATATAATATAAATCACCAACATGCATAAACAAAAACTCATACTAAACCAAACATGGTAAACATACCAAGACTATATACAAAACATCTCTACTTTAATCAATACTACTCACGCCTCTTGATAGAATCCCTGCTAACCTGGTCCTCAATCTCCTCAATCAACTTCTGGTATTTCATTGCTGTCTTCTTGTCCTTAAGTTCAATCGCTTTGTCTCTCTTCTGTATTAACTCAATTTTCATATGTGCCACACTCCGCTTCCGAGGACACACCTCCTCCTTGCATTTGATCATCTCCGTTATTTCTCCATCACTCAGCTCCTTGCTCATCATCTTTATCAACTCATCATAGCACTCTTTAACTTTTGACACAGATCCTATTTTGAACGACCTCCACACATCTTCATACTCCTCATTCAGTAGTGGCGAATTGCTCACATTCTCAATCTTAAACCGGGTGTAAGTCTTTGTCCCTGTGGATACATCCAAGTACCTATTTGTCTTCACCTCCTGTCCCTTCATCCATATCCCATATACTTCACCTTTACTAACTCCTAATATCTTAACAACCACATACAGCCCATTTATCCTTGCCCTTGTAAAATGACCCACAAACCCTTCAAAAAAGGGTTTGAACACATTCCTTGCAATCATGTCTCTGCTGACAATACAGCCACTAAACTCCAGGAACTCTTGTTCATCGCCGCCCTCTCCTGTAAACACGTCCTTGCCACCATCCTTATCTTTCACACTCACATCGTCTTTCTTACTTCCTCGGTACATCTTTTCTTCAAGCTCTTTTTTCTCCCTAAGCTTTTGTCGCTCCAGATGCCTCTCATACAGGATCTCCTCTCGCCTTGTTTCTGGCATTTTCATCAGCGCCTCTCTATCTTCAGTCGACTCATAGAGCTCCTCCCTATCAAAATCTATGTCCTCACAAGACGCATATCCTCTCTTCATGGGGTCGTCTTTGTCTATCCAAATCAATATGCACCTTACCATTCTGCACAGGTTGATCCTCTTCCATCATCATCCCATTCCTATTGTGTTTCCTCGGTTTGATCCTCTCCAATCCCTTTCATTGTCCTTCATAATCAGTTCATTTCTTGTATACTTCTCTTCTGGCTCTGTATCATCAATAACTTTGACTTCGTTTTTCATGCTAGCCATTAACTTGTCTGCAAATTCATCAAGGCTCATAGTCGGCTTGTTCCTGCGCACAAGCATGTTTTCAGCTCTTCCAGATTCATCAATCCTTACACATTCAATGCCTGATTGATTACTTGCTCTGCACTCATCACTCTTCTCAAGCAATTCAATCTCAGCATTCAGATGCTCGACATTCTTCATCCCCATCACATAAAAATACTCAATAAGCTTCATCACCCACTCCCTATCCTCCCAGTCAATCACCTCAAATCTAAACTCCCTCATCTTATTCTGTATCCTTATTCTTCCCTCTCGCTCCTTCTTCCTGCACATCTCTATCGTTTCTTTACAAACCAACTTCAGATATTCACAATCTGCACAGTATTCATTAAAAAGCCTTAATGCATCTTCTTTCCTTCCCGCTCGATCGCTTGATACTCCATGTATATAAGAAATAACACATTCTAGAATATCATCAATTTCCATATCATTCAAGCTTTCGTCAACATCAGCCATATCCATCGGCAAATCCTTAACATCAATATCCCTTCCTTCCAGCACACACACTATCAATTCACGTATCATTTCTAGGGGCATATATCACATCAAAACCTAGCTCGCTTCTTCTCACCATTAAATTCACTCCATAAATCAATCAACACCATTTATTGCTTAAGAACTTCCTCAACCTCTACTAAAGCTTCAGATACCTTCTCATCAACCCCTCTGTTTGCCTCTAAAAACACTTTTACCCTCCTCAAAAACTCAAAATTGCTCTTTCCCATTTCTCCATTAAATTCAAAAGAGCCGTGGAAAAGCGCATTCAAAAGAATCGGTTTTTTCAAGCTCTGCTTTTGAGCTTTCATTCCATACATCTTCTCGCCCATCTCCTTCATACTCTTAAGTAACGAAAATACCTTCAGTAGCTCTGCGTAGTACTTCAACATTTCATAGTCGATCCTTAGGCAACTAAGTAACTCGGATCTGCTTATTTCCATCTTCTGACTACTGCAACCTCCACCGTACATTTGTCCATCATACAAGCAGAGTATTTTTGGGACATAAGGTGATCTCATTCTCCCAAGTATTATCATCTCCAGCAGTAATAGTGCAGAATACTCACTTAGGCCATTGCAAATAACCATCTTTGGACAAATAATATCCGCAAATCCTTTGGACTGCTTCATAGATTCCATTCTTGCCATAATTTCCTCCGTCATGCTTATCAAATCTGCATCTTCATTCTTCATCCCAAGAATCTGCGGTGCATCGCCAGAAACCTCGTTCATAAACATTGCTTCATATACTCTTGGCGCGAGCCTTGTTCCAAATATTTTCTCTAGCCCTTTAGGCACATTATCTTGATTATAAGGTTGTACCTCTCCTGTAATCTTCATAACAGGATGATAAGTTACAGTCGCTACTCCTTGCAAAAAGTGCTCTGTATACTTCTTACATACACTATCTTCACATAACTTCCTGATCATTTGCATCGGATCATCAGACTCCTTAACTGCGTCAACGACTTTTGCAACAGAAAAATCTTCTGCATAGCTCGGAAGCGTTGAACAGAAGTCACATCCAAGAAGCAACCCAGTAATCAAAAACTGCTTTAGCCCAAGTCCGAAAAACTCAACAAACTTGCTCTTGTAAAGTACGTTGAAGCATCCTTCAGTTGTGGATGTCCCAAACATGTCCAGTATAACCTTCTCCACTTCCTCAAAAAGAAGAATATCAGACTTTCCAAATGCATAAGAGCAGGCACCAATGCTTATGAAATATGCACATTGTGCAGTTGCTGAATACGGCGCTGTGACTGGAAATACACCATTCTCGCCAAGCACCTTGTTTATCATATCAGTATTATATCCCATCTCTGCAAGTCCTCCCCATGCTCTTCCTGCTCTCTTGTATTCACCTTGCCTGTATAGATCAAATGCATGCTGCATCTGTGTGTCTGATCCACTCTGCTCCACTATCTGAGGCTTTTGAAGTCGAATTCCATCCCAAACCCATATGATGTCTATGTCATACTCCTTCTTAAACTCAAAAAGTGGTGCTAAACACTCAAGGACAATTTCATCCATCCCCATTACAAAGCCTTCATGGATCTTCATTGTGCCCGTGTATTTACGAAGAAACCAGTTCCCATCCATGCATATCCTCATTTTTTCAAATGCCTTGTGCGGAATCTTCATTAGAAAATTCTGCTTCGGGTACATCTTCATATCATCTAAACCTCTTATTGACATCTTGGGGTTTGTATGATTCTAAAAGATGAGTATGTTGGCAGCCACATCAAATCATGAAAACACATAAATGTAATGCCAATGCCATGATGAATCAATGCGTATCAATGCAAACACATTATATTATGTTATTATGAAATGTATTAATGCATGTATAATGCTATGACTTAGGAGTGTGCATATCTGTGCCTAAGTAATGCAATAAGACAACTGATGTATCTGTTTTGTAAATCAATGCCTGTATGACATTCTCTATCTGTATAGTTTGTCCTATCTAAGAGACTCTGTAGAGCATATGTATGCAGACAAAACAACCCTCAAGATGTCAGAAGGTATAGTTGCTGATATCTCAAAGCAGCTGACAATCATTGGGTCTGCAACGTGTGGAAAGACGAGCATTCTTACAAGACACAAAAAAAAGGTGTTTGGCACAGAAATAAGTCCTACTGTGTTTAACTCTGTGAACAACATGTATAAGCATATGGGCAATACCATTGAGCTGCGCTTATGGGATACTGCAGGGCAGGACGAGTATGCAAGGTTCAGGCATCTGGCGCTGCCATCTGCAGATTATATTACGATTGTTTATGCAATTGATGACAGAACGTCGTATGCAGAGGTGAAAAATAACCTTGTTGGACAGGTTCGTGAGAAGGCACCTCATGCAAAGTACTTCCTCGTGGGGGCAAAGTCTGACTTGAGAGATGACAGTCAAAGGCTTGAGGAGCTTGCAAGAAACGGTGATTCACCTATATCTACAGTAGAAGGACTGGAGCTTGCCAGAAGTATTGGCGCTGTTGGGTATTTTGAATGCTCTGCAAAGAGTGGAGTTGGAGTGGATGAGATTTTTGAGAAGATCTCTGAGTATGCACTACAGATGCATCTCAAGGAGAGTAAATCGTTTTTTGGAGGAGTTTGGTCTTCATTGTGTGATTTCATCTGTTGCAGAGAAATAAATTGATTTTTATTGAAGTTGTGTTTGCATACAATGAAACTGGAGAAGGGTGATGGTTGCTGGACGAAGACTGAGGATGAGGTCTTGAAAGCAGGGGTGATGAAGTATGGAGTAAACAAGTGGTCTAAAGTGTCGTCTCTGTTTATGTCGAAGACGCCATCGCAGTGCAAAGCCAGATGGGAAGAACGTGTGAGCCCGTTGCAGGCAGGCTCTGAATGGAGTAATGAGGATGATCAGCGCTTGGTTACTGTTGCTAGTACCTTCCATCCGCAGTGGGGACTAATAGGGCAAGTAATGTGCAGAAGTAGTCAAGCATGTTATGAAAGATACAATGAGCTTACATATGGCAAAATTGATGTTTTTAGATATGGCGAACTTGAAGATGCAAATGGGAATGGAGATGGCGAAGTTTTGGAGATGGCAAGTATAAGAATAAACGAGTGTATAAATCGAAGAGAACAAAAAAGAATGCGAAAAGCGATTACAGATGCAAATAAGGATGGTAGTCATGGTAAAGACACCAAAGACAAGTAAATCGCTGATAACAAATCAAATAATGGTTCATAAGTATTTGCTCAAGAGCCACAAATGTGTGTCAGGATTGTCACGGTGTTTTGCACCGTTGTTTTAGGTTAGCATTGTGAGTTTTTTATGAAAACAAAAAGCAAGAGACAGAGAATTGGATTGATAGGTCTTTTCCTATTTGTTCTGTTGCTGCTGTCGATTTGGATAGATGTTGTGTCGTTCAAAAGAGTTACACTTTCTAATGAAGCTGTTTGATATCTCCATGTGGATCTGTTTGATAGTTCAAGATTGGTGAGGCATAAAAGTAATAAAAGTATACTTTATGAAGTTTTGAGAAATACAGTTGTTGAATGGTATGAGAAGCAATCATTGTTTTGAATTGATGGGATGTAGTCCTTAAAATGGACCTTCCAGAGATACTGAAAAAAAAGATAATTGATGATGTGTTCAGATCGCACCATGACGCAGAATGGAGCCTACTGATATATGACAGTCATGCAGCAGCAATTATGAAGAACATATTTGTGAAGTCTGAGTTTATTAATCATAGCATTGTGATTTCGCAAAGGATTGAGGAGCAGAGAACACCTGTAGACTTTCCAGTAATATACTTTGTGAGAGGGGAGGAGGATATTGCAAATGTGATAAACAAGGACTTTGAGAGCAAGATGTATTCTTCATTTGTGGTTTACACGTTGGAGAGGTGTGAATGGTTGAATCCTTTGATAAAGACAAAGATTGTGGACATTGATTTTGTTGCTGTTGAGCAGAGGGTTTTCAGGTGTACTCCGGATCAGCTATACTCAGTAGGCAAGACACTAAACTCGATGTTTAATGTGAGCTACAGTGGATATGTATGCAAAAAGTCTGCAGAGATATTTGATGAAGCATCTCAGAATGACTCGAGGAGAGGCGAGATGATTATTCTTGACAGAAGCGTGGATTTGTTTTCACCTTTTATGCATTTTTTCACATTCAGAACGCTGCTTGAGGACCTGGAGGTTGAGGAGGTTGATGTGTTTTCACAAGAGTACATGAGAGACAGGATCTGGGAGAGTGTAAGGGGTGTTCATCTTGGAGAGGTCAATGAGACACTGAGACACCATGCACACCTTCTGTCGAAGATAGCACAGAAGTTGGATACAAAAGTGGACAGTAAGGAGTTGATGAAAATGGTTCTTGATGCGCCAGCAGCATCAAAGACAAAAGAGAGCTTGAGCAAGCTGATCAGGATGGCACAGAAGTGCTATAACAAGTTTGATTATCTTTCGAAGTTTGTTGGGATTGAGCAGCAGCTTTCCACGGGGTATGAAAGCGATGGAACCAAATGGAAGATGAAAGTTGATGAGGTTTTTAAGTATTTATGCAATAGAAGGATTGAGAAGCCGGACAGGGTTAGGATACTTATACTTCTGAAAGCAAACGGATACCGACTGCAGGAGAATGAGAAGGAGATGTTGAAGCATGCAGGATTCACTAGCAAGGAGATTGAACTTGAGTTTAAGAATCAGGAACTGTTTGTGCCACTGAAAGAGAAGATTGACCATAGATACGAGGTTAGTCGGTACGAGCCAGTGCTTTCGAATGTGCTAAGGAGCTTTATTGAAAAGAAGCAGGGGCATGTGGATATAACTTGCCTGACGCACTCCAGAGCACATTTGAAGTCGTTACGCAAGAGCTATCTTTTGTCAGTGAAGAAGGATGTTCTACACAAGAAGGTGTATTGTGTGTATATAATTGGAGGGATGACATTTGAAGAGATCCGAGTTGTTTATGAGCTGAGTGAAATCCTGGGAGTTGAGATAATTATTGGGTCCGATAAGATCATAGTTCCAAGGAGTTATACTGAGGATTTGACTAAAGATTAGAAGTGATTAGTGATGAATGAAGATCATGAGGTCATGATGAGGATTAGTAAGGGTAAATAAAGTATGATAAGAATCAACAAAGTACGAACAATCATGAATAACCATGAATAAATATGATGTATGTCAAAGTATCAATGAGTTTTCCTGAAACCCCTAGATATGATGAGTGATGAATCAGCAGCTTTTTATAAACTAAGTGCAACAAAATGGAATGGAGATAAGATTGATTTTTCAGCATTTGAAGGCTTTGTTTTGTTGATTATTAATGTGGCATCTAAATGCAAGCTTGCTCCTAAGAATTACGAGAATTTTGCAATGCTACTAGAAAGGTACTATGATAAAGGACTGAGGATTCTCTTGTTTCCATGCAACCAGTATCTTAGCCAAGAGCCAGAGGACATCAATAAAATACATGATAAGGTTTTTGACTACCTAAAAGGAGATAACAATGAAAAAGATTTAAATAATAACAATGAAAGATTTGAGTTGTTTGATAAGGTTGATGTGTACGGGGATAATAAACATGAAGTCTTTAATCATTTGACTAAAACCAAAAATGGCAAGGGAATATTTAATCTAAACTTCATTAAGTGGAACTTTGAGAAATTTCTTGTTGATCGTTCAGGAAAGGTAGTAAAGAGGATTTCGCCTTATAATACGATTGATGTGGATGATAAGTATCTTCTGAACTGTATCAATAATACAAATTGAGAAGAATGAACAAGCTATACAATGACAAAATTTATTTATTTACTGGAGTTGTTGATGTAAAGTGATGGCGATTGTGTAATGAGCATGTGACGTATGCTTGTATTGCTGAAGATGTTTTTAAATGAAAGAAAGATAGATAAATAGTAAGTGCCAGTAGATCAAGAGAAGAGAAATGAGGAGCAGAAGAATGTTTGGAATAAATAAAAAATTGCCTGGCCCCATTGCATTGATGTATGAATTCTATAGGCAGCTTATGGTTGGGAAGGCGCTTCTGGAGATAATTGACGAGAAGGTGAATGCGAATGTGTTGACGCCGAACCAAGGAAAGCGGATTCTTGAGATGTATGATCTGAGTGTTCCTGTTGTATTTAATAGATCTGTTACGAGTTCAATGAGCTTCAAAGGAAAGGTTGACTTTTACAACCATGTTGATGGAGTGTGGAGGTTCCAAACGAATGATTTTGTGATGTCTCTGAACAATGAGTACTTCCGAGCAGTGGATGTAAACATTGTGGCGTGTGATGCAGACACGAACACTGATGCAGGAAGAAGGAGACGAAGGAAGGGATGAGAAGCATCTTGAATAAATGTTTAGTTTGTTGGTGATTTTATGGAGTGTGTGTTTGGGCTGTAAGGATGATAACTTGTGCATTGAAATGAAGCCCTGAAAATGGACCAAGGCAATATGAACAAGTTCTTCAATTCGTCGTCTTTTTTTACTCAGACGCCTCAGAAGGACAAACAAGGGCAGTATGGATCTACACAACAACCTTCGATGTTTGGACAGCCTCAGTCTGGATACGGGGGTATGCAAAACCCGTTCACACAAGGATCCTCAAGTGGAGTGAAGAGTGGAGTGTTTGGAAGTTCTGGGCCAACGTCTTTTGGAACTGGAACGCCGTTTGGAGGAGCAGGGGCTGCGCCTAGCACAAACACGGGAATGTTTGGACAATCTTTTGGGGGCCAGCAACCATTAAGCATGCCGCCATCGGTTTCATCGCAACCTCAGTCTTCTATGTCAAGCATGCCGCGATTTGGATCATCGAATGCGTTTGGAGGAGCAAGCAATATTTTTGGATCTACTACAAGCAATCCAAATACAATAGTACCAACCTCGTCTTCATTTGGCACGCCTAGTACTACGGCAAGTTCATTTGCACCGCAGCAAAGCGGAATATTTGGCCAGAGTTCACAGACACAAGCGCCAGCATTTTCAATGGGAATGCAATCCATGGCACAACCTCAACAGACTAGTCCTTGGGGACAGTCTAGCACAGCTTCAAATCCGTTTGGAACAAACCAAAGTCTTTTTTCGAATGACAAAGGCACGAGTATGAGTATGCCTGGATATGGCACAAGCACTGGAACAAGAGATCATACATATATGCAGAGAAAGATACGCGAAGATAATGGCGGAGACGTGTCTCTTATTCATATAAATGGAAATGAGCATTACATGCATAAATCTGTTGAAGAGCTAAGATCTGAAGATTATTCGTTGGGCAGAAAGCCAACTGTTGGAGGAGCATTGACTGAACCTCGTGGATATTCTGGATATGGAGGCATGTATGGAACAGCAAATAACACTGTATCAGACAATCGAGGACAAATGCCAAGTACTCTTGGGACTGGAGCAACAGGATCTGGATTCCAGCCATTTATTTCAACACAAAGCACACCGACGCAGAGTATGCCTGTATCAGGTACATCTGTTTTAGGCCAGCAGACATCAACATTTGGGTTGGGAAGTTCTGTATCACAACCTGCATTTGCTTCTCAGCCATCGAGTACAGGATTTTCATTATCGCAACAACCATTACAGACAACAACATCAACAAATGAACCTGAAAATCCTTTCTTGCAATCCAGAACACAGTCTCAACCAGTATTTGGAATTACAGCATCGAATATGCAGACATCAACTGTGAATCCAAGCATGAATACATTTGCATTTACACCAATGCAACAAACACAGCCGATGCCTGCACAGCAAATGTTTGGAACAATGAACCAAGGCACTCAACCTCAAGTTCAACAAGGATATGAGTCTCAAGGGTATGTGCAACAACAAAAGGCAGACTTTTCTGATCCGTTCTTGGTGAAAAACATCAAGTTTGAAAAGGCCGAGAAGGAGCACATACCACTGAACAAAGTTTTTCCACAGCCGGTGTTTAAGGAGGATAAAAAGACATCCCGGATTTCACTGAGTTTCAGGCCACCCAAGCAGCTATCAAGGGAGAATGTGTATACGATTCCATCGATTGATGACATTAAGCACATGAAGGAAGTACACAATCTGATTATAGGCTTTGAAGACAAAGGTAGAATTGAGTATCTTGACACGGTTAATGCATCTGAGGTAACGATGGCAAACATTCAGTCTAAGGTTTATTTCTCAAAAGACAGTGTTGTAGTGAATGATCCTGTTGGGGTGGGACTGAATAGAAGAGCAAGGGTGTATGTTGAAGGAGTGTTTCCATATAGCAGGAGTCTTGGAGATTACATCCGAGGAGAGCAGAAGCAGTTTCCGTTGAAGGGGATACAAGAAAGGTTTGTGTATGGGCTGAAGAGCGATGCGGTGAGGAAGTTTGTTGGATACGAGTATGAAAGAGGAACGTATGTGTATGACGTGAACCACTTCTAAGAATGATTAAAGCTTGATTTTTGAGATTGAAGTTGTGTATGGCGGATGTTTGTGAAATTGTAGAATGAAAAGCCCTTGGATGCAGGTGAGTTATATAGAGAAGAGAAGTGTGGATGACCTGGGTGTAAGTGCGCTTGTTGAAGACCGAATATTTTTTATGAAAGGAGGCGTTCTGGTTAGCAAGTGTATTTATTCATATGACGAGCATAAAATGTATTTGAAGATTAATGAGAAAGTTGATTATATGTATTATGCAAGTGGTAGCCTGTTAATAATCTGTGGGAATGCTCTGCATAGATACAGGGTATTTGGAGAAGAAGTAGTGCATAGCAGTAGTCATCAGTTAGTGGATGCGCCTGTGAAAGTATTTGTGAATAAAGGTGATGCAAGGAATGAAGCAGTGTGTTTTTTATACAGCAATAAAAGGATTGAGGTGTACGTGAATGAAGAGGAGAACGGAGATGTTAGGATGGTTGAGAAGGTTGTAGTGTGCAGCAAGGGCGAAGTGTCGAAAGAGGATGAAGTGATTGATTTTGCAATTGATGACGGTGTTTCCTGGTTTCTGGCGCGTTCTGGAAGGATTTATCGATCGTATGACTTTGTAGTGACGCGGATGGTTCTTTTGAGTAAGCCTGTGAGAATGATTCCTGAGCCAATATGTTTTGATGGAAACGCAAGAAGTATTGTAGCGAAGGGAGGAAGGATGTATGTGTGTTATGAGGACGGTATTGAAGTTTACGATGTTCGAAAGAATGTGTTGATGCTGAACTACACATATAAAGTATCGATGTATGAGCTCAGTGTGTTTGAGAGTGTTTTTTGTATGGGAGATGAATTGATTATTGTTGAGGATGCGCCAGTTGTGATTGCAAGTGTAAGGGTGCAGAAGATGTATGGAAATGTTGGAGTGACTAATGACAAGATTTTGTTTGTTAGATGCGATGATGTGATTGAAAAATGCCAAGTGAAGCTTTTGAAAGAGTCTGATGTGTGTGCGAGAGTTGATGAAATGTTTAAGATGACAATTGGTATTAAAGTTGAATATCCTGAGATTGGAGAATGGAGTGATATACCTGAAAGGGCTGCTCTAACGGCACAGAAAGTTGTTAATGACTTTGGAAGCAAGATGATTGATGTATATCGAGGAATATATTTTGAGCTTGTGAGTTTGAATGAGAGTTTCAAGGAGAAGATAGAATCATTAAGCTTTGAGAATGAGATGATACTACGGAAAGCCGAAGGACTTGATATGAAGAAGAGTGGACTTGTGAATAGACTGCAGGTGTTGAATGAAAGGATGAATCAGGTTCTGTGTATGATAAGAATTGATGGAAGTGGGCATAAAGAGATGATTCAGAAGATAAGTAAGACGATTAATGCAGTAAAGTTTAAGAAGCATGAGAAGTATTCGAAGATATTGAAAATGCAGAGAGAGATTTTGAATAGAAGGGCTGAGGGAAGGAGATGAAGTTTAGAGTTTATTGATGGAAGGAAACATGAGTGAATAAAGTGATGAATTGTTTTTGAAGAGTTAGTGTGTTTTGATTGGGAGTGTGAAAGATTGATTGTTATTGAAATGAAATATTTTACCTGGAGACAGCCCATCTAATGCAAACAATCAGGATATTGCCGAATATTCGAGCACTTCTCAGGGAAGGAAAGGAAGAGGAAGCGATTGAAGTGATGAATGCTCATGTTGATGTGATTGCGCCGTATATCCGAGATGATCTGAAGTATGTTAAATGCAAGGATGCGAAGACTAGCCTATGTTTAAGCAAGATATATTTTGTTCTTGAAGACTATGAGCGATCGATTGATTATGCGCTGCAAGCAGGAGATGCATTGGTTGACGATGGGTCATTCTATTACAAGTCCATAGTGTATAGAATGATGGAGCTGGTTGAGAAGAATGGAGATCCTAAGGTTAGAGATGTTGTTTTGAGAATAATTGCAAAGGAAGATGCTGACGAGTCATTACTTGGGTATTTGTTTTGCATAAAAGCATATGAGATGTTTAGAGAAATATTTGAGAAGTATTTATGCGATGGAAATGATTGCCGAGGTGTGCTTGATCTTCTTGTGTCTATTGCAGAGGAGAATGGAAGCATTCGCGAACTGTATGAGGTAATAGTTGCGATCGGGCTTGAGAGTAAGCCGTTTATTTTCTATGTTGTTGATGGATACTTCTATCTTGAGAGGATTGAGAAGGTAAAGGAGATGATTGAAAGGTTTGCCTCTGATGATATTTTGTTGTGCTATGAGATTGCTTTTTATGTTGAGGACAATTACAGACCTGATATTGAAGTGTGCAATATAAATGTGATGAAGATTCTTAGTGGAGAGTTTAAGAGCAGGATTATGTGTTCGTTTCTTCTCGAGAAGAATTTGACGAGCTTTAAGTTTCTTGAGTCTATAGCAAAGACAAGGACGCATTATCTTGGACAGGTGAACTCATTGATGAATCTTGGGACTTCGAATGATACCTTTTACAGAAGCAATACAGATATATTTGGACAGTCGAAGGAGTGGGCCAGGTTCAGCGAGATTTCAAGTATTGGGATGATCCATGCACTAAACTCGAATCCGTATGAGATTCTGAAGAATTACCTACCGAATGAGGTAAGCCAGAAGGAAGGAGGTGCATTAATGGCATTAGGGATTATGAAGGCGGGCACATTCAGTGAGGAGGATACTGAGTACCTGATGTACTTCCTAGACATGGAGGAAAGCCTGACGCCTGATCTTGCACATGGTGTTTGTCTGGGACTTGGACTGATAAACATGGGATCTGTTAATGCAGAGGTGCTTGATAAGCTACGAGGACTGTTGAAAGTAGACAAGACATTGCTGGTGGAGGCATCTGTGTATGGGATTGGCTTGGTTGGACTGAACTCTTGGAATGTGGAGCTTGTGAATGATTTGATTGCGATTGGAAGAGAGACGGAGTTTGAACGTGTGAAGAGAGCAATTGGAGTGGCTGTTTCATTGACGATGATGTTTAGTGAAGAGATGTTCTATGAAGAAGATGCATGTGAGGACGCACAAGAGACGAAGAGCTACATAAATGACCTTCTGGTAGATAAGGACGCTGTTATGAGGAGCAACGGGCTTCTTTCTCTTGGGTCGTCATATGTTGGGACAGGAAGGCTTGGAGTGATTGCCACGGTTTTACCATATGTGAATGACGGTGACGATGATGTTAAGAGAGCAGCAGTGATTGCGATTGGACTAATATGCTGTGATGACCGAGACCTTCTTGTGAGCACTCTAGAGCCTCTTTCTGAGAACCATAACTTTTTTGTTAGGGCAACTACAGCTGTTGTTCTTGGACTGTTTCTGGCAGGCACTGGAGACAAGACATGCTCTGACATACTTGAGGCGCTACTGTATGATAGCAACAACTTGGTGAGGCAGTCTGCATGCATTGGAGCAGGCTTTATTTTGATGGAGTGTAATCCATCGCTTGTACCGAATTACAAGCGTATTATTGAGCGATTGAATAAGCTTGTGGTTGACAAGAAGGAGGATGGAGCGGTTGAGTTTGGAGCAGTGTTTGGAAGAGGACTAAGTGAAGCAGGAGGAAGAAACATTATTTTTTCGGTGAGGAATGTTTCTGGGGTTCTTTCAGCGGATAGAATAGCAGGCGCTATTATGTTTCTTCACTATTGGTACTGGTATCCACTTGTAAACATGATTTCTCTGTGTTTTCTTCCCACAGCAGTATTTTGCTTCAATGAGGATCTTGAGGAGGAGGATCTTGAGATAAAGACGTCAGATTGCTATGATAACCTTCTTATACGCCTTCCGGATATTAAGAAGGCAAGAAGATTCCGACAGAAGCCTGTAGAAGACAAGGAGGTTGTTACTGAATCACCTTCAGTGCTGAAGTCTGGAAGCAGATGCACAATGAGACAGAGGGAGGAGTGTGGCCTTGATGCACCAGCCATTCTGTTTGTGAAGAAGAAATAAAATTCTTAAAGATAGTTGATTTGTCAAGCAAGTTGTAGCACAAGATAGAGCGTGATATAAATATAGAGGCACTTCATGATGTATTTATTGATGATGTTTGATACTGATGGAGTAGTTTGACTTAATCCATGTCGTTTAGCTCTGCTGAGAATGAAACAACATCACCTGGCTCGTACGGAGGCAGTCCAAGTGATGGACATGTGCTGCATCTGAATGCATCTCCCTTATAACAATTTCCACATGCTGACTTTGTGCTTTCTTGGTTTCTCAGCTCACATGTACAGTTTGCACATGGCTTTTTCTTCGGAATTGGATCTGTGCTAGGCTCTGGTGTATTAACAATCATGTCTGTGTGAATGAGAAACTCATTCTGACTCTTCACCCGTGGATCTGTGCGCTTCTTTATCAATGTTTTAAACATTTCCTTCAGCTTTGCTTTTTGTTCCATAAGGGTTTGTGGAATTCAGTTCAGCTCTATTTCTTGAGTGCGTCCTTTGCCAAGTGGTACCATGCCTCCAAGATCGCAGTGTGTTCGTACTCTACTTGCTCTTTCAGTATGATCAGTTCATGCTCTAGTTTATGCAGTACCTGAGTATTTACGTCTACCGGTTCCTTATAGGCACAGGATTCGATGATTGTGCAGTTCATTTCTTCTATTTTCTGTGAAAGTGCTTTGTTTTCATTGATTAGTCTTGTGTTCTCATTTTGAAGGCTTTCTAACTCGCTTGTGTCTGTGCTGCTAAAGAAGAGTTTTTCAAAGAATGCCTCGAGGGCAGGATCAACATCAGCTGTTTCATACTGCTTCATGTACAGAAATAGAATGAGTCCGTGGATTTCGTTTATTGAGTATATTCTTTGGCTTATGCTTATTCCGTATTCATCCTTGTATTTTCTGATCAATGCGTCTTCTATTTGTTTGTAGAGAAACACTTTGCATGTTGAGCATTCGTCTTTGATTTCTATGCCTATGAGATTAAGAATGAAACATATACCATGCAGAGAGATCTGGGGCTTGTCTTGTTTTGCAGATCCGTGGTTATCTTCATTTGAGAAATGTTCACTTTGTAGAATGTCTTGTAGCAACACAGAAATATCCATTTGTTTTGTAAGCATTTGAGATTATGTTCCAAGCACGATCAGCACAATAATGAACCCTAAATATCTGATGGAAGGGATATTCAACAGCAAGGATCTGTATGAGTATCTTGAGGAGCAGAAGCAGATGAGCATATCTAAGACGAGAGAGATTGCACTGTACTACAAGGCAACATCGAAGAGTATGGAGGATGATGAGTATTCACTGCGCATCTGGCTGGATTACATCAGACTTCTTATAGACGGCTCAAGAGATTCTACTGAGGCTCGGGAGACATTTAAGATGATAAAGATGAGATTTTGCAAGTTCTACAATTATTGGGAAGCATATATTAGGTTTGAGGCAGAATGTGGAAACGAGGGACTTGGCAAGATTGTACAGCAAAGCATTGAGTTTGTCAAAGTCAAGGAATTTCCAGAGAAAAGAAGCGTTTTGGAGCATCTTAAGCATGTTGAGAATTGTATAAATACTGGAAGAGATCCTAAAGTATGGATTGCTTCATATACAATCAATACAGAAAATGAGACAAACTGTAATTATAGAAATACCACACTAGATAACTGTATTGGTGAATGTGAACGTTTGAATAAATATGCAGGCATGTATGATGCCTGTAATTTTCAATCAACTAATGAACCAAGAATCCTTGGTAATAAAGTGTTTCTATCAGTTGAGGGCAATGATCAAAGTAAAAGAAGCACAAATAGAATGTATGGAGTGAATAGCATGCATAAATCCATGGATTTGCTAAACAATGCAAATAGAGCTCCATCACTGCATCAGCCATGCGTTGGAGGAGTATCTGTTAAGTTTGATATGGAGGATTATTCGCAAGGGATAACAAGTGAGATAAATGCAATGCTTGGAAGAACCACATCTGAAGGCAACAGTCAGTCTCCGAGATCAGATCCGATGTCAATCAGGTCCAGGCAGAGAATGATGATAAAAAACATGGAGATTGAAGTTCTGAGCCAAATAGGAAAGGGAGGGAGTAGTAAGGTTTACAAGGTGCTGCATGGAAGCAATGTATATGCATTGAAAAGAGTCGAGCTTGTTGGAGACGAAAAGATGCTAAACTTGTATACAAACGAGATCAATCTGCTATACAAGTTCAAGGGAACACCTGAAATAGTTGAGATAATGGATCATGAGATTGGAAGAGAGTATCTGGACATGCTATTGGAGTATGGAGAAACAGACCTTTCGAGGATAATAAAGGCTGGAAAGCTTAGCATGAACTTTATCAAGGATGTATGGGAGCAGATGCTTCTTATTGTCAAGAGGGTTCATATGGAAAGGATAATCCATTGTGATCTTAAACCTGCGAATTTTCTTTTTGTAAAAGGGAGGGTGAAGTTGATTGACTTTGGGATATCCAAGGTGATTAGAAATGACACAACGAGTATTCTATCTGAGGAGCAGTGTGGGACTGTGAACTACATGTCACCTGAGGCTGTGATGCAGAGCAAGTCTAAGATGGGAAGGAGCTCAGACATCTGGTCATTGGGATGTATTCTATATGAAATGGTGCATTCAAGGCCGCCTCTGCATGAATATCCAAACATAATACAGAAGATTCAGAAACTACAGGAGTATTCTGGATTTAAGTACGCGAGTGGTAATAAATTGGCAGTTGATGTGATGAAGGAGTGTTTAGTAAAGGATCCAAAGAAAAGGCCCACAATAGACGCGCTTCTGAGCCATAGATTCATTACTGGCGAGGATGAGCTTGGGTGCACAAAGGAGTTGGTCCAAAAGGTTCTCAGTATTGTAGAACAAGAAAAAAAGCTTTTATGCGTAGATGATATTATGCAGCGCCTAAGCAACACTGATCAGAACCAAGCATGAAATCATTTAAAGTAGGAATCATGAAAGTATGCATGGTGTAATAAGAAACTCTGTTTATAATCATTTTCGTTAACATATTATATTCAGAAGTAAATATCATCACTGATTAAGCAAATTCTCAAATATTCTAGCCTAGCCATCACAGATCAATAAAGTATATAGAATAATCATAATATTATTTCTTGGTTTAATTCTCTTCATCTTCTAGCCGGAAGGATGTCATCAATCTTGAGAATCATAGACACAGTCTCGATTGCAAGAGTGATCATGCTGATGCTTACCTTTGCAGGTTGTATCACAAAGTCATCCTTCACCATGTCTCCTGCATGTCCACTTCGGACACTGATTCCTGCACATTCGTTCTGTTTTAGTTCATTCCTTAATTCAGAAACGATTTCAATAGGATAAAGTCCTGCATTCTTTGCAAGGAAGTACGGGATCCCCTCAAACGCCTTTGCAATCTCTCTCAGCACATACACATTTCCTTCAGTGCATTCGCAAAGCATTGATGCAATACCCATCTCAACAGATCCACCCCCAGGAACCAAAAATGGAACTTCGTTCAGGCACCTCACCACACATAATGCATCATTCAATGACCTCTCTGCTTCATCCACAACCATCTCATCACATCCCCTTAGTACAATGGTGCATCCGTGATCTTTTATCTCAAGCATTCCCTCAACCTCTCCAATCTCAACCTCAGTCAGAGACGACGCTCCCAGCAGATCTATTTCAGAGACTGGCTGGATGCTCAGTGTGGTGCACAGATAATCAATGTCTTTTCTGTCCACAGAGTTAACTACAAGAACATTCAACTGCTTCAAAAAATGGCTGGCAAGACCGCTCAACGATTCTCTCAGAATGCTCTTCTGTACAATAAGCAGTGTGCATCCGCTCTTTTTTATTTTCTTGCACATCTCCAAAATGTATTTCCTTTCATCTTGTATCACCCTGTCCATCAGAGAAGAATCATTTATTAGAATCTTGCTATCCATGTTGGTTTTAGGTGCACTGAGGCAGAATTGCACAACCGCAACTTTGGCCTTCTTCGGCAAGTTTTTAGTGTCAAATTCCAAAAGAATGCTCTTGTATGCCTTCACATCGTCCAATCCTCCTCCAACTTTCTTAATTACTCTTATGCGCTTCTTTTGTCCATTAACATGTTCCATGCCCTCAATTGCTGCATATGCCATCTCGCAACTGCTAGATGACACTATCTTTGAGCTTAGTGCTGTATTCACCGTATTAACAAAATCCTTCTTGTCACATTCAATCTTCACTTTGTTGATGTAGCGAAGCGCTATCCTCTTTACAATCTCAAGATTGTCGCAAATAATCGATGGATGAATATTCCTCTCCAGTAGGGCAGCAACTCTCTCCAGCAGGCATCCAGCAAGCACAACCACGCTTGTTGTCCCGTCTCCGCATTCTTCATCCTGTGTAGAAGACATGTTCGACAGGATCCCATGCACTGGATATCTGTTCAGGTACTTGAGTATCGTTGCACCGTCGTTTGTCACCACTGTCTTCTTGTCTCTCACAAGCATCTTGTCAAGTCCTCTTGGTCCAAGCGATGTGGATAACGTTTGCAAAAGAGACTGAGACGCCTCGAATATCGAAGACCTCACCTGACTTTGCCTCTCAAGTGCCATATTGGGGATGAAAAATTTGGCATTCTTGCACTCTGATGTTTGATGTCTTTGTACAGCATAAATTTGTTTTAAGTGTGTCTGGGTTGCAAAACGACAACGGCAGGATTCGAACCTGCGGGGACAAAGTCCATCGATTTCGAATCGATTGCCTTAGACCACTCGGCCACGCTGTCAAAAATCATTTAACCCATGTTCAAAACATTGGCCTCTAATTACTAGAATATTTCTCAGGATTACATTATTACATTACTCCATCACTACTACTCTATCAACACATTACTAAATTCATCTTAATCCACTACATATCATCTCCCATCTTTCATATCATTAACATATCACTCCATTCATCTCTCATTTTTCATATCCTCACATATTATCAAACACACTTTTATTAACAACCACATAACGCCTACTTCTTAACAATTAATCATTTGCAAACTTTATTCACTTTCGGCCTACCATCCACCTAAACTTGTCAAATGGTTGCCAATATCCAGCATTCAGGTACTTTTCTTCAAGATAGTATCCATTCATATGCCTTATTGCCTTTCTTGCACACTCAACACTTCCATATACTACAAATGCCGTTCCCTCAGTGCGTACTTCGTTTCCTATCCGTATCTGCATTATTGATCCATACTCTCCAAACAGTCGCATTATCAGATCCTTATCAACACTCTTTGGAAGATTACGAACAAAAACAATCTGTGTTTCAATAGGATCCATCCCATGCCCATTCTCAAACCCATTAAACTTTTGCAATTTCAGCATAACACATGCATTAAACCTATGTCCAGAAACTAAACACACAAATATTTCTTTATGCACCGCATAGCCATGGTCCAATATGGATTTATAAATTGTTAGGCTTGTTAGTTAAGTGGCAAAACGACTGATTCGTAATCAGTAGGCGTGGGTTCGATTCCCACACAAGCCTTGTCCGTTTTGCCTTTCGTTTTATTCATATCCACTCGCATCTCGTACTTCCCACTCACCACCGCATACCTTATCCAGAAGTTCATTGGATGTTCAACACACTCTGCACTCTCAATCTTTACCATGCAATCGTTCCAATCCTTAGCCATAAAGTGGACTCTAATCGATCTCATGTCTTCTCTTACACCAAAACCCTCTGCATAATACTCAATCTTTTCACTCATCACCACCACACCAGATAAATCCCATCTCACCACATTGTTCACCTCATCATATACACTACTTCCTGCCTTATGCCGGTGAACAACCTTCAATGCCTCCCTGGGCACTGGTAAAAAAACCACAAGCTCGTCAAACTTCGTGGGTTTGCTACATTTCACAACATATCCTCCTTCTTCTTCATACACTATTACTAAAGGGCGCATGTTCCTTACTGCATAATACCTAAACACCTCACTCTCGATCCCACTCGATTTGATCTCTATCTTTATTCCATTTACTTCATTGTGAATCACTTCATTACTCTTGTATTCGATCGTTTGTGCATCCAATTTATCAATCGCAATCTTAATCATCCGTTCTTCTCCAAAAACAGTCTTTAAGTATACACTTCCTTCAGCTTTATTCATAACTATCCGGTCTCTATCCACTATTGCATTATGCCTCTCAAAAACATCCAAATACCCATTGTAATTACTTATGCCTGCAAAAAAATGTTTTCCTCTGCCATCACGTACCTCTTTCTCGGGTTTACTGATAATTCTAAACAGTTGAAAATAATTTCCCAATACATTCTTCTCGCAAATCATGCCTATACTCCTTTCTAGCCGTATTCGAAGCCGCTCTAAGTACTTCAATGCAGAAATGCCGCTCATCGATTTGTACAATACTCCAACAACCACATCATTCATCCTCACTCTTAACAGCTGAGCACCTTCATCTTCACTCACAACATCCCCAATGCTTCCAAAATACTTACCTGTATCTCCATACAATATCTTTCCATCGTGCCTAACTATAAAAATCTCCTCTATCATTGTTTATTTATATTCAAAAATAAATAAATCATGTGCAATTCACATAATCACATCATTTGCATTATCAACGGCAATATTCTTTTCAGTCCACACTTTAACTGATGCGGAAGACCATCTCCAATCTTAAGCATCCGTTCCCCACTTCTTACTGCCAAATCCAGACATTCAACTTCAATCATCTCTCCATCAATCAAAAGAAATACAAGTGAAAACCCGTTCCTAACACACCATCCAATACCTGAAGCATAATAATACCTGCTTTCGCTTCGAATATTCATCTCACTTGCCTCAGCTGCCCAGGGCATCGACATCGACAGCTGCTGCTTAGAAAGACAATCCACAAGAATAGGCTGTCTTCGTGAAAACCAGCACACCTCTTCATCTATCTTCTTACATCTTTGCATCAGCTCAAAAACCTTTTCACGCAAATCATCTGGAATCTCTGAGCAACTGTACTTTTTGCCTAATCCGTCTATCATTTCATACATTATTCCTACTCTCTTAAGAATAACTCCTTTCGTGTTTTCATTATACAAAAAATCTCCTGAAAACATATAGCTAAACCTTACTCCGTCATCGTTTATAACTATCTTTGCAGTCCTCTGCATAGCAATCTTGATGTATGCTGCCATTAGACTTAATATCTTTAACTTTTGATTCGTAACCATTATTAGCTCGACTTCTCGACCATTCACATACACTACATACTCAAATCTTTGTCCACACATACATTCTATCATCCCATGCTTGTATTCATCTTTATACTGCATTCTAGCAGTCACCTTAACATCTCCCATCTCAACACATCCTCTGCTTTTTCTGATCATTCCATGCTTCGTTTCCTTTTCAAAATCAAACAGACAGCGAAAGTCTTCAAAGCTCGGAATAAATCTACCAAAACATTCATGCATCAATGCTTCCTTTGAACAAATTCTCTTTCGCACATCAACCTCCAGTAGTCTTTCAAGTAAATCCTTCACACTCGATGAACACACCGGCATTAAAGATCCTTTCATGTACTTCTTCCTCGTCAAAAGCGCATAAAATATAACTCCTACAGACCACATATCCACTCCAAGCGAGTATTCACTTCCACTCGCCATCTCAGGAGCAATGTAATCAGACGTACCACACACTCGACCATCACTCTCATTCAAATAACATGAAAGCCCAAAGTCACATATCTTCGCTGTATTTCCCTTCAAAAGAATATTTCCTAGCTTCAGGTCCCTATGCATTATTCCTTGCGAATGTATGTGCTCCACTCCACACAATATCATTCTCAGTGTCTTCAACGCTACTGACTCATCAACCTCATACTCGTTCAAAAACCCAACAAGATTCATGTCGCACAGCTCTTCCACCAAATACACATGGTTTTCTGTCTCAAAATGATCAATCAAACCAATCACATTTTCATGTTTAGTCATTCCAAGCATTCCAGCCTCCCTATCTGACATCCACTTGCCCATCCTTCCTTTAGAAACAATCTTCACTGCCACCTCATCTCCCTCATCAGAAACACCTTTATACACAGTGCTAGATACACCTTCTCCAATTAGTCCTTTAAGTCTGTATTTTCTCATTCTCACCCCAATCCTTGTCACCTCGTCAAAATAAAATTGCACAATTATCAATCATCACATATTCACAAAAAACCTAGATAATTATCAATCAGTATATACTCATTCACAATCATAATACCAAAATCATCATATACTCACTTATTTGCAAATTATATGCTTATACACAACCATACAAAATATTACAATCCATTTATTCTACAGAATAAATCTTAATCAAAACCATAGACTAATCATATAACACAAGGCTCGTATGAATATATTCATCGGAAATGATTTTCATAGTCAATCAATGAAATCCTAGACTTCCTTCTTCCTTTGCAAACATTCTCACAGCGTTGATTAGGTTTTGCCAAACATTCCTCATAAATCATTCGATCCTCTTCAAAATCATACTCCTCTAAATACCTACCTCCACATTCCTTATCAATCATTTCATTAATCTCAATATAATTCTCTATATACACATCTCTCATCCACACTTCACTCAGCATTCTCCTTTCGTTCATCAAGCACAGCATCTTGTATCTATCACTTCGAAACACTTCACTCCTCACAATCTCAACCACGAGATTATGAGCATCCACACTCCCACTTCGATAAAGCAACAACCTTAGCTTTCCCATAATCTTTTCGCGCATCAGAGGCTTTGCAGCCATGCGCATGAAACCATCTCTTGACAAATAAAGAATCCTGCAATGAGCTGGCATTGCATCATTTGTAGGCGGGCTTAACAGATAACTCACAAACCTAGCATCAAAAATACAACCAGAATTCCTTAGGAGATATCTTTCAATCTCAGAAAGTATTACTCCACGTAGGTCAGCCGTACACAATCCATCTCCCTCATACATCTTCTTCAGAAATCCATAGAAAACATCTGATATCCGCATGCATTTCTCAAAATACACTCTTACATACAAAATCACAAACTCAAACTCAGGTTGGTATCCATTCGAAAAAAACATCCTCAAGACATGGAGCAAACTCCACACTATCTCCTTCTGGTCAAGATGCACTATTTCATGCCCACTCAGAAACCCAACCACCTCTCTAACCAAAAACTCACATTCATAAATCTCATTTCGTTCCTCAACTCGCCTCTTCTGCTCCAGAATGTTAACATTTGCCTGTAAAATCACTTGTGGATACAAATTGGACTCAAGGCACCTAGTAAGAATATCCAGGCACGACCTTTTCATAACACTTCCATATCTGAGCACATAATACACGAAGCTGCTTCCACCTATCTCATTTGCCTTCTGCCCAACCATCTCAAGTATCTCCATCTTCTTTGCATCATTAACCTCACCAGGTTTCATCAACGAATTCACAAGCCATCTGTACTTTTCGTTATATCCTGCCCTCAACACATTCTCCACTGACATCAGCGAATGAATCACCTCCAGAAATAAATACTCAAACTTCATTCCAGACATCTCTTCACTGCCCGTCTCCTCAGATAGTCCAATTATGTTACTCTCTTCTGAGTCTTCGCTATAGCCATCCATCTCTCTGCCATCATCCATCCCATCATCACTCAGAAAGACTAACAATTCCTCATTATGTCTTGAAGAAACTTTCAAATCAACTGTTGCCCTTGTAACACTTGCTGCAATAAACAAAATCTTCCTGATGTACTTATCACTCTCATGTGTCCTAATTGGCACCGTCTCAAAAAAATACCTGAAAACATCAAGAAACTCCTGGTGGTCAGAGTACTCAAAAATCCCCATCTTCTTCAGAACCAAGATCTTCTTGACTATCCCCACAAAAATCTTCAGCATTCGTGACTCATAACATATCGATACATCTCGTAGCTGGTCAATAATTAGGCGTAGCACTCTAGATCCAGTTTTTAATCTGTGCGTGCTCTGCATCTCCTCCTCAATCTTCCCACACAGATCATCCAAAACACTCGGAATGCAAGAAGTTCTTGACTTCATATATGTAATCAACTTTGAGAGCTTCTCTTCACTTATGCAATCCTTCCTGTATACATCCCTGACCATCTGAACATGACTTTCATATCCAAACAAACTCTTCAGCATTCAGGGCATCGTGTTAATGCCACATCATACACACAAACACTCATCTACTACTGGCATCATTACTAAACTTACACTACCCAGCACTTTCGAATTCTTCGTAAATCCTTTTGACTGCGTTATCAAGCTCTGTACACCTCACGCAAATATTCTCTTCAGCCTCATCCACTGCACGAAAAATCTCTAAGTATCTACTTCTTATAATCTCCAAGATCTCCTCCTCAGCTTCAGTGATCATCTTGCTCGACTCCTCAGCTATATTGCTTGATTTATGCATCAGGGTGTTCTATTAATGCATGCACAGATTTATCACTCTATCATTAGATTACATTCGTACAGTAACCCTGGAATGGCCTTGATAAAACGAATCGTGTCAAGGGGAAAATCTTGCTATGTCGTCCATGCAAACGAACAAACATTTCTTCTTGACTATCCATCGAGTGTGTATGGAGTATGTATTTCGTATCCTTCATTTGATAAAAGCCCCAGGCCTCTGAAACTTGCACTCCCAAGACTTACTGACGACATAGACCATGTGCTTATCACCAGGTCAGATTCGTTGGGTGCTCTTTTTATGCAGAAAGACGTTCCAATATACATGACAGAACCGGTTTTTGAACAGATGCTGATGGCTTATCAATCTATTCTGAATCTCAGGTTGTATTACGAGGATGACGGTGATGATGGTGTGCTCATTACTAGTGCAGACATTCAAAGATTCAAACGAAATGTAAGGTTTATCAGGTTTGATGAAGTTTGTCGTTTTAATCAAGTCAGTGTTATTCCACGCTCTGCAGGAACATTTATTGGGTGGGCAAACTATCTTATTGAACTAGATAACAGAAAGACAATATGTTATATCTCATCATTATCGAACAAAAAGCGATTTTCATTGGATGCAGGCTGTATTTCTTCAGACTACCTTATAGTGAACACAGATAAGCAACCGAATATGCATGAAATCGATGCATTTTCAGAGTGCATAAAGTGCTTGGACGATGAAATTGCTATCATTCCTGTTGATCTCACAACATTGCTGCTGGAGGTGGTTTTTCATGTCCTATCGTTACTGCACTTGAAGGACGGAATACCTGTTTACATTGTATATCCGCTGTTTGATCGCTTCTACACAACAGTTGGCATTCAGAACGACTGGCTGAACAGATCATTCTCATCTGTAAAGGATCCGTTCCCAATCAAGGCTTACAAAAGACTTCATGTGCTGACGACAATCGACAACCTTTCAACAATATCTGGACCTGCAGTCGTATTCTGCAGTCCTTTGGAGTTTAGTCTTTATCCACAAGGAGTGTTTGAAAACCAAAAGGTCATGTCAATCAACAGAGTGTTAGATCAAGCAGACGTGCACTACGGTTTAAGGCTCGAGCTTGATCTGGACGAAATAACCTCGATGCATACTGGGACAATAATACACGACATTGAGCCAAGCAAATACTTGTACATTGATACAACATCTAAGTACTTTTACTTGTCTATCGATGGATGCAAAACACAAGTATATGCTGATGAAATGTATATTCATGGAAAACTGAAGTTTAGTGATAAGCAAACATCCACAGAAATGAAGATAGAGTTGGTACAGGAAAAGTGCAAGATAAACGAATTGTTTGCTAACGAACCATTTTTTGTTAACAACAGTCTTTACTACTTTCCAAGAAAAAACCTTAAGATAGAAATCAACAGAGACAGAGTTAGAATAGAAAAGATATCGAATTGAAACGCATTATTGTCTCAGTACAAGTACATCAAGAATTTATTGTCTGTTAAATAAATCCTTTCTGGCACGAAGCTTCGTCATTGCATCTTCTGTAGAAATAAACTCTGTAGGCTCTTTCCCTGTTATTAGTTGTTTATCACATGCTATATTAACACTTTTATATAGAAATGCACGCCTTGGATCGAAAAACAAATTGTATTCTGCCTCATCCTGCAGCTTCAAAAATCGCTTGTTTTTGATGCTTTTTGGAACGATATAGAAATTCTCTGTAAACCGAATGTTTTGCTCATTGTAGTCATGCCCATAGAGCATTAATGCTTCAGGATCTACACGGGCTTTTATTTTTTCAATTGCATCTATCATTTGCCTAGCTGTGCCTTCAAAAAACTTGCCGCATCCAAGTAAAAATAGTGTGTCTCCAGTAGCAAGATATTTTCGTGCAATATAGTAGCAGAAGCTGTCAGACGTGTGACATGGCGTATGAATACACTCAACCTCGATTCCTTCAATATCTAAAATATCACCATGTGCGCAAATCTCGTCTTCAAATCCAGAAATTAGTCGTATGCTCGGCATCTCACTCTTCAGCTCATCAATCCCCCCTATGTGGTCTGAATGTCTATGAGTAGTTAAAACACATACAAGTCGTCGTTCATTCGTGCAATCCTCCATTGCAAGGATCTGCTGTGCACTATACACACTTTCAGTGAATTCAACACGCAGTGCCTTCTTTAACACATCAAACCTGCATGCATCTATGCATATCATGACATCTTCATTGTATATCAGATGCATATAGTTTTTGCCTTCTCCAATCAAAATACTCACTGCAAACACACTCATATGCCTTTCTCAAACTAAATATTTATTTACAATACTATTCATTTACAATCAGCTGTCCATATGCATCATACTCAGCTCTTGATTGCTTTAGTACATATATCATGTGCATGTCGTCAAATCCCTTCAGGTTCTTCCTTCCTTGTTGCACATACACTATTTTAGGATGCTCTACTTGTACACAGTCACAGCAGAACACTCCGCATCCAAGATTAACCAGTCTGGATGCCTTATTAAGTGCTGGTCCATAGAAGCGCACGTGATTGCCAGAAATCTTTGTGTAAAACATCCCACATGATATTCCTACACTGACATCCAAATCAACACATCCAAGCATTTCTTGTATCTTTAATCCCCATAGGCACGCCTCAATCCTATCATGAAACGCTAATACATAAAAGTCAAGCGAAGACTCCACAATCACTCCGAAAAAAATACTGCAGGCCATTATGATTATGTTTCTAACATTTGCAACAATGCATGCATGGATGCCAGCAGGATTTCTCGGGAAGATCTTACAGAACACAAATACCGGATTAGGATTCCTGATCAGAGAGTCATATCCAAGTCTACTTGATGTCTTAAGTACCGGGTTGTAATTTGCACATCCATTGATCGAACTTTCCGTCAATTTTCGTCTTTCATCAGCAACTCTTCGTTTTTTAATAATTGTATTTAACTCATATTCATATTCCAAACAGTCGTTTGATGCAGTTGAGATGCTCCTGGCACATCTAATCTCATTGCAAGGTTTGTATTCATCAAGTATACAAAAATCAGAAATACTCATCGCCACTGCTAACGGACATTCATAATTCATAAATTGCATTATCTTGCCAATATCATTCTCTACTGTATTCAGTACATCAAATCTGGACACAGAGTTATGTAATGGACAGATCATGGGAATCAGGTTCCAGTTGCCAATATTGTCATAGATGTACACACGTTGCGATTCGTTTAGTATTTTGATATGCGCAAAGTTTGAAAAGACTGCATCCATGCCTATTCTACTGACAACCACATGCTCTGATGTCACCATGCAGATCAAATATGACAGTTCAATATTCATTTCAAAAAACAGCATACTGAGTATAGTTCTGAAGTTTTCAAACCACTCAATTGTATCTGCACTTCCATCAATTCTCGAAAACACAGCATTTACAATATGTTGTATATCATCACCTGGTTTTCTTAAACACACAATAAACACATTCAAATAGTGTGCGTCATTGCCTATCATAATCTGCTCAACTACCTTGTTCATTTTCTTACATTCATGCATTAGGTATCTACTTGCATTATTAATACACACATCTCTGTACATTTGTTCAACCATATCCATATGTATATGCTCAAGTCTCAGATACATGGTGCATGGCTGTACATGCCCTTGTAGCGACATAATTGGATTGTAAGACAGATCTAAATGCACTACCTTGTACATCCATCTGAAATCAAATACAATTAGTTGGTTCATAGATGCATTCAAGAAGGTAAGTTGCCTACATTGAATTTCTCGCACCAAGTTTCTTGATATATCCAGATACTCTAGTGCAGGAAGCATTGGCACAAACTCTATAAAATTGCCTCTTGCCTTTAGAATCTTCAGGTTCTTTGCTTGAACATCAAGCGTCCTTAGTTCACAATTACAAATGCTTAAATAGACAAGTTTATCAAATACACCCAGCCTCACACCACGCGTGCCATCGAGAATAACCTTTCTTGCCACTCTTGAGCAAATAAATTGCACTCTTGTAAACGATAAATCGATTACACAAGCCTCGGAAGAATACTCTCTCAGTGGATTGTGCCTCAGAGACAGATACTGATACTTAAATGTCTGTACAAATGAATCAATCATATTATAAGCAAGATTTAGACTAGATGCATTGATCCTGTTAACACTACAAATCTTGTTATGCGATAGGTTAACTTTACTGAATGTCCCAATAATATAAACGCTTCCATATATTTCATTATTGCTTAGATCGATATGCGTAAGCCTTAATCTTGAAATATCAGGAACTTTTCTTATACCGCAGTTTGTAAGCTTTAATCTGCGGAGCCTTCCAAGTGAATTTATTACATCCAAGAACCTAAATCCAACTTTGTATGTGTGCTTGATGATCACAAGTCTGTGCAATGCACTGATTCTAACCGAATCTTCGACTTTATACAGACATTTAATGATAGGCATGCAGTTGTCACCAACCTCTTCCATTATTCCATCGTTGTTTATGCACATGCTAAAAGATACAATGCCTATTTGTGCAGCGATATCCTTGGATTTCGCAAACACCGATCCTGTATAATTATGTATAATTTGTCCTATTACATCGTATATGGCGACAGAGATATTGAAATCTTCTAAATACACATGCTCTGTTGTATAATCTCTCTTGACAGCAATCATTCCAACGTCTCTAGCTATATTGATTCTGTAATACTTCAAAGGAACCTCCATAAGCAGGGCCAATATGCATTTGGAAATGTGATGCAAGCCCCATCACGCTGTGCTTATATCACACATCGTCTTTATATGCATCCATTTCTGAATAATGGATCATAACCATTTAATACACTATTACTATACTATCTTACCTGACTATGCTCCATTGAAATGAATTAAGATAAGAATAGTATGCTTGAACTTAAAACAGTTATTGTATCATATGATTGATGCATGATTGTGTTATTGATCAATGAGGATAAAATGCTTCTAGAGTACCTCCTTAGCTGCCATTACAAATATCTTTTGTTTTGGCCCTTCATGGACAAGATCCATTTATTTGCCGCAAAAACATTATTGACATCGGCGTTTGCAGTAGCAGTGTTTGTACACAACTACTCATTCAAACTTGACATCAATGTTGCATTGGCACTTGCTGTTGGATTCAATCTGATTGTGCTGCTGCGCTTTCATGCGAAAGTACGCGAATATCGGAGAAGGTTTTTGAGGAAGACATATGAGCCCGATAAAAAGATGATTCTGGGTCTGTTTGTGTGTGAGGTACTAAGTATGCTTCCATTCTACTACATCACTGCATACTGGAAGGTAATGCTCATAAACATCGCATGTGTGGAGGTAATGAATATACTCCTTATTTTCAAGTCGCCAAGTAGAAGGACATTCCAGCTAGAACATAACAAGAAGGAGTTTTTCAAGATTGGGTTTCTGAAGACAGAGTATTGTGAAAGTGGCGACATCTGCTTGAATAGAGGAGAGGTGGTTCAGATTCTCGATCGCAACGGAGACAAGTCGTCTGTCAGAAAGTCAGATGGGAGAATTTTCATAATAGACAGCGTGCATATTGACGATGGAATTGAAATTGTTCTGTAAGCATTACCAATCTTACATTGCTGAATGCTCATCCTATGCAAACATCAAAACTCCTGTCCAGTATTGCTGTAAAAAGAACAAATAAGTTCATCAATTAAGTAATAAAAGATTATATAAACCTATTTGTTAAAATGGCATATTTAGTACTTATATTACAATTCATTGAGTTAATCAACGACTCAACTACTCAATTCTAGTAAATACTTCATAGCTATAAGTATATCAAATAACACATGGCGAAAAAGTTTATTCGATCAGAACACCTTCGAAGTTCTCAACAAACCACGACTTGGCATCCTCGGCATACACCCTATGTCCGTTTCCTACCCTAGACTTACACCTTCTTCTCTTAGATACCCTATCTCCAGGTCTGGAAAGAACAACAAAGAAGTCCATTCCAAAAATACCAACGCTTGGGTCGTACTTCAGTCCAAGATCAATGTGCTCCTCAATTCCAAATCCAAAGCATCCATTGTTACTGAAACAACTTGCCTTCAGCTCATACTCCTTCACCTTCAGTGCAGTGTTCAGAAGCTCATATGCCTTCTTTCCAGACACATTCACATGCATTGCAATCTTCTCGTTTCTTCGGATTCCAAAGCTTCTGATTGTCATCCTTGCTTTTGATGCAACAGGCTTCTGCCCAGTCAGTTGCTCAAGAACCTTTGCTGCCTTCTCAAGCTTCGCACCACTCTCTCGTGTGCAAATGTGTATCGACAGTTTCTTAATGCTTATCTCTCTCATTGGATTCATCTTAAATTACTCAGGCCTTCAACTTACCTTCTTAAATATTGTACCGGGGTCAAATTTTTTCATTAAATCATTTGAGATTACTTCTACCGCCTTTGAGTCTATTATTTGTTAGATCAATGCAGCTGAGCATAACATGACATATTACATCATGCACATATTCCACAACCATATTCAAATATCACAATATACATTCTTACTTGTTTATTCATATCATGTGCTATGCTATATCATATTCATCACACAACACTTGCTATTGCTTCAACAGATTCATATTCATTCATAAGCTTTCTCCAGTATCATTTGCTTTTATAAACCACTTTTTATCCACTACCTCCTTGATTTCTACCATCTTTCCACTCTGCATCCCAACTCCTGTGCGCCTCTTCATGCCAACACTTTTCAATGCAAACATCTGACTTCCATTCTTCAAATACCACGTGCCGTCCTCAAATTTCACAAGCTTTGTGTTTGAAACGCCATCTTTATGTCGCACTTGGAGCATGCGCACCTCCTCATCACAATACTCATTCGGATCAAAAACTAACCACGTAGGCTTCTTAACCAAGAAATACATGGACCAAGGGTTAGTTGTATCCATATACTCATCCATCATGCAGTGCTTCCTCGATTGTGCAAAGAACCTATACAGGCACACCTTAGAATATATTCATGCTTACACAAACATCCGTACAGCTCATGCATACAAACCGCACAGATACACAGATACACACTTACATAGCAATCAAATACCTACCCCTGCAAATGGAGCGTTTATTGCATGAAATTCTGATAAATCCCACAAGTCCATCAATTGGCTTGATCGAACAGCACCTCAACCAGCCTGATGGCCAGGACAAATTCATGGCATTATTAAAGAGTGGAAACGAAATAGCATTTACATACATGAAGATGAAGTGCAAGGAATGGTGTAATATTCCTGAAAGGGTTGTGATGATGCATAGCATGAAAAATGAGCTTTTTTCTTTGATATTCGAGAGCTCAGAGTTAAACTTTGGAATCCTCTGCTTCTTCTTTGAGACACTTTACTTCCAGGGTGCTGAATGGAATGGGCTTGTTCAGGAGCTGTGTGCAAGACATGACCGAAGGTGCCTTAAGATTCTGAATCACATGTTCAACAAATACAGAACATGTACACAGAGCAATGAACTGTATACAGAGATAATTGAGAATATAGAGCTATGTCGTGCAATATTCAGCAAGGCATACTTCGAGAGCATCTCTGAGGATGAGAATGTGCTTGGAATGTTTTACTCACTAATATTCCAGGATATTCACCCGTTTTTTGAAGATAATGCAGATAAGTTCATGGCATCTTTTTGTGCATTATTTCGCAAGCATATTCTTCAGAAGGAAATTTGTGAGATATTCAACCTTTTTGTGACGAAATATGCAGAATGCATAGACATGACCAGGATTCTTGGCGTGTTGCTTGTGACGATTACGCGCTTTGATCGATTGAAGTATTCAGTTCTTCTGAACATTGCAAAGAGGAAGGAATTCTCAGTTCTATCAAAGTTTTCTGATGCACTTTGTAATGCAGTGAAGATAGGAGCATATCTGTCACCTAAGGAGATTGAAGAGATGAATGAGGATGCGCTGTTGTACACAAGAAACCTTCTGAAGGGATATGACATGAATAGAGAAATGGTGATTGAGCTAATTGGACATCTGAGGAAGGTATTTGGTGAGTGTTGGTGTGAGTCCTTGGTTTCAGTTGATGTTACAGGCCCTATGGATGAAGAAAGACTGGTGTTTTTGTGCATGGGACTTAGGATGTGCTCTAGAGAGGTAATTGATAGATGTATTGTGATAATCAGCACGAGTAGTGTTCCACCGTATCTGGGTGCCATAGCATTTAGGTATTTACTGATGGTTCAGGAATATTCATCTGTTGATCCAAGATACATAAGCAGAATGCATCCAGCATCATTCTTGGCGATTGAGTATTTGAGCAGGATGATTGATGCGGATGAATTTTTAAGGAGCCTTGATACATACTCGAAAGAGCATATCTCTTCAGGTTATGGAGCATGTGAAAGACTTGGAGGCACAGAGTACTACAAAGCAATACTGGATAAACTGATTGAGTTTATTAGTGGAGGAGCTGAGGATGAAATATCATGCAAGTTGATTCATAGAATTGCAAGAATGAATATTTCCTTGATTACGCCGGAGGCGATGAAGTTTGTGGATGATCTTATTGAAAGGAGTATCCTGAGCATTAATTCACCTCAGGGATACTGGTATCTGCTCGATGTAAAAGGCATAGCGCTCATGAGATATGGCGATGATGGATCTGTAACTGAGATTGTACAGCGGGTACTGAGTGAGGAAATATTTGAGATTTATGCGCCATCATTTTTTCTACTTGGGGTTCTTGTTTGCCAGTCTCCGAGTGACTTTTCGTCTGTTGTGGAGATAATAAAGCAGGAAAGCTTATGGAAGACTAAGGAGCTTGTTCTAAGTATGGTGTGCCTAACAATATGTCTTTTTGAAAGAGGATACTGTAGTAAGGAGCAGGTAAGATACATAGTAGAATATTTACTGGAAACCAATGCACATCAAGCATATGTGCTGCTGTGTGGCACGATAGTTGGAGAGGAGCATCTTATGTGGATCAAGGGAGAGAATGTGGATGAGGAGTTTGTGCTTGCAACCCTACTGAGTAAGAAGGGAGTCATGACGATTGATATGTACCGAGATGTGTATATCAGGAGTGTGAAGTATTTTGAAGAGAACTTCGTATCAAAACAAAATGCAAGAAGAGTATTGATGGGACTAAGGTATGGGAAGGATATGCTGAGAGAAGATGAGAGTGCAAGATGTATTATTGAGAAGAATAAGCGCAATCTTGGATATGAGAATGTTCCTTTCAGTACGATGATTACATTTGGCATTTAGAATGCAAAGCGATATTAAACGTATGTTGTCTATTTTATGCAGTGATAGAAAGCAGGTTTTAGAAAAGATGCAACCCTTGTAACCGACGAATGTTTCAGCCTGGAATAGAGGCATACCTGGATGCTATAAAACAACAGTATGATGAACTACTTGCAGAGAACAAGGCTCTGAAGCAAGAGAATTCTCGCCTTGCTGCTGAGAACAGTCAGTATGTAAGGAGAGTCCAGCACTACAGTAGTGTACTGAATGAGAGGAAGAATGCACAGCAAGGTGATGGAAATGAGTGTAATTTGCACATGAAGCGCCTAAAGAGAGGAAGCGATTGGGTAGCCGAGGGAGATTTATTTTGCTCTGTGAGTCTTTGTGAACGGATAGTGCTACCTGCAAAGATCACGAATGCAGTCGTAAGCAAATGTGGTAAGTATGTGATATTTGGATGTGGCTACCGAGCATTTATGCTGGTGGACAAAGAGATTTGGCATTTGAATATTGCCACTGAAAGGATGGAGAGATGCGATGCTGGAATGTTTGGAACGGATGTCCAGGAATACAAGATATGCCCGATGGACTTTGCATCAGATTCACAATGTGTTTATATGTTTGATGGAAAAGCGGCAGTGCGAATATGGAATGTAAATACTAAGGTACAAGAGGGACTGCTAAGAGTATCAGAACCTATTTCACTTAAAGTAGTAAATAATGTGGTGTATATAGCAGAAAGAGACAAGATACTAAAAGTTTACAAGGATCAGAAACAGGTGTTAAAACTGAAAGTCAATGAGGAGTTGAGTGGTTTGATGATAGTGAGTCCTAATGGTAAGTTTGTATATATAGTGGTCAATAGAAACCAAATACTTGTGGTTGATGTGCATACAGAAACATCTTATCTCATCTCTACAAATGAGGAGCGGCTTCTAGCAATTGCGGTTTCACAAGAAAACATGTTGGCCTCAATAGGAGGATATGGAAAGACTGCAGGGTTATATAAAATAAAGCCTGAAAAGCCATCATGTAGGCTTCAGGACACAATTGAGCAGAACGGACCTGTCCTAGCCCTTGAGTTCATTGGCTCTCATTTGGTTGTTGGACAACCTGAAGGATTCATGATATGGGACCTTAATGAAAAGAAAAGCATGCAGGTTGAGATTTATGAATCAAACGTGATAAATGTCTCTGCTGGCAAGGGATGCTTCACAACAATCGATAACAACGGGATCCTACGCATATGGATGCACACACCAATCAGCTGATTGGCCTGTATAACATAGCATGCAGCCATAGCCATGATAAACATACTGATTGTTGTTTTATTGTTTTATTTAACACACTATGCAGCGTTATTGTAGCTTGTAGATGTACTCTCGTATGTCTGACATCCAAGAGTCTCTTTCTTTTTTACAGGTGGTGTATAGCTCTATGCTTTCCTTTGACTTTTCCAGTCGGAATCCATTGCTGCCTGTTGGGACAACACTGCATCCGCTTAGTAGAAGAATCTTGAACACCTTATTCTTTTCGTAGCATATAAGAGCCTTGCCGACAAACTTGAAAATGTATGCTTTCCATCCGTTGCTGTCCATCAACAGATACGACGATCGCTGCTCCTGTGCATCAACTATTCCAGACAGAATAAATGACTGCATTTGCTTGTTCATGCTTCTTGAGTTCAATGTTGCCTGTATAATCCTGTCCCTTACTGCTCTGCTCTGTGGGGAGTGTGCATTTGTCAGTGTAGAGCATTCAACCTCAGGAACAATGCCCAAAATCTCTCCAAGTGACTTGCACACGCACCAGCTGACATCTGACTCAATCAAAATGTAGTATTGTGTTGTTTCAACTGTGCCTTCGTAGTTTAATACCGTATTGAGTATTTTAATTCGGGGATGGATAGTAAGTCGTTTTCCTGGTGCATACAGCTGTAGTGGAGGTTCTTCAAGTATTATTTCCCTTTGTACTCCCACTGAGTCCCTTGATTCTCTAGATGCATTACTTTCGGTATCTGTTTTTGGCCCGCACATTGATTTCACATACATCACATCTATGGGCGCAAATGTGGGCGATCCAGCCATATCTTCTGTTGATGACAGTAGTTGCTTAGGATTGCTTGTGTACATCTGGGAGTTATTCATTCCAAAGCTCGCATGTGGTTTATGCCCGATTGATTTATCATGTGCTGAAAACACTCTGCTGCTCAGTAAAGACCCATTAGTCATGATGCTAGACATTCCAGACATCTCCATGCCATCAATAGACACCGCTGATGCATTCCGTCCAAAATGCTGTGTGTAATTGAACGATGCTTCTTTATTAAACATTGTGCTGTCAACTACAGACTTGACATATCCTGATCTTGGCTTAGATTCAATGCTTGTACCACTCTCACACATACTTACACATGACCTGCTTGGCTCAGTTGCATGCTTCTTGTACAGATCAATCCCTAGCATTCCAGGTTTGCCGTCCTTAGCAATCCCGCTCATCATAAAGCTACTCGATCCTGTTTTCCAAGGTATCACTCCTCCAACAAATCCATCCCTTTGCTTCACACCACTTCCCTCTGAACTTCGGGTTGGTTGAGTATCACACTCAGATCTTGACAGTTCAGACTCGCTCTCATTCACATCATTTCCAAAATAGCTTTTTGGCGGCTTTAGCTTCACATTATTGTTAAACACAAACCCACTTCCTGCACATGCCCTTGATTTGAACTCCTCGTTGATCCTCCTGAGCTTCTCATCCATCGACCCTATTGGTATTCCTGTTCGCACCTTAAATCCGCCAGGCATGCTGCCTTTGTTCAATGATGTGTCAGAGTTAGAAGCCTCCGTCATGTTTATGGGTTTGGAATATTGCACAATCTTCAATATGCATGATTTGAGCAATATAATCAGCACTGCAAAGATCAATCAACAATAAACACCAACAATCACTTTATTACTTCCACTCATCAGGTAGCAGTCTGCATACATCCTCAATGACATTCGTGCACATCGTTCGCTCATAAACCTCTTGGCACAGCTCTTCGAATATCTCCTGTGTGCTATCATCAATCACCATGCTTGCTATGGAATTCTGTAAATACTCAATTGCTGCTTCCTCATCATGATCAAGTAAATAAAGATACCTGTGCTTCCGAACAAGCAGTTTACAAAGATGGCATATCTCATGCGTACTTGCCTTCATAAGACTAAACACCCACATGTCATTCATTCGAGTGTCACCTTTATCAGGTACATTCCCTCCAAACACATGAAAAACACCATTCAACTCAACAAGCTGATGTGCAGATCTTACAGAGGGCTTGATCTTTATTGCACCTTCTGTTGCAGGCTTTTCAGTCGCCTTCATCCACTCCCTCTTCAAAAGAGAGTATGTGTAAACTTCCATCTCATCTAGTTTATCTTCCTTATCTCTTCCATAACAGAATAGCACAACTATTTGCCCTTGGTATAATAAACTACGCTGAATTACCTTTCCATCGCCTTTTACTGGAAACATCACTCGATCAAAAATAGTGTCAGTGTCAAGCTTGTAGAACTCCATTTCCTTGATTGACTCCTTACCCCGTTGCCCACCAACTATCACAATACAATTGTTGTATATGCTTCCTTCTACATATCCTTCTGGAATATAAAGCATTGAGTGCCCCATTCTTGATCTAAGCGCCGGAGTGTTTTCAGGCTGCTGTATATCAGATCGTATCATTCTCCATCCATTACGCATTCTTGATTCAGAGGTTTGTTGCAAATCCATTGGATTACATTCATTGTTACTTATATCGTCTTTTTTGTCTATGCTAGTATAGTTAATATGTTCATATTTTGTTGCAGATCTACAATAGTCTGAGGCACTGGACACATCCAGACTCGGTGTTTCCATGTGTAAATTGATTGTATTTGTTTCTGTGCCAATCCTACTCTGGGAATCAAGGCAAAATACATAAAGACCTGAATAAGTGTCCTCACGCTCAGTGGATTTGCCTCCAAAAACACAAAGCCTGTGTCCTGCAACTACCATTTGGTGATCATATATGTTTCCTGGACCTTGTTCATCGTATGCTTCAATCGATTGCCACCTTCCATTGTAAACCCAAAGGCTGTTTTTTGTTGAGCATCCCTTGCGTGAGGACAATGGAATGTACTTTCCCATCATGTACAGCTTTGAATTGTGCGCTACCATTCTGTGGCAACTCCTCTTTCCAGGGCATACCATTCCAGAAGACAGTTGTTCCCAGGTACCTTTTGTGTACTTCCAGAAATCTTCAAGCTCATCTAGTCCATTCCATCCGCCATGAAGATATATGTTGCCATCCATTTCAACCATTTGATGCCCTCCTCGCTCACAAGGCCACACATCTTTCTTTGGCACCTCAGCCCATACAAGAGCATATGCAGAATTGTCTATAAACTCCTGAAACACCGACAGATCCAAAGAATCTATAAACGCTTCCGCATCTTCATGCATATTCTGCTCAAGAAGACTGCGTATCTTATTTACTGCATTTCCCTTGGAATTATGCCCACATCTACTTTCAAGCTCTTGGTGTATGTCTTTGAATCCATTGTCCCTTAAAAATGCCATACAGTACCTCAATGAGTTTTTGAATACTACCTGCTGGTTGTACTTAACAAATATGTCTATGCCAGTGATGCCTCTGAGCTCTACAAACCATAGGGAGAAGTTGAAGTTAATGCCCCATGCTGAAAGGGGCTCAATTTTTATATACCTTGCAACCATGTAGATGTCTTCCAAAACCTTCATATTGAATGTTTCTATTTCTGTATCGTTGCGAAGCCCGCCATAGAACACTTCTCTGTACATAAGTCCATCCTCAGATATGCTTATCTTCATTTTCTTAACGTTACAGACATGCATTTTGTTGTACTTTCCGAACGTGCATGTTGCAACAATGCACTGTGGAACACGTAGTACAATGTATTGATGGTGATCATTTGAAGTAGTAGACCACCTTGAGTTTGGATCTGTAGGGTCGTTTTTCTTGATGTTTTCAGGAGCATATATTGATGCGTATGTCGAGTAGTCATGGATTTCATATGGAATTGTTGCATACGCATTTCTATTGTCAAGCATCTGGGGCGTTGAAATGTTTTGATGCGGTGGTATTTGATGCATGAATGAATGCATAATATTTTGATGAAATTGTTTGTTTGCATGGATATAGAATGAGAGATGCTTTATGTAAGATGCAGTATACTTCGTTTATTTAACAACTGTATTAGTTGAGCTATATGTGCAATCAAGCTGATGACATTATGTTACTTGAGAAAAATAAAGATACATATAATCCATGTGTTTTTTTATCCCATGGATTCTGAATCATATAGAGAAGAAGATCATACACAGTCAGTAAGTGGAGTAAATAAAGGCAAAAATTTGAATGATGCAGGGAAGAGGCTTTTATGGGCAAGTGGAATCAGTTTAGATAAGCCTATTAGAAAGGAAAAAGAAGCTGGCTTCAAGAAAAAGGATACAATAAATACTAAAGATAAAATTGCATTAAGCACACAGAACATGGTTAAGCCAATAAATGCACCCGTAAGCAATAAAATCGCAAGTGACGTGCAAAAGAGTGTAAAGATGCCTGGGGTGATTGAGATTGTTGACCAAGCAAATAGAGTGAAAATGAATGAAGATGTAAAGATATTGGAATCATTTCGAGACCTATCTTCTAAGTCTCTTTCGAAAGCTCTTGAGAAAGATTATGCACATCCTACGATTATACAGAAGTATTGCATTCCGTCAATATCTGAGGGAAGGAATTTGCTATGCAGGGCACCTACAGGAATGGGAAAAACGATGTGTTTTCTTATTCCAATTATTGAAAGACTTGAGAGATGCAATAAGCCACAGGCATGTATTATTTCACCAACAAGAGAATTGTGTGAGCAGATCCGTGTTGAAGCATCCAGATTAGTTGAGAATACTAATATTCGAGTAGTATCGATATATGGTAAGAAGTATGATTTACCAAGTTATTATGGAGTTGATATTGTAGTTGCAACGCCAGGCAGACTAATAGATTTGCTACAAAGGAAGAAGATAGATTTTTCAGGGATTAGGACGCTGGTGTTTGATGAAGCAGACAAACTTCTTGACATGGGCTTTGAGGTATCTACGAGAGAAATACACGGATATGTTCCACAAGGAGTGCAGATATGTCTATTCAGTGCAACTTATTCAGCAAAGCTCACCAGGATGATAAACTACTTTTTGCCGGGAGACAAAGTGTCTATTGAGATGGTCTCTGAAACGCTGAGGAACATCAAGCAGGAGATTGTGGAGGTTGGAAACAAAGATGAAAGACTGGTTAAGATCCTAAGCAGCTCGGACATTAATTTTGAAAAGACATCGTGGAGAACAGATGCACGACCGGACAAGGTGCTTGTATTCGTCGAGAGAAAGGCATCGTGTGCAGAACTCGAGAAGTATTTAAAACGCCGAGGGTTTGAGTGTGTGTCTTTGCATGGAGACAAGGAGCAAGTAGAAAGAAACGCTGCTCTTCAGGGATTCCGTGATGGCAGGTATCCGATATTGATTGCAACATCAATAGCAGCGAGGGGGATTGATGTTAAGGACATAAAGCTTGTGATAAATTATGATATTCCAAAAGACATTAAGGAATACATACACAGAATAGGACGCACTGGACGCGAGGGAAAGGCAGGGAAGTCTATTTCTTTCTATGATAGGAGTGTGTCGAATGAGTTTAGGAATGCACTGATTGAGATTCTAAAGGAGTCAGGAAATGAGATTCCGAGGTTTTTAGAGGGGGCCTCCCGATCGGAGGACTTTGATGCAATGATCAACAGGCTGAAGGTCAGTGCAGATAAGGAAGTATCTGAAGACGAGACCATTGGGTTGTGGGGATGAAGGAGCATGAATAAATAAAGATATTATGGTTAATGAATAAAATTGATTGAATCAAAATAACTTTTCTAATGATATTATATTTGAATCTGACACTGAGAAGCTTGAGAGGTGTTGTGGATGTGCTGGTGTATTATTAGTTATTGATATGAATGAATTTCAATGACTATTGATCAATATGTGTTTATTTTTTGTAAAATGCAGATCCATGTGCCTATGGACAGAGAAATACAGGCCCAAGACACTTGATACATTTGAAGGGCCGGAGTATTTGAAGACAATGCTGAAGAATTCAAAGGAAAGGGGACATCCGAATCTTCTTCTATATGGACCGCCTGGGACTGGGAAGACAACGTTTGCACACCTGCTTGCAAACAAAAAGCTGGAACTGAATGCATCTGATGAGAGAGGAATATCGGTGATCAGGGAAAAGATAAAGGTGTATGCATGTACGCTTGATTGTGATAAGACTGTTATTTTGGATGAATGCGAAAATCTTACTTCTGATGCACAACATTGCCTGAGAAGAGTTATTGAGGATGCAAAGAACACAAGATTTATATTTATCACAAATTATCCGTCTCGGGTGATTGGACCATTGCGAAGTAGACTTGTGAGTGTTAGGTTTATGTTAACTGAGAGTCGAATCCTTGAATCTATTGGCAAGTCTGAAGGATTAGTATATGATGCAGCCTGGTATAAAAGATTGTTTATAGCATGTGGAAACGATCTTAGGAGATCGATTAATGTTCTTCAGGGAGCTGCGCCGCTGAAAGACATATGTATTGAGGAAGCGGTTGGAATTATTCCTAGTGGGGTGGTTGATGGATTCTGGAAAACTAGCAAACCAGAGGTGCATGATTATGTGAAAATGTGCCTAGTTGAGGGATACTCTGCTCTCCAGCTTATCAGACAGATCTCTGGAACTGCAATAGGAAGTGATAAGGCATGTGCGGAATTTGGGATGCAACTGGCGATGCTTGAATCCAAATCAGTAGCGGGATGTTCTGATGAACTTATCCTATATAATCTACTGTGTGCAAAGAATGAGATTTTTGGTAAATAAAGGAATATTCTGCAGAGACACATATTTATCTGTATTGGATGATATTAGGAAATATTGTATTATGAAGATTTTAAAAGTTTATTATTGCAGTGAAGGTTTACTATTGTTGGATTGTGAATACTTTAAAGGTTTATTTCTATTATGAATACTTAAAGATATTTTATTGCTGCATTGTCAATATTTTAATTTATGCTATTATAAAGACTTAAAGATGTATTATTGTTGCATTGTGATTTTGCTTTCATCCAGGATTTTTATTAGTCTTTCATAGTAGGCCCATTTGCTCAGATATTCAGCATTTGAATAATTGTACTTGCACTGGTCAATTCGTTGCAACAGATCGTTTCTGATGGTCTGTTCTTGATGGCTGCTTGTTATGTTAGATATTGCATCTTCATAATCAAGCATCTCGATCAAGAATTCCTGACTGACAGACAATGGTTCCAGATTGTTTAAATATTTTGCACGTGAAAAGTCATCCTTTAGAATGCTGTATGCCTTGTTGATTTCGTCCATGCGTGTTTGCGCTGTAGAAGAGCCGCGTTGTAGATCTGGATGGAATATTTTGGAGAGCTCGTGATACTGCTTTTTGAGTTTGTGCTGATCTATGTTGAATGTGGGATGCAAGCCAAACACATCAAAGTGCTTTGAAGGCGATGCCATACATTTTAAGGGCAAGCATATTGATGAATCGTGCATGCTCAATATCGGTTATGTGTAACTGCCCTTGTATGGGCACATTGAAAAGTAAGACAAGCAACAAGCCAATGCGTAATAGTAAGCATGCACAATCAAAAAAGATTGAAAAGACAAATAAAGAGCCAGTTATAAAAGAAAAGCATAAAGAACTAAATAATAAAGATGAATCTGAAAAGAGCGAAGGATCAAAAGGAATAGTTTTGAAACGAAAGCCATGTCCAATTAGAGATAATGTATTTCCTGATGCCAACAAGCTGGAGAAGGAGCTGTTGATGAACGGAACGAAGACAGACAAGATAGATATTCTTACATTGATGGTTGAGCGAAACCCATCGCCCGAAAACTTTAAAGGACTACTTGCATTCTGTGAAAATCAAAGGAATGACGTTCATTACTATGTGCTCAAGAACATCAGAGATATTCTTATATCAAAGAAGGGAGTCAATGACTTTTACATCAAACAGAGGATCGTGCGATCATTTGATGTTAATCTACGGAATGAATATATTAAGAAGAAGGTACTGCGACTAGTTGTTGATCTGTTGAAGAAGGATATTCTGTTTATTGATTTGCTTCATCTATTTGTTAACAAGCTTGGAGATAAAAAAGATATTTCTGATTATGTGGTTGATGAACTGAGCGAGCTGGTTCCTAAGAATGAAGAGACTATTATTGATGTGCTTGAGGATTTTTATTTCAAGAACGATCTTTTCCGCTCACGACACACCTTTTTGAGGTTTGTTGCAAGGCTTGATTTCAAGAACAAGAAAAAGGCATTTGGACTGTTTAATCTTATTTTGAAAGAGTTTTGCCAGAGCATGCCAGAAGAGCATAAAAATATACTGCTTGAGGACATAATTGTTGGGCTTGGAAAGAACATACATAAAGAGCAGATAAGCAATGTGGAGATAGTTAGAAAAGCAGTACATACTGAAAAGATGATTTTCTATGCAGGCAAAGTATTAATTAGTATTAAGGATGCTCATACAGTTGAGTTTTTTAAGGATGCAATAAAGTCGCACAAGATGAGGAACTCGAAGAGGATGGTTGGATTCATGAACATGGTGCATGGAGCGATTCTTAAAACCAAGGATGTTGGGTTCTGCGCATTTCTACTTGATTTTTGCCTTATGTACACATCGGAGTATATTGTTTCAGCCCTTCTAATATGCTCAGAGGCAAGGAAGTTCAAAATGAAAGGGTTTGATAACATGTATGTGCTGAGGATTCTTGCATTGCATCAGAATGATGTTGTTAGAAAGTTTGCGCTGCAGTTAATTGGAGGAGAGGCGATTCATGCATTTGATCCATTTGATAAGACAAGCTTCACAAGTGCAGAAATGATGTGTCTTGATCTTTAAAGACATGGATAACTTAATCAAATAAATGAATAGTAATATGTTTATTAGTCAAAATACCTGAAAAAGGATTGATGGATTATCGCCGTGCTCAATCATTTGGATGCACCAGTTAGTTTTACTTAACATACATCAGCACAAGATGCCATTGATATAATATTGTCAGATAATTGGTTCTGGCAAATGCAGTTCGTAGAAATTAAGGTTCGACATGCAATATAATGAAGACAGTCAGTAAAAACAGAAGATTCTCCTCTCCGTTTGTATTAGTATGGAAATTGATCAGCAAGTTGTATTACAGATACACACTAGAAATGGGAATATGCATACTTGAATGGTGGGAGGTGGTCTTGGTCAATACATACTTTCTTTTGTTAACATCCTCGTTCATCAAGCAAATGATAAAAGTCACAAAGTGTGTATATAAAATGATTATTAAATTGCCAAGTATTTTCAAATCCAAGATGCGTGTGCATTCAAACAATACAACTATCACTTCCACTTAATAAACATCACTGCACCTTACATTCTTCCAATCTCCCTCAGAATCGAAAAAACAAATGGCTGGAATGAATAGTTAGTATTGAGTTTCTCTAACATGCGAATTGTGTAGTCCTTCTCCCCTGCTCCAATCATTGCTCTGATCATACTTCCAAGCCGTGCCTCCACATGATCTGTTGTCTTTTTCATCCTACACACTGCCTTTATGGTCTTTTCTACTGTAATCTTCATTTCTCTAGTGTCATTTGCAGTATGTGCCACAAAAAACTCATTCTCAAGACATTCCAGACTTTCATCTCGATCTTCGGTTATTTCAGTGTCCTTAGACCACACTGTGTTGTACTTAGGAGTCTTTGAAAACCACACTTTGCACTTCTTTGAAAAAAAATACTCTTCATCACCAAATACAGCAATAAGGAAATATTTCCTATCCAACCGCATAGATACAAACATATCAAGTCTCGGAAGTAATCCGCTCAAATATGCTCTGCGCTTGCGCATCGAAAATACTGTAAATGTGCCATCAGATTGCAAGTAGAGTACGTCATTCCTGAGTATATCAATCATCACAACATGATGAGAGCATATGAATGGCATAGCCAGCACACCTGTCTTCAAATCATACACTCGAATACATCCTGTGTACACACAGAGGTACTTGTCACTAACACACACCAGTTCTATTCTTCCATGTATTCTATAGAACTCAATTCCTCTTCGTTTAACACACACGCAGTTCCTGTCAGCATTCAGTTCAATACTAAAATCTCCAAATACGCGTGATAGAGTCTGGCATAATGTCTTCTCAATCATCCTATTGCTTGTATAATTAAACATCACAAGATGTGAGAGATCTGTGAGCATTTCTACACCATTCAGTGTTGGTTCTCCATCTACTGATTCACTCAATATTAGCACTGGCTTCACTATCTTCTTCACCTTTTTATTATTCTCTGGATGCTTGTCTTCAACACTCAGAGAGGTCTTGGAAAGCATCTCCTTAGATTCCACCGAAAACATGATTCCTTCATCCTCCTCATCAAAACCCTCGCCTACGCCTCCCAGCTCTCCTTCATCAAACTCAATCTTCATCACCTCTCCATTGTATGAGCACACATAAAGTTTTGTTCCTTTCTTGTCCCAACACATATCTAACACAGGCAGTTTTGTCAGGTTCTTGATCAACACAAATGGCTTTACAGATAACGATGTCCACAACGACAAGCTTAAGTCCTGAGAAGACACTGCCATTACATAATATCTTTTACTTGCCACATATACATTTGGATTAAATGCAACTGCTTCACACGGCGCTGCATGCCCAATAAGCGAGCACTCACTTTTCAATTCACAATCAAACACCTCTACACTATTGCACTTCGTATTGAACGATAGCCCAGATGCAAAGAACCTGCCATCAGGCGAGCATCCCATTCTTGAAAAAAAAGACTCAAGAATCATTTCCTTCGATGCATCCATCTTCTTAACAACCTCGTAGTCTTTATACAGAACAATCCCATCCTCACCTTGCGTACACATGTACTTATGATTCTTATCAATGTATATTCCTTTTATCTGTCCTTCATGCGAATGCATTTTCTTTATAACACAGAATGTCTTCAAGTCATGGAGCACAACCCATCCATCATATCCCGCACTAATAAGGAACCTATCTGTCCACATCACATTGCTCACATCACTTTCATGCTCAGATGCTGAGTATACAACATCGCCATCGCTTGTGTAAACAAATACCATCCTGTCATCTCCTCCAGATGCAAGAAGCTTCCCATCATTATTGAAGCGGATGCAAAGAACCGCTCCTGTATGCTTCTTGATAGTCTTAGACAATCTGCATTTGTCGTCCCATACATTGACTTCGCCCTCCAGTGAGCACGTGGCAATCATAGCACCATGCACATCCATCGAAAAAATAGGTTTGGCCCTCTTCATCCCATGTCTAATCGCCATCTCAACTATTCTCATCAGGTATCGGGGCTATTCCTCTCAAACATTCACTATCGCCCTAAAAACACAAAATAACACCGAAGCTAAAGTTTAATACCAACATAACATCCATCATCAAGTCCTACATCTCTTATTCACGAGAACTCTTCTTGCTATTTGCTGCAACCTCGCCAGGCACAATGCTCGACTTCATTCCACCATTCTTTATCAGCCAGTCATGTCCAATAAAATGCAACTCAGTGTCATTATAGATTGCATTGTTAATATGCTTCGGCATGATCTTCTTCTTCCCATCTGTGCTTGCCACATTCCTTGCACCGTCAGTAATCTCTCCAATCAGGTATATCACGCATGCTCCAACCGCAACAAGCGCATCCTTAGATATCCTCATTCGTGTCCTATCCTTCATAATCTTTTTTATCTGACTCAGCTTCATCACACTCTTATGATGCTCTTCGTCCTTTCCCATCACTCTTGGATCTGCTTTCCCTCCTTTTCCCTGTGCCATTCCTCAGGGTCCTTCTTTTTGTTTATATATTTTGCATTTGGAGGGAAATCTACATTTGGAGGGAATCCTGAACATTCAAATCATGCAATCAATACCACTCTATTAATATTACATCCCTGCCATTTTTCCTCTGTAACTCATTAACAAATATCAAAATATTTATTCAATCATAAACACCATCACAACCTTACTTCACATCCCCCTTGCCATCCGCTCTCCTAATTTGTCTTATTCTCTCCTTCTCATTTATACTCATATTTTATCATTCAATCCTATTCATGTGCACTGCCTTTTATCTTCACTTCACTCATCGTTTCTGTCACCAACCTTACGTCTTTTGCTTTCTTCAGGTTGGTCCTTAGGCTTTCCATAATACATTCTTAAAAACTCCTGTACATCCTTCTTCTTTAGACTGTGAACCTCAATACTCATTCCATCGGGCCTTCCTTCATAACCATTTATAAACTCAACAAAGTCCTTAACCTGCAGATCCACAAACACCTTCTTGCCTTTCACAGGAATAATATCAATCGCAATAAAAAACACCGTGCATCTTCTTATTTCCTTTGTGCATGTATTTGCACACACTCTCGCGATCTTTTCACTAGAAACCTCAAATACCTTTGGAAACGGTATTGCATACAAAATATCATCCACTGCCTCAAACTTAGATGCAAGAATCCGGATCTTCGATTCAACATATCCCTCCCACTTCTGAAATTCCTCATTCTCTACTTTAACAGAAGTCGCCATCACTTCTATAAAAAGCTTGTATTTGCTGAAAAAATCAGAAAGCTCAAATATCTTCCTAAAACAACTCTTCTTCATTTCAAGTCTCTCTTCCGTGCTCTTTTCATGCTCACCCTTCTTGTTGTCGTTCTTCTCAATCATGCATAAAATCTCATGCGCCCTTGTGAGCTCAGTTGTAATCGCATGCTGTGTACTGTTAGATACATTATGCGTGGAACACATCGAAGGATATGCAGGTGTAATCACTGGCATTCTATGGTACTTATCAGACGGATGAATCTTCGGATCCCATACCTTCAGGTTAAAGTTCAGGTCAACCACAGGACGCAAGATAACAGGCATCGGCCATTTCCATGATGAAAACAATTCAAAAAACTTACTCACAATCACAAACGAACTTACATTAGGATACAGCTGGCACACACGTGCAACACACAATGAAAACGCAACTCCTCCAAAATACCCATACGAATTTCCATATACACATCTTCTTTTTGCCCAGTATTTAACACACCTTAATGCAGAATGGAAGACCTTGACATTTGGAACAAGGCTTAGCATCTCATCAGTAACCCTGGATCCATTCAATGAAAGTATACACTTCTCATCCATATTCTTCAGAAGCGTGTCATTCAACAGATTGATCCCCTCCTTCACCACAGGAACATTAAGCCGAGCAAACACTAAATCAATCGGAATCCCTTGAAATTTGAATTTAATTATTGGCACAAATGCTTCCTCTATCTTCGTAATCTCTTCTATGCCTGGATTTTTCTTCAACTCTTCATAAAAATATACGAAAAAGTCGCTTCTGCTTACGTGCCTAGGAACAATGCACAGAGCATCAATATCTGCACCTTTACTGTGCACTCCTAATCGGTAGCTACCAAAGGTAAATATCTTTCCTCCACACTGCTTTTCTCCTTCTGTGCCTCCTTTGCTCTTTGCCATCTTAGCCACAAAGTCTTTCACCATGAAATTCAATCTACCAAGAACCCTTTCTCTGGTCTGTCCTTCAGACTCATCCTCAAAAAACCCACACTCCTCAAGATACCTATCCATTTCCACAGACATTCCATACTCTTCTTCTGTGCTCTCTTTCATCGACAATGGCCCAGTCATTCCGTACTTATAGTTCTTCTCAGACATTTCCATTGCTTTTGATCTCGGGGATCATGCTTTGTGTATTTTGAAATAGCATAATCGCATTAATCAATACAGCATGTCTTTCACAAACACATTCTATAAGCACATGGTCTAGCCAATTTAATCACATCACATTCACTGATCAAATGAATCTACTCTATTATACAAATAAACATAAAACTTCTCAAAAACTAAACACATTTAATATCCTCCTCTCAATCTAAGAACCAAATGAAGCGTGGACTCCTTCTGAATGTTGTAGTCAGACAGGGATCTTCCGTCCTCAAGCTGCTTCCCTGCAAAAATCAGTCGCTGCTGATCTGGCGGAATACCTTCTTTGTCCTGGATCTTTGTCTTTACGTTTTCAATCGTGTCTGAAGCCTCCACCTCCAGAGTTATTGTCTTTCCAGTCAGAGTCTTCACAAAGATCTGCATTTGTTTGGGGTGCACAAACAATCATTTTATACCTTGAAACACCAATCAATCACGCAGTGCTGATGCAGCCATTCTTCTCCAAACCTGCTGTTTCGGCTCTGATGCTCTGCATTCCACTGAATGAGAGTCACAATGTGTAATATACATATTACAGGCTGTAGCATTGTGTATCTATCTCAAACAGATGATCACAAGTACAACATGCTCATTATACATCATAGATCTTAAGATTGTTCAGATTTATTCAGATTGTTCATTTGCTCTGAGTACGTTTGCATCGGCAGTGATTAATGCAAAAAAAAATTGCCCTCACATGGTCCTTGGAAAGCCTACAATAATACCAGTTGAGAAAGCCAAACTGACAGAGCAGGAGATGATTGAGAAAGAGATTCTTATAAAGAAGAAGATAAACAAGCTCGCAAATGCAATCAGGATTCCACCGGCAATCAACCAGTTCAAGACGTTTTTGTCTGAGCACGACACAAAGAAGGTAGTTGACCTGTTTATGAAGTACAGGCCTGAGAACAGGGCTGAGAAGAAGATAAGGCTGGAGTCAGAGAATCCAAGGGGAGGGCCAAAGCCAATCCTTGTGAAGTTTGGGTTGAAGCACGTCACTGATCTCATCGAGACTAATACTGCAAAGTTTGTTCTTATATCTGCGTCTGTTGATCCTATTGAGGTTGTTTTGTTCCTTCCAACACTTTGCAAAAAGATGGGTATTCCATATGCAATAGTTGAGAACTCAGTGATTCTTGGAAAGTTTGTGAATATGAAGACTTCATCGTGCGTATGTCTATGCGGAGTGCGTGATGAGGACAGTAAAACATTCAATGATGTTATAACCATGTCGAATGCAATCTTCTTCAATCAGTACGAGAAACACATGAAGACATGGGGAGGCAGTGCATCCTTGAAGCAGCAGCCTGAGAATGACTGAAGAAATAAAATGCTTCTTTAATACCTGAAAGTTTCCACAAGCATGTGCCATTCACTCGCAAGTCGACGAATGCAGCAGTAAATACTCAGTACAATTATTTTATATACTGATTTGCTGTATTGACTTGAGTTGCATTATTCTCAAAACATACATTAATCTCCACACTGATTTATTGCATAGCTCACTCCTCACGTATTAATAAGACAGGCAGTGAAAGAATCAAAAATGCCAATGCCTTTACACCTGGAATACGGGTAATCCACAGGTTCAGCCATCCAAAGTAAGGAACATATCCAACAACAATACTCTTGATTTCATCGGGCCTCAGGTAATTCCGTCCTCTTGGATACAGAGAAACATCATCACTCATGTTGTTGTCTCCCTTTGTAAGATATCTTTCGCCGAATTGCTTGATGCATCGATGGACACACGGAATGTCCTCATTGTTGAATTTGAACACTGCCATGTCTCCAACACCAAACTTCCTTTCTGCAAGCCAGAGAATGTCTCCTCTTTCAAATCCAGGCGCCATACTTTCACTCAGTACAACAACTATTGGACTATCATTATTTAATAGCACAGAAATCAACTTCCATATCATGTACGTGCCACTTATTGAATACGCAGCATTCACAAACTGTATCAACATTTGCCTGATTCCCATTCTCTTCAGCTGCTGCAGGTCCTTCTGTGAAACAAAACATTCGAGCATCAGGGCTTTGTGCATAACCTATTTGCCATCACATTTGCCCAGAAATAAACTTCAAATACAAAACTATCATGCAATATATAAAAATGAAAACTATCATATATAAATGCATTGTTCATTCTTATTGTTCCAACACTATCTCAACCCACACAGCAATCGTATCATTCATCACATCTATTGCAACATGTGCATTAATTGACACTTCAGATAGCCTCGTCTTGCATTAGGAGTGCTCTACGCATATACAGCAATTCCTTATCAATATAAAATCAACATCAGTAAAATCATAGAATAGTTTATTCTAGCTTGCATTCATTATGCATTGCGCACCTTAAAATTTCCTCCATATCCACACTTCCTCAACATGTCCATGGTTGTCTCATCAACCTCCATGCAATCCGCATCAAGAATAGACACCTTCGGAACTACGCTCTCTTTCCTCTCCCTCTCAAGCTCGTGGCTCTTCACATACACCTTCGGATACATCCCCTTCAATATCCTCCTGTATATCGATGTCAAATACCCTGCAATTTCATTCTTCAATTTCTTCGACTTCACCACTGCAACCTCCTGCACAACAAGCACATTGTGGTCAAAAGTGTTGTCAAGTCTTTCAAAATACTTCTCTGCAATCGTCTTCGCTGCTCTCTTTACTACTTTGTTCCTGACACAACCCTAGAATTAAAATACCTCACTTACCATTCTTGGGGTGAAAAAAATTGCAGTTCATATTCTACTGTTTATACTCAGGGCGCAGCTCATACATGTTCTTCAAGTCCTTCTTGTTCAGCACACAGATATCAGAAACAATCTCCTGGATAAATGCAACAGGTTGTCCGCAAAAGTCGGCTAGATCCTTCACTGTCCATGATGAGTACTTCTCAAACGCCTTGAATACCAAATCAATCACCTCGCTCTTCCCAAGTCTTTCTCGCTTCTTATCCATCAACATCTTCTTCCTCTTCTTTGCAAGATACTCCAACTCTCTTAGGCTTCCAAACTTCTCTCCTCTCTTTCCTTCCCTAAGATAATCGATCACCTGGGTATCGCCTTTCTTTGTATCGCTCAAAAATCCCGTCTGCTTCTTATATTCCAGGTATTCCGTACTGATTACTGGTGTTATGTAGCACTCGTTGTTGATCATACCTTCAACATCTGCATTATTCTCGCATGTCTTTACAACATACATGTTGTTTTCCTTAGGTTTGATCTTCACTTCAAACGAAGATGGAAAACCTCCTGAGCAAAACTCCTTGGAAAGCCGGAGGTTTAGCACTGCAGCTTCTGTCTGTGTTGCCTTGGATATATCAAGCTCTCCTATCGATATCTCTTCGCTGTTGTTTAAGATCCGTTCTGCAAGAATCAGTGGGAGCTTTGCAAGCCATATCTTTGTGTTCTTATTGTTTGTGTTCAGTTCCATGTCAGAGCTGTCAGGGTAAGTCAAATTGTCCTGTGATTGATTACTGAAATTTAACTAACTCTAGGTGCATAGTACATCTCATGTATCATATAATACATGTTCATCAGTGTTATTGTGTATCACCATTCTTTTATATGTGTATAAACTTGCTTGTTATACATTTATAATGCACATATATTATGCTTATGCTTTTGAGATGCACAGCTTAATATGGCCTGAAAAAATTATCCCCGATGAGAATTCTTGTCACAAAGATGGTGAAGATTCCAGAAAACTGTATTGTTCAGCAGAAGGGGAAGGTGTTTACATTCCAAGGCCCAAAAGGAGTATTGGAAGAGGATTGCACTCGACACATGCTTACATTCGATATCTATGAGGGATGCATTAGAATCAGGCTCTGGAATGCAAACAGGAAGGCTGCTGCATTTGCAACAACTGCAGAGTCATTGCTGAGGAACTGCATCAAGGCAGTCACAGTTGGATTTGCATTTACGATGAAGGCAGTGTACAACCACTTTTCTATCAATTTTGAGGTGCAGGAGAATGGAAAAGTGCTCCTTGTGAAGAATTTTCTTGGAGAAAAGAACGTCAAGAAGTTCATAATGCGAGGGGTTGCAAAGGTTAAGCTTGGGACTGCAAAGGACACGCTTGTGATTGAGGGCCCGTCGCTTTCTGATGTCTCCCAGAGTGCTGGCACGATCACAAATCTCTGCAAGGCAAAGAACAGAGACAGCAGAATCTTCCTTGACGGGATATTCGTGGTCGAAAAAGGCGTTATGGCTTAATAAAAGAAATGCCTTTATTTAATGATAATTAACTTGCTATGGCTTTAATGCCACTTCTCTTTTAACAGCATGTTGAATGTCTATTCGATATTTCATCGTTACTCACTGATACTCGGTCATTCACTCTGATCATTATATTCATGATGAATAATTATCACGCATCAACAATTATCATGAATTATCAAATACTTCTTGTATTATCACATCATGCTCTACTTATGCTCTCTTTACCACTTTAATCAATGCTATTATCCTTTGTTCTTCATATTTTCTTTCATAACCTCCTCCATTTGCCAACTACCACATCTACTTCATAACCTCATTCACACACTCCTCCACATTCTACTGTTAGTTCATCTGTGCCGCCTTCTTCTTCACATTACTGAATGCTTCTCTTTCGCCATCTGTCTCTTCACACAGTAGCTGCTTGTGCCTCTCAATATACTCCAGATCGCTCTGTTTGTTTACCTCCTGTCCACTCAGTATCCTGTCCTTGATAAAGTAGTCCTCTCTGCGCTTCCTCACTGCTGCTATCTTCGGCATTGCCGCCAGTGTCTTCTCCAGTCCTTCACGATCATATATTCTCAGCTCTGCAGGTCTGTGCTCAAACTCAAGCACACGGTCGTTGCACAACTCCTTACACATCACCTTCCTTGAGATCTTCGTCCACCTCACCTTCCTCGGATTCACTCGCCTCTCAAATAGTTTCCTGCACTTCGACCTACAGAAACGAAACACCTTCGAGTCGTTCCTCACATACACACTTCCATGCCCCTGATATATGCTTGACGAGCAGAACCAACACTTCTCAATTCGCATTGGGCCCCTATGCTGCATTGCTTTTTCTATGCAATTCATCGATCCTATGCATAACAGAACAGTAGATGCATAAATAACAGTAAATCCATTCCACCATAATCATACTTAATGATAGATGAATAACAAAGTAATCACATGAACAATAAATAACATATCACATGAACAATGCATAAACTCACTTCATTGAATCACAATAACGTATAAATTCACATAGAATGGCATTATTATATTTATTACACAGCTCTTAACACTCAATATCCAAGTAACTCAACAACACTCAGTAACTCAATACACAGCATCAACTTTCAAACTATCAACCAGCTTAGATACCTCGTTTCTGTCTATTGCAAAATATCTTGTTGTCTGGCCAGCATGCTTCCATCTATTCATTATTGCATAGATATCAGTGTAAATAGCAACCTTTCCTTCAATGCAGCCTTCCATCATAACAATCATTCCATTTGCATCTCTGTGCCTCTTCGCCACAAACATTTCAAAATAATATCTGTATATGTGGAGAAGTATCTCAATTGATGTGCTGCTCAGAATCCTTGGGACATGGATCCTGAAAATAAACACTTTCCCAATCCTCTTTGCATTTGCAATGCATTCGCGATACATAGAAACAAGCTTGTGATGAAGCGCTGCACTCTCTTCCATCTGTAAGTCATTCGTGCGCGACATACTCAAGAACGCTTCTATCTTCGATCCCTTAAGCAGGTGATAACAAACAAGAAAGAAACTCTCAATGGGCGATATTTCAGTGTTATGGCCAATTTTACGGATAAAACACATTCTCTCTGGAAAGTTAATGCTAACCAGCTTCTTTGTTTCATAACTCAGGTTCGTGTATTTTTCATGTGCAATCTCATTCGATATTCCTTTTCTTGCCAAGTACTCATGAATTCTTGCAAATTCAGCTTTCTTATCCTTGTGATAAATCTTGTTGTCTAGAATAAATGAAGCATCGTTTAAGAGTGCGCAGAAAATACTTGTGGAATTCAGAAGCAAAATGTTTGGTCTTGTTACGTAGTGTATTCCATCTAGCTCTGTAGACAATCTTTTTTTTTCGGCCTCAATAACAAGATCTGCATGTAAAGACAAACATTCATTGCAAATTATTTCTTGTGAGTTGTTCTTAATGCTTTCTGTTAAATTTTTGCTTTTACCTCTTTTTGTGATACGTTCAGGATTGTTGTTCTCTTGTTTATTTTCTTTTTCAAATGCATGTTCTTCATGCATAAGGTTTGTCTTTGTAAAAATCCTGTAGAATTCAAAGCAGACAGCCATTGGCCATATTGCCTCTTTACTCACACAGTTTGCCTCTTTCGCAAGTGAGTATGCAAGAATGCACGGATACATCTCGCAAATACTGCATGTGCATTCAAAACTGCTTCTTACAGTAGAGTCTGCTCTGCTATTTAGAACAATGGAATTTGCATATTCGGCATTACTTAAGCCTATGGCAATGCAGAGGCCTTCTGTGTTATCACAAATGTCTGGTGCATGACCGAATGTGATCTCAAAACGAATTGTCTCTCTGTGTAGTATTGATGCGATTATATTTGCAGCGCTGATGCTTGCTGGTGTTTCAGCCAAAACAACTCTTATTGATGTGGACGACCTGAGTCTGCTCAGAACCTCAGCAGGGCCTTGTGTGCAGAGCATATGCCCTTAGACACAGATATTTTTTATGGCAGTCGCATTGAATGGCGAGAGGCAGTGCCTGGTTTGCCGAGTGCATTAAGCCCTTACGATGCAGACAAGGCATTCGTGCAAGGAAATAGCTGCGCTTGAAAGCGTAATAATCGAGATTATGAGTGACTGCAATCAAGGTGATGATGCAGACGGCATTGCAAAAGTGTTAGTTGCAATAAAGAATGGAATATCTGCATACATCGAGGAGATGGAAGATTACTATATGAAAAAGATACTGTTTATGGCAGAAACGAGCAATAAGAAAATAGACATGATGCAGAGAGAGATTGATGGTTTAGAGCAAACATATCTTGATTTATTAGCAAAGGCATGTGAGATGAAGAAAGGCATTCATGCATTATGTTTGATGAGTGGCATGAATAAGTAAAGCATTTAAAGACTGATGGATTATTACTTTTCTGATGGTGTAGTGCATAAACTAAATGAATGATTTGTGTGTAAAGCGGATGTGAAATATGGGTGTGATCGGACTGTGCATTAATTGCATATGCATGAATATTGTTGCATGAGAGATTGAATTGCTCCTTTACGTCCCTTGACTCCTCGAACTGAGATATAAAAAGAAGAAAGGAGAGGGGTCTGATGACAACAGAGAGAGCAGACTATGATGGAGCAGGAGAGTCCGTGTATCAGTTTTGGGACGAAAGTGATGATGGAATTTATGAGCGTGGATATGAAGAGAACGAAACGAATTCATTAAAGCTGCGCAACTTTGTTGAAGATGATCTGTACCAGTCTGATGGGCAGATGCATTATAGGAACGAAGAGGAGATGAGGCTTAGGTATGGACGAAAGAAGAAGGAGAAAAGAAAGAAGAAGAAGAATGACGAGAACAGAAGACCGTCGAACAGGAAGATAGTGAATCTGCCTGCATCGCCACCGTATGTTCGATTTGTTGATGGAGAAGAGCGACTGTGCTTTAAGTATGTGACAAAGGTAAGTGAGTCTGCAAGGGATGCTATGCCGAAGGCAGATCTTGAGGATAATGAGTTTTGTGTGAGGTTTGATCTTGACAGTGTTGACATTGGCAAACTAAATGAGAAGTTCAAGGCAGACAATTGTGTGTATCCGAGGGCGAATCTTCCGAACGAAATGTACACTGGGAATCGATGGGGATTTGAGACGGAGTGCAATAGACTTGCATGGCAGTTTGTTTCGCTGAATCCAGTTTTGCTGTATGGAAAGAAAGGGCTTATACAGAGAGCGGTAGACTCGTACAGGACGATTAACAAGCAGAGCAGAAACAAGAAGGTGATAAGGGAGGATCGGTTTCCAAATGATATTGAGAAAAGAAGACATGTGTCTGGAGCACCGTCAACAGTTACGATCCAGTGGATAAACAGGGGAATTCCTAAGAGATGTAAGATCCAGATGAACATTGATAACATCAACTATGAAAAGATTGACGAGGAATTCAAGTCGAAATTTTCTGTGTTTATGGATGACTTTGATGATAAGTCGTTTGGAAAGAGCAAGTGGGAAAGCTACAATGCAGACAATGAGCTTGCAGTGAAGATTGCATTCTTGAATGTTGAGAACACGTCTTTTTGGAATGCAATCAAGGCGCTTGACAAGACAACAGTGATGAAGAAAGCGATTGAAGCATACAGACAGAAGAAGGAGGAGTATATGAGCTCTGAGGATGACACAGAGATGTCTGATATTGTGACGAGTACTCTTGAGAATGCATCTGTAGACATGAAGAGCAGTAATGCGGAGAGTTTCTACTTCTGTAATTGAAGAGACTGTTTGATCGTAATTAAACAGACTAATTATTAATTGTGTTTCTTTATACTTGATATTGCCTGATTGTCACCTGAAACTGTGTTTTGGAGTGTTTACTGATTTTTATATAAGAAGGAAACGTTCTGTAAACATATGATTCTTCTATATTTACTTGGGTGTCTTGCGGTAATTACTGAGAGCTGCGAACCTATAACGAATGGTTATGTGCTTAACAAGTACTTTACGCCGTGGTGCCCTGCATGCCAAAAAGTTGAGCCACTAATTGAGGAGATCAGTAACAAGATTGATAGGCATGGAATTGACATAAAGATACGAAATGCAAACTGTGATGAATGTAGTTGCAAGAATGTTGCGAGCTACCCGACACTTGAAATGACAAAGGACGGGGAGTCTGTGGGCAAGCTTGAAGGTTTCCAGGACTATGATGCAATAGCCAACTTTATTGTTAGCCATACAGGTGTTGATAAGAGCGTTTTTGATGGACACATCATACAGAAAGAGCCGTCAGTTAGGAAATTGACGAAGAATGATTTCCTAAGTGGCTTTGATGGTCCACATGTTGTGTTATTCTATTCAAGGGAGGATGACAAATATCGAGTGATGTTTGCAGAGCTTGCAAAAGTTTATGAAAACAGACTTACGTTTGGAGAGATCAGCAGTGCTGAGTCTGCAGAGCTCATCAACAGATATGATATCAGGTCGTATCCATCGATATCTGGGATCTTCAATGGACTGATTGTTCCATTCATAGAGAGAGAGGGAATTCCAGACATGCCGAAGCTGATCGAGTTCTGTGACAGACTGATTGAGAAGTCGTTCCAAAACCTAACCCTTGATGTATTTAATCAGGCAGTATCCACTCTTGAGCAAGGAGAGCCCATCTATGTTGTTTTCCATAAGAACCTTGCATTAGCTATGCAGTATTTCCAGAGCATGGCACATATGTATAAATTCAAAGCCAGGATATACAGATCGGATGATCCTGCTCTATTCAGTAAGGCTTCAATATTCCCAAAGATGCTTGGCAGCGAACAAAATGCATATACAACCTCAGATCCAGCAGATTCAGCAATTCTCTCAGTGTATAAGAACGGGGTGTTCTATAGATACACGGACACATTTGGAGATGAGACAAAAATAACTGACTGGATATTCCATACACATTACAAGTATCTGACAAAGGTAGACAATCAGAACTTCTACTCAATATTCCATGGATTGAAGCCAGTGATGATTCTTGTGACACGAGGAGAGCAATATGTAAACAAAATGAACGATTTTAGTGCCGACAGACACCTGGGTGTTCCATACACAGACATGGTGTTTGGAACTATGGATATTGATGATTATCCTCTTTTCATTCCATCTCTTCTGCCAAAAATTTCTGTTCCCTCGCTTGTTGTGTTTGAGCCATGGATGAACTTCTTCTATCATAAGAAGGTTAAGCTTACAGAGGAGAACTTTATTTCCACTGCTATGGATACATACAACCTGTATCAGAATAAGAAGCTTCCAATGTATCCAGGTAAGAGCAACAAGCTCATGAGATACAGCATTCTTGGACTTGTTATTGCTCTAATTGGTGCTTATTGCATGTCTATATCAAGGACTGCAAAGAAGAATAAATAAAGCATTGAACCTGATTTGACAACTTTGATAAATACAACAAGCAAACAACACAGACACGGGGCATAATGATAGACTTTGTATATGCTGTGATGTCTACTGTGTGTTTCTACTGGAGAGACGTTTTGAAGATTCTATTTGAGACTCTTGTGATATACCTGGTGGTGAGGTTGAGGTATAAATCCAAGTCCAAGGCTGATGTCATAATCTTTCCAAAGCATGTGATTGATAGGCTTGTAGATGAGTTCAGGCCTGAAGAGCTAATAACAGATGTTCCAAGTACGCTGATTCTTCCTGGTGTATATCCTGTAAATGCGCTGGATGTTGCTAGCTTTGATGTATTCTGCTTGGGAATGAATAATAAGGATGAGATTGCTGCAGCAATAAGAAAGTATGGTGTTGGAACGTGTGGCCCAAGAGGTTTCTATGGAACCTTGGATGTTCATCTTGAGCTTGAGTCTGTTATAAGCATGCAAATGGGCGTGGAAGCATCTATAGTGTATCCAAACAGCTTTACTGCAGTTAACAGTGTAATTACGTGCTTCTGTATGCAACAGGATGCAGTGTTTTATCACAAGGATTGTAATGAGGCAATCATAAGAGGCATATGTCTTTCGAAGGCCAAGGCTGTTGAGTTTGTTGATCTCTATGATCTTGAAGCAAAACTTGAGACTTTCTTTATGCCAAAGCACAAGAGCTTTGTGATTGTTGAAGGGCTGTTCAGAAACACAGGCGCCGTTATAGACATACAAAAGCTTCTTGATATCAGGCGCAAGTACCGATTTAGAATCATTTTGGATGAGTCTTATGCGATACCACTGCTTCACAAGCAAGGCGTGTGTGGAATAAACAAGGTTGCAGTCCGTGAAATAGACATCATGATAGGATCACTGTCTCACGGCCTGTGCAGCACAGGTGCATTTGTAACAGGTACATCATACACAATTGATTATCAGCGCCTTGCAGGATCCTCATACTGTTTTTCTGCATCTACACCGAGTGCATTGATTGTGGCTGCACTACTAAATATCAATGCTAGTTTTGATTATCATGCACTTCAATCGATCACTGAGGTGTTTCACCAGAGATTTGCATCTGCAACATATGAGATTGTGTCTTCTAGAATCTCTCCAATGGTTATAATTGCAAAGAGGCATGAGTATAGAATGAATGTCCCTAATGATGTATTACTCAAAGAAATACTGGAGATCCGAGAAGAATTCGCTCAGAACGGTGTAATTGTTGGATTTAACCACAATCCAGCTCCTTCTTTAAGAATGTGCTTAAATGTTATGATGTGCAGTGAGGACATCAGCAAGTTGTTTTTATTGATTAATAAATGGTGAGTACGATGTTGTTTAATTTTTAGTTTTGTCCAATATAATTACTACCGCTTATCTAGCTTAATTATTTCTATTGCTTGTCTAATCATTTCTGTTTATCTAATTTAATTGTTCTTGCTTATCTAGTCGTTCCTGATTGCCTGGGTTTAATGATCCCTATCATCTAATTTTTGTCTTGTCTAATCATTACTTTTTTACAGGAAACCTGATCAAATCAATTATCCTGAGTATTCGCTGTGTCTTCTTACTTGGGCATGCTTCAACAAGCATTTCAACCAGTCTTGCAAAAATTACCATGTGTGAATGATTGTAATTGCATAAGATGTTGTCTAGACATTCATACATCGTGTCATTGATTCCTGTGTAGTCATTACTGAATATCTGTGTCTTTAGCTTATCAATCAATTCCATGTTTATGGGCATTTGTGCTATGTGTTCTTGATGCGACACAAATATATTGCGTGCGTTTCAATGCATGGCTGTATTGTGCATATGTATTTCATCTTCATTGCAAATATTTTTTGTGACAGAATGCCTTTGTATGAATATTTGCAGGAACAAAGAGTTTGTGAATGTTATTGACAATGGATTTCTTCTTGTTATGGACATCATAACGCTCACTATTATACATAGAAAAGAATATGGTGCTGGTACTGTGATTGCGTGTAGTGAGGAACATGTTTTTGTTGGAACTGGCACAGGGATACTGATCATGATAGATTTGCTTAGTATGAATGAAGCCATTGTGTTTAAGTCGAGTACTCCGATAACAGCCGTGTTCTACTTGGATGGATCTTTGTATTGCGGTAATGAAGACGGAGTTATTCAGATCTATGGATTGACTGAAGAAAGTGATGTGAATAATAGCAGTGTACCATTAAGCTCGATGCGCAGTGAGATTGATGAGATGAATTCTGTCCATACAGTTCAGAGAATACGATTGATCAAAGAGATCAAACATTCTGCACCTGTGAGGATGATATGCAGTGATGGAGTGGAGTTTTTTGTTGCAGACATGAGGAATAAGATAACGATGTATCCGTCAAATAAAGTATATGACATTGTGAGACCGAGTCTTGTGTACAAGAACTATGTGTTTGCAAGTGAAAGGAATATGCTGTATTGCAAGACGAGAAATGCATTTTCGACATACCTGGTTGTTGATGGAAAGATATGCGAGTATGTTTTTAGTGAGAATGGAGGAGTACTATTTGTGAGATGTGGAGAGGAAGTAAGTGTTTTTGATTTCAACAGCAAGGATGTGGTGAAGAGGATGAGATTTTCAGGGATGTTTGTATATGATGATGATAGAAACAGGATATTGAGATATGAAGCAGGAGTAATGGTGAGTGTTGATGATGTACTTGATAGGAAATATGAGAGCATGAATGATGTTGTTTTTAGATCTGATGAAATAGTAGAAAAGAAGGTACGAGTTGATGGAATAGAAGAAGATGCAGAGCGAGTATATTATGTCTATGAAGAAGGTAAGAAATCAAAAAGAAAGCGTGAATGGATAGATTCTGTAGAGTATACAGACCATAAGAGTGTATCTTTGTATTGTGATGCAACTGTTGAGGAAAGAAAAGAATTGAATATGATGAGGATGAATGTTGGAAGCAATGAAGTATATGAAAGTAGTAGTGTAAATGGTTGTGGAAGTGTACAAGAAGGATGCATACAAGGAATTAATACGAATGAAGGATTGCTTTTGTGTTACAATACACAAGGATATATGATTTGTGTGAGGAATGGAAACATTCATAGAATTGAGGTTAGTTATCATGATATTACAAGACGAAAGATTGAAATTGACAACAATAGTGGATACACACATGGAGGATTTTGTGGAGACAGTGTAGCGATTGGAAATGGATCGATGGTGTTCTACATAGGGCCTGATATGAAATGGGAGAAGAAAATTGCATCTAGAGCGATTTGTGTCAGTGACAGTATGATTGTGGCTCTTGAAGATGAGATCAGAATATTTGATTACACAGGGAATGAGATTTTTAACTGTCTTATACCGAATGTGCATATGATATGCTGCCATGGAACAACAATTGCGGTATTTGGAGATGACTTGATTATTATTGAGTTATTTGAAAGAACCAGTAGGCATATGTTGCCATGCGCTGTGAGTTTTGCATGTTTTGATGAATTTGGAAGATTATTTTATGTGATGAACAAGAAGATGTATTGCTTGTATAAAGGATTAGCAGTGAAGATGTGTGATATTAGTATGGATGTTCTCACAGTGTTCAAGAAGAAGATGGTATTATTATCGAGATCAAAGAGACTGTTTCCGTCACCTCATGTTGAGTATGCTGAAGTTAATGTGCCGTGGTACATAGAACATGATGAGAGAATAAGCATGCAGAAGATGAAAACAAATGAAATATACAATAATGAGGTAAACAAGAATATGATTATTAATACAAGTGAAGTGTATAATAAAGAGACTGACATGCAAATGATCAACATAACCGAAATAAATAATAAAGAGACAAATATGCAGATCATAAAAACAACCGAAGTAAATAATAAAGAGAATACCGAGCATAACTCACAACATATTGATGCAAAAATATGTCAAAATGGGAATTTATTGAATGTAAATATTAAGCAAGATATAAATCAAGCAAGCAAACGGTACAATCCATTCAAATAATTTCCGAAGAATGTAGTGATAATCCTTAGTTCAATCTCAAATAAAACACAAGTATATTTTCATGCCATTATATTTATAGTCAGCATTACATCCTAGATTCATTCATTAACATATTGAGATTCTAAACAATATTTGTATAATGAAATTCATATGTATCATTCTGTTATGTAGTATGCATGCGTTAATGATGCAGTAGAATGTTTATATTCAATCACACGCTTATTCTCATGCTGTATTTGACTATCATGATCATTACTATTCCACTTATCATTATAATGCACTTGCCTATTGTTCCTGCATTTGTCACAAATCTGCTAATCGGTGAATTACTATTTGTTCTGCCTTTAATCATGCCCATTCCTGCAATAGATAGCACTGTGCATAGAAAAACACCCACGGCTGTTATTTTAGACACATCTCCACCAATTACTACTATGCATTGTGAACATATGCACATCATTGCCATCACACCTATCCATACAGGCTCATCAACCTTAACATAGTATGTGTTGTTGTTTGTATGAGTGCTTTCTGTATCACGATTACCTGTACTATTTCCTATATTTCTTTGTGTGTTGTTACCAATTGATTTGTACATCGTAAATATCCACATTAGAGTGGTAATTAGCATCGGTATGTTCCTGATCATTATCATTTTTTGTGCACTTGCATTTAGAGAATTGTTGCTTGCTGTTTCATTACTCCTTAAATCTCCACTACCGCTCACTCGTGCCATGCTATTGACAGATATATACCCCAAATACACTGTATTGATTACAGGTAGCACAAATGACATCACATTCACAATAACTGCTGCTGCGTTTGCCACAGATGCCATACCTAAAATCACACATATCTGATGGACTGCTATTGCAAGTGCAATATCAGGTAATGCCCTATGTGCAATCGCATAAAGAATGTTGCATGGAATGTGCGGAGGTATATTCTGAGATCCACCTGTGGTTATTGATAAATTCTGGATATTGCGCATCCATTCGCGTATGTTTTGTATACATTTGTGAATATATTTGCATGTGTGTTGCCTTGCTGTTTGCGTATGGCCACTTATCGTACTATAAATTGCACCACCAAGTGTATATATGCTATTTGAATCAGTTGTGTTGTTTGTAGCGGTATTTGTATTACTAGTGTTAGTATTGCTGTCCATAAGTCGTCTATGCCTCATACGTTCTGTATTTTCTGTGTCAATGTCTTCGTTGTTATGATTATTCTGTTGTGGATCCATGGGTTTGTATATTTGCCTGTATATACTCACGTTATATATAGAAATTAATCAGAAGATTCTTTATGTAAATCATTATTTTAACAAAGTCAGGATTTGGTATAACTGAAAGTATGCTGATATAACAATCTATAAACTATTTGATCGATTATACTATGTTACAGCACTTTCTCAATACTCAATCAGATTTTATAGACATAACTTTATTATATGTAATGAAATATCTAGATGCGCATATTATATACTGTAGATACATATTCGTCAATTGTTCCAAATATATAAAATCATTATCTAGCCGTGCAGATAATGGTAAAGATAACTAAAGGAGTCTACAAGGATATATCTTCAATAAAACAGGATTTATCAAATGAAATTGAGCTTATACTTTATGATTGTAAGATAAATTCACTAAATGGTTTAGAAAAGTGCAAAAAATTACAAATTTTTGAGATTCGAAACTGTAGAGGTCTTGACCCTGTAGTTGTGCTGCCAACTATGGAAAATCTAACATTGTTCAGGATTACAGCATTCCATGAACGCCATAGAACTATAAGAAAACTCGATATAAGTGGATTAGTGAATTTAGAGAATATTGATTTTTTTGGCTGTAGTAAATTTGAACAGTTGATAGGATTGAACACATTGAAAAAATTAAAGAAAATCTATTATAGATGTAGCAACAATGTATCAGAGCTCGATCTAAATGGATTGGTGAATTTAGAGGAGCTTGAAATTGCGGGATGCGGTGTCTGTGGATTAGACACATTGAAAAAATTAAAGAAATTCACATTTAGTGCTAGCAAGGGCATTGACCAACTTGATGTAAGTGGATTGGAGAATCTGGAAGAGCTTGATATTTACAGCTATCGAGTTAAATGTGAGGTAATAGGATTTAACACCTTAAACAGATTGAAAAATCTCAAAATTAAATGCTGTAATGCTATTAAAAAGCTTGATGTAAGTGGAATGGCTGAACTTAACACACTTAGGATTGAGGAATGTATATATTTGAAGGAAATACATGGATTAAGTGCATTGATAAAGCTGAAGTATTTTTCTGTGGAAAGCTGTGCTATTACAAAGCTTAATGCAAGCGGGATGACAGAACTGGGTGTGCTTAATGTTTCATGCAAAAATCTGAAAGAAATCTATGGATTAAGTACATTATCAAATCTAAGAGGACTTTCTTTGGGTTACAGTAATGCTATTAAACGGCTTGATGTAAGTGGAGTGATTGGATTGAGCACACTTGAAATCTCTTCATGTGAAAAACTGAAGGAAATCTCTGGATTAAGTACATTGTTAAATTTGAGGGATTTTAGGATGTGGGACAATACTGCTATGGTACAGCTTGATGTAAGTGGATTAGAAGAGTTGAGAATACTCGAAATTTATAGATGCTTTGGAATAAGTGAAGTGTTGGGATTGGATACATTGCCAAAGTTGACTAAGGTTATCATGTCCATTTCTAAACCACCAACACTTGCTTCGATGCTGAAGGTAAAAGAAGAAGAAATGAATGCATTAAAGGAAGGATGGGATATAGAAAAGCTTCGTAGTATAAGAATGGAGATACCACAAAATGATAAGCGTGATGAAAGTAAGGTTGGAAAAGAAATGGTTGATATATGGCAACAAATAATTGATAAGTCAACATCTGAAGAAGACAAGAACAATAAAGTAACACTCAATGATGAAAATAACAATAATTCAACATCTGATGATATAAAATATAACATATTATGTAAATATAATAGTAAGATGAAAGAGTTTATAGAGAATGTGTATCAAATCAAGAAAACCCTTAAGGGCAAGAATATTATGATGTATCTAAATAAGAATCTTATGAAAGCATACATTGAGACAATAATGAAGGATGCCAAACGTGTTATTGATGATACGAAAGGTGGTATAGATAAAATTGGTAATGACAATCCAAACAAGAAGAATATAAGCTTGGATGACATAAACGCATGTGTATCAACAATGTGCCTAGGACTTGATTCATGCTCTGTTGGAATTATGTCACATGTTGAAATGGCATATTCAGGACTTTATTCTGTTGCAACAAGTGGAAGCGATGTCCACAAGCGCATATATGATGGAATAGCAAGTATTAAGGAAGATGTGTTTAAAAAGACACTACTTAATGGTAAGAATGGAAGAAGTATGGATGCAAATGTTCATAAAAAGACATATTTTTCAAGGTATTTGAATGATTTTGTTGGAGTGTCTGTAGATAAGCATGATGGGTTTATTAATAATAGAATGTATATACAAGTGAATAATGATTCCAGGTGTAAAGGAGATGTGATAAAGTTTCTGAATGCGTTTTTAGATGGAATTGAGCCAGAGAAAGTGGTAAAAGAACTGACTGAAATAATTAACAACGAGATTAATAAGATGCCGGTGGAAGAGAAAGAAAAGAAGTGGAGAGAGTATTTTAACTACTTTATTGATATAAAGAAAAGAGTTGTTTGTGATATTCATGAGAATAAGAGTGAAAATGGTGGAAATAATAAGAGTAAGAGTAATAGTGGTGGGAATAGTAAGATTAAGAGCAAGAATGGAAAGAAACGGTTTAAACCCAACACAGATAATGAGGTTGACGATGAAAATAGCAGATATCTAAAGATGATGTTTAAATTTAGCAGAGATGATATAGACCTGGCGTTGGAATGGGAAGATCCTGAGAGTCTCAGAGAGGCAGGTGTGATGTATGCAATGATTGCTGACTTTGAGGTACTTAAAGGAAATGCATGTTTATGGTGCATAGAAGAAAGTATATATGAGTAAATGTGATATTCGATAAGATTCATCAGGAATAATATCATACATACCTAATAAATAAAATTAAGTAATTGTATCTACATGTTGATTTAATAGTTTTAATAAGAATGAACTCTGTATTCGTGATAGCAGATCATCGGTTTAGTACTTCCATCTGTTTTTATTATCGTACCATAAACAT